CAGCAGCCGCTTGTAAGGAAAGCGGAGAGTCGCGGTAAATAACCGAGTACTCGTACTGACCCAGACGATAAACGGTATCGGCTTGGTTTTGGGAGACGCAAAGAGCGGGGTTGGTGATGTTGCAGGGAAGGGGTTTGGCGTGGCATTGGCGTGCGGAGAGGTTGTCGTAGTAGTGATCGAACCAGGTGTGCCATTCTGATGAGTCGGTGGGCACGCCGCTTATGGCGTCGAGAGAAGCGAAGAGAGGTGCTGTGGCCGTGAGGTGGCGAGTCCAGTTTGCGGCTGTGCTGCCGACGCCGTATGAACTGTAGAGGGAGGAGGCGGCTGGGCAAGAGTAGGATGGGGCTAGCGAGTCGATGGTGGAGGGTTGGACGTGTAGGGGTACGTTTTCTTTGGGGCTGTACATGCCTTCGATTAGCATACCGGCGACTTGGCTGGTGATGACGTTGTTCGAGACGCGCCAGGTTGTCTTCTCGTTGATGTTGTCTGGTAGGAAGCCGAGCAGGTCGTGGTATACGCCGAAGACATCTTTGCCATGCTGTAGAGAGTCGTCGAGCCCCTCGCGGGTAATTTGAGGGAACTGGCACGATCCGTTGAAACCACTCTGGGCGAATGGGTTGATGGGATTGGTGTAGACGCTCCAGTACGTTGACGCCGACGTGTTACCAGCGGGATTTAGAGGTTCGCCGTAGTAGAAGAGACCTTGATCGGAACAATCCCATGGGTATGACTCTTTGGGGAAAGTATTCGAGGCATATGGTGTTCGCTTATGATGGCGATGAATGCTATGCAGAATGTAAGCTGATGCTCTAGGTTGACTGGGATTGTAGTACAACTTACACCTCCACATACGCCAGCTCAAACTCGTCATCCACCTTTACATACTCATTCTTCCGTACATGAGGCATATTGCACCAGTTGTAAGTCCCGTAGTCCACACCAGCAGGTAGCTGTGAGCTGTTGAACACAAATCCATTGGTCCCCGTCCCGTTCAATACTTGATCAAGATCATTAACCCAACTCTTCTTTGGTGCATACCAGCCCAGATCTACCTTTGATACATTCTGAGCAACCGCTGTACTGACTATAGAAGCAAAGAATAGCGATACATAGCTACGTGAAGAAGTCATGTCGATATCCTGAGGTAGCCGAAAGGAGAGCGTGAACGCGGTGCAGACCAAAACGAATGCTGCCAGAGCAGAACAGACAGCAGGGTGCATGTCTTATATTTGTAAATTGCTCAAGGCGCGATACCGGGAGCCATTGCAGATGCAGAAGGTCTCGTCGTTAGTGACGAACGTTGAGAGCCGAACGATGGTCGCTGCGCACAAGACATGCACGATGCGAGGTACGAGATGGCGATTGGTCAATGAGACAACGAGTCCGGCCCGCCAACTGGTACCTCGGGCTAAGACACGACGACTGTTCCCGACTTTGGTCCCGCGCTTCGTACTGATTATCACTGTTTCTACCTTGATCCTAGCTGTTTGGTTTTTCGGCGGGCTTGTTTCTTGTTAGTGTGGGTTGAGCAATACTAGCTTGGGTGATCACAGTCAGCAAGCAAGGGCGACGAACGATCCATAAAATACAATTTTTTTACTACTTCCCGAAGACGTACCATCAGCATGCCACAATCCCTCCACCGATCCCTTGATCGCTTGCTAAATACACGTTGAAGCTGTTCCCGCATTGCTCCAAATACTATCAAAGGCTACGCTCAGCGTGAATAACGTATCGACCACCCGGATCCTTTCTGAAACGGAATGAACTTTGTCGGAACGGCATGAATCTAGAATATACTAAACAATAAGAAAAAGGGTATGCGCAATTTTAAAATCAGATGAAAACACAAGCTTCCAGATGCAGACTGATATAGGAAAAGGCGTATGAGAGCTCCAAGTGTGAACATGTACCGTATGAGTTGTGCTGAATGACGAAGGATCAGAAGATGCTTCGTTGGGTCAGAGGTTGAATGATCGCGTTGTGCAGCGATGTTGCTTGTCGTGGTTCCAACTCGATAATGCCGCCGGAATGGCAAGATGCCTGGGTTGTGAGGGTCGAGATATCTAGAAGTCGTTGTTGGGGCGATATGGACGATACTCGCGGCTGCCAGCGCTGGCTGCCCGGCCATTGGTCGCAGGAACGGAGAGCTGCCTGGAGGCAGGTCCGTCCGATGTAACGACTCGTCGTCTGCCTTTTTCCAGCCGAGTGGTTCTCCAGCCCTCGTACCATTGTTCACGGGAAGCTTCGCGTAGCTCAGAGCGCCAATCGCTGAACACGCTCTCCCTAAGTTTGACGAAGTCGCAGTGCTCTGGGTTGTAAGGGTCGGCAAAACCCCAGGGGAATCTACGGCCAACAACCTCGGGGTCGTACGGATCTGGCGAGATGATGCTAAGAGGCAAGAACGGAGTCTCTGCACTCTCGCTGTGGATCGAGGCGGACATGGCGGACGGCTTACGGCTGTGGCCTTTCCTGGCGCTTGGGGGCGACGTCGGGGGGGAGTGCGACCTGGTCGAAGAGCTGGAGGAAGCCATGGAGCGCGCAGCTTCGGAAGAAGATCGCTCCAGGATCTTGTTCAGGACTTCTGATTTGCCTTCGCCCTCAGACGACTGCTCGTAGTCGTCCTCGTCTCGCTCATCAAGCCGGTCAGGGTCTTCGTCATCGTCACCGAGGTCCAAATTGAGAGCCTCGAGGGGGTCCAACTTTGCGCGTTTGATAGTATCCCAGACAGTCTTCTTCAGGTAGCGCATGTGTGCACCGGTAATGGTGTCTGCCTTGCTGATGACTGGGATGACGGTGGTCCTGGTCTGCAGCTCGCGAAGTACGTTGAGATCCAGACGATCGTCCAAACCCCCGAAGATGGCGCTGCCAGCATTGACGATGTTGGACTTCTTGCGAGCCTCGGCTATGTTCTGGTCCAGGCGAATCGGATCCAGAACGAGGAAGACGCAGTGGATGTGTGTATCCTTGACACCTGGCGCGCGTACGACCTTCTGCTCCTCGCTGAAGGTGTCTTCGAACTTGGACTCGAGGAACGAGGTGATGATGGGTAGCTGGAAGTCGACAATGTTCTTCTCGAGGCCCTCAGAGTCCCAGAGCGTGACGCCGACTCTCTCGCCATCAACTTCGGTCTCGAGGAATTCGGAAGTGAAAGGCGAGTCTCCACCACCTACAGCGGTAGCAGGCGGCGAGGGAGTGTTTGGGCGCTTTCGAGCTGGGAGCGCGAGCGCAGTGCGGAGAAACTCAATGAATGAAGACTTGCCGCAGCCTTTGGTGCCAATGACAAGAATGCTAGGTAATGGTCAGCTTAGTATCTACAAGTGTGTGACGAAACATACTTGAAAGGCGTGGGGTCCTTCCTCCTCCGCACACGACGGGGGCTGTTGACGGTGCTGATCTGGCTGCTGGCATAGCTGTAGCGACCGCGGTTGGTCATGCTCTCGGTCCTCGGGTAGGGATCGTAGTCCATGTAGGTTGAAGGCGAGGAGCCTGGCACGGGCGGCGCCACAGCGGGGCTGGGGTGGGCGGGAGCCATCCTGTAGGTGTCGGTCGAGGGACGGCTGAAGTTGTGGGCGGCGGGGTTGTAGGTGCCGGCCTTGTTGGAGACAATGGCAATGGAGTCTGGGCGCGTGTCCTCACCTCCAAACGTCGCGAGCTGGGGAAGGGCCGAGTGGGAAGGCAGGCGCGGCGGCTGCTTAGGCAGCATGGTAGCTTCGCGCTGCCTGCGAAGAGCCTCCTCCTGGGCGAGGGCCTTTTGCTTCCTGCTCATCTTGCCGCCGGAGACGCTTCGATTGGTGCTGTTGCCGCGAATTTCAGAGGAGCTTTTCCCGCTGGTTCGGCGCAAGAAGTTGAAGCTGGAGCGGCGCGGTCCTGTTTGGTCGGCGGAAGACTGGGACTGGGACTGGGCTGCAGAGGGGCGGACAGAGGGGTCAGGTGAGCCGTCTTTGTAGGCCGAGGTATTAGGTGGATTAGGGGACCGGTCGTCGATGGTGGTGGCCATGGTGGGCAGCGGAGGGCTCTTAATATCAGTGGCTCACACTTCGCGCGCGTGTAATCTTAGCAATCGAGGACTGCAGCGTAGTGGGTAAGCAGTCCTGCTGGGTCTTGCTGGGTCTTGCTGGGTCGGGCTATCCTGCGCACGGCACAGCAATTCGGAAGCGTCTGGCGTCCTAGTGCGAGGGCAAGTGAAATTGGAGGAGGAGCAGCCGGCTGTATCTCAAGGTCAGCACTTGGTCAAACGCGCATCGCCATGGCGCGTGCGGGTCGGGGGCCCAGGGTCTGGTTAGAGCCTTTGACTAACCTTAAGGCCCGAGACACTACTGCAGGAACGATACGCGCAATGGCACCCCCGGATTCTGCACAAAAAGGAATGCGCCGTAGTTGCAACAGAGGGTAGGGTGAGGACAAGCATGCAAACAGAGGACAGGCCGCCACAACCACTCCAGGGCTACCACCGACGTCAACATGGGCGTGACGCGTCTCGGGAAGGAGGAGGCTGGAAGGCGCAGTACCATTGGCCGCGGCTTCTCGAGGTTGGATGCACAGCGGGAAACGACAATGGCGACGCCGACGGGGGTGGCACGCCCAAAAGATCAATGCGAAACAGCTGGCCTAACCAGACAACCACCGGCGACAGCGCCCAATTTGCACTTGCACCAGTCACTATTCGGCACGCCATAGCTTCGTGTTGTGTAATCGTTATCGTCCGCCGGCGACATGCAGCTGGGGACCCGGGCCCTGGTGATCGGCATGCACATGAATAGGGGTTCACGCTAACTGTTCCTCATCTTGAAAGGCCTGCCCAGGTGGGCGCCCAGTGCAGAGCGCTGAGGGAGCAGAAGCCATGTGTTTCTGGTAGGCAAGGAGCGCATGAATGCCATTCCGATCCGACACAACCCTCCTGGGGACACCCACGATGTCGCGTCGCAGAAAGACAGAAGCCCTATATACGCCCACATCTGGCGTCATCGCGCTCTCTTTTTCCAACAAACACAGCAAGGTCTGAGATTGGCTGATTCCAGATAGAGCAGAAACGTCACCAACGCCAACAAACTGCGCCTCGTGCATGTCAAGCAACATTGTCTCAGCATCACGCAACCTTGAAGACGTGCGCCTATCGATATGCCCCACACGCGTAGCGCGATTCAGTTGTCCTGGTCCCATGGCTTGCTCTCCCGGCCCGCTCCATCCTATGTCAAGCCCAGCGATCAAACTCTAATAACAGATTGCCGCTCAAGTCAAAACCTTCCACTCTCCTCGATCTTGTCCATAACTTCTTGTGTATGCCCCCAGACCTTGTCCATCCCGCCGTCCTCCCTCAGTTTCTGCGCTTTCTTGGTATCTGCCAGGATGTCCCCATTCCAGTTCAGAAGATAACTTCCACTGCCTTTCACACCATCACTTCCAATAACGTCTGTCTTGGCGCTATCCGCTTTGGGGGCGTAACGCGGCGCCGTGGCAGCGAACAAATGTCTCTCGCCGCTTTCTACTTGTGGAACGAAGAGGAAGCGTCGAAACATTCCACCCAGCGTAGACATGATAGTATCGTTGAAGCGACCGAAGAGTTCACGCGTTACGCCTGTCTCGACGCCAGATGGGTATTCGTGGATGTAGCTCGTCTTTGGATTCTGATTTGCCAAATGAGCCATGGAGAGAGACGTCATAGCGCTCGCGTGGAGCAGGACGTTCTTGAGACTGAAGTTATGTCTAAGGGAGAGGTCGGAATAGTCAAGGCCTCCAAGTCTCAAACCGGCCTGCGGGTCCAGGACAGCGACCACGCGAGACAGGTTGCCAGCCTCAGAGGCCTTGTTGAGGAGCGGTGTGAGTTGAGAGATGAATCGCATTCGTGCGTAATATTGCACAGCCATCTTCCTGTCCAGTCCTTCGGCTGTCTCGTCTCTTCCCTTCATCGTGAGGTATCCGCACGTCATAAACAGCATATTGACTTGCTTCTCCTTGCCCTTGATCTCATTACATGCCTGGTCCACATTCTTCAAAAGCGAGATGTCCTTTTGAATGAAGCTAATCTGGGATGAGCTGTTGATCGAGTTGAGCTCATCCATGATCTTGCCGGCTTCTGTCGCGTTTCGGCCGATCAAGTAGACATGTGGTGATGTGGTCGTGCGGACGAATTCGCGAGCAGTGAAGAAGCCTATCCCACTTGTGCCTCCAACGAATACTGCGACTTGATGCGGAGGTAGGGTTTTGAGCGAGGCGTTGTGAGCGCGGACAATGTCAAGAGAAACCATGATGACGAGAATTGGAACGAAGTGGATTTTTTTTTTTACAAAAGGATGTGATGCTTACGAGAAAGCGTGAACAACCGCGAAGGCTGTCGTTGATAAAGTATCTGTAGCCTATGAATGTGGTCTTGTGAGCTTAACCGTGCGTCCCAATATTCGTCCGTATCGACGGAGACAGCGTTTGTTAAGGTATCCAAGACTATTTGTGCCGGACTGAATCTAGCGGGGTATTTTGTACTCGTGCTCTGTGCTCAAAAGCAATGCTCAGTCCGGATGCATACACACAATGGTAGGAAGCTGGCGCTCCCCACTCGAACAGGCTCAATCCTCCGCGTCCGCCGACGACAGCGCTAGTCCCACCAGATCCCTCACCCTTCACCCCACCAAGTGCATTTCGCAACATGACTAGATTTACATTTCGCGCAGTCCTTGCTAGAGAAGAGATACGCCCGCCATGAACGCACTGGGTGACATGTCACCTACCTTGGACCCGACTCAACTCGCTGCCGGACACGCTCCACCTACGCCTCCGCACGAAAATGCACTCGACGACATCTACGGTTCGGCGCCCGCTTCACCCACCCTCTCAGCAAACGTTCCCCATGCACGCGCTCATGAAATACTATCCGATCTCCCGTCCCGTCAACGGGCGCTCGACACAGATGCATACCGAGAGGGTCTGGCAAACAGCAAGGGCAAATACGTGCAAGAAGGATTCGACGAAGGCTACTCTCTCGGTGCAAACCTAGGCCTACGCGTCGGCTACATACTAGGAGTTCTGCAAGGTTTTGTCGCTGCCTGGAGGGGTCACAACGAACAAGTCCACAAAGAAGTGGCACAAGTCTTTGATTCTGCGCGTAAAGAGCTCGCCATCGAGGAGTTGCTAGGCCGCCAATGGGTAGATGAAGAGGGTATATGGAAGTGGGGCGTTGTAGGAAAAGACGATGACCCTACATTCAGGGAGGTCTCGGACCAGCATCCTGTAGTGAAGAAGTGGATGGGCGTAGTCGAGGATCTGGCAAAGAGGTGGGACGTTGATCTCAAGGCTGTGGAGAAGAGTCAAGTGCCGCAGGACGAACAATCATGAGTGACCCCGAAGGAGATCTAGGTGCTCTCTCACATTCCTACTACTTCCATGGTATATCGATATCACGACAAAGCTCCACTTGCATCAGCAAAGGCTGAAGTGGTGTCAACGCCATCACAGCAATCTTCTCTCCATGCTTCCGATCAGAGCGCTCTATAGCTCGCTCGAGGAAGAGGTAGCCTCTTGCGGACGGGAGATGAAATAGAACTGCATCATCTTGAGATAGGATAAGGGGAGGCGAATATCCGCACACAATGTCCTATCCCATCCCACATCGAGCGGTTGCACAAAGTCAAAATTCTTGGCCAGATAACGAAACACTCAAAGATTACAAAGAATGAATGGCTAGAGCTACGATAGAAGCAGAAGTTCGGGTTATACCGGAAGTTGAGGCTGACACCTCTGAATGGTGCACGGACGAAATAACGGTTGTAGGCGGGCAATTGGCGGCGTTGAAAATGCCGTCATGACTTTAAGTCCGAGCATGCGCGACAGATAATCCAATCTCATAACGTGCTCCTCATGTCATACTATACATTTCTCGTGCTGCCTTCACCCTACTTTCGACTGCCATGATACATGGCCTGTCTGCTCTTCGAAGAGCACCTGCGCAACATGCAACATCACAATTGCTGACGTCAACCTTCTCCCCCACGCGACTCTACCAGGCACCACTCGCGCGCCGCCTTCAAACACAGCAATGGGAGCCTCTACGCCCCCCGAACCCCGCAGACCTACCGAAACCACGACAGCGTAAAATCAAGCCTCCGTTTACCCGCCGAAAATGGGTGCGCCGCTTTGCTGTCATCTCGGCATTGATTGGTGCTGGATGGCTCGCTGACCGGCAATTCTACGCTTCTTCGATCACACGCAGTTTGCGCACATTCAAGACCGGCCTTTTGATAGGCATAGACTACAAGATCAATTTCCGTGCGCATCCTCCGCTTGCGAACAGCATTGAGGAATTGCATGCGCGAAATGCGCAGAGGATATTTGATCTGCTGCGGTACAATGGCGGACTCTACTTAAAGATAGGACAGGCAATCGCTATGCAGAGCGCGATATTACCACCACAATTCCAGAAGATGTTCCAGCAAATGTTCGACGATGCGCCGCAAAACGAATGGTGGGAAGTCGAGCAAGTCATACGAGAGGACTTTGGCAAAAGCGTCGAGGACGTCTTCGGTGTCAGCTTCACACGGGAAGGACAGGACGGTCGGGGTATAATGGAGAAGACTGCAAGAGCTAGTGCGAGTGTTGCGCAAGTGCACTGGGCAAGATTGGCAGACGGAAGGGAGGTGGCCATCAAGATCCAGAAGAGAGAGATTGCGCAGCAGGTAGGATGGGACCTTTGGGCTTTCAAGGTAGTTTCCAAGGTGTATACCTGGTGGTTCGGCATCCCTGTCTACACGCTGGTTCCATACATCTCGGAGCGCCTAATGCTGGAGACCGATTTCGAGAACGAGGCGGACAATGCGGTAGAGATGAAGGGGCTTGTGGCGGGAGAACCGCGACTAAATGGTCGAGTTTACATACCCGCAGTGTATCGCGAGCTTTCAAGCAAGCGTGTCATGACTGCGGAATGGATCGAGGGTGTACGATTATGGGATAAGGAGGGCATCACACACAGCTGGAAGGGTGGATGGCGCAGCGGCAGCCCCGGTGCAGGTGGTAACCAGCTACCACCAATCCCTCGAGACGCTAAGGTCGATACACATGCGCCGGAGGACGCCACACAACACGAGTTCTTCAAGCCGGACCGTAGTTCATGGAGAGGCAACGACGGAAAAGGCGGCCTCGGCGTCTCTCTGAAGACGACCATGAACACCATCGTCGATCTCTTCTCAGCACAAATGTTTCTCTGGGGCGCGGTACATTGCGACCCCCATCCAGGAAACATTTTCGTCCGCCGCCTCCCCAACGGACAGCCGGAAGTCGTCCTCATCGATCATGGCCTGTATATCCGCATGGATCCCAAGTTCCGTCTCCAATACGCGGAATTCTGGAAGTCGCTCCTCGCCTTTGATAACGACAAGATCGAGGAGATCGTCACTAGCTGGGGCGTGAAGCACGCCGACATCTTTGCATCAGCAACGCTCATGCGTCCGTACGAGGGTGGCGACAAGAGCGTAGCAGGTGTCCTCAAAGCCGAAATGAAGGGGAAAGATCAAGCGGAGCGAGCCTTTGAAATGCAAGCCAAAGGCCGCGACGCCATCAAGCTTATACTCGGCGACGACGCAAAATTCCCCCGTGAACTCCTCTTCATCGGTCGTAACCTGCGTATCGTACAAGGTAACAATCAATTCCTCGGTTCGCCTGTAAATCGCATCAAGATCACTGGGCTGTGGGCTAGTAGGGCTTTGATCGAATCTAAAGATCTTAGTGTGAGCCAGAGATGGAAGAACTGGATCCAGCATCTGCGCTTCCGGTTCGTGCTTACACTTAGCGATGCGGTGTTCTTTTGGAGTAAGCTCAAGCAATTGGTCGGTGTAGGCGGAGGTATGGAGGATGATATCGAAGCGCACATGCGTGTCATGGCGAAGGACTTTGGTGTCGATCTACAACATGGTGTCTTTGAGGGCTAGTAGCTGTATAATATGTTTAATCCCCCTCATATACGAGGCAATGCCTGTTATGAATTGTGACGGTATAGGATTGGTTGTCCTAGTATTGTATGTGCATGACGAATCCGTTAAAGAGTTGTTCCATGTCACTATCTGCCTGTATACTACGAACATATACTACTTAGCTTCTCAAACTTAGCGAAGCCTATGAAGCCTACCGGAAATCATCATCTGCTACGGCCTCATAACAAGCTCCGAAAAAGGCTAATCCGCGCGTTTCTGAACAATGTTCACGCAAAAAATGCCCCGCACTACCATCCCGCTCGACATTTCCGACCTCCCCACATCTTTCCGGTGTCGCGTCAGGTAGGCCCGGTAGAACATATATCCACCATAGACTCAGATCCTAGCCCTTCAAATACAAAGAACACACCTTGCAGCAAGAGTAAGATTACCATCATCAACTCATATCTACTGTAACAATGGCACCAAACTGGGACAGACTTATTCGCTTCATCGCCACAGATGGGCGTGAGCTGCGGGGTCAACCAATCCTCCCCTCACCAGAATTTGATGTCGGTACGACAACAGAAGAGACGAGACTAAAGGCCAAAGTAATCGATGTCAAGAACAACGACATCTTCGACCCCGCCACCAAGGTCACCGATGAGGACGTCACTGTCAAGAAGCTACTCGGCCCCGTGACCACAGACGAAGTACCCATCATCCGGTGCATAGGTCTAAACTTCATCAAGCACAGTAAGTCCCTCTGCCATCACGTCCCTCTTCAAAAAAAAAAATCAAAAAAAGACTCCCGATTAACCTCCTCACTCCAGTCCAAGAAGGCGGCCGCACCCTCCCTCCTTACCCTTCAACCTTCATAAAAGCCAACACCTGCCTAAACGACCACGGCGCCCCCATTGTAATCCCCAAACTCGCCCAAGACAACCAAGCCGACTACGAAGGCGAACTCTGCTTCATAATCTCGCAAGACGCCAAGAACGTCTCCGAAGCCGACGCCTTCAACTACATCGGCGGCTACACCTCCGGCAACGACGTCTCATCCCGCAAACTGCAACGCGACCCCCTCCTCGCCGGCACAGTCCCGCAATGGAACTTTTCCAAAGGCTTCGACACGTACGCGCCTTTGGGACCGCAACTCGTATCCACGAAGGTCATTCCTGACCCGTCGAAACTGCATCTCAAGACGGTGGTCAATGGGGATCTGAGACAGAGTTCTGGCATTGATGATTTGTGCTTCAAGATTCCGACGTTGATTTCGTATTGTTCCCAAGGGACTACGCTGAAGAAGGGCACGGTTTTCATGACGGGCACGTGTGCGGGGGTGGGGTATGCGATGAAGGAGCCGCAGTTCTTGAAACCGGGGGATGTGGTAGAGGTTAATCTTAGTCCTGAGATTGGGACTTTGAGGAATACGGTGGAGTATGCTTAGGTGGATGGGTAGAAGATGAGATCATGGTATGGACACGAGGGTAGTGTGGATCAACTGAGCTGGCTGGGGAACGTATGTGTAATAGTTGTGAATCTGGTGTGTGTTTTGAACACTCAGGTCTCACGCACTTTTGATATGTACTGAATGTAAAGGGCTTGCACAAGGTGTTTGACAACTTCTCACCAAGACCTATCAGACGAGAGGATTAAGATCGAATATCGACAATGGCGATAGTACTGGATCTATCGTCTGTACAACGTTTAGCTTCTCACATCGCGTGCGAATCGCGTATAGCAGGTTTCTAATATACAATTATCAGACGATAATGAGCATCACTAAACCCTGAAAGGTCATGATATGATGGAATCCAGCCAAAACGCAATACAAGTTCCCCATGTAAACACGTCCCCCATCAGATCTTCGATCTCGCCTTACTCTTCTCCTCCATCTCTCTCCTCTTGACCTCAAATCTCTCCATGGGCGCCCCCTCGACAAAGCGCTCTGCCAACGCATCCACGGCATTAACCACAGCCACCAATCTCGCATCCCTAATCGGGGCATTCTGCAACCTCTTCATCTCAATCATACTCTTGCCATCATTTACCTTGAGCTGTTCCTCCAAGAACGCTACGACTTTACCATGGAACTCCTCGCCAGTAGCATCCCATACGTAATTGTACATGCCGGCATCGAGCAGCTCTTGCGCGGAGAGTTTGCGGCCAAACATGAGGAAGTCGTTTGCGCGGTGGATGCCGATGGATTGCGCGAAGGAGAGGGCGGAGCCGTTTTCTGGGACGAGACCGAGGGCGGAGAAGGGGCATTGTAGCCAGGCGGTTGAGGAGGCGAGGACTATGTCGGCGATTCCGGGGAACCAGGCTGCGCCGCCGCCGACGGCGGGGCCGTTGAGCGCGAGGATAAGGACTTTGCGGTGGCTATGAGGTGTTAGTGTTGCTGTGTGGGGATACATGGGTTCAAGTGGACTTACTCAATCATCGAACGTAGAAGCTCCGTCGCTGTGAGAGGTCATAGTTAGTACTACAATTCGGTAGTGCCATGCCATTTCGACATATAACCAAAGTTGCGGCGTAGGCAAGATCAAGAAACGGACATACCATAGCTGAACCTTGTCATGTAACTCAGCTTCTTCTCCGCATCGTTCTTGAAGGCTTCACTGCCTCCCCCGGCGATCCCCTTGACGTCAGCGCCGGCAGAGAAGAAGCGTCCTTCGCCTGTTAGCACGGTGAAGATGGTGTCTGGGTGCTCATTTAGAACACGTAATCCGGCGATGATGTCCGGAATGAGGTTTCCACCAAAAGAGTTGAGAGCCTTAGGTCGGTTGAACTAATGGATGGATATGTTAGCGGACGCATACTGTGATGTTTACGCATGGGTGGACCGGCAAGATCGTCTGGAGGGATTCGGGAGTGTGCCGCACGGATTCATGATAGAGACTTTGAATATTACCTTGATAATACCAATCTTGCCCTTGATCTCGAACTTGATATCGGAGTAATCCGATGAAGAAGTCATGATGTTATATTTTCCTAGCTCTTTCGCGCTGTCCTTCGAGGCGGTAAAGCAGATCTCCAATTACAATGGCGTAGAGATTTTCCTGTCACCACTCTTTCTTATGTAGTTGGACGGTGAGATAGATGTTGAAAATTCGGGCTATCGAGATGGAGTGTACTTGTGGAATATGAATAGTAAGCTTTCCCCGCAAGACGCGACAGGCCTCGGTTCGGGCGACAGAACGAAGTCTAGTAGTTGTATGTATTGTCGAGTCAGACCATGTAAACACGATCTGAAGAACACTGCGATTAAATGCTATGCTTTGATGCTGATTGCGTGATGAGAGGTGATGTAGTGAGGTGGTGTAGTCGCGTACCCGTGCATGGGTTGCTGAGGATACTGTGAAGAACGGTGTCGCGTTTTACCTCGGCAGGTTTACGAGGCACGTCATCACGGGCTACTACATCCACAACCTCGCACCTGGGCATGCACAGCACAGAAGCCTTGACGCACATAACTGAGAAAGCGGCCAGATCGTCTGCGGGTGTTCAGTCAGGCGCGACACGAATTCAAAGACGGTATATTGTACTTCCCACATAATACACACGCGCACACTACGTAAAGCAGGCAAAGTCACCACCAAAAGCCACACTTCGCAGAACGTGCATTACATCAAAAGACAATAACAACATATTCATTTATTTACTTCATCTATACAGCTCATCTCAGCCCTTCCAACAACACATCCATGTTCTAACGAAGCTACGCATATCGCATCTCCAACTGCCCCAGAGTCATGTATGAGACAAGTCGAAGTCGCGATACTAGACCCATCGAACAACTGTTGTTAGTTCACCTCCCGTCCTACGCTTTCTACAACCCATCAGGACACGGTAGACAGATCGCACAACACCTGTTGCTAGAAAGACTATAATCCGTAGTCATATGAAAACTCATTCCTAGAATACCTAGCCTTTTTGTAAATCTGTTCCAAAGCATGTGATTCATAATCATTGTTACGGTCACAAATCCACCTATCCATGTCCCACGTGCAAAGTCCTGATGGCTGGAAAAGGCAGATACAATGGTACTGGACAGTCTGTAGCCCTCAATAACTGAGGATGCTGCTCTTCGCTTTGCGTTATTGCAACACTAGCCGACTCGGATGAATATAGAAGAAGAAAAGTGCATTGCATCCTGGCGATGGCTCGAAGTCTAGCTCGAACATCCGCCCGTAGCTCTTGATTGGCCCATCAAGCAAGTCAAGTTACAAGCATCATACCGGGCACAGGCGTCACGCAACGCGTTCAAGCTAGCGGTGAGAGAAGAGCATATAATTCCAAAGCAAACAAAACTAAAAGCACTATCACTCGCACTACACGTCCCCTTTCCCCGTCTCCAGGCGCAATGGTCATAGCGAGCTAGATGTTCCTTTCTCGTCCCTGGAAGCGGCCTCCTTGGTGGAGATCCGTCAATCATACAGACTACTGGCCGCCAGCCCCATTGCAACCCTTCGAGTCTACCAGCCAAGCTTCAGTCACATACACTCTTCGCCAGATACAATTTGAAATCGTCCCCTTGTTAAGCTTTACCTCCCCACAAGCTGGCAGACATGTCCGAAGGGGGGAAACTCAAGGAAAGTACTAAGAACCACATGAAAGGACAAGGGGGCAGGGGGTAATTAATGCGAGGTGAAAGCCGTAAAGTCAAACAAAGATCAGTCATCAGCTGGAGAGCTGGCCAGTAACACTAGCTGTGCAAGACGACCAAGATAATCGGTTGGCTGTAATCCGGGAGGAGTTGAGATGTGTTTACAAGCCGAACTGTGATGCCAAATGGAGATACCGTGTGGGTCGAGCTTCCAGAGATGTGAGATAGTCGTCAGAGACCCATGGCCATAGTAAACGCAAGACAGGGGAATGTCTTCCTAGGTCCGTACGAGGTGTCTGACGAATGGATCCCATGAACTGATCAAGGAGCGACGCCGTCCAAAATGTTGCCAGGACGGCAGTGCCGCATTTCCCATTCGTTGTGTGTGCGGAGCCGCGTCAGAAGAAGCGGTCACGCAAGAGTTGAGATGACGAATCGAAAGCCGCATCAAATCAGTAACCAGATGCATACTGGTCCCCGCCACGCTTATTGGCCGAACGAAGCTGCCTGAAAGAAGGAAGAAGGTTAGTAAAATCTGGATCTGGCGCCCCCCGCGCTAAGCGTTCTCAACACCAAACGCAAAGGAGAGGGTCCCTTACGAGGATCAGATATATCGAACTCACATTCCGGTGCCCTCCTGGCGCGCGTTGACCGGACCGCGCTTGGTGCCAGCTGCCGTGCCCGCGTTGGCAGCGGCGGTGGTGGTGACGTGGCGTCCGCGGCCCTTGTCGTCTTCCTCGCCCTGGCCCTGGTTGGCAGCCTGGGCGATGGCCTGGGCGTTCTTCTGGTACTTGTAGACAGTCCAGTCGAACACGTAGTCGTACTGGAAGCCTTCACGGACGAAGAGGTCGCGGAAGATCTTGCGGAGGTACGAGTAGTCGGGCTTGTCATCGAAGCGGAGGGAACGGGTGTAGTTGAGGTAGATGGCGAACTCGTTGGGGAAGCCACGGCAGAGGACCTCGGTCGGAGTCGTCATCTTCTTCTCCATGATGCGGTCGTATTTCTGCTTCTTGGTGGCCGCCTTAAGACCCTGCCAGGGAAGGGATCCACGGCAGAAGTAAAGCATGACATAACCCAGAGACTCCATGTCGTCACGGCGGGATTGTTCTGTTGATGTTAGTTTAGCAAGTCGGATGGCGTGCGGGATACGTACCGACACCCAAGTGAGTGTTGATGCTGGCGTAACGGGCGGTACCAGTCAAGTTCTTGTTCTCTCTGTACGGGATGTGGAAGTGCGTCTTCGGATCGCGGTACTTCTTGGCCAGACCAAAGTCGATGACATTGACCTGGTTGCCGCGCTTGCCAATGCCCATGAGGAAGTTGTCGGGCTTGATGTCGCGGTGGATGAAAGACTTTGCGTGGATGTACTCAATGCGGGAGATGAGCTGATCGGCGAGGAGCAGAACAGTCTTCAGGGAGAACTTGCGGTTGCAAAAGTTGAAGAGGTCCTCGAGGGAAGGGCCGAGCAGGTCCAAGACCATGGCGTTGTAGTCGCACTCGGTTCCGAACCAGCGGACAAAGGGGATGCCGACACCGCCAGCGAGCGACTTGTAGACGCGGGCCTCATATTCGAGCTGCGGGTGCTTGGCCTTGACGCTCTCGAGCTTGATGGCGATCTCCTCGCCCGAGATGATGTTGGTACCTGTAAACGTCAGCGGTGCTCAGGCGGTGGGCGACGGGCGGCGGCTACGTACCGAGGTAGATGTCACCGAAACTGCCGCTACCAATCTTGCGGCCGATTCTGTACTTGTTGCCGACGCGGAGGTCCTGCTACTGTCAGCCTGGGGTCCTGCGAAGAGGTGCTTGGCCGCCGTGGTGACGGCAAGCGGGGTCGGGGCGTACCATTGTCGTCATGCTTGCAGAGGTTCAACCTTGAGGAGGTTGGCCTGTAGTGGAGGGAGTGGTTGAGGGGGGTGGGTCGAGTGTTGTGACGATGGGGGCGCGGTGGTGTTTTGAGGATCAGCCTGCTGCGGTGGACCGGTCAGTATGAGGCTTTAGCCAACAAGGCGGTGAGTAAGCGGAGCGGGCAGCCGAGAAACGCTAAGGGAGGCAGTCGAGCGTGTTGACCGACAGGTAAAGGAAATGCCAGCGGAGCAGGTGCGTCGTGGTGAGAGATAAATAGGGCACGGGGGGCAGAGGGCGGAGCCGACTGACGAGCTGGGCAGGACTTACTGTAGGGCGTGAATGAGCCCAACGATCAACGATGCCGGCGAGCGTGGGAGCGGGCTGGCGGGCGGGCGAGGTTTGCGACTCTAGCAAAAACGACACAGAGAGGCAGCTGCAGGGCACGGGACAGCACAAGAGGCCGGTGGAACAAGCACACTGTGATCGTGGTGCTGTATCAAAGGAACGCTGATGGCAGGATGCAGAGAGCCACCTGCCTTGTATTCGGCCACCGTGCTTGGCGCGCTAGCGAGCTCTTTCACTGCTGCCCGCTGCCCGTCGCCGTGTATCAAGCATGCGGACCGCAAATCACATCCCTGAGCCGCTCGGAGGAATCGCGATCCATCGCACCACCGTTTGCGTCGTGGGTTTCCGCACATGTCCAGGGTGTCACTATCAAAATGCCACTGCCCGTTTCAAATGCCGTCGCCTGACTGCCGCATCATGCGACTGAGCCACAGATCTGCCCCTTTATGCATCTCGCGCACATGGTGCACATAGTTCGCGAACCGATTGCGCTATATTTGACTTTGACCAAGAACGTCCTGCAGACGCCGTCCCGCTGCTAGAATGAAAAATCGTTGTAGCCGATGTTCTGGAAAGACTGCGGCCCGAAATTGTCTCGTGACGATGGCCGGGCACGGCAAACACATCATACTTCAGACCAGGCAAACAGGCGGTAGGGATACCACCACTTGCGTATAACAGTTTCATCATTCAAAAGCCAGAAACTACCCCCATGAAGCGTGTCCCGCATATCCGTACAAGCCCTTGCAACAACACGGTAGCGACTCAGCGAGATGCTTTTTCATTCGGAACAAAGGAAAGCGTCAGTCCCAACACTGTCTCCCGACTTTGTCGCTGTAACATCACATCTGCGATACTCTTCGGGACTATGCAGTTACGCCTGCTGATCGAACATGCTATACTGCACGACGCACCGCGTAGCGTGTGCCCATGGGCTGATGTTTATCATTATGTCTCGCCTCTCATAGCGAAGACATATGCAATCACCTTTGTAGAGCTGCTCAGCTATGTCCAGGACATTCCGTACCGGTAACATCCGAACATCATCTTGACAGCGTACAGCATCAACGTGGAGTTCCAAGTAGCGTCGAAGGGGAATTGAGATAGCCTGTAGATCAAATCCAGTCTAGTAGCAGTTAATTTGCTTGCATGCGGAAACTGCCTGGTAGATGAGATCAAACCCCACCATATCTGTGATCGTCTTGGGTTGAGCCGAAGTACGCTCCCTAGTAACGTGGTAGCAATCTCTGCGTTGATACTTGCCTGTAATTCAGTTGAGACGCACTTGCATGACCGGAGCTGTAGAACAAGAGTGATGATATGTTCGTGATGGGTTGATTTTGCCAAGTCTATACAGCCATCTCAGTCAGAGATCTTGATTGATCCTCCTCCTCTGCGGCTATTATACACTGCCTCTGATTGCACTCGTATGCCCAAAGACCGCTCCCCATATCGCGAAGTATCCGACCTAGTGGTTCGGCGCCTGGTTCTTGAGGGCTGGGTTTCGTGGGTCGTTCTTGTACTCGTCGGCTGTGCTGATCAGCTTGCGAACATGGATCAAGCTGAATGCTTTGAGCTCTGGGATGGGAGTTACGTACACTGGGCCATGGCGTTGGCTGCAGAGTTGACACCGTAGAGGATGACGAGGCCTGTTGGCTCTTGTTAATCCTGTCTTGCACAGCGAGCCCTCGGCTCCCGAAGCATTCCATCTCCTTCCGATCCATCAATTGTGCTTCTCCAAGTATTCCCTGCCCCAATCAAAGTCGCGCGACGTACCGGAGACGTAGAAAGGCCACATGGGCTTGGCTGTCGTACCTCGTTAGCAATCTTTTCAAGCTCAAGTTTTCACTGTCTGTGTATGCAGGGTGTCATACCAATTTGCGCCGGGAACTTCCTTCCGAGAAGAGGCATTGTGACGTGTGTTGGAGGGGCAATGGACTGGTTTGACGGTTGCGGCGAGGGATGCGGTGATGAGTTGAGCTCCGCTCGAAGAACAGCCCTGGAGATGCTTGGCGTCTGTGCACGGACCCATCATTCCTTTGTACTAAGAGGAAGCAACATCCCACTTCGCTCGCGTCCAGATTACATTTGCGATTGCTGAACTGTTTACAACCATGGCGCTAGAAGGGTGCGTAGGCTCGCTGCGCAGTAGTATGCAATTGCTCGATTCATCTATCAACATACTGGACCAAGGCGTGAGCGACTTCCCCCGTCTGGCCAAAGTACTGCAAACGACACGGGTGTGTACACGTTAAGACCATGATTTTGCCTTCATCGTGTTGACCCTGGAACAGCACTTCGAGCTCATCTCCGAATCTGACCTCCAAACCGCGCAATCAGCACTCCTCTCAGAAATCCGCCCCGAGGTCGATAACCTTCTTAAGCGCGTAGAAAACTACCTCGACAAGCTGGAGCGTCGCGAGCAATCCTTGATAGCGAAATGCGATCTGAACGACGGTAGACTTGGACGCGACAACAATGGCAGCTCAGGTCCCAGACCAGCAAGCAGGACCGCACAGCGAAGCGGAGGCAAGACCATCAGCGCGCAACAAGAAATGAGGATGAAGACCTTGAAAGCGAAGAAGGACAGGCTAAGCTATGCCGTAGAGACGCTAGAGTTGCAGGCGAAGCAGAGGGAGCGGCAGTTACGGATGAGCATGGCTGCACCGCAGCAGTTATACGATGATTGATGTTCTGCTACATTTGGGTAAAGGAAGCATCAGTTGGCCCATCAGTGATGGAATGGGCCGCATGAGTTCACAATCTTGGAATAGGCGTTTTGGCAATGAGATACCCCGGAATAGTCCAATACAGACACCATATTATACCCATGTAATCTCAAGGAATGCAACAAGATGCGAATCTTCAGTCAACCTTGGACGCCGGGTGCATAAAGAAGGTCCACCCACAGCAGTTGGAATCAGCACTTTGGGTTGACGCTAACGACATTTACTTTGTTCCACAGTAACAGGCTACAGAATATAGCGCAGTAAGCGCCTTGGACGTGTAGTAAAGCGAAGGAAATAAGCGCTCTCATGTAGTGTTGTGATACCCAGTTCAGATGGTTAAGATATTGCTGATGCGCTAGCGTCGGCTAACCCCGTGACCTGAGGGAGCGCAGAACTCGCAGAACACCGACATTGAACATTCTCCGACCACATCTTCCCCACCACCCCGTCCATCATGAGCTCTCTCCGCATCGCCCGAGCTGCCCTCCGCGCGAGGCCCGCTGCCATTGCCCGCCCTATCCAGCGCAGAGGGTACGCCGAAGTCGCCAATGATAAGATCAAGCTCTCCCTAGCTCTCCCGCATCAGGTACGCCATACCAGCCGTCGCAACATGTGGGGGGGATACCTTAGGTTGCAATTGGATCTGAATTGAGAGGCTAACTGATGGTCAACAGTCTATCTACAAGTCCCAGGATGTGTACGTCGCTCGAGACCCCGGCCGATCCCGCAAAGCGAAAACGCGAATACTGACATGAGATGTTTTACAGCGTCCAGGTCAACCTCCCCGCGGAAACCGGTGACATGGGTGTTCTGGCCAACCACGTTGCCTCCATCGAGCAGCTGAAGCCCGGCCTAGTCGAGATCATCGAGGAGCAGGGTGGCAGCAAGCAATTCTTCCTGTCTGGTGGATTCGCTGTTGTGCAGCCCAACTCCGTCCTCAGCATCAACGCCGTCGAGGGCTACCCATTGGAGGACTTCAGCGCCGAGGTATGAACGGACGCACGGAAATGGGAAATAACGACTGACAAGGAGATAGGCTGTCAGGAACCAGATCGGCGAGGCACAGAAGATTGCCAGCGGAAACGGCAGTGAGGCTGACATTGCTGAGGCCAAGATCGAGCTCGAGGTATGGACCGTAAACACATCTTAGCAAGAAGCGCTGACAAGACCTAGGTCCTCGAGAGCCTGCAGGCTGCATTGAAGTAAATGTGTAAATAGCGTTCCTTGAGTACGACATGCGCGGTATGTATAGTAGCAAGTACAGAGCATGCGTGCTTTCCGTGGTCAAAGAATAGAAGGAGCTCCCCGATGTGATTAAAATATTCCAAACATATTGTAGTCTCGCTCTTCTTGACCACAATCTTCTGCAATCTGGACCAACGGTACCTGAAACCACCAGCAATCCTACGAGCTACACCACTTTTATTGTTATCCTTCTATCGGTTTGTCTTCTTCTGCATCCTGTTTTACTTCGTTACAGCTTGTCTTACTGCATCATAGCGATCTTAGTTTTCCTTACATACAACCAACAGTCAACACGTGTCTAAAACATCACCCTTCCCACGTCTGCAAGGCATTATCCAATAGTTTAGTGTCTCATGCCCCGAGGCTTCTACCAACCCACGTCAAGTTCTGCGTCCCGAGCTACCAATGCGGGGATACGCGAGCAGAGCAATCAACCATCAAACATAAGAACTAGACAGGGTCGATTCGAAGCTCCTGCCAAGATACCGGGAGCTGGAGAGGCGAAGCAACCCTACCCGACGGCATCCAGACGCAAGTCTAGTAGCCCCTCAGCTTTGCCCCTTCCACAAGCATCGAGCGAACCTCGACTGCCTCCTTCCGGACGCAAATCGCTTGCCTATTTGCAAGGCAGGAATCCATATGGCCGAGTCTTGGACAGAATCCAACATCCGCACCGGGAGCCCGAGGCAGTGACGACAGCAGCTGTATCACCTTCCCAAGCTGGCTCCAATATCGGTTCACAGCCACTTCCGGTGGGTGTCGCAGACTTGAAAATACAATCTCTGGCTCAAGAGTCGGGTCGACGCGACACCCAGACAACATCCCCGCCATCGAGACAGCCACAGGTTCCCAAGTCAGTTCGCTCTGCCAAGAACTTCTTCGAGACAGAAGCCTTTCAACGTCCGTCGGCGTCCCATCCCCCACCTTCAGTCCCTGGTGCCAGTACCGCGAGGGCGCTCGCACCCCAAACCTACCCCTCTAGTTCCTCTCTCGAATCTCCTGCCCGTGCTCCAAACCCGAAGCTGTCTTCTACTCCTGACGAGCAAGCCCCCAATACTGGGCTGCTGTTATCTTCTCTCACGGAATTTTACGATACTCGCGAATCTGTGCAGTCTATGATTTCCTACAAACAAGGCAAAGCCGATGAGTGTGCTCTCATCATCACGACACAGAAAGCAACGCCCCCGGCAGAACCATCTGATCAGGGAGAGGAGCAGTACTTTTCCGATATAGAGCGAGAACCCACTGGTCGTCGGAAGTCAACCAACATCTTCGCAGGCAAATCCGGCGGTACAGGGCTTCCAAGTCTTGGTCAACAGGCCAAACAGGACAGCTTTGCAAGCGATAATCTCTCCAAGAGGCCGCTTCCCGACACTGGCGGGGTCAACCCAACTGGTCACAGAGGTCCCTCTGACGAGATTGTGAGGTGTCTCGCTACCCGCAGTTCAATACCAGCTGCTGAGACCAGGCAAGCCAACAGTTCGAACCCTCCGTCGCAACAAGAAGGTAGACGTGCGAAGTCTGGTCGCGATCTTCGAAGGACTTTCGAGGAAGACAACGGGATTTCCCCTAAACGGCTCAGGCGCAGTGGATTACACACTGCTTCTTTGACGGAGAGTGGTAGTTCACCAAAGGAACCCGTCGATCGTGTCGCTCAGTGGACTCGGAGTACAAATGTTGGAAATCCTCACAATCAGTTTGGGAAGTCTATTGGTGTGCGTAGACGAGCCGATGAGATCGTGGCAAGGAATCTTGGCCACGACGGTGCAAGCGACATGACTGTCTCTCGACATAGCTGTATCTCAGGTTCGATTCCAACTGCTAATATCGGTGTCGAAGAGCAGTATGGCGAGACTAAAGTGCCGGACGATGTTGACAATCGCCAAGGGTACGGGCGTCGCGTCACACAAGATTTTGGCTTCCCAGGCGCACAGATCAAGTCGCATGGCATCAACAAGACAAGCCGACCATTACGAGACCCTGGCAATTGGACCAAGCGAGCGTGTGGGCACTTCTCATACATGGGCAAAACCGAGCACCGCGAGCATGCACAAGAGAAAATATGTCGGCAATGTTCGACCCGAGTACCAGTGCTTGAAGAGCTACCGTCTACGAAGCGGCGGACACACAAACGAGCTTCATCAGAATCATCGACCTCCACAACCCCTTCATCGAAAATCTCCACAGATGACTGTTGCCGCTGGCAGAGGCGTCGTTGGTGTCACTCTGAAAGCCTGTCGCATGACAGATGCGGAGATGAATTTGCTGAGGAGTTGGGTCATATCATCGACAATATTCTAGAAGAGCATGCAAACACACTCCAGAATGTCATCAACAACATCAAGAACACTCAACCCAGTCTCGACCGGCTTCGAAGGGTGTCTGGAGACCTTGTTTGGCGATGCAATACCAATGAACATAACAGAAATCGCTGCCGGACATCCTGCCGTTCAGCACAAGAATCCTGTCGACGTGACGATGATTGCCTTCCACCTTACCCATATCTCCCACCCAAAGCGGCAGAGAAACTCAATGTTGGGGCTACAGGCCAAGTTAAGCCGAACCTTAACGATCCTGAATCGAGCCTGCGTGAGGAAGTGCATTCCATACCCGACCTTGTCGACCTTGTCAAATCTGCAGCCGACGATCTCGGCTTCGATCTTGACCGAAGGCCCACCGCGACCGACGATGACATGTTCCACAACGCCCCTTACGAGACCACACCTATGGGTTCTGTCTCACATCACACGGATTTCTCCTTCGGGACAGCAGAAGACAGGGCTACGGAGGACGAGCCGCTTACAGAGGAGAGCTGGCTACAGCAAACATGTCGACACTTGACCAAACTTTCGGAGGCCCGGGAGCAGCTTATGGACGAACTGGATTCCATTGCTGGGTATCTCGACGTTGAACTTCGAGAACAACCAGAGGTTAAGTCGGTGACTGATTCGGATGCACCACATCCACACCGCGTACTCAGCAAAGCTCCTACAGGTCTCTCACGTACATCCACATTACAGAGAGACACTCTTGTCGACTCAGTACAGCGTATGCTCAGCAAAACGCCTACTGGCATCTCACGCAGCTCTACATGGCATGCAGAAGACGAGGAGGCCGTCGAAGACCCCGACGTCGAGCCAGTGCAGCGTGTATCGATCATGTCTCCTCCTGCTATCTTGCAGGTCTCTACATGGATCAGGGACGTTTCTGTCGACGCAACGCGACGTGTACTCAGCAAGCCTCCTACTGGCCTCCTGCACAATAATACCTGGCATAGCATTGGGGACGATCCAGCAGACAATTCTTTTGTCGAGCCCGTACAACGTGCACTCAGTAAGGCTCTTACTGGTCTCTCGCGCAACTCTACATGGCAAAAGAATGTTGATGCACCGGTAGACGAAGTCGCTATTGAAAGTGTAGAGCGTGTACTCAGCAAGGTCCCCTCTGGCTTCTCACGCGGATCCACATCGCATGGTAACAAGACTGTCGACGTCGGAGACCTCGGGGCTGACGTTTCGGATCACCAGAAGTACGATCCGGTTACCGCAATGGTGCAGCGTGTTCTCAGTAAAGCATCCACTGGTGTCTCAACCAAGCCAACCTGGCCGAGTTCCACGACCGTCAACACCGCCGAAGATGAAATCCAGAGCGTCGTCGATAATAGCGTTGACGAGCTTCGGCTTAGTCGCGCACTCACTCGGATCCTTAGCCAACCGAAAAAACCTTCATCTGCCGGTCAAGAGCCGTACAAGGTTGAAGACGTTTCGCCTGAAGAGATCTAGGAGGTGCTTCGAGTGGCGGGAGACGAGCTTCCAGCTGCTGTTGCTTCGATCACTGCCGTCCTGCAGACATTGCCAGCTGCTGAACATGCGTCCACTGATGAGGCCGGTGACGCTATGGCGCCCGACCAGCATGTTGAGCTGGCATATGAAGCGCAGGATAACACGCAGTATGATACGATGGATGATCTTCAAATCGAGGCGCAACTTCGAAGTCAGGTGAATCAAGGATGCAGCGAAGTCACGCCTGATACTTACAGCGACCACTACATGATATCACCGGTCACCGAAGAAGAACCTCGGTTCCAGGCTCCTGTGCAGCGAATTCGCCAGACAAGTACAGCGCCACCTATTGGAAAACGACAAGAATCGTTCATGCCTGGCTCAATAGCTGTCTCGATACCTTCCAGTTATTCTTCTGTAGCGGAAGGTTTACTCGTATCTTCCGTCTCATCACGCACGGCTTCGTTCTCCCCTACGCTTGGTACTCGCCGGACAGGTACCATGTCACCATCTCAGTTACCACAGGGACCTTCAAACCCACTATCTGTCGCTGATAACGCATCTGAACAACCCATTCTCTTGAGACTAGCTTCACGCCAGTCAACGCTTGCAAGTCGCCGTACCAGTACAGCAACAGCCAGGATCCAGCGACAGGACTCTTTTAGGCCCACTTCACCACCTAGTGCGGATGATTTAAAAGCACAATCTGTGACTTCGCGTGCGACTTTCCGCCAGCCTACACTCGAGACTAGCCGCACAAGCATTGCAAAAGCCAACAACAAGCGACAGGACTCTATCAGGCCCTCTTCTCCATCTGCTCTGTATGACTTGGAAGCACAAGCACTCATCTCGCGTGCGTCTACACAACAGGGCACACTAGGGATGCGTCGAATAAGTACTGCAACGGGTAACGATCAGCGGCAATACTTTGCCAGGCCCACCTCACCACTTGCTATGGACAATCTGGAAGAACAGCCCGTCTTCTCGCGTGTAGCCTCTCGGCAGGGTATGCTAAGGGTTCGTCGAGCAAGTACGATGTCACCGACTATCCAACGGCAAGAGTCGATGTCAGCCACCTCGTTACCTGTGGCAGAGACCTCGCTTGAGCAACCGGCCCTCTTGCGTGTGGCTTCTCGTCAACCTACGTTACGCGTCCATCGAACAGATACGACATCACTGACTGCCTGGCGATTGGATCCCGTTATACCTACGTCGTCACCTGTTGTGGACGAATCGCTCAGGCAGCCAGTTCTCCTACGTGCAGCATCATGTCAGCCTACGCAAAGGGTTGCACGTCCAAGCACAGTGATACCGGCTCCTCAGTGGCAACCTTGGACTATACGCACCCCCTTCACCCGCGGCAGAGACCTCACTTAGGAAGCCAGTCATCTTCCGTGTGGCATCGCGACAGCCTACGCAGGGGCCCCGTCAGACAGGCACGATACCATCAGTTGTGCAGCGGAACGACTACCCAGGGCTCGAAAGTTCTCCCGTCATGTCTCTTGCCGCGGATGATGTATATGATCAGATGTTTCCACCTCTTGACATACGCGAGTCTACGGTGGAGGTTCGTCAAACGAGCTCAGTACCAACAGCTGCTCAGCCAAATGACTCTCCAAGCCTCGGAATCTCTTCAGCTCTATCTCTTGCTACAGACGATGGGTTTGATCAGCTATTTGCATACTCTGATACGCGTCAGCTTGTGCTCGAAGTTCGTCGGGCAGGCACTGCTCCGACAAGTGAGCTTGCCATATCTCCCGATCTGTCGCCTGCTGGATAGGATACGCTTGCACAGCCCATGTCATCTCGCCCGGCTTCACGTCAACCAACGCGTAAGGTAACTATCCGTGAGGCCGAAATTTATCGCGCGCCCCCATCGGACACAGAGGACGTCCTCGAGTCGGTGACCTTGTCGCGTTCTATCTCATCCCAGCCTACACATATGGCGAGCATTCTTGCTATATCTGAAATTCATATAGATCCGCCGAGAGAAGCAGACGATACCTCATTGGGGCCTTCAGTAGACGCAGAAGTTACACAGCGCTCTTTCGAACGGCAAAAGATCATTCAGAGGGAAACGATGCCTAATGAGCGGCTCACCATAGCTGACAGAACATTGTCTTCCAGTCTTCCGCTTCGTACTCGTACTGGGTCTCTGATTCACCGAAGTCCCAAGCAAGATGTTGAAGAGCCGCTTGACGAATATACCGAACTCGAGAGCCAGGAGCTTGCCGCATCAACTCACACTCTTGGCCGCGAAGAGGACGCTGATCAGGTTGGGAGATCGCCCACGACCAACTTCGAGGCTGACCCAGAACCCTTCGCGCTCCACATGTATCAGCGAACGGCTGAGGAGCCATCCGAAGAAGAGCTTGAGCCCGAGAGCCAAAGTGCTACATCAATCGGTGCCAATAGCCTTGAAGAAGCGGCTGGTCAATTCGAACGAGCACTCACTACTCATGTTCTATCGAATCCGGACTCTTTCGCGCTCCGCGTGTATCAGCGGATCGCTGACGAGCCACTTGGAGAAGAACCTGAGCCCAACGCTATTGCGCCGACCAACTACAATGACATTGAGGAAATAAGTAGTCAAATCGAGAGAGCACCGACTACTCAAGTATCTTTGGTAATGGAGCCCTTGGAACATGGTGCGGCTCGAAGCCCGGCCGGCACGACCGCTCCAGTTGAGAGACGTGTCACACAGACTTCACCCGGGCATTCAGCGAACATACCATGGGTTGTAACAATAACTCGCGACGTAGAGCGCAAACAAAACAGTGCTGCTCCTGACCAACTCGATAGAGTACTTACTATGCAACTCTCTCCAGAACTGGAGCCTTTGGTATATACCGACCCTCAAGGCCTGCTGTCTAAGACTGCCCATCTCGAAAAAGTGAAGACACAGGCTCCATCTGAATTTTCAGTCAATGTATCACGGGTGTCTACAGTGGCTCTGGAATTGAACCGAAGACGAAGCAGCGCTGCTCCAGGGTTCACACCATCTGCCCGAGGATCAGAGCCTCCAGTGCACTCTAGCGACAAAGCTGTGCTCGATGAGACCCCGCAGATGAAGAGAACGTTGAAAGTAGCGCCCACAGAACCTCGTACAGCCGATCGTCGACGCAGCAGTGCTGCTCCTGCAGTCACAGCGCCTCCTCCAAAGACCATCGGTGAGGGTATATAAGTCGGAGCGCAAAGTAAAAGCCCGACGAAGAAGCCGAAACAAGGCGCGAACTATCCACCTGAGCTGCAATATCCACCAGCGCCTGCATATCCTCTACGGAGGACTCCCTTATGGACGAAGCCGGACACTCGGACTCCATCACCAAAGGTGAAAAGTGAGAGTCCGCCCAAGAAAGGAGGATGGCTCATTTTTGGGGCTAAGCCAGAAGAAGAGCTTCCTGAGTTAGAGGAAAGCAAATTCCGTCAATCAAGCCAGCCTGCCCTAGACCCGTCAGAAGTGCAGCCATTTCGGAGCGCGGCACCTGGGTCGCCAGAAGCCCCAGGGGGAACGCAAAAAAGGCAAAACAGCTATCCGAGCCAAACCAGACAGGCTACCTATCGTCAAGACTCCAGTGCCCCTCATGTCCGAAGGGCCGACACTCGACCAAGGCAAATCTCCGTCTACGCTAGCAAGGGCGACTACTACCCAGTCAGTTCGATGCTTCCAGACCGCATTAACGACGATTCGCAATTCCAGCCTTCACCATCTCGAAGAAACAGTTACTCCATCCCACAGTCAGCCTCAATACCCGAGAACCCGCCTCAGGACGAACCGCCTGCGCAGTATTCCCGTCGCATCTCGTCAGGCCCCTCTCGCCGCCAATCGCAATCTCAAGGAGCTCTTCATACCCAGAAACATGTTGCAGTCAGTTCCAGAGCAGCTACATTTCAAACTAAGCCGAAGACTGAGGACGAGACTCCTCGAGCGAGTCAAGAACCCCTTGAAGAAGACTTCCAGGAACTCGCCCGGAGAGACGTACGCAGGCCGACTGGCATGGGAAGCCCAATCGCAAAAGCAGAAGCAACGACCAAAGAAGGAGCTCAATCGCCAGAGACACGACAGCAATTCTCTCCAGTTCCCCAGAAAGATGGCCCATCAGCCGGAGGAGAGTCAGATCAATCGCCGAGCAGGTTTCTGGGATTGTCTGGTGCTCAAGTGCCAAGGGGACAACAGCAAGAGCAAGGGCAAGAGCAAGAGCCAACAGCACGAACCGTTGAACAAAGTGGTGCCAGGCGGCAGACTAAAGTGGTTCTGGAAGAAGATCTTGCGCCTGCCGACGCCAAGAGTGCACAACATGACGACATCCCCACCTGCCGTTTTATCGATAGCTCAGGCGGGCCCTTCGGCGATGACAATGCCTGGATCAACAGCACGGTCGACCTCTCGCGCTCAAAGAGCATCCCAAGATCATCCACCAGAGATGAATGTGACCGAAGACTATCAGGCGCAAACACAAAAGAAGCGCAAATCGCACGAACAAAGACCCGTCGTACAACCTCAGGACGAGCGCCTGATACCGCAACAGCCTTCCAGTCTGCACAAAAAAATCAACAACCGCCACACGAAGGCCATCGTTGTCGGTCAAGAGGACGAACACGCGACGGAAGTCGTCAGCAGTCAGAGAAAACAGAGCAGCGCCAATCCTCACAGAAGTACCAACGGTCTCCAGAGCACCGACGCGATCGGCGACGATCCCCTCAATATCTGGACAAGCAAGTGTCCGGCGAGGGTCTACCGCTCCTAGAAGGGGTACAGCAGTTTCCCAGAAGCTTTGCCAGACATTCAAGCCAGATCAACAAAGGGAGGCAGCTCAAGATCAACCCCGCGGCGAGAGTCCAGAGGTGCAACCTCGCCTGTCGCGGTACAACCAGTTCGACGGTCATTTACTGCAACTAGAACAGGTACGCCAATCTCCCGAACAGCGTTACCAGGATTTGGAGCAACAAGGAGAGGGGGAGACGCACCTATGTCGCCCACGTCACGAGGTTTGCGTGGTACAATCTCGCCAGTCCCAGCTTACAATAGGGGAAATGCTCCTTCCAGAATACAACCATCGAAAGGTTCATTGGGTACGACCCAGCGCGCAGAACAGATCTCAGAATAACAAACCCAGTCGAGCCCACGAGCAGAACCAAGCGATGTCATACCACCCATGCCGCGCCGGATGACCTCATACGGAATCTATGAGTCCAGCTCTAGTGATCCATATGCTTTACCCAAGAAAGCACCACGAAAAGCAGCTGCCCTAGCGCCTTCAAATGCCAACGCAAGTCCGTCACCAGCGGCGCAGTAGACTGATCCCAAACCTCCGGCACTCACTCGAAGAGACTCACTAAAGCCACGGCGCAGTCTCACGTCAAGGATATCAGAACTTTTCGGGCGAGAGAAGGTCGCTGGCCCCGGAAATGGAAGCCAACAGAAGCAACAGCAACTACCCGCACCGACGACTAAACCATTAGGTGCCACGAGGACCGGCTTAGCGCCTGCATCAGATGCAGCTGCAAAGGGATCTGAGATGGATACAGCAGTGAAGTCGTCGAGGCACAGCAATTACAGCCAGTCAAGATTCTGGCAAAAGCTGCGCAGGGAAGTGGGATTACGAATCCCCTTAGGGGACGCTGGGGGTGAGGATGGGGAAGATGATTGACTTGAAGTGTGAGAATGAGTGGTTAGTGCGAGAATGAGGAGGATGTCGATGCCCTATGATAGGTTTTGGTGCGTGGGAAGAGACAGCTCGTGAACCTAAGTATTGATATGAACTCCAACTCCCTAATCAGCTTGTATCACCTCCTCGAAACAATGATACTACGACAAGTTGCGTCTCAATCGCGACCAATGGTTCAGCTCCACTCGCGGATATTTGGTACTCTTCACACGAGGTTAAAAGACCTGTATGCCTCTATTAAAAGGGCCTGATTCCAAGTCCCGAGTTCCGTCTTAACCACGTCATTTACATCTTGACATCCCTTTAGTTCCGCGCTATCCCGCACTAAGAACCTCGCTAACCGCATTATCCGATGAATAAAGGTTGCGAAGGAGATGAAGCATCGTCTACGGAAAGACTAACTTGTCGGTGGACTGTGACGTCTGCGTCATACAAGGCAGTCGTCATGGGAAGTGCCAGTACATACAGTGCAGACCTGAGCTCGATTCAGTAACAAGTCGCATGATCAATTGCTCGAATTCTTCAAGACCTGACCTGCAGCCAGCCAAGTTATCGTTTCCGTCCCCGCGTCACCCTCTCTGCCAATATAAATAATTGTAACCATGACGAAATCACCATTATACGTATTTATCGCCTTCTTCAGCGTTCTAGCTGCGGCGCAAGAAGTCCCACCAGGTGTCTCGAGCCTCGGTGGCATCAATCCCACAGTTTACTCTTCAGCCGCATCCGTCCTATCTGCGTCTACGGCATCTGATGCATCGGCTGAAGCGACCAGCACGGGCGCAGCGAATGCTCACGGTAAGTGATTCTGGCACCCGGTCTGTTCGTGGTTTAGGGATTTCGAAAGGGAAGTACCATAGACTAGAAAGCTGACATATTGCAGAAGTGAAATATGCTGCCTTATTCGGAGTCGGCGGTGCGGTCTTGAACGCGTTTATGTAAGATCAGGGTTGAACACGATGGGGATAAGAGTGTTGGAGGATGTCGCACTCTCCACACCAACGACACTACTGTTTACTCTACAAGGTACGTAGAGAGCAGAACATAAATGTTACATTACAAGAATCCCACCGGAAAAGAAAAGAAAAGACCACTTTACCCCATCTTCCCGATTCCAAAAACCCGAGCCCGCAGCCCGTAAGAAAAAGCAACTTTCCAGCCTCCCACGCGCACCAGCTTCCGCGGACCGACCCCTAGAACGTCATCACTTTTATCACTACCCCGATCTACACCCGCGCCACCATCCACATTCCTCGACGCGCGCTTGGATCTCCACACACTCCCGAGCCACAGAACAGCCCTGCATCAAAGCATGTGCCTTCATATTCGCACCTCTATGGTTCCTCTCAACCCACTGCCGTGACATGTCGCTGCGATTAGACCGTCGTCCAAGATCGATTATACTCTTGGAAGGGTGATTGTGGCTTGTATTCCTGACGATTTAGGACAGGAGGCTGAGGCCATGCAGATGGGTTGTACTGCTTGAGTGGTTTCGTGTGTGGAACGAGGGCGTCATGGACATGGTTTTTGGACTGTACTTGATAGCGACGGGGATAGAATGTGATGGGATGAGTAATGCAATAGTATCGATCTGGATGGATGCAAAAGACGCATGCATGTACAAGTAGGCGATGGTATATTTTATACTCAGTTCCAACTCCAATTTCTCACAAGACGTACACCGCATACAAAGACTATTTATTCTAAGCCTGTCCAACCTCACCTTCTACCACCCAAACGATCCAGAACACCGTCCACAATGCGCTCCTTCATCCTTCTCAGTCTCCTCCTCTCTCTCTTCACCACCTTTATCCTTGCTCAGGACCAAGCCATCTCCGACGCTGAGACAACCGCTTCAGGCAACACACTAAACACTTCGACCCAAGCACCTGCAGAAGCTACCTCGGCTGCTCAATCAGTCGCGTCGTCAATTGCATCAGAGGTCTTTTCCTCGGCGTTGTCGTCTGCTGCGAGTAGCATTTCTGAGAGAGTGGCTGAGAGTCCGAGTGCGACTGCCACGGAGGGTGCTGCGGCGCCTACGAAAGGTACGTTTCTGTTGATTAAGAGGATTGATAGTCTGGGAATACATGCTAATATGCCTGAGTAGATGCGCAGTTTGCTGCTCTGGTTGGGGGGTTGGCTGTCGCTGCTGGGTGGTTTGTTTGAGAAAGTGGAGAGGGATAAGAGAGAGGTCTGAAGCGAGACATCATCACTAGCAACATATAAAAAGGGATGATCAGTCTGGAATCAACCACAAGTGCATGTTGTGTCTGTTTCTTACGCACAGTATCGTATCATCACATCGACATCAAACATCCATCACTATGATACGCCACGTTCTTGAAATCAGGAAAGCAACAAAATTGCCATTCATAACCCATGGTCTAAACCTTGTGTCTAGGTAACCCATCGTCTATACTGTGCCGCTCAAGACCCGGCAACATTAAGCCAGGTCGATCCAATACCCATCAAATCATAATCGTTAAAATCTTTCACTCAATCCAACAATGCTCCCAAACGCTTTTTTTCATGCCTACAATTGTGTCAGAAGACCCTGGCTCTCCAAGAGCAGGACAATCTGGTGGACAGCTGTCCTGACGTTGGTGGTCGACAGGTCGACAGTCAGGTCAGCGTTGGCGGGCACCTCGTATGGGTCGTCGACACCAGTGAAACCCTTGATCTCACCGGCGCGCGCCTTGGCGTATACACCCCGCTTGTCGGTCTTCTCCGCATGCTCGAGCGGGGTAGAAACGTGGATCAGGTAGAAGGATCCGTATCGCTCTACAGTCTGGCGGGCTGCCTTTCTTGAGTCCTCGAAAGGAGCAATGGGCGCAACGATAGCTGCTGCACCGGCCTTGGTGAGCTCGGCGGCTACAAAGGAGATGCGGGCAATGTTCTTGTCACGGTCGGATCGGCTGAAGCCCAACTCGCTGGAGAGCTCACTGCGGATGGTGTCACCGAGAAGGAGCGAGACGGAGCGGCCACCCTGCTGGTTTAGGGTGACATTGAGAGCGCGTGCGATGGCGTCCTTGCCGGAGTTCTGGTAACCTGTCAGGAAGACAGTGAAACCCTGTTGGCTGCGAGGAGGGTGGGATTCGCGAAGGACGCGAACGACTTCAGGGTAGGAGAACCATTCGGGAATCTCCTGGCCGGTTCGGAGGCGCTTGCGGAGCTCTGTTCACAATGTTAGTTCTCAACATACAAGTGCTAGGAATATCAATTGACGTACCAGTTCCGGAGATATCGAGGGTCTTGATGCCCTGCTCGACCTCGTTCTTGGGCTTGTACTCGTCCGAGTCGGGAAGGTAGGTCATCTGGAGGAAGGGAACAACCTCGATGCCGAGCTCGTCCCTGTACTTCTCGACCGCGTCCTGGGCGTCGTATGGACCGTAGAAGTCGACACCCTTGGAGTTCTTGCCTGGGCCAGCGTGGTCACGGCCGACAATGAAGTGGGTCGCACCATGGTTCTTGCGGATGATGGCGTGCCAGATGGCCTCACGGGGACCAGCCATGCGCATAGCCAAAGGCAGAAGAGCCAGGACGGCCATGCCGTTGGGGTAGCGGGGCATCAGCGCCTGGTAGACACGGACACGGGTGAAGTGGTCAATGTCACCGGGCTTGGTCAGGCCAACAACGGGGTGGATGAGAACGTTGGCCTGGCGAGCGCGGGCAGCGCGGACGGTCAGCTCACGGTGAGCGCGGTGCATGGGGTTCCTCGTCTGGAAAGCGACGACCTTGGACCAGCCAAGCTTGTCGAAGTGCAGACGCAGTTCCGCGGGCGTGTATCGGAGGCCGACATAGTCGTAGTGCTCCAGGCGGTCGATGGCCTCGAGCTTGCCGCCAACGTAGTACTCCTTGACCGTCTCGTAGAGGTACTTGATGGCGGGGTGTGCTACGTCGTTGTCCTTGTCGAAGACCTCCCGGGCCTCCTTCTCCTTGTCCGGCTGGTAGACATCGTCGACGGTGATGATGGCGAGGTTGCGGTCGTCGCGGAAGTCGCGCAGAGCGATGCGGGCGCCTTGCTTGACGCCAACCTCATCGATGGTCTGTTTCGAGATGTCGAGTGTGATGGGAATGGAGAAAAGGTTGCCGTCAGCGAGGCGGTTGTCGGAAACTACGCCGTCGTAGTCCTTCTGGTTCATGAAACCTGCATCATGCTGTCAGGGGTCGTGTTGCTGCAAACATCGCAAACACGCGGGGCGCCTTCGCTGCCCCTCGCCTAGCGCTGCGGGATGACGACTTACCCTCCAGAGGTGAAAAACCACCGTTCAGGATGAGCTCCAAGTCGCAGAGCTGCCTCTCGGACAGAACAATGGCCGGAAGCTTCTCAGCCTCTTCGAATAGCTCCTTGCGTCGGGGCGCATCGCGTGCGATCAGGTCCTTCAGGACGCCGCCTGTTATCGCCTCCGTCAGCATTCGTGACCAATTTCAGCGACTTCGCTGATCAACTCACCATGGGGTGCGTTCGCCATGTCTAAAGAATATGCAAGGAATATAGAATTCGGGGATGGATGTGGTCAGATAGTTCGGCGAAGACTTGATGTCGTTCCTGACTATACAAGACTGGCTTCGCGAGGGAGGTTTTGGGTCACTCAGGGAGAAAGATGCGCGACTAAGGACTACAAGGCGGGACGGGTGGAAAGGGCTTTTTATTCCCCGGCTTCTGCGGACACTTCAGGCTCCATGTCCCCGATTGTTGACCATAGGCTTCTCTGGATTTTCTCTGCTTGCAGAGACTAGGGCACAAAGCGGGTTGTTGTATGGGTCGGCAGATCTTGGAAGCGATTGCGCAATTGCACGCGATAGTTAGAGCCTGTCTCACCCGGCTTTTCGTTGGGCGGCGCGACCACAGTGACGTGAGCGGAGCGGAGAAGGAGCACCATGTCCTGCAGTTTGTGTTGCGCTTTAGCGATTTTCAGGAACACCTCACGTATATGACAGGTCTAGCGCAATGCTGGAAATTCGTTTGATTCATGCGCGAGCTTCATTGGCTCCTACGTCGGTGGTATCTCGGCCCCGTATATACATAATCGGATGCGACTGCCGCAAACCCCATTCTTTCGTGACCCAAACCCCATGCTATGCCATGTCCCATAAATAACCCAAACGCCGATGCTAATGCGATACAACAAGTAGGAATCAAGATCTTCCACACCTTCCTAAACGTTCAAAGAGACTTGTTGCAGCTTGTTGGCTAGGTCCTCGTTCTGCTGCTTCATAGCTTGCTCTTGAAGGAACTGAGCGTATCGTGACTTGGGGTTGTGGATGCCGCACTCTGACTTGTTCTTGCCCTTCCAGCGTCCTGATCGCTCGTCCTCTCCCGCAGCTACTGGCTGTGTAGAGTGCCAGTCACCAACACTCTTGTAACCCCTGTTGAGAAGGTCGTTGTATGGGACGTCGTTGGCGTCGACGTATTCCTTGACCTGGGCGAAGTTCCAGTTGGCGAGAGGGTTGATCTTGATGAGGCCGGCCTCGTCGACCTCGACAATGTCTAGGTCTCCACGCTTCCCACCTTGGCTACGTCGGCGACCAGTCAAGACAGCCTTGACCTGAAGTTCAGAATAGGCACGCTCGGCAGGCTCCACTTTGGCAACGTAGTCGTACAGTTCGTCGTTGGTATCCCACAGCTTGTCACCGTGCTTGGCAGTAAAGTCGTTGACGTTGTCGCAGCCAGCAGGCTTGTAGACGTGTACCGGTGTTCCGTATCGCCTCCTTACCCGGTCAACAAGGGCATAGGTTTCGTCGAAGTGGTAGAGCGTGTCTAGGAAGATCAAGTCGATGTTGTGCTTCAAAGGTCCGTCGAGTTTTGAAAGCATGTCCACTGTGACCAGGCCAGTAAGACCAAAGGCGGTGGTCTGGAATAATCCAGGCAGAGATGTGATGCACCATCGTAGGATGTCTACTCTAAGTTAATTTGAGAAACCTTACATGAGTAAAGTACAATCACATACCTTGCGGCTCGAGCTTCTGGAGCTGGGCGTTGATAAACTTCAAATGAGGCTTCGTAAAGTAAACCTCAGGTAGGCTCTCCTGACTGGATTCGGCTGAAGCATAGCCAGACTCCTCGCGGAGTGTAGGCTGCTTGTAGGAGTCGACCTTTGCGAACAATGGTGACGACATCTTCAAGATCGTGTGGCGGAAGTTTGGGGTATGACAGGCACGTGCGGAGAAGCCAGAAGCAGAATGTCTTTGTGGGTTGGTGTCTAAATGGAGGCTTCCCAGAAGAAACTACTATTATCAATCGTTTAGATCTGGAGGTGGGAAGAGGGAGAGCGACCACGGCCTGGAGTATATATTGGGCGCCGCCATCGGGATCGCTTTGTAACCATCTCCGCAAGGTGCGATAGCTGGGGGTGAAGACGTGCGATCACGCAATTCGCGCTAGTACATGGTGGAGCAAAACTCTTCCTGCCAGCCTTATGTAAGGCAGTCTCGCCAATCATTTGGCGGCAGTAGACGTTTTGCTACTTCTGAGGCTCGGACGACGTCTATGCTCATGCACTCCGCGGCTGTGCGTTGGTTGGAAATCGCCCGATGCTTTGAGGTTTTGTCATCAACGTCATCCCGTGGACGATTGCCGAACAATGCGAATGGCTGAAGTCATGGTGATCTGGCTCTGGCTGACGGACTAAACAGACGGAGGGACTGCCTAATGACGGGCTGCGAAATGCTGTATTGTCTCATCTTGACTTTCTCTTGATGTTTGCCTTTGCTGACAACATGGAGTTGGTGGAGTGCCCCGGCCCATCGGCAAGCGCCGGGCGATCGCGTCCGGGGCCTCGCTCAGAAGACTTGTAACACGCATCAGGATTGTCTGTAAAGCCATCGGTTAGTGTGAGTCGTTGTGGAACGTCAGGGATATTTACCTATAGCTGTCCATACTTGAGACTGAACAAATTTTCTAGCCTCCTGCACGACTCGGTGCACCTTATACTCATGGGGCGCGAGATCCGTCGTCCAGATTTCCCTATCTGCAACAAGCATGTGCCTTTTTGTAGGTAACAATGGGGCGCAATTCTTCTTTGAGCGTTTCGTAATAGTCTTATGGTGTGTTGTCAGTGCTGTTGTTGTCGTGAATAGTGGCGGATGTCACGGCGGGGTCGTAGCTCTTAACAGAGGTTGCCTGTCACACTAAATCGCCCCGCGGCTAACCGGCATGGTCTACAACTCCATATCAATTGGATGGAGTTTATTACCGCCCTCAGCGAATCGTTCTTGGTCTTTGCGCAACACCATGTCCTAATTCAAGGGTCTACTCCCATGGATGCGCGAAGACTGAGAATGTACGCTAAAACCATGCAATTGATAGCTGCAATGATGTACTGGTGAGCTTCAACACTGTCGCGTAACTTCGGCACAGCTGGGGCAGTATCCATCAACACCACAACCACGTTTATTGGAACACAAAAGGTCACTTTTCCCTTATCAAGGTAGATTACAGAGACTGGGAACACCATTATCAATCTACTCTTCCATAGCATCCAACACGGCAATCTTCCCTCTCCACAACTCCTTCGCATTCCCCCAAAACACCTTCTCCTTCTCCTCAAACCTCAACTCTCCTGCCCAAGCCAACCCATCGATATTAGCATCCACATCCCAAAACCCGATGCCATACGGATAATCCGTCCCAAACACCATCTGACTAATTGGAATACCCATTCCTTCCGTTAGCCCTTTGACCTGGTTTGGCCAAACTGGTCCTGCACTATCGTACCAAAAGCGTGTTTTATAGGCTTCCCTTGCTGCAGTCGAGATGTTAGGGAAGCCGAGAAGGAAACGCTCGGAGATATCGGGGAAAGCGCCTGCGCCGTGGGAGACGCGGAAGTGGAGGGACGGGAATTTGAGGAATGTGGATGAGGCTGTCAGACTCGAGATGGCGCGCGCGGTTTCGAAGTAGAATTCTCCGAGCCCGGAGCGTAGGGGTGCTGAGGCATATTGTCAGCTCGCTCTCTCGGTCGTTTGTGAGACCGGGCTTGGGGGGAAACAGAACTCACATGGTCTAGAGTTTATCAGTCGACCATCGTCGAGCTTGATGATGGGTTCCGTCGGATGCACGAAGACCACCTCCCTGCCATCGCTTCCCATCTTTCCGGATCTCTCTTGTAGGAACTCCCACAACGGATCGAAAGTCTCGTCTCCCGGGTACATCCCCTCGTGGTTTGTTAGCACACCCACACCTACTGGCTGTTTCCCCACCATTCCAAACACGCGCTTCAATTCCGCAATCGATTCTTCCACATGTGGTAACGGCATGATGGCCAACCAACTAAATCTCTCTGGATAGATCCTGCAAAGTTCCGCTGTGAAGGAGTTGAGTAAACGAGCAAGCGCAACCGTCTTCTTCTTTCTCAGAACTTCGTCTCTTTCAGTCAAGAAGGCGTTAGCCTGAGGTGTGGAGATGCAGAGTACGGAATGAGCGATGTGGTGTTCACTCATAAATTTGAGGTGGGATGATACGTTCCAAGACGGCGTTGCGCGGCCTGCAGCATTCAATTCGAGGGCTCGGAACCAGTCTGGAATGGGGCTATTGAGATCCGTCAGTATATTACCATATGTATAAGCAGATTGCTTTCTTATTTGGGAATGAGCCTACTGTGTATGCGTATCAACCCTCTTTGAGGTGGAGAAGTCGAATTCCTTTACATTCACCATGCTAGTCGCTAGCGAAGTGATGCTCGCAATAGCTTCTTTGGCAAAGGGCAATACTGTTAGGTCGATACCATCTACGTATGCTTCGTATTGTATCTGCATCCAAAGTTTGTTCTCGTCATGTTGTGTACCGTTCGAGGGCGTTGAGTATGGCTTGCCGTAGGGATACGCCTTCGTCGCGTTAGTATGTCTTGTTCAATGACAGTGCATGTAGCACAAAAGAGGTATTTCTTGACTCCCAAGAACTTACCATTCTTTCGTTAGACGACATTCTGATATGAGGGAAGACGGTGACGATGCTTGCGGCTGTGGTTAAAGTCGAGATGTAGACTGCTCCACAAGTCAGTAAAGATAAAGAAGGGATTCGCATGTTTGACAGCTGTAGCTCACTCACAGCCTCGCAAGTGCGAGTTTTATTATGGTTCACGTATTCTTGGAGATTGAACTAATCGTCGTTGTTGTTGCTGTTGGCCCAGTGAGTTAGCTGCAGGTACTTAGCATGCGCATGTGCGGGGAGCCGCCACTTGCGGAAGTCACACCTGTACCTTGTCACGTTCTACCTGTAAGCTACATGTATTCTAACTGCGCTTATCACTAGATACATTGGTATAGTAGCTTCAATGATATTCTGGGCTTGTTCATGCATGAACAGACGTCACCGAGCGGACGCGCATACCGCCGGAGCTATACACACACGTACATCTAAGAAAAGCACTTCCGTTCTAGAACCTACGTCTAGCTACCGCGCATCTATTCATCATGCAATCTCGGCAGTAGTAACAGCACTTTGATACTTCAAGTCCAACTGCGGCGCCTCCACGCCCTTTCCAGGGATATCACCAAGCCCCGCGGGCTCCACATAGTCTTCTTCCTTGTACCCATTAACCTTCAGCCTCAACTTCCTACTCTCGGCGTAAACTACCCTGCGCATTCGGTTGGTGCTTCCAAGCGGTTGGTGCTCTTTTAATCCATGCCAGCTATTCACCGTGATGCGATCATCCCACCACGTCCTAAACTCAGGTAGCCACGAGTCCTGCGGCGGGAACTCAATGGTAGCGACTTGCTCAAACGGATATTTCTTGGGATCCCATTCGATGCCAATGTCGTCGACGGGCTGTTCGGTGAGGTCCTGCAGGAGTTGTGCGCAGAAGCTGTAGCTTATGGTGTTATTGAGATGGTGTGTGCGGAGGGTTTGCGAGAGGATATTGATGGGGTCTGAGTCTTTGACTTCGGTGTTTTCAAGGTCCTTCTGGAACTTGCTATTGGGGAAGACGCCGTATTTGGCTACGTAAGCTCCGTGGCGGTAAGCTGATTGAGAGTACTCGGGCATAGCAACCATGTGTTGTTTCGGCAGTTGTCCACCGAGGGTTGCTACGTCGGCATCAACGCGTTTGCTCTGCTCGTCTGCAAAGGTAGGCAAGTCGTTCCAGTTTCGCTCCAGTGCGTCTGCAATATCGTAAGTGGTTTGGGGATCACGCAGCTCCAATACTGGGTAGTTGTTGAAGGTCCAATCTTGCGTCTTCTTGTCTTCTCCCCAGAGCTTCTCGCCCTCGATACCAAAGACCTTCATGCCAATGCCGCGTGGTGCTGCTAGGTTGTCCGGCAAGATCTTGGGCGTTAGAGACGAGTACCGCATGATTACATCGTAGGTACCAGGCTTCGCAAACATTCCTTGGGCGAGATGTTTAGGTAGGTTGTCGTGCACGGTGAACTTGCCCATAACGCACTTTCCATGCTATTAGTAAAGGTCATATCGAGGATACTCAAGAAATACTTACACCCTGAGTCTTCAAGTGCGTGCCCCTCAAACAGTGCATATGCTCATTGAAGTTCATCATCTGGAAACGATTGAACTGAGCAGAAACCTCCTTAATCTTCTCTTGCTCATTGTCCGGAATGTTTTCAACACCTGGCGCATCCCATTTGATGTATTCACCAGTAGCCTTCTTGTCTTGTCCACCAGCTTTGACGGTGCCACTCGCTACTTTGCCATTGTGAATGTTTTGAATTCGGTGATAGCCCATGGGGCATGTTTCGATCTTGGTTCCACTCATGCTGATGAATTGTTGGTAGTATGTGTACTCCTTGTTCCGCCGTATGCTGCTACATGGACGGCGGCCTTCTTAAGTCACCAACACAGTCCCCATGATCACCCCGCAACTGCATCTAGCTTCCGCCTCGCCGACAGCTGCTCTTCTTCATGATGCAGTCCGGACGGCATGGTTCGAGAGCATGCGGGGTAGCGCGTCAATGATTCCAGTTCTTCGAGGTGTAGGCGTGCGATGGATGGTCGGAAGCCGCTCCGGAAGACCCTTTCCCGCCTGCGTCGTCGATCTAGTCCGCCGCAACTGACCAATGGTTGAAACTGAATTGAAGATCAGGCCTCGAACGCATCTATCAAGCCCATGATTTGGAAGCGTCCTGAGCTGTCTCGAGCGACTCGAACTACTTCCTGCAAGTCGCTTTCTGGGAACACAAGACACCGGAAGCGCGGACGCTTGCAAGCACGTGCTGTGAAGCGTCCGTTGCTGTGCGTAGCTTTACTTTTTCGCATATCTAGTCAACCTAGCGCGTATACTCGTTGTATAAACAAGAGGAGTCGCAAGGCAAGTAGCGCGTTATCTTTCGCCAGCTACCACATCCTCCTCCCCAGACCCCCAAAGCCCTCCTGCAAAACCTTCCTCCCAGCCAGCTCATTCGCAAACTCTAGTTTCCTTTGCAACCCCCACTCCTCATGCTCATTAACCGCAAAAAGCATACCCGCAATGAAAGTATCCCCAGCACCAATCGTATCCACAACCTCTGCCCCATCCTCCCCATCTGCCTGCCACGCCTCGACATCCGCCCAAACCTCCTCGTCCCCCTTTTCAACCGCCTTGGCACCTCCAGAACCCCATGTGCAACATAGTAAAGCCCCATCTCTCGTCTCATCCCGTCTTGCTTCAAGAAAGCTTCTCGCGTCCACATACCCATTCTTCGCCGCCCACAATTTCGAGTAAAACACTATATCTGCGTACCGCGCCACCTCAGACATACCCGTTCGTTCAGGCTTCTCGCACTCGACGCTAATCCTGAAATGAGGGAATGCTTCGCGGAGGTAGCGGACACAATGCAGTGTGATCTCTGGGACACGGCCTTCGAAATGGAACCACGCTTTCTTCCACGTTTGTCCGTTTTCTGTAGTGAATTCCCGAACTTGTTGTATAAATTCCTCGGCTTGCATTTCGGGGAGCTGGTTGATGCTGACGATTGTTCGTGAACGCTTCTCTTCGCTTTGGATGATGTAGCTTGACGCGGCTTCTTGGTGCTGTTTGCGGAAGAGGCTCACGTCGGATATGTTTACCCCAGGAAGCGATGTAGATATGAATTGAGAAGCCGCAGATTGCTCCTCAGGGAGTACAGCCAGTAGATGCAGATTCGTGGGGCTGAGATGTGGTGCTCCTTCAGGGTCGTGTCGTTGCAGCTGCGATAACACTTCTAGACTGTTTGCCGTGTTTCCTCCTCTTCTTCGCGTGAGAGCTTTGGCGCGTAGTTTCTCATCTTCTATGGGGAAGTGTGGGACTCTGAGTACTCGAACGTTAGTAAGCTTTTGGTTCTTGGGGTTGTTGCAGAGCGTTGATACATACGTCAATATGGTGTCAATGTAGACGGCACCAACGCATACAATATGGTTCTCGGTACCCCCAGACATGTTTCAATGTGTGGATGCGCAAATGATTGTGGTGTTGGCGGCAGGTGGAAAATTGCCAAATATGATAAGTTTGATAATGTGGAGCTGGAGTGTTAGAGGTTACGTCAAGTGTCGCGTGCCATTTCAGCGCGTTGGCGCGCCGTCACATGTCCGACAAACCAAAAACACAATTGTGTTACCAGATGATCGGTCAGCCATGACATTCGTTTTCAAGGAATATGTGCCCATAAGATCAAGTGATATTCCAGAATATTTTACACTAGCACCATCTTACCTCTTGCTATCCAGACCCTGCAGTCCCATAGCCCCTTTGGTAGCATCTGGTTTCTCGGCCTCACCCTTCTCCCTCAGTGCTACCTTTTCTACCTCATCGAAAGCCTTGAGTGCATCGCCATATTGTTCGAAGACACCCTTCCTGTAGCCATCACAGATCTTCTTGACAAAGCCCTCCTCATTCCACCGCGCCTCAAGGAAATCTTCAAACTTCTCTTGTGGAGACGAACGTTGTACGCCCCAGGCAGCTTTGTACGCGGCTCCGAGAGCACAAGCGTTTCCTCCAATCTCAAGCTTGTATACACCGTCAGAGCCACCAAGAACTTGACCGGCAAGTTCGGCGATGGCGGGGTTCACGGCACCACCGCCAACCATGTAGATTCTGCGAGGTTGCGCGGGCAGAGAGCCCTGGGGTTCGACAAGGGACTGAGAGCGCAATCTCAAGGACAGGAACTGGGATTCGAGGATTGAACGGGCGTCGGCTTGGGGAATGGGCCAGGATTTGTCCTCTGTCTTGCCTTGGGCAGCTTCTGGTGCTATGGGCGAGAGTTGACTATCTTTGGAAAGGAATCGCCATGTTCCTGCCTTGACGTTTGGTACAATTTCAGGTCGCGGGAAGAAGAGACCTAGACGCATAGGGTCGGCGGGTTGGGCTTGGCCAAGTGCAGGAGTTGTGAGGGCTGTCTCGTTAAACTTGTCCCAGGATTTGTCGGATGAGCCTGAGGCTTTGTTAATGGCGTCGCGGATGTGCTCGCGTGCTAGACCACCATTCTTGTAGCAAAGCATGAACATGTAGAGACCTGCTGTGGTGGGGTGGTTCATGAAGTGGTATGCTGGGTCGGGCCTATACTGGGGTGTAGACATAAGGAATGTTGTTGAGGTCCCTAGCGAGACGATGGCATCGGACGCGCGTAGAGGAAGGGCTAGGATTGTCGATGGATTGTCACCGGTGAACGCAATGACCTGAGCCGACGATGGGAACCCATAGCGCTTGCTGAAGTATGGTGAGACGGTACCGAAGCTTGAGCCACCATCTTCCGGGACACTTCCAAGCTTCTTCTTGAGGTCCTCGACGCCGTCACTCCCTCCAGCTGCGAGCGCAAGAAGATCCTCATGCCAGCGACCATTCTTGATGTCCCACAGATTGGCTCCGCATACGTCTCCGATATCGATGGGGGCGACTTTACCGAGAAAGACGGAAGCAAGGAAAGAGGATACGAGAGAGATGCGAGCGGTCGCTTTGTAGGCTTCGGGGTACTTGTCGTGGAAGCGAAGGATCTGAGGGCCACTGAAGCGCTTTCATGGTGTTAGCATGGATAAAAACTGGGGGAGTGTTGGCAACTTACGTGATGGGCACTGCTTCCAGTAGCGAGAGCCAGGTTCCTCGGTTCTTGCAGTGTCGCATCAAAAGCTTCGCACTGCTTCTGTGTACTTGCGTCCTGCCAGTTCGGACTGAAAGGGTGGCTGAAGGCACCCTTCCTCTCGCCCTTTGCACCGCCTTCTAGCTGCTCGAGCAGTGTCTTGCCAGCATCCATACTGCCAAGTAGTGTCTCTGCATCGTTGCTCCAGAATACGGTACCATGTTGCATGCCCGCACCTGAGATACCCTGGATCTTGGAGAAGTCGGCGCCTTGCTCCTTCAGTCGCTGCAGGACAAGATCAATGGCTTCGAGCCACAGGGCGACGGGCGCGAAAACCTCGCCCTCGGCAGGGTTTGTGAGGACACCCTTCTCTATGCCATATTTGGAGAGATCGGCATCGAAATCGACTTTGGCTTCGTGAATAAGTTTGAGGTCGGAGCCGACGATGATACCTAGAGCACAGCAGCGTCAGTCCAAGCTGGAAGACCAGATGGTGGGGTAGCTCTAGCGGGGTATTCGCACCTTTAAGTTGCTGAGTACTCAAATCGAAACCCAAGAACTGATCAGCCATGGTCGAAGTGTGTCAGTGCCGTGTCGAGCTGTGAGGATAATGTAAGGGTGTTATGACTTGACGAGACATGGCTAAAATAAGCAGACCATATCTCGTAGTGTTAGAGGACCCTGCCTCACATCCAAGATACGGCTACGGCACACTTACGCAAGACCCACATTGACGGACGCGCTACATCACAGGCAATTTTGCCGGCGGTGCCTGCAGAAGCGCCAGTACTTTGGCGCGGTATTATTGGATGACGGATAAATTCGTGCCGAGACATCGTGAGTACAGCTGTGACTTTTTGGAGTTGCATCTCGGCCAAACGCCGATGCCAGCTAGGGAATTTCGTTAGCGTGGGAAAGTACGAGTCTAGAGCGTGGGCCGGGTTTGAGTTCAGGTGATGGGTATTCAAAATATATACAAGTGTCCGATGTCTCGTATGTGCCGCCGGGTAGTTGCATGCCCAACTCCAGAACGCCCAGCTATGCTTGTCTATAGGTGTACACCAATCATTTCCTTCGCCTTGCGTTGCCATCGGTAGTTTCGTGGTTGTGGTTGTGGTCGTGATCGTGGTCATGTTCTGCCTCAGACCCTTCGCTCGCCGCTGCAGTAGAGTCGCCAGGGATGAACTCGTCGAGAAAGTCTGGTACTTGCGCCGAGTTGGTTACAAAGCGCACGCGCACCTTCTTTACGCCGCGCACGTCGACACCAACGCGGTCCCGGATTACGTTCTCAACGTCGCGTGTCTGCTCAACGGTCCAGGTGCCAGAGACGCCAATCTCGATATCCATGAGGTAGTTCTGGCCAGCCTTGACACCCTGAATCGCTCGCACATTGACTGGCTCTGATGCGGTAGTGACACCCTTGACAGCGTCTGTCGCGGCTTTCCGAACGTTGTCCTTCATCTCCTGGTCTACGCCGACGTCTGCCAGTTCGAGTAGCGCTTGCTTAGTGTTTCCCCAACCAGCTTGGACCACCATGAGCGAGATGACGAGCCCACCGATAGGGTCTAGCCATTTTGCATTGTTGAGGACGTTGGAGCCGGCGATGAGGAGGAGAGCGACGAAGGCAGTAAGGGAGTCGACGCGGTGGTGGTAGGCGTTGGAGGCAAGGACCGTCGACTTGCGCTCTTTGGCGATCTTGAGGGCTGGAGTGGTTGTCAGCAGGCGCTTGCTATGTTGTTACGGGTGTCCTTACTCGCTCTGTAGAGCCATTCCTTGATGACGATTGAGCCAGCAGCAAGCCATATGGCATTGATGTTGGGGCCCAAGTCGTCGATGCCGTGGTGGTGGTGGTGTGGTATAAGCCCCCATTGCTCCGCTACCTCGGCGGCTTCGGGGAAGAATTGCTTGCAGAGGGCCAGCAGCGCGGTCCAGCCCATGAAGAAACCACCTGCGAGCAATATGCCACTGACACCGAGCGAACCCAGACTCTCCACCTTGCCATATCCGCTGGGGAAGCGGTCCGTGGGCGGCTTGAGGGACCAGCCGACTGTTGCCAGCGTCATGATGTCGCTCACGAGGTCGGTGAGGCTGTGGATGGCGTCGGCGATGAGTGCTGGCAGGCGTTAGTAGACGTGCATAGCAACGCGCCTGGCCATCTCACCCTGACTGTTGAAGACGTAGCCCCCGAAGCCTTTGCTGACCGCCATGCCCAGGTTGACGTAGAGGCCAATCTTGGTGATGCGCACGCCGGCGTCATTCTTGTTCTTGGACAAGAGGAAGGTGTTGTCGTGGTGGTGATGGTGGGAATGGCCTGCATGATGCCTCGTCTGCGTGACGCCTGTCATGGTGGAAGGGGAAAAGAGTGGTTTGCGGTGGACCGTCGTCGACCAGTTGCGGAGGGGCGCCGTATGCGACAAATAAGCAAGGTACTGGGCGCCTTTGGTCGTCGTCGTCGTCTGCGTGCACAGGACGCGCAATTTGGGGCGGCAGGTGGGAAGTTTGTAGGCGTGACGCGATAGGACGTGCCGTCGCACCGAGGGCTGCGTAGAGGACTCGTGGAGGCTAAACTGGACACGCAAGCCATGTCCATTGCTGCAGGCGGTGCGCAGTAACATGGGATGGGGTGGCTGCGGTTGCGCCTTTCAGTACTGCGAGATGCCCAGATGCGACTCGCTGCGAATACTTCCAAGACAATTGTGAGCCTCTTTCGCGGTTGCTATCGGCCCTCGAGCCTGGCGTCTCATGGCGCCTTTTGCGTCAACACACGGCAATTGTGGGGGCGCCCACCATCTGTCCACTCAGGCATGATGCGCACCACCACGCTTCTGATAGCAGGCACAGGAGAATGCAACGCCAGTGTACATTCCCAATCTGCAAGCAATCTCAGGCTCTACCACAGGTGCAAAAAGAGGGTAGTCCAATCAATAGCGATGACCGCTCCTGCTACCGACCAGGAACGTTGCCAAATTTAACAACCGCACACTATGTCATTGCAACCGTCATGCATCATTCCCGTGCCGTCGTCAATTTCTGCAGGGACATGGGCCTAGAGATCCTCCGCCTTCCACCTCAGGAGCCGCGCGTGTGCGTACGAGTTGGGCTAAGAAACGCACGCCCAAAGATATTCGTATCGTGATTACGTTGCCAGCGCGCTTGTTGCCTGTTCTAGAGAGCTTCTACACAGATTCATAGCCTTGGCTTCGCACTATCATCACCCACAGGGTCCGTCACGCGAGCCAGTACCCAGTTTGCGACGTCGTCCCGGAACAGGTCTTTATCAGGACTAGGCTCGTCGTGTACTGACAAGGTTAGTGCCAATACCATAGACATGGTCAGATACTTACAGCGATGAAAGTGCCCTGCGTACGACTTGAACTCCTTGTCCTTGACTTGCAAGGCATCGAACAGGCGTTTCGAGGCATGGTAGCTAGTGATGCCATCCTGCTCGCCGTGAGCTATCCAGATCCTTGTTACGCCACCCTCTCCAACGTTATCAGGTATGATGATCTTCCCACTGGACAAAGCATTGGTTCGATCGAGCAATCCAGCGAGTCCCTCGAGCGTGCCGGTATCGTGGCAGAGCTCGTCTTCATCGAATCGCTTGCAGACCTCTGGGTCTCGCGAGATGAGTTTTGGATCCAATTTGTTGGTCAACTGACGCTTTGCCATGAGCTTTCCAGCGACCCTACCGAAAAAGACTGTGATGGGTGATGGCTTGGACTTGGGGTCAAAGTCGACAAAAGGCGACTCCAAAAGGAAGCCGCGAATGTGCTTGAGCACCTCCTCCGGACCTTGTGCGGCATAGCAGAGCGTCTCACCGCCACCCATGGAATGCCCCATCATGAAGAGCGGGACAGGGCTCGGGATCAATGTCTTGATGAAGGAGGTAATGTCGTCCAGCACCTGCGTGGTTGGGCCCGTGTCTCCTCGCTCGGCGTGTTTTGCTACAGATCGGCCCCATCCTCTGTGCCTTGTCAGTAGTGAATATTGGAAGCAGCGCACGTGCGCACCTCTGGTCGAACGTATAAACTTCAATACCTCTAGACGCTAGATGAGGGAAGAAGTCGCCGTACGTGTTGACTTGACCTGTGTCAGAAGGGAATTATTCATGTGGCTAGATGATCTCACCGTGCTAGAGGTAACGTTAGTCATGCATTCAGTATTGTACCCATGGGAGCCGTACGTCTGAGAATCCGTGTATGAACACAAGTCGGGCTTTTGCCGGACCATCCGTCTGCTCATTGCGTTAATGTCGATCTTATTGCTATGGCTCCACCATACCTTGAATGTCTTCGTATATAGCTGCTTGCCATCAGCCAAGGCATGGGTGCCTTCCTCGACGGACATTGTGCCTGAACAAGGTAAGGGTCGGAGATGTTGGAGGTGCTCTTTGGCTTCGCAGTAGAGTTAGTCACGATATGCCGTGTGTTAGGCAGTGCAGGTGCAGGTGGGTTCATGTAAAAGGAGAATGCAGAGCAATTACTTTCTTATGGTGTTCAGCTCTCCGCTGACAGCCGCGGCTCCCGCACGCGTCATAGCTTGCTTAGTACCCCATCCACTCGCACATGTCAAACGCGACAGCTCAACGTGCGACACGATGGCAGTCAGCCCATTTTCGGAGACTCAATGGCCAATACTACCTGGCTATATTTGGAGGCCCGAGATGATGCCGATGCCATGGTGAGGGTGAAGTCAGCTAGCCTTAACGGCTGTCGTCCAAGCTCCCGCCCAGTGGATCATCCTGCATAACGCATTGGACCCCTCTACCCAGTGTCCCCACTTACATTTTCCTCGTGGTAAGATACTTTCTTCTTGCTATGAGCCTTCCTGCCCGTCGACTCTTGTCCCATCACTCATTTCCGCGACGACTCTCCTCGCAGAGAAGCATGCTGAGCAGCATGCCACAAGCTCGCTCAGCAAAAGCGATCCTAAGCCACCAAGAGCGCACCGCGACTGAACCACGAGAGAACGACCTGCACACGGCCACCGTCGCTAAAGTCACGCCCGTCAACGACCGGATCAAGCGCTTCAAATTCGAAATCAAGGAAAAGGACGGCTTCAACGTATGACGATCTCCATCTCGCTCGCGACATGCGCTGATGGATAAGTCAGTTCCTCCCCGGCCAATGGCTTGATGTCTTTGTGCCCGATGTAGACAAGGCGGGTGGCTTCACCATTACCTCGTCGCCCTCCGAAGCCCTGCCGCGGTCGGATCCCGATTTTGTTCCCTACTTCGAGCTAGCTGTGCAGAAGAGCCCTAATAACCCGCCGGCAGCATGGCTGTGGCAGCCAGCGGAAGAGATACTAGGCAAGGAGGTCACGGTACGTGTGGGCGGAAGCTTTGTGTGGCCTCCTCCATGTCTGGACATGAAAAAGATTAAGCGCGCCATCTTCATTGCAGGAGGTGTCGGAATTAAGTGCGTCCAGCTCTGCCGTGACATAGTCGCACGCCTTGCCCGCTAACACCCCACAGCCCTATGATGTCAATGATGACCTACATAAACCAGAACTACCCGAACCTCGAAGTACGCTTCCTATACTCTACCAAAGTCCCTTCGCGCGAAACCGACCCGAGCGAAGTCCTCTTCCTGCAAGATGTGCTCGACCTCTTCCGCATACCCAGATTCAAGGTGACCAAAGACCGCCTTGAGCTTTTCTTTACAGGCACGTGGGACGGGTCAGAGATGGGCACAAATGAAGGTGACTTGATACATCCACTCATGTCTCTGACGCTGCCGCAAATCGACTCGGCTACCGAAGTGCCAGTGTGTGCCTGGACGCATCGCATTGACGATATTGCCCTCTCTAGCGCCGTTGGCAACAGGAAGGAAGCGCAATCCACCGTTTTCTATGTCTGCGGGCCTCCAGACATGACCGATGACATGGTGAAGTTTATCAAGGAGCAGGATAATGTCGCTCCAGAGAGAGTGCTATGCGAGAAGTGGTGGTAATGGAAAGGTTAAGGTAATTTACCATTGGATAGTTCAAGGCGATCAATACTAGGTTTTGCATTCGACAATGATTCCGTCGCTGCGGCAAGCGCTGTTGTATGTACGACGCTCACACCATTAACTCGAATTTACGCGCCCACAAAGACCGTAAATTCCAGACGGCTCGTGATAGTCGAGCGACAGCTCCACTAGACTAGCTCCACATTTCAAAACTCAGTCTGGGAACCATGGCCATCATCGTTCTTCGCGCCACACGCCGTTTCCCGTTCGCAGGCACTCTACGGCACAGCAAGCGATCGCTTACGTTGTGCGACCCCGCGATAAGGCTTTCCATTTCATCCGGCCTCTTACCTCGAAGTTCTATATTGAATTACCCGATTTGTCGATATTAACCCACATTCCTCGGTACAGGAGACAGGGATGACGCAAGGAACAAGCCGTTTAGCTCCCGCATGCAGCGCCGTCCTGCAAGTCTGATTCGCCGTCACACCTCACAAGCTGTGTGATCGCGCAGCATGCGCGTGCCACTCAGCGCCTGCGATGGCTCTTTCGCCCCTCAGCTCGCTCACTGGCGTCGGCTAAGATGGGGGCTTACATGGCTGTTAAGAGCGTGAAAGGCCCCGGAGCGCTGGATGCTGATGCTTTGTTTGTACGTCTGAACCTTGAGCACGAACAACGACTGTGTGCGACCATCGGAGGCTTTTGGTAGCATCTCCATCTATCGACTTTCGGCTAACGACAATTGCGCAACAAGACTGGACGGCGCATTTCAGCCTTGTCCCGCAATCGCGATTCATCCGAGCGCAGCATCACGTATACGGCAACGACCACCGCCGCACATTACCGTCAAGCGTGACGGCTTCCAACGTCCATCATGGGTTTCTTCATATCGCGAACATGGCGCCTGCCGAAAATCATTTACTTTCTCATGATTTTTGAACTGCCATTCACTGTAGCCAATCTTGCGCTCTTCGGCATTGCATCGCCAAACCTCTATCGCACCATTCTGTGGAGAGTGGGCGGCGAGTTTGGCTTCAACTCGAAGCCAAGTACCGTTTTATACGCGGCTGCAAATTATCGGCCAGTGGATACACCTCTAGTATGGAGTAGCTTGTAAGTAATATCCTCCGGATCAATAATGCTCAAGCAGCTATATACCGAACCAACACTACGGTCCATGCTCTTGCTATCATCTTATTCGACTTCAAAACCTGAACAGTGTGCTGACAATCACAGCAACACCCAATACCACCTCGTAATCGGCGTAGTATGCATGTTCTTCTGGCTCGTCAAATCAACCTTATGGCTCCTCAAGGTCTTCTTCCCAATCCTCTCGCTCCTCCTCCACATCGCACTCATGGCCCTATGGGCGTACGGCATCCACATCCAAACCGCGCCCGACACTATTGACCCAGAGCACGTAAACAACGGCGCACCCTGGTACCTCACCAAGAACTGCAACATCGTCGACGACAAGCACATCAAGAGTTACTGCATGCAAGCCAAGAGCAGTTTCGCCGTTAGCATTGTCATGCTGTACGTCCCCTACCATCCGTAAACATCCGAGTATAATGCTAATTCTACCTCAACAGCACCATCTACGTCGTCTTCTTCGTCCTATCAGCCTACTCCCTCATCCCAACCACCGCACAGAAACAAGCCCACGCCGCCCGCAAAGCAGAGAAGAAAGCCGAGAAGGAGAAATGGGCCTCATCGCCCTACGACAACGAGATGACTGCCGAAGAACAATGGCAGCACATGTGGGAACTCCAACAACTACCCCGTACACCCGGCACCGTTGGTGGCATGAAGTCGCCCATGACACCACGCACACAAGCGTTCAACAACCTTGGCGGCGAGGAGGCTGCACACGGAGGGGGAGGTTACTACAGCAATGTGCCTGCGGGAGGGAACGGCTGGTATGGGCCGCCGCAGCACCAGCCAGGATCTATAACCATCAGTCCGGTTATGGAGCAAGACGAATACTACTCGCCACATGAGGGCAAGGGGAAGACACCGGGTTGGGGCGGTAATGCGTACTAAGCGTTCATGCTTATCTACGTGCAACCATCTTCTTTTGTCTGGGTTTGGCGTTTGAGCGTGGTTGTGTGTTTTTTCGATGATACCAAATCTGGGAACTGGGCTTTTCACTCATTATGGGGTATGAGAGGGGGAAACGGATTATCCATCCATTTCAATATGTAACGTTACGTTTTCTGTGGCACTGAAATCGATGGCCCTGTTGAGTCGTTTGGACAAGCTCGTCTGTGTGTAATTAACGCCATAGCCTATTGGATGTCTGTACTGGGAACATACACCTATCTGACGATGATAGGGTGGCTGGAAGAAGCCTTGCACATAGTGCTATTCCGATTTTATCTGCGCTACAGATTCGAATGCTAATAGAGTTGACTTCCATCTCACTCCGTACCTACACAAGACGCTGATCGTCCAGCTCATGACTTGCGGCATGACGCATACTACACTCGCTCTCACACTCATTCCCATGCTCGTGCAAGACCGCTCCTCTAATATGACTTTCAGCTCTCTTGGTGCAAAAGTCTGCAGAAAGCTCAATCGTAGACTCGGTATCGGGACAGGCAGTTGTTAATGGCTGGCTACATCGCCTTTTAGGAGCACTACCAAAGGTCGAGACGGAGTTTGGATTGCCGTAGTTACTTGGGCCAACGGATCTTTCGTTTGATCCGAGATAGGTGAATATACCTCCACAGGAGCGTAGGGCGGGTCGGAGGAGAGGGAGGGATGCTACACGGTGCATGTCAGTGACTTGGTTCTGAGGACGAAATCCAGCGTAGATAACTGACTTGCAAAGGATGCTAGGTTCACATCGCATACTGCTCATATCTGGTCGTCGATGCCGTCGTACGTCAGGTCTGGATGTGATTTTCTGCCGAGAGCGACCGTATGAGCAATAGTACCGAGTGCTGGGCCACAGACCCTTCGAATCTATTAGCAAGATGTTGATGCATTGGTTTTGCGCGACTTACAATAGGCCAGCTGCCAACATTGCCGCTTCAGCAACCTTGCGTGCTGTCGAGATATGCAGTCTGGATATCTCATAGAGCGAACAGGGTAATATCGCGACCTCAAGGATGAAATGAGGTATGGCCACAGCAAAGAGCGACATCATCGGCGGCAATGTGCATCTGCCTGGGATGTCTTTGTGCCAGAACTTCCGAATCGGCTGACATTGCATCGTGATGAGTGTAACCTTGGAAGATCAGCGTACCGTGGTTAGAAGTCGATGTAGATCGCTTGCTTACCCTGACAATGATCCAGCACGCCGAGCAGACGAATAAGATCCTGATAGGCTATCGGATGACGGAGAGAGAAAAGGTTCTCCAGTAGAAGCCTAGTATGACAAACTTGGATAGCCCGACGGAAAACATGTAGAACCACATATCTACCCAAAGGTCCAGGAAATAGTGATACACAATCTCGTCTTCTGCCATATTGGTGTCTTGAAGTGGCCTTCCGAGTCCCCATCGCATCTCTGGTCACCGTCAGCGCTTAGTTGTTAAGACCGCGAAATAGTACATACTGTATAAATGTAACTCTTATGTCAACACGGAGTCAAGTACACTCGTTGCTACTGGTGGACTAATGCCAGACGCAGGCTGAGGTGATTCATCTGCACATGCGTGGAAGATATGCGCAAGATCATGTTGCTGCATTAAAATGCGTGCCCTTTCTAATCCTCGTCGAACCAGAGGCAGATGCGTCCATGGCCACAGTGCTTCGTATCCATTGCGTATATGCTGCTCCTGTTTGGTTTCTTCGATGAAAGCGAGGGCCGTATGGCCGTATGCTATGAGTAGGGTTGCGAAGCACGCAAATGTCCTGTACAGACTTAGTTAGGGCTCAACGTGTGTGAACGCAATGATCATACGGGTATAGTGTAAAGTACGTTCCCATCTTTCTTCCCATGAGTTGCTCGTCCGCTATACTTAGAAGCAAGGCTGAACTCTTTATGCAGTGTCGCGCATGCTCCCTTGTGACTACAATCGTGTCATGTTCCTGAGCACTGGCCTCTCCTTCGCTGTTCTCGAGTATCTTAAGTACTGAAGGCCAGCCAAGCACTACGTGTAGAGCTGTGTACTGAATCCTTAGGAAAGACTTCCTAGAGTCAAACAGCGGCGTCGAATCCAGGGGAAACCGAACGGCAGAAGGCAGATTATCGTACCACTCGCGAACTTGTTTCCGTAGCTCGCCAATGACGACAGGTGCAAATATAACCTGTCCTGTAACTGGAAGGGGTGGTCGCATGGTCAGTGCACGTAGCAATGTTGACTCTGTAGACACTTACAGTAACCGACAACTTCAAGAGTCTGTGTCAGGAACTTCCTAAGGCTAATCTGCGCTAGGAAGAAGTAGAAGCCTGAATCCTCTTCTTCGAACTGAGGAAGCGGTACCAATTCATGGAAGTGGCGTAGTCCGATGGGATGCATTTTACATGTAGCCTCAAGCCTAAGCACAAATTTATATTAGTAAAGTCCTTCTCTATCAAGGCTAACAACGCAAGCCGCGCTTGGCTAACTCACTCGTGCAGGACGGTAGAGCAAGCCCAAAACGCTCGGTTGAATGCTTCTTGGTCTGATGGGCTGTAGCGTTGCATAGCTCTGGAGCTCAAAATATGCATGCAGTCTCTCGCAGCCTGCGTGATGGAGTTCCATGTCTGCAGTGGTCTGATAGCGAACTTGAAGTACGAAGCTTGCAGTATCCGACACTGAAGGCTAGTTAGGTTTCCGATGCGAAGCGACAGGTGCTCGAGGAGGCGACAGCCACGTGCAAAGTACTCCAGCCCTGGAGTGAGATTATTCGAGTTATCATTCCTATCTTCAGAGATTGCACCAAGGGCCAGGATCAGAAGTGCTAGGCATGTTGATGCACTAGAGTGCTCGAAGCTACTTGAGTCTGCCTGTTCAAGCGCACTGACGCAGGTTCGTTGATCGAAAATAGGTGTCCACCGAAGGAAGTTCTCCACGAAGGATTGTTGGAGTCGACGGCACGTTCGCCGCGATAGATCCACTGGATGTGAGATGACTGCGTCACACTGATCCGCCAGTTGTTCACCGGCTAAGATCTCGTCATCGTAAAAGTCAGCTGTGTAGTCCCAGCTCTCCACGTGGATGTAAGAAGGTGCGCGGAAAGTAGTGAGGCTAGGCCTCGGGGTTTTCCCCTCAGTGCTTGTCTGTCGATAAGCAAAGTCATACGATACTGGTGTACCAATTGATGGAACAGACATGGTGGAGTTGTTGATCGTTTCAATCGCCATTTGATTGGCGCTCGAGTGTCGTGACCTGGACTCTGGGGGAGGGTGCATATCGCTATGAGTAGACGTGTTGGGTGAGAGTGCTGCAGAGCCGGGCGCATATTGATGGCTAGATTCTAGTTTGGCTTCGACTTGCGCCAGTCGTCTTTCAATGCTGGACCAGGCCTCTGATGGGGGGCCGACTGGTTTTGTGCGGTCACCGACTGTTGGCTTTCGATAAGTGCATTCAATTCCGAGCTCAGTACAGAAACCACAAGACTGCAACTGTTAACAAAGGGACATGTGAATACAATCTTGTCTGACCAACCGGCTTCTGGGCGTCACAGCGTGTCTTCCGAAATCTACAGACGTTGCACTACAAGCTATGAGTAATTAATGTCTAAAGTCAGGGGTATTGTTGGCCCACAGCTATCGCTATACGTTTTCTGGGGTAGTTCTCGACGACTGTCAGACTGCCCGCTGGGCTGGTAGATGGGCGGCCGTCATCAAGTGGAGGTCGTGATGATCCGGGAGATTCGCCATGCTTCCGTTTTTCGGCCATGACAGCACTCGATGATCGCAGATTGATATAGGCAGCAAGCAAACTGCATGGTGCGGGTGGGTCGCATTCATATGAAATGGCCGTCTGGAGTGGATGATTCGGCTGGCGGGTGCCGTCCCGTGTGGAGACCCCGCATACTTGTGCCGCCTGCTGCTTTGAGCAAGTAACCTGCTTGGGATTTTATCCTACGCAGATGGCAGGCCAAGGTCGAGACATGTGCTAGGTGGTTATTACACGATAATGTACATGGTTGTAATCTCATACGGCAGCCCGTGCCATGGTTTCTTTGGCCTCCTTTTCTTTCTTGCGCGCTTCACGTTCCGCCTTGCGCATAGCTCGCAGATCCGGTGGCTTCTCAATGCTGAATCTAGCTCTTAGCTCGTCAATATCCGTCTCCAGTTCTTCCTCCCAGTAGATATTGATTACATCGTCACTTTGTGCGCCGTTACGTGTAGCCCACGGCCCGTAGACGTCCCAGAACCGTCTCCATTCAGCCTTCTTCAGGGTGAAAGCGCTAAACACAGCCAAGCCTGTCATAGGCAGGCCGGTATTGGCGAATTCGAATGCCTTGAGAGCGACCTCGCCTTCGCGAAAGACGGGTAGTCCAACCAAGGCATGATAGAAGTCGTGGCATTCGCGATACCGCTGCATGACATATGCACACTCCTCATCATCTACGTACTGTACTGGCGCTCGTGTGTCTGGCGAGACGCCCTCGCGGTCAAGCCATGCAGCGTATGCGTAGCCCAATGTGTTCGGAGGAAGTTTACGGAGGCGTGGAATGTCGAGCGAGGTAGACGTTAAGCGTGGACGGTCGCGTAGTATCCGCCGGCCCGTTGGATTTAGAAGCATCCGATCACGGAGCTTGTAGATGAAGTAGGGTTGCGCGGTAGCTTCGCCAAAGGATGCAATGAGGTCTGGCTTGTGTAAGCAGCGAACCATGACATTAAGACTCTGGATCGTATCTACCTCCTCTTCGTGGGTCCAGGAAACTTCCAAGACCTGAGCCGATTGCCAGCCCAAACCTTTCCGTACGCGTCAATGGTATGTGACCCTCATAATTCGGCGGAGGGCGATTGAGGACGGAAAAGCAGCGTGGTGATTGCGCGAATGATGCAGATCGGAAGAGTGAGCCCGGCGTCAGCTTTTGGAGCTGACTTGGTCGCACACTTCTCGCCATTTACGCGTTTCAGTGAGGGATTGCGTATAGCGTGGGATTGATGGTTCTCATCTGGTTCGAGCCGATGACATGACGCGATTCTTATCGATACGCCACATGCACCAGTCACGCCAAAGTATTAGCAGCCATGACTCTTTGTTCAACTTCTGGACTTGTCGGCTGCAACATCCTCGATTGCGTTTTAGATGATCGAGAATTTACTTTGTAGTCGATAGGCTTTCCTGTGAGGCAGCTTACCCAATTCTTCAGATCCTAACCCTACAAGGAGTAACTTCGAACTAAAATACTGTGTATCTGCTTTTGGAAGAAACCTTCGGTACGATTATTAATGACTTCAACCAAAGAGATACCTACAGTTCTAACAAATGTGAGAGTTAAAGGAGTACTTTAGGCCTTTGGGCTATCAGCATCATCCACCGCAGCCATGACCGCAGCACTAGACCCCGGTGAACAACATACCCAATTCGTCGACTGGGCCACATCCAACGGCGTTGAAATCGATGGAATAGCCCCAGCACGCTTCAGCGGTCGAGGAATGGGCATCGTAGCCGCAAAAGATATCAAAGTCAGTCCAACCCACCAAAGCCACCCCCGACTCAAACCCCTCAACTAAATCATCAAGAAAGGAGACAAGTTAGTTCATGTGTCCAACAAGTCCCTCGTCCACGTGGCACTCCCTTCAATTCATGCCTTCAAGCTCCCCGAAAACGCCACCGTCCATGGAAAACTCGCCGCCTCTCTCTCCCTATGGTACAGCGGTCAGGAACCGCATGGCTACCAACTCTGGCAAGACGTCTGGCCCACACAGCAAGACATCAAATCCACCATGCCATTCCACTACCCCCCATCACTCCAGTCTCTCCTTCCACCAGCCTGTAAAACGCTCCTTACGAAACAACGATCCAACCTGGAAAAAGACTGGTCAACGCTCTCACCGCACCTTCCTTCCTCCATTACAAAGTCCCTCTACACATACACCTGGCTGATAGTAAACACCCGAACCTTTTACTGGGAATACCCAGATCTACCCAACGCCCACCCTAGTCTACCCAAACGACGTGCAAAACTAACAGCAGACGACTGCTACTGCATGTGCCCGCTAATTGACTACTTCAACCACTCCGATAACGGATGCCATCCCGAACACAACAGTCAGGGTTACTCTGTGACGGCCGACCGATCGTATTCTGCCGGGGAAGAAGTCTTTGTCACGTATGGGTCTCACACAAGCGACTTTCTGCTCGTAGAGTATGGTTTCATCCTTGAGGGAAATGTTCATGATACGCTGCCTTTGGATCACTTGTTGCTGCCTTTGCTGGATAAGCAGCAAGTGGATGCGCTGGAGGAGGACGGCTTTCATGGGAACTATACGTTATTCGGTGGGGGCAAAGAGGAGATTGCGTGCTACAGGACGCAAGCTGTGCTTCGGTTGTTGGTGCTGGATTCGAGAAGGTATTCGGCGTTTGTGTCGGGGGATGATGATGGAGTCAGGGACCAGGCCAGGCTGAATAAGTATCTAGCGGAGTTGTTGACTAAGTATTCGAGGGAGATAGTGGATACGTTGGAAGAGGTAGAGCAGCTGGACTTGGGTGAAGGGGAACATGAGGTTGCGGAAGGCCAGAGGGAGACTGTGGTAAGACGGTGGAAACAGATACGGGGTATCGTCAACAAGGCTATCGACGCACTTGCTTCATAAGAGCGTGCCGGACAGATTCGGTATCTCAGAGTGATTTTGGGTTCAATTCCTCAATCTGTAACATATATGTCATAATCATTGAGCTGTGGATACCAAGAGTTCTACTAAGAAGCCTGTTGACCTTTTACGCTTTCAAGACACGCTACTAAACAAACTTTCACCTATCACCTATGCCACGCTACCCACCACCAATGCTGCAACACCTTCTTCCTCGCTCCTTACATCAATCTTCATGGTCACACCAGTCTTGGCACTGAAGGCCATCCGTACCGTAGCAGCAACCTTGCCACCTGTGATGGTCTTGCCGTAAAGCTTGAGAGTATGAGTTGATGTTGACAAAGCGACATCTGTACCTTCGAGAGGTTGGAGGGATAGAGTCTTGGTGAGTTGCTCGGTTGCATCTGTAACGCGTCAGTCGTTCGTTCACCATTAGTGATAGCTCGCAACATTATCGACGTACCTGATATGCTCTTCATATTACCCAACTGCAGTGTTTCAGTCGCCGAATCGCCATTCGACTGTTCCCAGACATTATCAAAACTGCCTGCATATGCGGGAACAACGTAGTCAGCACCAGTGAGGTACAGATCCTCAACCTGGTACTCATCTGGATACCCATCGCCTTCTTCCGGCTCGTTTGTGGTCGGATCGATTTCCTTGCTTGTGAACTTGAGTACGTTGGTAAAGCTGGCGGCAATGAACTGCGATTCGGTCTCCAGGCGCTTGAAGGATACGTAGACGGTACCAGGCTCGTTGGTGACGAGCTTTGGCGCTGGGATGACAAATTCTTCTTCTAATTGCACGTCACCATCGTCTTCTGGTGTAACGACCATCTCGACATCCATCAATACTGTATCCTCAAGAGTGTTCTTGATGTCGTACTGAATGACAATGTGGTCCTTGAAGATATGCTTAATGGCAGTGACGACGTATTCGGTCTCTGATTCTGTGAGCTCGACGACATCGCTTGACTTGAGCACACCGCCGTGCGCAGCCAGTTCTGGAATCTTTTGCAGTTCTGTAGCGTATTTCTGCGCATTCGATGCTGCGTTTGCGGCGGCATCGGCACCAGCTTTTGAAGGTGCCTTGGTGGCACTGGGTGCTTTGAGGGTTGGGGTAGCACCTTCAGTTTTCTTGGTAAGGTCTGCCGCATCTGCTTGCTCGCGCGAGACTGTGGGGATTTTGGTGATGTCGAAGGCTGTCTCGAAGGTGTCGCGGGAATCCGAACTGACGTACATAGCCAGCTGGTGCTCAAGAACAGGAAGGGAGAACATGGAATCGTTACGAATGAAGTTAACTGCCATGTCGTCGTCGTCCTGGTCCATCAAACGAAGACTGAGCGCAGCACGATCACGGACCTCGTCATCAACATCGTCCAGACACCTTGTGAGGAGGACGTGGACAGACTTCTTGATTTCAGGGTCCTTTTGTCCAACGCCGAACTTGGACAGAGCAGAGGTCGCCGCAGCCCTGACGATCGCATTCTCCAGGACTACGCGGTTGTAGATGTAACGGATGTATTTGGTGGGGTGCGGTGTTGAAGGACCTTCACGTCCAAGTACGAATAGAATCCTGACGGCGAGCTTTGTGAATTCGCAATCCTCGATGAACTCGCAAAGTGTAGCAAGCGCATCTTCCTTAGCCTCAGGTACGAAGCGAATGAGGTCCATGATGGCCTCGACAACGGATCGCTTGAACTCGTAGCCGCCTTCGTCGCGCAGAATGCCGCTGAGGAAAGCAAGGAAACCGGACTGCTTTGCCTTGAACTTCAGTGCCAATGTTCGGACAGCTTCTACAATGGTGACCTTGAACTCGTCGGTGATCTCAGCCATGAAGCCAGTGATCTGCTTCATCAATCTGTCAACCGAAGACTCATTGCCCGTTTTGAGGAGTGTGGTGATGGCGAAGGTGGCGATGCTGCGGTTCGAGTTGGTGATGAGCGATTCGATATCCTGGTTACATGAGCGAACGGCGTCCGGCTTGAAGGAAGCCATTTGCGACAGGATGCGGAGGGCGGCAAACTTGGTGACGGCGCGAGGAGATGTGAGGAAGAGCTGGAGGACGTGGACGGCTTGTACGAGCTCGGCATCGGTAACGTCGCGCATGTCGCAGATGGCCTTTGCAGCCTCAAAGTTGACCATCTCCGACTTGTGGCGCAACCAGCCATCGAGAAGTTGCATCATAGGCTGTAGAAATTGTTAGTAGACATCTTTCGATGGAAATCGTGTAGCTCACCTTTCGCAGGTTTGGGTCTTCCTCAGCGAGCTTAGCTGCTAATCTGACCAGCAAGACAGTAGCGGCAGGGCTCTTGACGACACCAGCAGCAGAGTATTGCTGCACCATCTTGACCAAGCTCATCCTGTCGCCGGAGCGCATCTGGTACAAGAGGCCAATGGCATGGTACTGTGTCATGTAGTTTGTGCTGGCCTGGAGAGTGGTATGTGAGCCCCCTCCAAAGCCTCCCAAGAAACCACCACCCGACTTGCTTCCTGACGCGGCCTCTGCGGCCTCTGACTGCCATCTTCGGACGACATCCTTGGCGACTGGGAGGAGGTGGTAAGAGGAGACGAGGGCGGCGGAGGAGACTGAGGGGTTCTTGTCGACTATGCACGTCTTGACGAGACGCTCGATGGCCTGGACGGTGGAGGCGTCGATGACACGGCAGAGGGCGCGGATGGCGTTGGGGCGGTATACGACGTCGCTGCCGACGGAGGTGTCCTTCATGATAGAGGAAGTGACCATGATGACATCGTCGGCGGAGCCAGCGAGCTCCTTGATGACCAGGTAGACCATCTGGCGGAGCGAAGCATCCTTGTTCTGGAACAGCTTGGAGATGCCGAAGAAGAGGGTCGTGGCTTCCTGGCGTCCCCAGCTCTCGCCAGTGAAGAGCAGCAGCGCCAGCTTGGTCAGGATCACTCTACATTTCCTGGGCGAGATGGGGCTCTGGTTGAATACTCGTGCTGGACAGCGTCAGCGTCCCCCGCCAACCTCTGGCGCATGCGGGAGTTGCCCTACCTTCTTGGAAGACGGACGTCTTGTCGATCTGGGCGACTCCGCCAGCGTCCTCGTGCTTCTTGTCCATGGTGTCGTGGTGCAGCTCCACGTGCTAGCTCTCGGGGCGTGTATAAACTTGTCCCGCTCTTCCTCCGCCTAACGTGGCCTCTTGCGACGGGGGGTGCAAACGTGTCCAAGTGCGACCTTGCAATTGGAATTGGTGGGCGAGGAGACGTGGACGGGTCGGGGCGAAGTCGCAGTGGTGTTTGCCTGGCCGTCTGGAATTGGCGACGTTGAAGATGCCCTCGACCAGCGCGAGCGAGTGCACCTGCAGGGATGTCGGCGTGTGGGCTGCTCTTGCATGTTCCAGGGCTTGGCGCTCGGAATGCGCAACTCAATGCGGTGCGGGTATTCAAGGCTCTGCCGTCCAAGATATACCCAACCCATCCATTCACTCACTATTCTCCTCTCTTTTTACCCATTTACACATACGACCATGGCAGCCTCAATCCCACGATCGCGATGTCTCTTCTCATCCTCCACATTAAAAGCTGTCCCTCGCTCAAGGACGCCGCTTAGAACTTTTGCCACGACCTCCGATACGCCGCAAACCGCAGTACCAGAAGCCCCCACAAAGCGGTCACGACCACCGACGTCTTTCAGCGATACACTGAATGCCGGTCCATCGTTTGGCGATTTCGTCAACCCCGAGGCGCCCCTCTCCCCGGCCGAGGCATACGAGATCAAGACGGTGCAAGTGGGCCCGGAAGGCCGCAAGAAGACCATCACACGACTTCCAGAGTGGCTGAGAACGCCGATACCCTCAAACGCAAACCAGAACTACAAGCAGATCAAGAAAGACCTGCGCGGGCTGAATCTAGCCACAGTCTGTGAGGAAGCAAGATGTCCCAACATCTCAGATTGCTGGGGCGGAAGTTCCAAGAGTGCGGCGACGGCGACCATAATGCTCATGGGAGACACATGTACACGAGGCTGTCGATTCTGCGCCGTAAAGACATCTAAAGCACCTCCACCACTGGATCCTCACGAACCAGAGAACACCGCTGAAGCGTTGCGGAGGTGGGGGTTGGGCTACGTCGTCATCACAGTGGTTGATCGCGATGATCTCGTGGATTCCGGGGCGCATCACATTGCCGAAACCATTATGAAGATCAAGCAAAAGAACCCGACGCAGCTTGTTGAATTGCTGGGTGGAGACTACGGAGGCAATCTGGAGATGGCCAAGGTAGTCGCAAGGAGTGGTGTCGATGTCTTTGCGCACAACATCGAAACAACCGAGCGCCTCACACCGTTTGTCCGCGACAGGAGGGCCAAGTTCAGGCAGAGTCTGGATGTGTTGAGGTCAGCCAAGGAGGCACGCCCGGAGCTCATCACCAAGACCAGCATGATGCTGGGCTTGGGCGAGACGGATGAGGACCTCTGGCATGCGTTGAGGGGTACGTTCATACAACCTGATGTACCATTAGACTAAACTAACGTTCACACAGAACTCCGCGCAAACAATGTCGACGTCGTAACCTTTGGCCAATACATGCGCCCCACCAAGCGCCACATGGCCGTCCACGACTATGTCACGCCCGACAAATTCGAACTCTGGCGCCAGCGCGCCCTCGACATGGGTTTCCTATACTGCGCCTCTGGCCCACTCGTACGCTCAAGTTACAAGGCCGGTGAGGCCTTCATCGAGAACGTACTGAAGAAGCGGAGGATGGGCAATGCAGGAAAGAGCGAAGTTGCAGATCTCAGTGTGGCAGAAGAGACTAGCAAGACGTTGTAAATATATAGATTCATGGAAATACTTCATCGCTTTTATGCGACATTCGGGATTACCTCAACTCGATTCTGAATAGAAGTCTGCTTCAACCAGGCTGTCCAATGTACAATACCTCTTTCGACCACATAGACTGTTTGGCGGCATTCACACACAGCAGCATTCCGTTCTTTCGACGCCTCAACAAGCGTCAAGTGATGGCGAGTTCTGCATTATTCCTATGCCGAAACCTCAATCAAAAGAGACTGCTACGAGACACAACGCATCCTTTACGCCTCTGACGGTCAACACTAAAAACAACTGGCAACTAAGGAAGATTTCGTATACGCGTATATATGTTTATATATAAACCATTGCGAAAGGTATCTTATGTAACAAAAACCCACCCCTCTCCAACCTCCCAGATGCCGATTGGCCAAACACCGCGCAAAGAAGGGAAAATGAACGACTGTCATATGTACAGAAAGGAATCCTGTGTGTACACCCAACCAAAAAGTACGATTGGTTGGGGAAAAACAAATATAGTTCCCGCTAAAACATCTCCTAGCGCCTAACAATCTTCCGACAACGCGCAGGCGCCCATGCAGCCTCGAGATCGACTAGACAATGCAGGTCTGCGCCTAGTTGTTTGGCATGCCAGCGCGCAGATTCTCATATTTGCTTACCGGATAGCTGAGCAGATTCCTGGTTTGATCCAGAGCACCGATCCCGCCAACATTCTTGACAAACTGTATCGACATGTCAGCCATCTTCCTCTTTCACGGGCACACATCGAGATAAAGCGCAAGAATCGAAAGTACTTACCGTGGAGATCAAACTCTCGTCGCCTTTCTTGTCACTCGAGCTCTCCCACCACATACCACCACCCAGTCCTCTCTCTCGGATGTACGCGGTCTTCTTGGCGATGACCTCGGGTGTGTCGTAGCTAACCATGAATCTTTTGGCTGGGTCGTAGCACCAGCTGGCAATGACGTTGTCGTCGTAATTTTCTTCACAACCACCAACAGGAAGCTTGCTGTAGTCGTATACGCCATTTTCCCAGGTACCGGAGCCGATACCTGAAAAGGGCTTCCCGGGCCCATCGGTGTTTTCGAAAGAGCGGCCGTAAAGGGGCATGCCTAGGACGATGTTGGCAGGGCTAATACCCGCAGCGATGTAGTCGTCAACTGCCTGCTTCGTACTAAAAGGAGTACTGGTGGGATTGGAAGAGGAGGGGTTCATGTTGGCCTGGTGGCCGGCGTTGGTGTCCCAGGATCCGGCGTAGTCGTAGGCCATCTGGTAGTTGGTGTCAGCAGTCAATATGACTTGATAAGTCAAAAGTACTGACCAAGTTCCAGAAGTCAAGATACTGATCCATTGCCTTGAGCTTCATTTTGTTGTAATTGGTGGGACCTGCGGGTGAAGCAACTGTGAGGAGCAATTTCTGACCAGACGCATGCGTGTTAGAGTATTCGGTAAGAGCGCGACGAGTTTCCTGAAGAAGTAGGACCATATCTTCTGCCTGCGCATCATTGGCAGGATATTCCCAATCGATGTCGAGGCCATCGAAACCAACATCCGCTAAGATCTGAACGGCGCTGCTCGCGAATTTGGCCCGGCCTTCGGGGGTGGACGCAGGCTGGGCGAAATGGGCAGAATAAGTCCAACCACCGATGGATAGGAGCACCTTCAACTTGGGGTTGCTCTTCTTTTGGAGATACAACTGCTTGGCGCATCCATAGACGTTGGTACCAACATCGTTCCACGAGTCAGTCGCATAATGCTTCTCAACGTCAGACCAAGAATCCGTCAAGAAGACTTCGCCGGTATCCCGAACATCGGCAAAGGCATAGAGAACATGGGTGAGCTCATCTCCAGGAAGGTCTTGAGGATTGAAGTTGCGACCATAAATAGCCTGCAAGTAATGTCAGATGCAGATCTTCCGTGTTTGAGCCAGCCGACGAACCCAATTGACAAAATAAGCAACGTTCTTGTAGCCTGATGTGCTTGAACTAGTAGTCATGGTGTCGTTGGTACCACGCGGGATTGCGATGGCTTGTACAAGGGTGGAGATTGAGAGTAATGATGTTACTCCCGCAAGCATGTTGGCGGCGCGCATCCTTATGATGTCGCTAGTGGCGCGCTATGCTGTGCTACGTGGCTGTGGCGCGGGCTAGTGCAGGTACGAACGCGGCTTCGGTCGAGTGCCGAAAGCTAAAGTATGGATAGAAAATGAGGGAAGTAGGATTGGCGACGTTGACAGACGGTCAAAGAACGTATATTTATATCCGAAAGAATGACTGAAGATAAGCTATGGCGAAGGAAAGTCGACTGAAGGTGTGTGTGAAAGAGCGTAAAGGAGGGTCACTCGACCATGCAACGGCCATGGAGCGAGGGAGTAGCAGTTAGCGAATGCTACGAAAGTTCTCTGAAAGGAATGTGACAGTGGGAGAGAGAAGGAAGCCTTGAAAGCTAGCAAAGACCCAGGACTCAAGGGTACATATCTTCGTCCACGCGCGCATACCATGCTGCAAGCGCAGCGTGGGCGACAAGGCTATTTGCACATGCATGTTTGACAAGATATGTCAGTCTCAAGATCTAGAAAGCTTGTGGAGAGTGCCCTTGATCGACCAGGTACAGCCGGCTACGATCTGGGAACGACGGTTAAAGGCTTCTAGGGCGAACTGCTTGAAGCTCTGACTAGTTGAGTTGTAGACAAGAGCGACAAGTGAACTTAGACGCTTGGTACATGAACGCACTTGGTATCTCCGTCGGATATCGAACGTATGACTCCAATGATAGCGGCAATGCGGATTGAGGATACTTCTCCATATTCATCTAGCGAATAATGGGGAACGAAACGACAACTCGACAGTCGCTCTGAAAGGGCATTTAGATGTTCCTCGGGTAGTAAGTGACGTCAACGTTCTCGTTACGATAGCGGTCCCTGAAAAGTGTGTAGTGTAAAGCTCCTATACTGCTCGTTGGACAATTTCGGCGTGTTGGGGATGTGTAACGTCAAAATACAACATAGCATCAGGTTGCTTTGCGACCCCATACCGCTTGCTACGTGCCTCTTTGAAGGCGGCATAGTTTCGCTGGGTAGCTCACGGGTGAAACCACCCATTGGCACATGAAGACATGTTCCCAGTGTCGAGTGGAAAGCGAGCGCAGGAGATATGATGGTGTACTCGAGTAGGGTGCATGCGGTAGATACCACCTGAGCCGGGATGGGAAATTAGGCGTTTGCACTACAGACAGTGTGGACGGAGGATTCGAGCTTCAGGCTGTAGGAGACTATGATCAACTCGACTTGATTATTCCATGGGTAATGTCATGTCTCCACTTCTTGCGTGCGCGTGCGTGTGTCAAGCCGTCGGACATTGTGGTCGCTTAGGCCGAGCAAAGATTGAGAAGTACAATAGCGTCAGGTGGAGATAGATGGTGAGTTGACCGCAGCGTATCGTAGAGACGAGATGGGTGGGGACTGAAGCCGCACGAGGAAAGGGTGCTTGACGGGAAGGATGGCATGCGGGACGGACGGGTGGCCGCATTAAGCCGCGGTGGATACGCGAGGTATGAGCAGATACAGAAGGAAGCCCGGCCTGGATGCAGCGACCTTGTAATCTGCCAATCTGCAAAGAGATAGGCGTCAAGCGTTTCGAATAAGCCCTTTCTCGACACACTTTAGCGTGCAGTCAGAAGGGTTCACCCACGTTCGTGCACTTGTGATTAGAGACACGCGGTGCTTTGCTGGGGTTGTTGCAGATCAGAGAGGCGCTATAGTGATAGTACATGCCGAAGGGGCCCATGTCTTGATAACAAGTTAGAGCTGCCGGGGTCAGTACGCACGTCGCGATGCATCATGGCTGCGACTGTAACCTCGAGAGCAGGACGGCCAGGCCGCTGCCTGCCGATCCAATCCCCCACGCATGGCAGGGATGAGTGCCAGACGCACACGGGTATGTAACGACGGCGAACAGAAAGCGTGAGTTGGAGCGTGAAGTGTGTAGAGATGGTGATAGTCGATGAGAAAGAAGCGTGTTCGTTCTAAAGGAGGAAGGATGGCTCGTGTCACCAGTCGTTAAAGTGGCGTGGCTAGTGCACGTTCAGCCTTCCACTGCACTGTAGCATCTCCACACCACTTCAAGATTACAGCTCGACAGTATCAGGTCAACGAAACGCCCACCATTCGCCCGCATCATCGCCATGGACTCAGAGCATAGTGATAACGATGGCATCAGGTTGCGCGTTCAGAAGTAAACACGCGCACGTATGTCATTCTCAAGGAGGGAAAGGGTTGATGCAGACGATGACGATGAACGACCTGCTATCAAAGGGTATCATAACAATCATAAAACGCCACGCTCAGCATATCCGAGACCACTAGACCTTCGTAGAGACCCATAATGTCTGGTGAGAACCTCTCTCATTCATGCCCGCAGTCTCCGGACCAAGCCAGTTAGAGGCCCCACGGCCTTTCTGCTCAAGACGGCATCTCGAACCCCATCTCTTGTTCTACACACGGCTCTCTCGACCCTGCCGTCTTTGGTAATGGTCATGACTGCTGTCCGTCTGTCGGACCAGACAACGGTAACCTGCCTGATCGCAGCATCGACTTCAATGTCCAAGATGCGTGCGCTCCCGAAATCGGCATCGCCTTGCTCGATGTCTGAGCTGGCCTCGTCGTCGCTCACAAAAGCGTTCAGAATCTTTCCAGTGGATGCGAAGCTGTCGTTTTCACTATCCTCTTTCGATTGTGCCAGACCAGCATCCTTCCGTAGTTCTTCCACCGCGTTGACGCGCAGATGCCAGCTCACGAGTTCCTTCCTCAGTAGTCTTCCGAATCGCACGAGGTCTTGCTCCGGATCGTTCTCTTCGTCTTTGCCGCTCGCAGGTAGCCACTTGTCCGACAGGTGCTGCAGAGGTATACACGGCGGGATGGTGTGCTTGTGTATCTTCATAATTCTCCTCTCATGTTTTTGTTTGACGCTCAGTAAGACATGGTACGTCTCGACGAATCTGCCTCGCAGTGCTACGTCTATACTGACTCCAAGGATGTTGCCGTCATTCAGCGCATGCGGGTCGGGATCTTTGACTTTGTATGCAGTCACGCCGGCGCAGGCGCGGTAGACGTTTTCGAGGTTGCGTTTCGACTGCCTTGTGATGACATCATTGGCGTCATTCGCGGGTTTGTTATCTGTGTTGGTGCTTTGAAGGCGCGCTGCGAGGTGGGGTTGCGACAGTAGGACGGAGGATAGGTTCGCACGGTGGGCATGTAGTGTCGCTAGTCGGGTATGAAGATGGCTAATGTCCTCGTCGAGCTGTTCGGAGGTCTCCATGGTGAAGCAGTGTATTGTCGCGGAGGCGCATCGGTGTCCAGATTGGAACGCATAGAAACGCGCTAACACGTGACTAAGCGTCGAGCAGGGGTGGTGGCGGGAGGTGGGATGGAAGCCCGCGACTCGCCTAGTGCTCCGCCCTCGTCGAGCTCGAGGCTAGAGGACACGGTTCCGTATCCGTCCAGGCATTCAAAGCCGGTGGCCATCGTATACTGTTACCCTTCTACGAACACGTTTCTTGTCCTTCACTAGTCGCTCTCTAAACGTCTGTCGCAACCCAGAGTTTGCGTCTTCTTTCCCAAGCTTCGCCAGTCTCAGTCCCAGACATCAGCCACCCAGCACCCGCGCGACTCCTATTACCTACCCACTTGTCCAACTCCACCACCAAAAAGCCTCTTCATCAGACGCACACCACCGACGCACCCAAATGAGCAAACGCGCCTCGCGATCAAAGAACCGCGGCTCTGTACTACGTGAGCAGAGCTCCACCGACTCCCTGCAGGAAAAGAAGAACGGAAATGCAAATTCCACGGCCATGAACAGCGCCATGTTGGAACATCGGCGCAAACATTCGTCCTTCGACAGCAACTCGCCATCGAGCCAGGCTGCATCCCTCATGGGCAACTCCAACTTTTCGCTCGATGACGATGTGCCCAAGCTGGGCCAAGAAGACGAAGGAACGTCCAAGGGTTTCTTCGAGCTGTCCAAGAAGGACCAGAGCAACTTCCTCCTCCTCGTGCTGCTGTACTTCCTTCAGGGCATACCCATGGGCCTAGCGCACGGCTCGGTGCCATTCCTGCTCAAACACAACGTGTCCTACGCTGCCATTGGTGTCTTCTCGCTCGCAGCCTACCCGTACTCGCTAAAACTCCTTTGGAGTCCCATCGTGGATGCGGTATGGTCACCAAAAGTCGGACGCCGGAAGAGTTGGATCTTACCCATCCAGACCATTTCTGGCTTCTCCATGATCTGGTTAGGCAAGAACATCAACCGCATGATGAAGGAGGCGGGCGAGACCGACAGCGGGGTCTGGACTTTCACGTGGTGGTGGTTTGCGCTCGTATTCCTTTGCGCCACTCAGGACATCGCTGTGGATGGTAAGATATTGCAACTTCCAAAACTGACATGCACAAAGCTAATTGCGAACAGGTTGGGCGTTGACCCTTCTCTCCAAGGAGAATCTCGCATACGCATCGACTGCGCAAACCGTCGGCCTGACCGCTGGCCAGTTCCTTTCCTACACGGTCTTCCTGGCCTTCAACTCCAAAGACTTTGCGAACAAGTGGTTTCGCAGCACTCCTGCAGACACCGGCATCATGGAGCTTGATGGCTACTTGAGCTTCTGGGGGTGGGCATACCTGATAGTCACTCTTGGACTGGCAGTCATGAAACGCGAAGACCGCGATAAGAACGGCGATGGCATCGGAGAGGTTTACCGCACCATGTGGGGCATCTTGAAGTTGAAGAACATTCAAAGCTTCATCATTATCCACCTCATCGCCAAGATCGGATTCCAAGCCAACGATGCTGTCACGAGTCTGAAGCTCCTAGACAAAGGCCTCAAACAGGAGCAGCTTTCTCTCGTCATTCTTGTAGACTTTCCCGTCGAGGTCTTTTTAGGCTACTACATCGGAAAATGGTGCCAGACCTACCCGCCGATGCACATCTGGTGTTGGTCCTTCATCGGCCGCCTAGTTGCTGCGGGGTTCGCGCAGTTTGTCGTGTCCATCTTCCCGGCTGGAGGAGCATCGTCAGGTTTCCTGATGCTGGTCATTGCTGAGCATGTGCTGTCGACCTTCATGAATACCGTCATGTTCGTCGCAGTCAGCGCGTTCCACGCAAAGATCTCTGATCCGCTCATTGGTGGTACCTATATGACGCTGCTCGCTACGTAAGTTCTACTCCCCTGTTCTATCCACGTGTTACTAACAATAATGTAGCGTCTCCAACCTCGGCGGTACGTTCCCACGCTACTTTGTCCTCAAAGCCGTCGACATGTTTACTTCGGCAACCTGCATACCACCTACGGATGTTCCCAAGGCAGATTTTTTGAAGGGGCCACTCATTACACAGGCCTTCTCTTGCTCCCTAGAGGCAGAGAAGCATCGCTGCCAGGCAGGCGGTGGTGTCTGCAACGTCACGAGTGACGGATATTACATTGTGAATATTCTATGTATTGTGATTGGTGTAGTGACGTTCTGGGGCTACATCAAACCTGCCGTTATGCGTATACAGGCGTTGCCGTTAAGGGCATGGAGGATCGCTGGATAGATAGATGACCTACCAAGTGTACGATATAGATGCAAAGCTTGAATTTAGATGAAAGCACATTGCACGGCTATAGGCAGGCTGTTGACCTAAAACTTTTTGGATCCAGAAACATGGCAACAATCCGTCTCCAAGCCGCTTGCGCACGTATGTGCCGCGCTCGCGCGTTCTCCCGTGACCAGGCGTGCTGATCGGCCAATAGTGGGTGGCCTTATGCACCAGTGTAAGCCACGCCGTCTGGAGCGCATGCAGGTACGTTCGCGCCGCAGTACATGTCTCAGACCGCTCAAAAAAGGATCAAACTATGCAAGGGTTTGCTCACAAACGACCTGCAACAGTCGGGCGGTTGTGACTTGGAATTGTTGGGTGAAAGAACTTTAGCGGCTCGCAGTTGTCAGTCATGAGATGGTCTGGGACCGTTCTGTAAGCAGGCCGAGTCTCGACTCAGCATGCCGAAGACGCCGATAGAAGGACATGTTGACTGATGCAACATGTCAGGCCATGTGTAACGGCTGCGGCCCGAGGTAGACTAGCAAAGCTTTAAGGGATCAGATGCCTGTGCCTTCTCCGAGAATCTCGCAAACCCCCGAAGTCGCCGAAGACACGCTGTGCCAGCTAGAGTAGCCTCATACCTCGGAAACGTGCACAAGGCGTTGACGCTTACCTTCCTGCGGCTAGTCGCCTTCGACATCGCGTTTTGACATCTGTCGCAAATTATCTGCTGATCTTGAATACTCTTTTACCTCTATTCCTATTCGCCTGACGTGTCGCGCCCTTTTCCAACCGTCGCAGCACAAACCTACCTAGTCCGACACCTTGATTGACGTCCGACTTTACACCAACCCCAAAGTCTACCGCAGCCGTTGGACTTCCAAGGGCCCAGCCAAACCCTTACCCACGCCAATCCCGCCGACGTGTAACACTGATAACGAGTCCCTACGGATCGTCTTATCTCGAGTCCTACGAACAGTGTTGATACTGCCTGTATCTCCAATCTTGTCGCGTCGTCTCTCTATATTGTGGGAACAATCGCAATGGCTTTCTCGGCGTACCAACCTAAGGCGCGGGTCCAGAAGCCCGCGCCTCATTTCTCTGGCACTGCAGTCGTCGATGGCACATTCGAAGGTATGCGACTGTTTACCACCTTGCACTTTTCTCCTTCCTTCACTCGTCCGATTGCCTATCAGTCAGAGCAACGTACTAACAACTCTTAGACCTCAGCTTAACAGCCTATACATCCACCAAGCAATGGCTCGTCCTCGGTTTCGTCCCCATGGCCTGGACTTTCGTTTGCCCAACCGAGATCCTCGCCTTTAGTGAACGCGCATCCGACTTCGCTGCCCGTGGCGCCAGCGTCGTCTTCTCCAGCACAGACAGCGAGTATAGCTTGCTTGCTTGGACAAACGCAAGCAAGAAGGAAGGAGGCCTGGGCAAAATCAATATTCCTCTGCTGAGCGACAAGAACCATAGCATTGCAAAGGACTACGGCGTGCTGATCGAAGAGGAGGGGATTGCGTTGCGAGGTCTGTTCTTGATTGATCCGAATGGCATCGTACGACAAATCACTATCAACGACCTTCCTGTTGGAAGATCAGTCGACGAGACCCTTCGCCTAATCGATGCCTTCCAATTCACCGACAAATATGGCGAGGTACGATGCATCCTATTCCCATGCACTCCCATTTGCGCTATATGCTAACACGGTTTTACTAGGTCTGCCCTGCCAACTGGAACCCGGGTGACGAAACCATCAAAGCGACACCCGCAGGCAACAAGGAATACCTCGACAAGCTCCATGCTGACACCAAGATGTCTGACGTTGCCGTAAAGACAAATGGTACGGCTTCTTCGGCGCGTTGATGATAGCTGGCCAGACCTCAATGTTTCGGAAATAGTGTGCTGATCTTCCTTATTGCAGGGACTTCTTGAAATGCAGATGTTTCGGCTTGCTTTGGTCGTGCAATGTTAGCATATGCGTCTCGTCTTTCATCTGTGATTAGTTGCATTGATCGGCGTTGTTCTGCCGCTGTCGCGTTGGCTTTCTGGTTGCGGTCTTCGACTCAGCTACACCCATCATACCATTAGAATCCACTCTATACAATATTCAACACTTTAAATCAAATGCAGCCTTGAACCTGGTGGCACTGCGTGTAACCTGAAGACTTGGTTAGAAAGACCGTGATCCTCGTCTCCTGATTTCCAAAAGGTCTCTGTTTCCTATATGAGCTCACGAATGATTTCAGCAGGATGAGAAAGCCTCAAAACTTCTGTAGAATAAGTAAGTCACAAACGTGTCGCAACATTACGAAGGATGCGCGTTAGCTTCCGCTTGGCGCTACGGAAACAACGCGAACGCCACGGATCTGTACCTCTTTCGACATAGCCCACAAGAAGGGCCTCCAATCATGGAGCCACGCCTGAATACGCTACTGGACATCTCGAACCAGAGCAGCATGTCATACATCACAGAGCCATCGAACATGAACTCACCTGGCTCGCAACGACCATCACACCATATTAATCACAGTTTCGTACGTCCAAAAGCGCTCATGCTAGCGAACTCATCTCCTGAAACCGCTCAGTCGAACGACGTCCGAAGAGGCGGACAGGAGAGGTTATATGCCACACGGTCGATGCCTAGTGCTCCGATAGCACAGGTATTGAACGACGAGGCGAATGTGCTCGAGGCTGCACAACCCGTGCCATCCACCTTTGCCCCATCAACGACACCTTTCAGTGGAAGGCTAGTTGATTTGCTTCTGGATAGCCCGGATCATGCGAGGCAAAGATGGGATCAAGAGCAACAGTTTCTTCAGCCCGAGAACACAGGTTGCAGCCCAGCTGTCATCAAACTACCGAGGTTACCGCAGCCTCCCAAGCGGACAGCGAAGCGACCTAGAATCCCGCCACTGCTACAGGGCTTGCATCAACCTCCGCCACTACCGCCAGAGGGCAGGCTCTTCCCACCGATCACTGGGGAAAAGAATGCTTTCGCGGGCGAGCGAGGGTATGATGCACGTTTTGAGGAGTCCAGGAACAAGGATGTGGATGAGCATGCCTTTCTCGAAGGGAGTGCAATGGACTACAACAGAGCTCTTCAACATGTCGAAACTCCATCATTTTCCCAAGCGTCACTTCCGCCTGTATCTTCTAGTGTGATAGATGTGGCCCCTGAGACAGATGTAGCAACAAACGCCTTCAAAGATTCTGAAGCGCTGTTGCAGCCCAAGCGTGGAAAGAAGCGAAATAAATGGTCCGAACAAGAGACCAAAGATCTGCTTATAGGTGTCAGCAGGTACGGTATAGGCAACTGGAAAAAGATATTGCAGGACCAAGACTTTGCGTTCAATAATCGCACGGCTGTTGATCTGAAAGACCGCTTTCGTGTATGCTGCCCTGGTGAAGGTCTAAAGCCACGGCAGCCAAAGATCAAAGGAAAAGAGAAGACAAGCTTGGTTGAGACACCATCGGATTTGCCAGACCAAGCCATTTACACTCATCAGCATTCTCTTCCCATTGCCGAACGCCACTCCGACAACAACCTCATTTCGAATTCTCCCAGCCCGACCGAGAACCAGCAACGTGGAGCTACTCGCAATAAGGCTACTACGCAGCTGGATCTAGCCGAGCTCGGTATCCACGAACCGTTCTCAAAAACCACACGTCGGCCACGCCGGGCCTTCAGCGCACGCGATGACGTCAACTTGCTCAAGGGCTTTGAAAAGTACGGGTCTGTATGGCACTCGATGCGCGACGACGAGGATCTAGGGTTTGGGACTCGGCATCCAACAGACCTACGCGATCGATTCAGAATCCGTTATCCAGACAAGTACGCCAAAGCAGGATACAAATTGAAAGCAAAAGAGAAGGAACGTACATTATCGAAACAAGCACACGAACAAGAGAAACAGGACGATTCTTCGCAACAACCAGATCAAATCCCAACTCAGAACCATTCGCACCAAGCGAAACGGAGTCACTCACAGAACGACATTACCATCTTAGGAAAAGACGTTCATCCCTTCAACAACAACGGACCAAACACAAATACGCCATCATATTGTCCGATCTCGATCAACACCAACAACAGCAATAATCTCAACTCTGCCTTGAAGCCCTTCAACCCTTCCTCCTACCTTTCCGACCCCCTCCCCACCCTCCCCTTCGACGACCCAGACACCGACCTCACACAAGACATGAGCACTGTTGGTGACGAAAGCCCGATAACACTAAGTCGAAATATTCTCCGTTGGGCGGATGCGAATCCGTCGTCCCTCTATGCCTTTCCCGCTACTTCTGCGGCCTCTGCTTCGGCGTCGATGGGAAATGTGCTTGGTGCTAGTCTTGGTAATAAGGGGGCTGGCGGGGGCGGGTCTGGTGGTGGTGATGATGGAGGGGTGAATGGGTCTACCGGAGGAGGAGGAGGAGGAGGAGGAGGAGGTCAACAGCAGCAGCAGATGGATAGTGGGAGGGGCATGGTGCTGCCTGAGGCGGATAGTTGGCTATTGGGTGGTGAGAGGGTTCCGACGTATGGGATGTATAGACATCGATCTTAGCATAGGCTGATGTGTCGTACGTAGTAGTGTGAAAAGGTGGGTAGAAGGTCAAATAGCCACCTCACGTTGGCATTCTTTGCTGTTTACCCATCAAGTGACATTCCAGTACCTAGACATGTCACACATCGGCTTCCACATGAAACAGTCTACCGTTTTCAGTATGGTTGGGACGGTTAGATATAACGACAAGGTTCAGCATAGTTTTCCAATGCGGTACTCGAGAGAGTTCAAGTACAGACGTATCCATCATGCCTATATGATCCATGCCCTCCGACCACATAACCCGGGTATCACTCGCTCCCAACCGACCATGGCTCAAGTCCCCTATCTCACAGTCTGGCAGATAGCAATAGCAAAAGCTCGGAAATCTCCTCTGGTAGCCTCTTCAACATCCTCCTCAACGACACGACCGTACTTCTCCTCGTACTCTGCCTTGACCCTAAGAAGATGCTGACGGTCCCAATGTAATCTCACAAGACGCGAGATGAGTAACTCGACTCGTTGTTGGCGTTCATGCTTGCTGGATGTTGCTTCGCGCGATGACAGTCGACTGTTGGAGGAGCGGCCGTCATTTGGGGGCTCCATGAGGTCTACGAGAGCGTGATGTAGGAGCATGGCATCTCTTGCTGGACGGTTAACTGGAACGCGTAATTAGTACATATCCGAGAGTGGAGTTATGGGACAACACTTACTGACGCCATTGAGAATGTGCGCAATAACTTCACCAACCAAATTGTTGCTCTTCTTGAGAGCGTCTCTCGCAAAGTTGCCTTGGTACTTTCTCTCGTATGTCCTCAGCACCTCGCGCAAATGTGCGTCACTTCGCATGATGACAATACCGAGCATAGCACTCTCTCCACCTTCCCTGGCTCGGATGGCTTTGTATAGAGTATCGACATCGCGATTGCGATATTCCACTGGCCACACATCGCTTTCTTCTTGTCGATTGGCTTCCAGTGCCATCAGGACAGCTTTACGAAACTTGTCGGCTTTGAGCTCCTTGTCCATGCAGCGGGTGAGGGAATCGCTGTAGCGCTTGTCTTTGAATGCATCTTTGATCTCGCGAATCTCGTGGTTTTGTCGACCCATTAGCGATTCGATGAGGAGCTCTCGGCGCGCCGAGTTGGACTGGTACCAGTAGTTTGCCCAGTAGCCCTCGCCTTCATATTTGCCTAAGGCCGTTACGTAGGCAATTTTGCCAAAATTACCGTTGGTCTTCAACTTGATGTGTTTGGCAATGTTGATACCCCTGCCTTGTACTTTGCAGTGTCGCTTGTACTCGGCTCGCAACTCGAGCATCTGGTCGTGCGTGAGGATTGGGAGGATATCGCATATAGTATCTACATCTGGCGTTCGCGCCGCCAGTGCGTCGACAAGGGCTAGAGCGTCATCAGTGGCATCGTATATTCTCGCTTTCCGTTTCTCCCTTTCAGGGAGGCGCTCGTCGCGGCCGTATGCGGCCATTGCCAGCTTGTCGGTATGCCTGGAAGATCTCGAAGGGCTTGGCGTTCGTCGCGAGGAGGTGGAATGAGCACGGCGGCGGCCATGACCAGAAGCACGAGGGGAGAGAGTATCGAGAGGAGGCAGATGGTCAAGATCGTCATCTAGCATCAACGCCTGAGGCATAGGGCTGATGGACTGATACGTTCCATGGTACGCTTCAAGCAGAGGACTCGGCGGTGGTAGTCCGGATGGGAATCCTCCAGGCATGCCTCCTGGAACGATAGTTTGTATATCGGGTCTGTTCCCGCTCACGGACAGCCTATCCATACGCAGCCCATCCGGCCTGTCGCCTGCGCCAAGGTGACCTTGTGGACGCATCTCTACTACATTACGGCCATCATGTGTGCTCATTGGCCCCGAGTAGGAAGCAGCTCGGTGGTGATCAGGGCGCGGCGAGTGGCTGCCCATGGGAGGAGGTGGGTAGAACGACTGGTCGGCTGGGGGCGGCTGAGGAGCCTGTGGCATGGTCGCATACTGAGATGGCGGCGGAGGAGCCTGGGACGCGTACGGGGACTGCGGGGGCGGCGCGTGCGATGCATACTGAGGCTGCGATGGGGGTGCTTGCGATGCATACTGCGATTGCGGTGAAGGAGCCTGCGGCACGGCTGTGTATTGGAGTTGGGGCGTCGGGGGATAGGAAGGGCTTATGGGCTGGGAGTTGTGCCGCACGATTGGCGGCTGGTTGTTGCTGCCCACGGGCTTCGCGGTATACTGGATATTGGTGGGCGGACTCGCATACTGGAAAGCGCCGTTGGTCTTCGCTGTCGCCGTCGGGGTCCTCGTGGGCGCGTTATGGGATGCCGACGTTGCGGTATAGGCAAAGCCATGCGCGGTCGGCGCATACTGGACGTTGCCGGGCTGCGCATACGCGACTCCCGCCGAGGGCGCTGCTGTGGTGGCAGGATGGGCAAAAGAGGCGGACTGGGTATACCCTGGTCTCTCGTGGGGAGGGAGATCGGTGTAGTTCCCCATGGTAATGGGTTCGCTCGCTGGTCTGGCCGCCATATCTCAGTTCAAGTCCCGCAATGTCTGTCGCAGACATCTGGCAGAGGCATTTCGCGCAGTACTCACGTCGCATATGGCTGACCCGGCTGCCTAATCTCATACTGCGGGGTTGCAGCGCCGTTGTCAGCTGCACCGTATCTCTGAGGCTCTCGCCCGTCACGGCTGCGTGAGCGCGCACCCTCCCGACCGCGCCCAGGCGATTTGGACCGCGACCGCCTTGACTTGTCGTCCGGCCGTAAAGACATGGCCTTGATCTTTCACTGCTCAATTGATGAGACTAATGTCGACTCTCGTGGTCGAGGTTTACGCGCTGAACAGTTCGGTCCAGTGCACGGCGCGACGAAAATTGCGATGGCTGGAAGCTGCCACACCATTGCCGCTCCTTTCAGCCTCGCTCATGTTTGAATTGGGGGCCAGAACCGTTACTCAATCCGCTCTTCTCTCTGGCGCCGCAGACCAGGTAGGCGCCTGCGTACAGCGTGGAGCAGCTCCATGACTTCTTGTTGTAGCATTACGGTGCGAAAGGTGTCGTTGGTTTTGATACCTATGCACGTTCGTCGAAAGTGGAGAGGGAGGCTTTCCCAACTCCAACACATTCGCCCGCGCTGCATTACAGTCATGATTCTTATCTCGCGTCACAGCGTCAAGCGAGCGCTAGAAAAGCCGAAAACCATCAGTCAGAAACTTATGTTGAGCCGCTCCAGCTCCGTAACGCGCCGATATCAACGTCGCCATCGGCGAAGACAGGAACTGTGGGTCTCAACTCACCGCTTCAGCTACCCTTCATGGAAACATCGAGCATTCTACGGGCATTGCCAGGGCATGCTTGGTACCTTAATGCTTAGCCTATCCGTCTGGTGAAAAGATTTCACCTCGAGCTGAAGTGGTGTATCGGCAGAGCGCCACGATGCATAGATAAACAAAGCATGACAGCAGCTTATGGGCGGTGACCATCAGCACGAGCCGCGCTATTCCAGCTGATAGTTAAAGCTGAGGTGATACCTTTTTCAAATGTTACAATCGTTCTTCGCATTCTACTAGAATCATGGCTGTCGTTGTTCCGCCTCCTAGTAATTTCCAGCCGCAATCTGCACTTCTCCAATTGCCAGCAGAAATCAAACACATCATATATGGATTGTGTTTCGTTGCCGACGCCCCCATAATCGACCCTCAAATCAACGGCTCCAAAAGGCGAAATGACATTGCGGTTCGTACGACACCAGGCGCTGCTCTGCTTCAGACATGCCGTAGAACCTACCACGAGATCGACCGCCGTCCACTATTCGCGCAGAACACCTTCCGTTTCTCGAATCTGACCAGGATGCGAGCTTTCCTACATGCACTTCCTCTGGAATACAGAACGCGCATCCAGGATATCGAAATCGATTTGCGAGAGTTGAACTCGGATCGCCCTCACCTCGCGCGTGAGTGGCTGCAGTACGTTGCGCTAGCAAAGAATGGAGGCTTGGATTCATTGCGCGCTGACGCAGCCGGTCTACGGTGTCTGCGAATAAACCTAGAGACATGGCCCGTTAGTGAGTACTCTCAATCATAACTTCATGAGAGACATATACTGACATGGCAATTCAACTTTCAGTCGCTGTAATTCGGAGTGAACTCTGGACTTTTCTTCGAAGCATGCTATCGGAGCTCGAGGGCTTGGACAGAATTGTCGTAACTGGATCGAGCAGAGGCAAGGCAATGGAACGAAAATTGCCATGGTCGCCAGTCCATTTTGTTGGTGGAGATGACGTTGGAACCCACGACTTGCTTGCTCGAATGAACAAGTGTGTCACGAAAACCGTCAGCGACAACGCCGTCAAGTGGCTGCGACAAAACGGCAGATTACAACTCGAAGTAATCTCCAAGCCGGGTTTACACGAAAGCGTTGCCGCACAAGGGATACAAGCTCCACAGAACGAGAACAGCGCAAAATTCTTGCCACCGAGCGGAGAATGTTCCTTCTTTGCTTGCGAGAATCGCCACTCCTATGAAAAAGAATCCGGGGATAAAGAACTCAATCCCAGTGCCGCCGAATGATTGGCCTCGCTGGATCCCAAGGACCATAAATCTCATTCTTGTACTTCTGGAGACTGATGAGCCACCAACTGCAGACCCCCATGCTCAACACGGTGAGGATGACCCCTACGATCGCACCTGCCAAGAATGCACTGCGACCCCCACCTGTCAAGGTGACAAAAAGACCACCCCACGCGCCGGTTACTAGAGTGATGGTGAGGGCGAGATGACCCCACGGAGATCTAGCGCGGAGCTGGCGACGGAAGATTGGGAATAGACCGTATATTTCGATGGAGAAGAGGGTCAGCGAGAAGACGTGTGTGGTAGATGGCAGGCGTGATGCAAGAACAGCCGACGCCATCATGGCCGAATTCGTGGATATCGAAGCTGGTAATCTGTAGGCATACAACTTAGCCGTACGTACATTTAAGAGAATACTGTCATTCATACTGTGCGCCTGTGCCTGCACTGTAGTCGAAAAAGGCAACGTTCATCATGAGGAGCCATGTGCTCAGTGCCCATATCGAATCACTTGTCGTAGAGCGCGTAAGTGACTTGAGAATCGGACTGAGTCCAAGTAAAGCCGCATAAATCAGCAACGCTGATTTGGCAGTCGCCAGGCGCTGTTGAGTACGTCCTGAAAGTGCCGATGATGGTTTGATTGCAGCTGAGTCTGAGTCTGAAGCAGGTGTCGATGCCACATTGGAGACGATCTCAAACTCCTGTCCCATCCAATGATCCCATAAGAACCAGGCTAGAACTGTGCACAAAGTAGCCCACCCCACTACTGCGACAGGCGATACTCTGTCGTGAATGATGGCCACAAAACAGCAACAAAAGATGACCACTGTCGCAAGATGCTGCACAATAACCGTGGCATCACCCATCAGCGACCAGAACTCGTAGGGCTGTAATCTTGGATTGCGCTGGAGATGATCAAGAAATGTCGTTTCATCTGTGTAGTTATCGGGAACTGTATACGTCAGACCTGGGTTGAAATCCGAGACAGGGGCATGCGTGAGCACCCACAGGGCTGTTTGAACCATAGGAGTTTCTTGTAATTGCCCTTTGCAGGCCGGTTTATGATTCGCGGCCCACCCTTCCTCTTCCTGCTAGTAGCGGCGAGAGATGCGCCCGCTGGATCTAGTAGCCGGTTTTGGTACATGTCACACTTGTTTGGTTTTTCGCAGATATGGTTGATGGTGAGGAGATAGTTCATATTAGAGCTAAGTCGGTGGGACGCGTTACTGCACGTGCGGCCAAGTCCGGACAGGCGCGATTATGTCCGAAATTATGTCCGAGCTTTCAGTATATCAAGATATCGAGTTGTATTATTAACGATTAAGTGTGCTCCAGGCGACCATTATCCTCCTATGCTTAGGCACGGTAGCGCGACCGGCCTTGACCTTAAAGTTGTCCTGTTCCAACACCCTCCCAATCTCCATATAGCTCTCGACCGCGACCCGAATTGGCCCTCTCGCTTCGACTGGTAATTGCTCGATTGCGATCTTGGTTTTCTCATATAAAGAGAACGCGTCCTTGAGAAGACGCTTACGTAACGTCTCGATTTGTGCGTGGTCCGGTTCCTCCAACACCTCATCGTAACTCAATCCAACTTCAGACAGCCATTCTAAAGGAAGATAAACACGACCTATCTGAGCGTCTACTTGTATATCTCGCGCAATGTTGACGTATTGCAAGGCGACACCCATGCTGTTACCAGCAGTGACTATGGCACGCTGCTCTTCGGCGGGCAAGGCGCTGGGATACCAGTTGAAGATGAGTTGGATACACATCTGCGCTACAGTGCCCGCTACGCGCTCTGAATACAAGCGCAAATCCTCTGTGCTCTTAATCAGGGGTCCCTTATCGAAAGCCAGATCCATCTCGAAGCCGCGTAGAAGATCCTCCAATGGTTGATGCGAGAGTTTAGCGGCTGGAAGCTGGAGGAGCGCAGATTGTGTGACAACAGGAAAGTCCTCGCGAACTTGGGCAGGTACTGTAGACTTGGATGCAGAATCGCTATACGCATTGTTTAGGAACTTGCGCAGTTTGGCTATCCAGGCCTTGGCTTCATCGGCGGAGGAAGCATTATCCACCAAATCGTCAGCAACGCGGCAGAAGGAGTAGAGCAGCAGCAGATCTGCCCGTAAAGGTCCGGGGAAGGTTGCGGAGGCCAGGTAGAAACTACGGCTCTTACGCTTGAGACGTTGCACAGCCTCGCCAAGGCCTACAAGGCGGGCATCATCGTACTTGAAGCATGGAGTGAGCAGAGCGCGCATCAGCGTTGCGGGTGATGGAAGCAGGGAGGGTTTCGCAAACATGGCCGGGAACGTGTACAGCACTGCAAGAGCATTGTCAAATGCTAATTGACCAAATACTATGAGGCAGTTGGTGACGAGGAAGAAGAGGGCTTCCTCAACCTCGAGGCCATCCCACAAGTGCACACCATATTTTGTACCTGTGTTAATTACCCATGTTCCTCTGCGCAAGGCTAGGGTGTCGACTATCCATAGGTAGAGCGTAGGAAGGATGATGGGTATCGCGGTGTTGGTCAGAGGAAGGGCCAGAATGAACTGATAGGCGAGACTCCTAGGGTTAATTAGTAGGAATCCGGGTTGCAATAGTGGTTGGCTTACCAAAGCATCAGCAGGAAGGGGCCGGCCCATATTAGAATGAGTCCAGTATATGTGCCCTTGCTGTCATCCTTGATGCAACGCCATCCCCATGCGATGACACCCAGGAAAAAGATCTGGCCGGTACGTTTCGTGTATGCCCATCGGCTGTTGGACGCGCCGCGTTCCGGACTTAGATAGACAGGCTGAAAAGTGGGCCTACTGAGGAGAAGGTACAGGACTGATGTATTGTATGTCTGGACGACAAAGAAGAAGACCTCTTCCAGCGGAATGTCAAGCAGCTTTGGACCAATAATGACATGGGCGGGGTAGCTCCAGATGCCGGTGCGGATAAGGTAGGAATCCCATGGTATAGTCGAGACAACGGCAACCTGACGTGTTAGCACGAAGCGTGTTGACGAGGATACGCGAACCAACCACTATCAGATAGACGACCTTGTACACGTCGAGTTTAGTAAAGAAAGGGCGGTAGAGCCAGGTGAGCAACACGGCCGGAGGGATCGTGTACTTGAGATGACTAGTCGTCACTGTCAGCCATGTTGGTGTAACGCAGGAAGAGGCGCGTCACGTACACGAGCGCGTAGTCGAAGCCCATGATGGCACCGTGGGAGCAGAAGGGAGTAGCCGGAGAGATGTGCAATCGGCGTCACTCATGGAGCCAATGCGGCAGGGGGAGAGACTAGGCCGCGGCGGGCGTCAGGCACAAGATAATGCGCAAGAGAGGCCATGATGGAGAATATTTGCAACATGGTTGAGACGGCGCTGGTCGGGCGGCTGTGAAGGATGCGCGCTGCCCCAAGCGGCCTAGCGGCTATGCAAGCCTCGACATGACATCACGATTCCCCGGCCGCCATCACGACCAAGGCCGTGGAGCACATGTCAACCGGATACCCGTGGAAGCGGGCAGCCCTGCCATTGTTGCATCATATCATGTCACCAGCTCCTGACTCCGTGTCCTGCCTCCCTCTGGCCGCGGCGACACGTGAAGACTGCACCCACTGTACTAATGAATTGCCTGCGCCGTTGTCCTGAGCCAAACCGTTCTCCAATGCCGCCAAGCTAATAATACCGCCGTAATGTCCACGCCTGGACCGAACAGCAGCAAGTCGACGCCTAAACACCCGTACGCATTCTTGCTCATTGCCATACACGGCCCGGACTAACCCTCTCCAGATATCTCTCTGGCAACTTCGCGCCTGTCTCTACGACATGTCCTCCTACGCCTGTCTCATGGACCGGCCGCGTTCCACCAGAGCTGCTGGGCGGCATGTACGTCCGCAACGGCGGCAATCCCGTGACCAATTCTGACTTGGGACGTGAGGCACATTGGTTCGACGGCGACGGCATGCTCGCTGGAGTCTGGTTCAGTCGTTCTACCGCCGACCCTACCAAGCCTGCTGTCAAGTTCGTCAACCAATTCATCACCACCGACGTGTACCGCACCGCCGTTGAGAATCCAACTCTGCGCACGCCTATCCTACCTAGCATCGCCACACTTGTCAACCCTGCCTCCAGTTTGTTGCTTATCCTCTGGCGCATCCTACGCACTGTACTGGTCGTCTTCTGGACCCATCTCTCAGGCTCTGCACGCGCTATCAAGCGCATCAGCGTCGCCAACACCAGCATATTATACCACGACGGACGTGCGTTGGCGACATGCGAGAGCGGACCGCCAATGCGCATTGCGTTGCCAAGCCTGGAAACCGTCGGCTGGTTCGACGGTAACCGTGCCGAAGGCGAAGCTACACCCTGCAATAAGGACACAGATGACGAGAAACAGCCTGAAGCTCTTGGTGGAACTGGTTTGCTGAGCTGGATGAAAGAGTGGACAACGGGTCATCCCAAGGTCGACAAGGTCACGAACGAGATGGTTTTGTTCCATTGCAACTTCGTCGCGCCCTATGTTCACTATTCCCTACTTCCTGCAGAAGGCTCAGTTGCAAAGAGATCAAGTTCAGAGGGAAACAGAATAATCAACGCGCCAGTCCCCGGGTGCACTGGCGGGAAGCTTATGCACGATTTCGGTGTGTCACGACACAATACCGTCATACTCGACCTACCGCTCTCCCTTACCCCATTGAACTTGGCGATGAACAAGCCCATTGTCTTTTACCAACCCGAGAAGCCCGCCAGATTCGGTGTCTTTCCCCGGCGACACCCGGAATTAGTACGTTGGTTCGAGACAAGCGGCTGTTGCATCCTTCATACGGCCAACACTTGGGATGAGTACAACAGCACCGGCGATATATCAGCCGTCAGCATGCTAGCCTGTCGGTTGACTACCGCATCTCTCGTGTTCAGTGCCGGGAACATCGAACCTCCGCCAAATCCAAGCCACGAGCAAGCGGTGCGTAGCAGGCCCATGTCTTTCTTCGCCAAATACGATGACGAAGAGCATGTTCAAGATCCCGAGAAATCTCATTCTGATGAAAATTCGCCTTTGCTAGAAGTCCACAACGAACCAGAGTCATCAAAGGCGCCCCACAACGTTCCCATCTCACATGACGACGAGGAACAATGTCGGCTGTATTACTACCGGTTTTCACTCGCGCCGGGCTCATCGAACACTATCACACATGAGTTTGCATTGGCAGCGATCCCTTTCGAATTTCCTACCATCTCGCCTTTCACAGAAATGTCACGCGCACGGTACGTTTACGGATGTAGCACTTCCGACGAATCGTTTGGCGCGGCATTAGGCAAGGCAACAAAGATCGACATACTCGTAAGAGTTGATGTGCAGACGCTGCTCAATCGTGCCCAGAAATCACCTCCACAGGCTGTGGACGGCTGCGTCGACACGCGCACAATAGACGAGATACTTGCATCAGACGATCGTGATGATCCTATCAAAGCATTCCACCTTCCACCGAAACACTTTGGACAGGAAGCCAGGTTTGTACCTCGTTCAGCGAAGAGTGCAAGTGGTGACGATGCGGGATTCGTCGAAGAAGACGGGTACCTACTGTTCTACGTCTTCAATGAGGACCAGTTGGACGAAGACGGGGAATGCAAGGCTGATGCAGAGAGCGAGTTATGGGTATTGGATGCACGGGACATGCAGACTGTCGTTTGCAGGATCCAACTCGGGGCTAGAATACCCTATGGCTTGCACGGAAACTGGTTTACAGAAGAGGATATCGCTCAACAGCGAGAAATCGCAAGCGTGCGATCCGTGTCAGAAACACGGTCTGAGGCAGGATCGAGCAATTTGCGAAAAGCTCTCGTTAGTTATCTGGGCTAGTAACGCCTCCGTGTTCGGACCACATGTCTAATGAACCGAATGGTTTCGGGACGTTAGCGCTACCACCTTCTTACGTAGTCGACAAACTCTCTCCAAGAGTTTTAATATCCAAAGCTTCATACTACCGCTCTTCACATGTGCCCAGTGTTGTCCTGGTGATGTGCGACATAACCCTAGTCAATGCGGCATCTAGATCTGCCCCGCTTCGAACAGAAAGCTTCGTTGCGCCGATCCCTGCCGTAGCTGTTGATCTACTCGACTCCCGCACTGACGTAAAACTACCGATAGGAACGATGCCTGCCTGGGCAGTACGTGGGCAAGAACATCACACCACCACGATATTGCCATTACGGTAATGATACGCTGCCATGCATTTCTTCCCCTCACGATGCGCATTCTCCCCTCATGATGCGCATCCAGAAGGCCCTTCTCACGTTCTCACCACGAAACTCTGTGTCAATATCATCAAACACTCTCAACACACGATAAAACCCGAACCAGCCTTAGCCAACTCAACGCCAGCTGAGTCAACTTAACGCTAGGCGGATATGCAACAGAAGCAAGTCGATGTCGAAGTAAGCTCAATAGATCAACGTCATAAAGCTTAATCCTAGTGGCGCTCGCTCAGGTGGTGAGACGGAAAGCCCGGGCGCTATGCTCAGAATCTTTAGCGTCGATGATGATGATGATGATCCTAGTGTGACATGGCTATTGCACCAAACAGCCGTCACTGAAATTAACCATTTGGACAAGAGAAACTGGAAATGCTAAACGCAGCGCATGCTTCTGACTGGCCGTCACTGACCGTCACTGACCGTCACTGGCTCTTGAGTAGCAAATCCCGGCCTAGTCTGGGCCCCTGGTCGATGGAGGGTTTTGACATGCTGCATGATCAAGCTGCAATCCGCTCGAGACATGTCGTCATGATGGCATCTCTGGATCTCATGGGCGGGTAGTCCAAGATATAACCAGTACCTGCTACCTCTTCTCTGCGATAAGCAGCCCCCTTGGTACATTTCAGCCCATACTATTCATTTGGCATTTTACCACTGTTTTCGCAATGGATCTTTTTCGCAGGAACAATGCGCTGAACCTCAATGGTATGCATGCCTTTCTTCGACGCATTGATCTGTTACGAACATGTACCTAACGTATGATAGACAACACCGTCAATGGTGCGACGGCAGACATCGCCATCACCACACATGGATCTGACTTCTACTTCGCTATCTGCGCCGCCATGGGTCTTTCTGGATTCATCTTTATCGGTCTTGGATACAAGAAGAAGCGTCGCGACCGTCTTTTTCACTACATCACCGCTTCTGTAGTCTTCGTCGCATGCATCGCCTACTGTAAGTCAAGCGGTTCCGATTACAGCATGAGAGATGTGTACTGATCCGTATACTTTCACAGTCACTATGGGAGCCAACTTGGGCTTCACACCTATCGCAGTCGAGTTCCCCCGTAGCGACCCCAAGGTAGCCGGAACCTATCGTTCGATCTACTACGTTCGATACATCGACTGGTTCATTACCACGCCTCTTCTGCTCATCGACTTGCTCCTCACTGCAGGCATGCCATGGCCTACTATCATGTGGGTTGTCGTCGTTGACGAGATCATGGTCATCACCGGCCTCATCGGTGCTCTCGTAGAGAGCCGTTACAAGTGGGCTTACTTCGTCTTCGGCTGCGTCGCTCTCTTCTACATCGTCTACCAGCTCGCATGGGAATCGCGCATCCATGCCAAGTCATTCGGCCGTGATGTCGAGAGGACCTTCATGATGTGCGGAAGTTTGACTACTTTGCTCTGGATTTTGTACCCAGTCGCATGGGGAGTGTGCGAGGGCGCGTAAGTTTACCCAATAAGGAGCCATCATAACTGTGCAGTCACTTACACCAGAACAGCAACCTCATCGCTCCTGACAGTGAAGCCGTCTTCTACGGTGTCCTTGATTTCCTGGCCAAGCCCTGCTTCGGTGCCCTCCTTCTGTGGGGCCACAGGAACATCGACCCCGCCCGTCTGGGTCTTGCCATCCACGACTACGGTGATGCCGACGCTGTTGTTCAGGACAGGAAGATCAAGCCTGAGACTGCCGCCCAAGGCGCAACTGTCACCCATCCAGATGGGTACAACGGCCCTGTCCCTCACGTCGACAATACCGTCTAAATAGAGTTCTGGGGTTGGGTGAATGGTGACCTCTGACATAAAGAAGAGACCAAAGGTATGGCGGGTAGCTGTAATGTGGGGATGAGAATGTGGAGGAGCTGTTACGTGGATCGAATCATGAGTACTTTCAAGATACCCTCTTTGGTAGATACTTAATTAATCTATTACTGTCAAATATGTTTCCCATACGTTCTGCGTGTATTCATTTGACGTATTATATAACTTGTGCACGATCATCAGAAACTCTAGCCATCCACACATCCACACACCCATACACAATTAATTTTGCACCATCCGTGCTATATTTATTCGTCACATAGCTTGCTCAACCGTTTCTCGGAAGCTTGTGTATACGTTGATGGATAGGTTATCCAACGTTGCTCACGTCTATTCGTAGACCATCGCCCACAATCGTGATCCATCAGAAATCCATGAGTAAAAGTGGATATTAAATAATATAGAATAGCTACCAACAACCCTGATGTACTAAAAGCCCATATCTACAGTAAACTACATACCACAACACTACCAATCGCCCATCAACCCATTACCAGCCTTCTGGTAAACCAAAGCACCCGGTACAGTCACAAAAACAAGGGCAATGCTCAACAATATCCAGACAAGCCAGCTGAGATACGGTCCGTTCTGAGTGCGATCCAACGGACCAGGAGCTGCCTTGGGCTCTTCCTTGGCGTCCAGCGGGCGCCACGGGATGCGGCTTTCTTCATTGCGGTCATGGAGAATCTGTTCAGTGACCAACTTCGCGCCAGCAAGTACAATGGGAACTCCCGTGCCGGGGTGGGTGCTCGCACCAACAAAGTACAGATCCTCGATGCTGCGATGCTTCGTCTTGGGCCTGAAGCTGAGCACGTTGAAGAAGGAGTGACTGAGACCCAGGATAGCGCCACGATCGAGGTTGAAGGTGGATTTCCATGTCGGAGGCGTGTTGATGGTCTCTTCGATGATGTGGGGACCGAGCGAGATCTTGAGTCGCTTTTCCATGGTTCTGATGATGGTTTCACGTGCTGATGCTACCATGGAGTCCCAGTCTTGGGTCAAGCCTTTCGTGTGGCCCGAGCCCTTGTGTTGGTCGTCGGATGAGCCTTCCAAGTGCCCGACTGGGACCAGGATGACGATGGAATCACATCCCTCTGGCGCGGCGGAAGGATCGACGCGGGAGGGGACGTTGACGTAAAAGCTGGGTTGATCCGGAATCAAGTGCTTCTTGAAGATGCTGTCAAAGCTCTCTTTGTAGTCTTCCGCGAGGAAGATGTTGTGAGCGCTTAGTTCGGGGAATTGTCGGTCTAGCGCCCAGTAGAAGGATATGCTTGAGCAGGACGCTTGACGTTTCAGGAGAGCTCGTCCAAACGAGGTGGAAGGGAGAAGGTTGTTGTATGCGTAGGCCAGATCTGCATTGCAGACGACCACATCAGCGGTCAATGGCTCCTGGCTCTCATCCTCGAAAACAACGCCGGTCGCACGTTTTCCGTCGTCCGATATCTGTATGTTGCGGATGGGGCTGTTGAACTTGAATTCGACACCCAAACGCTCACCTACGTTGACAAGAGACTCGACCACCTGATCGTGTTAGTAAAGAAGATTTTCTGCAATGGAGCAAACTAACTTTATGGAAGCCGCCAATGGGATACCAGATGCCTTCAGCCAACTCCGTGTATTGCAGCAGACTATACGTTCCCGGAGCGTCAAACGGGCTCATGCCCATATACATGCTTGCAAACGTGAAGACTCTCCGTAACCTCTCCGTCCAAAAGTACTTGCTCGCCCGGTAATAGATACTCTCAAACGGATGCAGCTCGAAGAGATGCAATAAGAAGTCGAAACGGATCATGCTCAGCAGCGAGTAGAAATTCTTCTTCAGTACATGGATGATGGACACCTCATAATGTCGATGTGATTCTTGTAGGAAAGCAAGGTACCGCTCGAATCCGTCCTTGCCTTCAAAACGCTCGACTTCAGCCTTCATGATGGAGATGTCGGTTGAGAGTTTGAACGTAGTATCATCATGGAAATGGACATTGTAGTTAGGTTCGCATTTGACCAGCTTGACGCCCTCTGCATCGAGCGAGGTTCCCAGATCCTCGAATGTCTCATGGAAGAATCGAGGTAGGAGTAGTAAGCTCGGACCTTGGTCGAACCTCTGCGTAGCGATTAGCGTTGAGGTTTACAATACTGCCGCACGTTCGTCGACTTACATATCCCCGACGATGTATCAAACTGCATCTTCCGCCGGAAAAGTCATTCTTCTCGACTACAGTAACTTTGTAGCCTGCCGCTGCGAGCCGCGCTGCGGTAGCGACACCTCCGGCACCAGCACCGACGACGATCGCACTAGGGCGCGTGCCCTTGTTTTCGATATGCTCCCCCATTTAGTAGACGGATTGATGTGTGAGATGCGGCACAATTGCGATGAGCGTTGTGAAGAAGACGCGCTGTAGCGCGCCACGCTCGGGTATTCCTGGATCAGTGCACCAAGACTGCCAGTCATGACGTCTACAAAAATCAATAGGGCTAGTTTGCACCTTGGGCAATTGTTGAGTTGCGTCGGCACATTTGCTCTGCACGTGAAAGCTTCTCGCTGTTTGAATCCTAATCTGCATCTTCCCTCTTGTGGTTTTCCGCCCCCTGCATGCAATGTTGAAGCCGATAAGCCACGCGAATGTAGCTCACATTTGTTACCCGCGCGCATCTTAGAGCGGAAGCCCGCGGACACAACGAGATAGTCCAAAGACTTGGCGTATGCGCAAACAACTGTCACTTGACTATCCAGGGATGTGTGATCCTCAGTGTTGTCCATTTCACGATGACCGTCAACGCTTCAACAAGTGCCCGCGATCGTGGGGACCGCTAGCGACACTCGGCATTCACCTTGCAGCATGCATGGAAGATGATTGAACATTACAACATTATATTATTAGCGACTCAAAACGTCGTCTTAATTAAATATGGTGAGAACATCGGTAGAGTTGGAGTACTCGGGCTGACATTCCTCAGTAAATCCGCCAAACATGTCGGCCCTCTCTTGAACGAAGTCTTGGAACGCGCTCTTAGAGCAACTCTCTCCAGGGCCATCAGCGCAAGCCAGCGGTTGCGGGTCTTTGTTGACGAGGACGCGGATGTATTCGTCAGCCGCGAATCCGTAACTGTCGCATGACATCTTTTCGACAGCAATGTTGGACAAGAAGGGTAGGATCCTCGATGATCTCCATGCTCTCGCATGGTTGGGCCTGTCGAGCGGCATTGTGATATTTGGGTTGTTCGCTCCGGTATTAGCGGAGTTGTTGAACAGGCCCATGGCGACTACGACGGTAGGAGGTAACTCGCGGTGAGTGAAGGAGACGTAGAGATCCTGGTCGGCCTCGTCCGCGAGCAATTCGACGGCGGTAGCGTTGAGCCAGGGGAGTCCAAGAGCACCCGACAGCTCGGGGCTTCCATAGCCGGTGTTGTAGAAATACATGATATCGTTCATATACTCGAATGAGAGCCACTCGTCCTGGGAGAAGAGGTCGAGCGAACAGAAGGGGGAAGAGCCACGAATGACTGTCTCGTATCCGCACAGCTGCTGCATGCCTACGATGTCGGACTTGGTGAAGTTGAAGGCAGGGGCGTAGGCATTCAAACGTTCGACAATGGGCTTGGTGTACGTTTCTTGGTATTGCTGGAGGAGGATTGTTAGTTGGGGTCATATTGTCTTGGTGAGCATACGTACAGATGACTGCTCACTACCGTATGAGGAGCTGTACTTGGGGCAACCCTTGTATGGCGTCAGGGAGTCTGCACCCCGAGCAGCATCCTCGCGGACGGAAACACGCTCGGTGTTGTTGCTCTCAGCCACGAGGCCGTCGATGAAGGAAGATGCACTGAGCTCGGTCCTCTCGGCCGTTGATGTCCATACGCGCTCAGGGTCCTTGAAAGTAGGGTAACGCAGACGGACATCGACACCAAGCTTGTACGATTGCAGCCTTCCAACAGAGGTGAGGTCCTCTAGCTCCTCGTCGCTAATGGGTGTCTGCCATTTGGACAGGAATGACAGGGGTCCCGCGCTTCGCCAGTTGGCCGTCGTATTCTTCAGCTTGTCGGTGAAGGGCTCGATGTACTCCTCGTAGTCAAAGTCGTTGGCGTAGATGGCGGCATGGCGAATGAGGTACGAAGCGCGCGTTACGTTGCAGCCCTGTGGCGGCTTTGGGTCGAGACGCGGGTCTTCGAAGTATGGGGCAATGCCAGCAAGATGCTGCAAAGGGTCGAACGAGTAGGCGGCCTGTGCCGTGGCTGCATTAGCAATTGCGAGGATAGATACGAGGGCCGACTGCATAGTGGGCAATGTAGGCTAGAGCGCGAGCCGTACCTAGGAAAGTTGGGATACGTGATCGGCTTTAAGCTCTGCACCAGGCTGCGCAAACGATGTCATTGCCCGGATCAAGCGTGCCGTACGCTGTTGGAAAAGCCGAAAGCAGGACGTGCTCGACCACAATGGACTGGATATGACGATGTTTGCCAGGTACCTGCCAAGGCAGAGGTTACGCTTTGACCTCCAACGCCACGTCACCGCCACATCTTCCGGCTCCGCAATGGGTGGACATTGTGAAAATAAAAACAATCAAATGGTCAGGGGTATTGGGTAGCCAACTCGCTTCTAACATTACACAGTCTCCGTCATACCACGTTCGCCCGTCTCTGCAGCGTCTGCACTTTAAGTTCCAACACTTGGCAATCATTCTCCTTGCGGTGTAGATCTCTCATGAGTCCCTCTTTCTCCGATCGGAGAGCCTGCAGCTTGCCCCCGATGCTCTCGCGGTAGGCGGCATGTTCCTCCAGCAGGGCTTCAATCCGGTACCAGTCCATCTGTCCGCTTCCTCCAGAAGCACCTTGAGACCGTAGCCGCTCGAGCTCAGCGTCTTTGGCCCTGATCTTGGATTCAAGATCAGCAACGGTCCCTTTCCACGCTTGGTGAGCGGTGGATCGGTTTAGATCGTCGATGCTGCTACCTCGCGGCGCCCCTAACTGCGCGACAAGATCAGAGTTTCGCTTTTCCAATTCGAGAGCTCGTTGCTCAAGAGCTGCCACCTTGGCCGCGGTAAAGAGGTCGGTTGTGTCGCGCCGTTCGAGGAAGCTGCCCGGACGTCCTCGGCTTGGACTGCTGCGTCCAGTCTGTGCATGCAACCGCTCCACCTCTCTTGTCTTTTCCGCAAGCTTGCTCCGTACAATCTGCACGTTAACGAGATCTTCGTCGCGCAGCGCTTTAGTCGCGTCCAGTTCGCGTCGACAGCTAGCTAGTAATCCCTGTATCGATATGTTAGCGAATGGCTTGTGATAATCCATTCTCTTCTACACTTACACGAATCTTAATGTTGTTCTCCACATCTTCGTCTCGAAGGGCCCAGATGGCGTCGTGTCGCTTCCACCACGTCTTCTTCTCCTCTTCCAATGCTTTCAGACGCGCCATCGTCTGCTCGTACTCTTCCGGTTTGACTGATATGGCAGGATTCGATTGTTCGATGTAGACAAGCTTGGACATTAGGGCAGCAAGTTGCGACTCCAAAGGCCCAGGGACATGCGGTGCGGGTGCTGGAGATACCGGCTCCTGGCCTGTGAGGCTCATCTTCGTGGCTGAAGGCGCCAATGACTTCTTCGATGGATAGGGGACGTCCTCCTCGTTGCCGTCCAGGGTGGAAGATCGCGATGTTGCGTCGTCGTCTACTGGTCGCTCAACAAAGGTTCGCTGGTCTTGATATTGCGGTCTGTTCACGTTGACTGGCTGTACGACATCGTTCGCCTTCTTCTGAGAGAACAAAGGTGCTGTGGGGTTAGGTTGTTGCTGTTGTCGTTGCATTTGCGCCATGGCTGACATGGAGGTGTCTTGTGGACGACGGGAGTATTGCTGTGGCTGTGGCTGCTCGTCCTCTGAACCCAGGTCAGAGTAGTTATCTGATTCGTAACTCCTCGGTTGTCTCTGCATTTGAGGTGAACTCATCGAAACGGGGCGACTCCCTGATTGAAAGGATACGATAGAATGGACGGATGATGTGCGTTTCGCTCCTGGAGTTACGCGGTTTGGTGCCCACATTTTATGCTGGGGTTGTGGTCGGAAGGGTACTGTGGCGCAATGTCTGCGTGTATGGCGAGCCGGGTCAATCGAAGGAAGAAGCTGAGCTCAGCTAGATCTCTTAGTAATTAAGATGAATTTGATATCTGTCGAAAAGTCGAGGTTCAAGTCAGCCTCTATGTAGTCCATCGTGGATTCGTGGTCGTGCTATGAAACGATGCTGAGACGCAGGGGTCAGGACACAGAGATCTGCGACACAGACAGATGAACGACAGCCGTATCAGCCTGAGATTGCTTTTGAGCCTTGGACTGCACAATTCCGACTTGGTACAACACCTCGAGTCCGTACTTTGGAAAGGCCCCACTTGGAGCCCCATCTCACCATGGTGTAACACCAAATTCTACGCGAGTCATGTCGCCGTTTGCCGATAGTTCAGACTAGAGCAGACCCGGCGGTACGGATGCTGGTCTGAAACACTTCAAGCCGCGATCTTGTATCAACACTACCGGTTATCACATCCTGTCTAACACGTATTCGTGCCCTCGTGCAATAGATGCCTCAGCCAAGCTGTAGGCACACATGTCTGATGAGATTACGGACTTGTGCGTGCACCATGTCAAGCAGGGCATCTTCGACATTAAATGGAGCTGTGCTACACCGGGGTGCGGACGAAGATATATTGTCTTATCACATATCGTAGCGGTCCGTTTCGTGGTGAGCAGGCCTGTATATGAAGTAGTCAAACGACGCTACCTTCTCTGTGCCGTTGATATCAGATGCTGCCATACCCACGAATGCGCCCGTGAAGCTTCCATGCCTGTGTTTGCAAAGTCAGTATACATCGTTGTATAATTAACGGAGGAAAGTAACTCACGCTTGATGACCACCGCACTCATCACTCAGAATCGAGGCATCGTAGACCGGTCCAATCTCTGTCAAGTCCTTCTGTCCCTCTAGCGCGTATCTAAATTGGAGTTTTCTACCCCGAATGCTCAGCGCCAATCGTACCTTGCCCTCTTGTGGGAGTGATACCGGGTCCGCGAGCGGGAGTTTCAAATTGCCGTCCGGCCACGAAGCTTCCGAGCTCAAGATGAGGAGTTCGCGCTTGCCATCAGAGTCGGCCGTGACGGTCAGGTAGAAGAAGTTGAAGCGGCAGTAGTAGGCAGTCAGACCTGCGAATGTGCGTTCATCGTCTGGGCTGAAGCTAACGACTGTTTCGGCATCATACGAGAAATGCGTTTGACGGCGTGCAACAAGGGCTTGTTCGAACCAGGATCCAACGGCCTCGCGCCCAATGAGTTGCAGAGCACCATCTTTGACGTTGAAGATGCGCTCTGGCTCCGGTGTGCGGAGCCACTGGAAGTCCTTGTGGAGACCATCTTTGCTGTTGAATTCGTAGCGCTGCTCAGACCAGTATGCGGTGTCGTCGCGCGCTGCTGGTAGGTCGACATGAAGAGATGGAATGGGTCCATTCTTGACATATAGCCAATCATCCTTGTCCCAGTAAGCCTCTTGAATAGCGCATTCACGCCCAAGAACACAGCGACGAAATTGTGTGGTAGGGCGACCAGCCAGATGGACAATGTATGTCTTGCCGTCCGGAGTGTCGACTATATCTCCGTGACCCGCCCTTTGTAGCGAAGCTAGCGGCGCGTCTTTGGAAGTGATGATGTGCTTTTGAGGGTGCAATTCGTATGGGCCCCAGATATCACGGGATCGTGCCAAGGTACAGGCGTGTTCATATGCTGTGCCGCCCTCAGCAGTCAACAAGTAGTACCACCCGTTCCGCTTGTACAGATGTGGGCCTTCTACCAGAGCCAAGTCGCTACCGGGGAAGATAGTCTTCCACGGGCCAACAAGTTTCTTCGTTTCAGGATCCCATTCTTGCATTCTGATTCCCTAAAAGTAGATCCAAGAGTTCAGTATCTGGCGCAGCGACTTGTCGCCTGAAGGGATTTACTTACAACGAAGAACTGCTTACGTCTTCGGTGGTCTTGCAGCATGTTTAGAAAGTACTTCTTGCCATCGTCATCATGGAACAGCGAAGGATCAAATCCTGAGTGGTTAATGTAAATGGGGTCAGACCACGGACCCTCGATGCGGTCAGCAGTGACGATGTAGTTGGGCGTGTCTTTGAAGGAGCCATCCTTGCGTTTGACGTCTGTGTATACCAGCCAGAATTTGCTGCCGTCATGTGTGAGACAAGGTGCCCATACGCCTAAAGTCTGTTACGAAATGCGCGAATATAGTCAATTTTGATCGAATACGTACCGCAACTATCGGGGTCACCGCGCATATCCAGTTGACTCTTCCTGCTCAGCGGACGTGTCACGAGCTCCCAGTTAGCGAGATCCGTGGAGTGGTGTATTTGCACTCCTGGAAACCATTCGAAAGTGGATGTTGCGATGTAGTACTAATTTGACATAATTAGTCTGTGCCATGTCCTACTTTTGAAATACGAGGTCCAAGCAAGCCAAATCACATCAGACTATCCTAATGGTGGCTTTCAAGGTAGTCCCGCAGTCAGATACACGAACTTGTAGAGACTGTAGTACTCACTACGGTACTCTGGTTAGCTCGTTTTCTCAAGTTGAACATCACAATATCTTACCGTCATTTCCAACACGCAGAATCGATGGATCCGCGTTGAAACCTGGAAGAATGGGATTACGAACTAGCGGCATGATGGTGGGATGGACGTTATGTGTATTGTTTGCAATGCTTTCGCACGACTGCTCAGCTATATACGGCGCTTCTTAACGAAGATGTCGGCGACTGCCCGCAATGAATTAGCCGGCTGCGAACCGCCTCTTTTGCCGGCGCCTACTTGGCCAACAGCTGACGATACAGTGTTCTCAACCCCGCGCCTGGCCCGAAATGCAACATCACGCCGAAGGAAGCGAAAACTGGACCGGATAGACGCGTACCTCCAATTATGATGACTTAAGACACTGTCATATAGGAAGTAGCGAAACGCATAGCTAACAACTTGAAAGCCAATCATGTCAATTGTCAATGTGTAGAGTCAAGGCCTGATGATACAGATAGTTTGGCCATCAGGCAGTTCAGCATGAGCTAGATTACTTGCAATGATCTTACCAAATCCAAACAGGGAGGTGCTCCACGCATCCCAGGTTATGAATTATCCAGTATCCACATGCGGCTCACTTGACATACTGTCTAGCGAGCACCGAGTATCTCTAAGCCGTGCGATATATACGGGAATCGGGGATTGTTATCCCGACATGAGCGCTAATCCTCACAACGCCGCGCCCACACTTGCCACATGGCGAAGGCTTCACGACTCGTGTAGCCCTTCTAGTCTTGGTCCCCTGACACACCTTCGTTGCCCACTTCCGGTCTTTCTGAGTCTTGGTTGTTGGTAGAATCGTTACTTGGTGCCTCATCCACGTTCGACGAAGCAACGACACCCGCGGGAGGGACGAAAGTATCGCCTTCATCCGTGTCTAATTGCATCAGGAAAGTCTCCCAAATCTCGATGAGCTAGTACGCCAGTCAGTAAGCCCGAAGGTTGGATTTGGTAGGTAAACTCACTTCCTTCTGTGCTTCTACAGCACTCTCTAAGAAGGTTTCCACGCCTGATTTGAAGTCTTCGACCTTCTCTCTCTCAAAGCGCTCTAGCTCACTGCGCATCAGACGACCCATATCATCGAAAAGCAGCCTTGCTTGGTGGACCTTGCGTTCGGCATCTGCAACGTCGGCGCTGAGCTGGTTCAGACGGTCTTGCTGTGATCTGCCTTGCCTCAAGAGTTTGTCCTGATTGGTTTTCCGCTTCTGTAGCTCCTGTTCGGCAGAATGCCAGGAATGGTAGGCTTTCTGTCGCTGCTGGAACGCGGTCTTTACAGAACCTATCAAACGAATGTACTCGTCTATTACGATACCCATGGTGAGGATGTCTTGTTGGGCTTGGCGCTCGTAAAGCTCTCGAATACGAATCTGGATATCGGATAGGCTATCGAGCGGACCAGACAGAGATGGTGATAATTCGACAGCAGACAAAGAATGCAGAGAAGCCGAGAAGTCGCCACACGCCTCAGCTAGACCTTTCCGCTGTGTGACTACAGAGTCAGTAGCCTTGAGAAGAGCTTTTAGCTGTGCCTCTAGAGCATCGAGGTAGATTCTGCGATCGTGGAACCACTGTGGTACCGTTAGCATAGTAACTAATCACGAGAATTGTTATACGTACGTCGTCGTGTTCAACGAATTTACCACTGCTGCCAGAGAGCATAGAGCCAAACATGCCTTTGCTTTCGCTTATGCCGGGGTCTTTGCGCTCCTTGTTCTTGATGTCCATGTTGAAGGCTTCGCTTTCTAGGAATAGCTTCAAGTCACTGTCGTGTTGCAATACTGGATGCGCAGCCGACTTGTTGAGCATACGTTCCAAAGCAGAGCGTCGCGACTCAACAAAATCGGCTTCGAAGCGCCCAACGGCCTGTTTCTCCGGTGGTGGAGGGATAATGATTCCGGGGTTGTTGTTGTGCAGTTGTGTGTACAGCCAGAGGAAGTCGCGGTAGCGGCGCGAGACGGTAAATTCGGGGTTGCGGTAGCCCTTGGACGTCGTCTTGGTAGTGACGGAGTATTCTGTGTGCGAGCTCGTGAGGTCACCGACTTTGTGAGGGTCGCCCACCGAAATGGCAAAGGACGGCTTCGCGGCCTGCTCAACGCTGACGCTTGGCTGTGTCTGGCGCTGAGGTGCGGCATTCGAAGGAGCCTGTACTGGAGGCGGTACTCTAGCTCCTTGGGAAGAGCGTAGCTGCGCGTCGTCGTCGTCAAGGTCGACCGAATCCATCATGCCGCGCAGCGAAGGCGTGGAGGCGTCGGGGGCGGCCCGAGTGGTGCGCGACGCAGCAGCTTCCTTCTGAGGCGGCGCTGGAGGAGCAACTTCAGGGCCTGTCGACGGCGAAGGAGCGCCCAGAGGGCCCAGCGGATCATCAACAGCCTCAAGCTTGGTCGATTGCAGGCCATACTGTCGCCGCCGGGGGCCGCGTCCTGCGGGCGAGCGCGGGGCGGCGGAGGCTGTAGGGGCAGCATCGGTCGCTGGCTTGGAAGAGGTTGTGGAAGATTCGGCATCCAGGCTGTCGTTCTGCTCTGCTTTGTGAGTACTCGGCGCAGGGCTCGACCGTGAGGGCACATCTGGGGGCTTGTCAGCTTTGCGCAGTGTCGTCGGCGAGACAAGAGACACTAACCTCCCCACGGAGAGCTCCCTTCGTCTCCAAGGTCCATTGGCGCAATGATTCGTGTGTGCGGGCGTGGTGGTAGTGGAAGTCGCAGGTGCCGTGGGAAAGCCTACTGTATGCCCATGGCAGCTATGCATTGGCGCTGGGTTGGCTACACGGCTATGACATACAGGGTCCACTAGTCGCAACCTCCATCCCTTCACAACATGTCGCTTCATTCCGCCGTCCTTCTTTGTATCAGCCTCCAACATTTGCATTCCCTATTTGGCGCTTGAGTTGTCCCACCAACATTACAGATTACTACCCAGGCTCACTTTCCCATGTTCACACGTATAGCCAACTTTGCCGTCTTCAGACCCCAGCCTCATCAAACCCCTCGTCTGGCCTAATCGTTTCCCAAGGTGGACGACCCAGCTCTCGACATAGACCTTTGTGCCCTCAGCGGCAGGCCTAAGGTAGGTCGTGTTCACTGTACCCAGTCAAGGCAAGTGGTTAGCAACGTCCCAGGCACATTCCATGTTCCAACCTCTTGGATGCTTCAAGATTGCACTTACTGCCAAAGGGTTAGCTTTCACCTTCAAAGTCATCTCACAGGATCCACATACCAGCTACGTGAGACATGTCCGCGATCCCAGAACCCTTCGCGGATGCAAGGCGTAATGGCCATGGAAGTTGTAATGTCAAAGATCAAAGCAACGGCTCCGCCATGAAGCATACCACCAGCGTTGCACAGCTGCTTAGGTACAGTGAAGCTCATGACGTTGCGCGACTCGTGAGGGTTGCTGCTTGTCGGCGCATAGGTAACCGATTCGACCTTGAGTTCTCGCGCAAGGATAGCGTCGTGGCCCTATAACTGTAGCATTAGAGCAGCGTAATTGACTGGACAAGGCAACATGCATCGTAGTCGCTGTCGCGTATTGCCTCAAACCATTGCTGGACTTTCTGGAATGGCGACATATCCTCCTCGTCGCCTCCAGCGGCTACTCTTGCGCCTTCCTTGTTTGCAAATCTACTCATATTCGAGCGTCGTGATTGTAAAGAGACACGACGCTGATGGAGCAGTGTCAATGATGCGAGATGCATGCGGGACCTCGGTATCTCCAACAGCGCTAACTACTTCGAGCCGGTGCATCCGAAAATATGCTACAGAGACCAAAAGTTCCATCCCACGCGCCCTGAGCCCGCTTGTCGAAGCAACGTCTAACCATGGAACCGTCCGGACTCTTCCGCCAGCTGCTACGCATGCCCGTAGGTCATCGTACCGCCCTACTCGCGCCTACGCGTCCGAACGCGCGCGCTTTCGCCATGTTCGCACCCCCGCTGCCGCACCCACGCTTCATGTCCCTCCCGCGCATTGTCCAGCCGAGCTTCTGGGCCTCTCTGATACCAACGCCACTCAAGACGCGCTCCGAGAGACCTAGGCGCAAAGAATGGAACCCCGCTACCCCCTACATTATTCTTGGATTGCTCGTTGGCAGCCAGGCCATCCAGATATTATGGCTGAAGCAGGAGAGGACACACAACCTTCGTAAAGCCGAAGCGAAGATTGGGGTATTGCGAGAGGTTATTGAGCGTGTACAGAGAGGGGAAGACGTCTCCGTAGAAGCGGTCTTGGGAACGGGCAATGAGGCGGACGAAAGAGAATGGGCTGAGGGTAAGCCAACACTCTGGAACACGGCATGACTTGAGACAGTCTGATAGCTGACATGTCATAGTTCTGAAAGATATTCAGGATGAGGAGGCTCTTTTCCAAAGTAAGAAGAGGAGGAAGGCTCTGAGAGATGCTGCTATCCAAGAGGCTGCTCAAACACCGGACAAGGACCAACAAAAGACACCAAGGACCAAGTTCACGAAACAAGAAGTAGAAAGCGTTGGAGGTGTCAAGTTTTACTGAGCTTGACAAATCCTATGTGATATGGAAGTTGACACCGAACGGACATCTAAGCCTCTTGTGCGGACCAGCCGCTCAAGCAGAGAGCTCAAAAGGAATGGATATCGAAAAGCAGTGAAGACCTGGCATCCATCGCCGCCACCATCATCATCAATCCTGGTCACGATTCCGCTCCTCGTCTTCCGTCATCCTGGTCCTCTTTCTCGCCATGCTCCTCATCATCTCCCGCAACCACAACCGCGACCCCAGTCTCCTCCAAAACCCCCTTCGCGGCCTTCAATCGCTCTCCACGCTTTGCGTTGCCAAGGTTGTTCATGAGCTTGGTGAAGCCCCTAGCCTCGGGGTTGTCGCACAAGAGCGCAAGAGTGATACCTCCACGCATGACATCATCGCACATCGCCTTCCCCCGCTGCAGGCAGAAACAGATACGGGCCAAGCGCCTCTCCAAGCTCCTCTCGCTGACATCGGTGAGCTTACCGCGAACCACCCTCTTGTGGTAGACGATGGAGCGAACCCAGCCTCGCTCGTGTACGGCGATGGCCTCGTCGAAGACGTGGTGAGCCGCAGCCTCGATATCCATGGGATCAAACGCCATGTTTTCGCTAAAGCGAATGCGCTTGATCGACTGCTCGCCGTCGCTGATGTTGGAAATGTCGATCATGGACTCGTAGATACGGCGTACCCAGTACATGCCTAGAAAGAGATCAGATTAGTTTATGTTGGAATGTCAATGAATATGCTGTGACTTACGTCCATAACGCTTGACGCGTTCGACATCTGGTGCTCCATCCTTCTTTGGAACGCGGGTGCGCTTGCGGTGTGCTCTAGCGGCTGGACCAGTCTTGAAGCGCCCGCTAAATGCTGGGTAAATGGGCTGAAGGGGTGGAAACGACGGAGAAGGCATAAGAGCGTTGAGTTCAATGGCCATAATTTCATTCCCATCTTCATCGACTTCGGGCTCCCATACGAGGGGTAAGTAGTTGTCCTCGGTGAGAGCTCCGGACGGGACCGCGGTTGGAACCATAAGTTGAAACCCATGAGCACGCATCAGATCTTGGTATACTGCGTCCATCTTCTTCTCGGCCAAGGCGTCGATAACCCCAACCTGTTGAGCTGGACTGAGTTCTCCAGAGTGAAAGCGTGCACAGAACTCCTCAAAGTTGAACTCGGCATCAGAACTGCTGGATTTTGGAACCTGGGGCTTCTCGTTGCAGGCTTGTGCAGTGTGCTCCTCGACGGTAGATGCGGAGCCTCCATGTTGATTCTGAGTCGAAGCAAGTGTATGCTGTAGGGAGAGCTCCAAGTTGGTGGCGGTGAAGTCGGCGTTGCCTTGATTGCCGGCGAACTCGTTGCAGTCGAACAGGGTGTGGTCAAAGTCCATGTTTCCGATGTCCAAGTTGAGGTTGTTGGTGGGTACTACTGGAAGTGTAGCGAAGGCATCGTGGACGGCACCGTGATCCTTGGCCTGTTCGTTGTGACCGAGCTCTTTGTGTTGAGCAAAGTCGCCGTCGAACCGGAAACCAGAAAGATCACCCAAGCCGTCGTCTTCTTGATGAAGACCGGAATCAATGGGCTCGAAGGGGTTGAAGGCAGGTAGCTCGGGGATGTCATCGACAGGCAAGTCGGGGATACCGGCAAAGGCGTCGCGGACAGCATTGAACGAGTCCAAGTGCTCTGAGCGAGGAGCAGGCGAGGTTGGAGTCAAGTTTCTAGGTGCGTCGACAGGCACAACAGGAAGAACGGGAGAAACGTTGCGTCCATCAGCACGTGAATCCGGAGCCTCTGGGCGAGCCGGAGAGTTGGGAGCTTGGGGTGAAGACATGGTGGCTCGAAAGAAGCGGTGCCAGACCGACTGATGAAGAAGTTTGAGTGTAAGAATATAGAGACGACCGGCGTCAAAAGCAAGGGAAGTTACAAGAAGAAGAAATTGAGCAAAGATAGAAGTTGATGAGTAGAAAGTAGGTTGCAAAGAGGAGAAGGACCAGAAGCTGTAGAGATGTTATACTGGTTCTGGACTCGTGGGCTGCCCGTGTGTATCGTTTTCCCCATTGTCGAGACGTCGGACAATAGCGTGATTTTTTCTTGTAGAAATTCCCTATTTGGAGATTGAAGATGCTTGTAACTTTGATATCACCGTATTGTTTGGTCGATCCCAGCAAATCACAGTCCGTCGTTCCTATTGTACCACATGGGAGAGCGACGAGGCCGGCGCGCTAGTATCGTCGAATTCCCTTCACCTTCACTTGAACACGAAGAGTGCGGCACGTCTGAGCAATAGCCTCTTTCTTGAACAATAGAGTGAACAGGTTCGCGCGCGCGCGAAAGGCTCACTTTTTGAAATACCAAATCATATACATTAAAATATCAAAATCCTACATTTGCCTGTGGTTGTTCCTGGATCAATAAACTCCTCTGACGTGACATGATTTGCAAACCGCTACGTCATTGATGCGGAAGATGAGCAACATCAACCGAGTGCCAGAAAGTGGACTAAGGCGCAAGAAGCTCGAGAGTCTTTAGTCGATGATCCTGCAATAGCAAAAATGGTATAAAACAAAATCCCATCGAAACACGATGGTACCATAAGAAGGAGAAATTGTAAAAAAAAAAAAACCAACCAGATTACGCCTTACAAATCGCTGAACACACATGTCCAATCCATTAAGTAGCAGCAAAGCGTTTCAAGGTTCGTATGTGCCTTTACGAAGATCCGTGGACTTGTGTAGGCGAGATCATGGTTGCAGCCGGCTGAACAGATTTTGGGTCCTGGCTGCCTGTTGCAGTCTGTGGACCATCGTCGCTCTCCACCCTCTTCCTCCATTGCGAAAGTTCATCCACATCATCAGCGTTATCGTTTTCAGGCATGCGTTCAAAGTCAAAGCGGTCGCTCAATCGGTAAGCTTTGTTGGTAGTTTCCCAGTGACTCCTGAGTGCATCCAACTCAGAAGCGAGATTGTCAAGGGCCATAGAGTTCCGTGTAGCCGAAGATGAAGGGCGAGGGATGGCTTCTGGCGTGCTGGAGCCATCGTTGTGGCTGTACAGAGACTCGGCCGATGCAACGCTATCGTGTGCACGGTGGCGACTGTGTTCAGGATGGGCGTTCTCAGCTGGAACCTGGGATTGGCGGCGGTAGTTATCGACCGATGTCTCAAACTGATCGAGGAACATTTGGACGCGGCTCTCCGCCTCGCGTGCACGCTCTTCTGTCTGTGCATACTGGCGGCGAAGTGATTCGAGGTCTGCCTGGAATTGAGCTGCCTGATGCTCGGCCTGCTTCGTGGCATTCGTTGCCGTCTCGGCATCGGTACGAGCGGAAGCCAGATCGGACTGCAGTCTGGACAGCTGGGTCTCGAAACGCGAAACGGTAGCTTCCATGTTCTCCCGCGACTTGTCCAATTCCGAGCGGAGTGCCGTGCGTTCTGCGTCCAATTCGGCGTGATTGGCTTCGTCAGCTGGGCTACGCTTGTCTTGTCGAGCTTGGGTGAGTTCTTCCTCGAGCTTGACGTTCGCACTCTTGTAACGATCAAGCTCCTGTTTCATCTTCGAAAGCATCTTCTCTGTACCACGGAGGTACTTGACGGCAGCTTGGTGGTCGTTGTGAAGCGCCTGTAACTTCTCCTCCCATTCTTTACTGACCTCATGCTCACGCTCCTCGAACATGGAACGTAACTCTTCATGTGCTTTGGTCATAGAATCCACCTGCTGTTCCAGCTCGCGAACGCGGTTGAACTCAGGTGTGCCAAATCTCGAGTTTGGACTGTCTAGTACCCTCGAGCGTCGCGTGTCGACGGGGTTTACGCCTCTTTCATCAAGAAGATTGCGAAGAGTCTTGAGCTGGACTTCAAACGCATTGCTCTCGAGACGCAGACGTTCGTGTTGTTGGCGAAGCTCGGTACGTTCAGCTTCGGAGAGTTGTACATCTCGCATAGCCTGTTGTAATTGTTTACGGATGGTTAGTCCCTCACGGCTAGATTGTTCTTGATAGGCCTCAAGACCGGCGATTCGTTCCTCCGCCCGTCGAAGCTTCTCCGACGCTTGATCGGCTGCTGTCTGGTTTTTGCGGGCCATGGAATTTGCAGCTTCGACTTGCTGTTGCAGCACCACAACGCGCTCATCAGCATTTGCGCCATCGTGCTCGGAACGTTCCGTCATCGTTTGCAGACCAGAGAAAACAGTGGCTCGATGAAGGCGTGCCTCTTCTGCATGGCTCTCCGCTAGCTCCTCCGCATCGCGAAGCTTCTGTGACGTAGTCTCCAGTTCCAGGACGCGTGCCTCGTATTCGCTACGAAGCTGGCTCAACTTCTGGCGCAGGTTCTCGCTTTGCGTCCGCTCCTCGTTCAGTTTCTTTTCTAACAATGTTGACTTCTCTGTAGATGCAAAGACTGCATCGCGCAGAGATTGAATGACGGAAGATTGAGTTTTCGATTCTTCGGACACCTTAGCAACCCTGGCGCTCAGCTCTTGCTTGTCGATGGCTAGAAGCTTTGATGCCGATTCCGCTTCTGCGGCGCTAGTGGAAACTTCTCTTGCGATACGCTCAGCTTCGTGCAATTCTGCGCGTAGACTCTCTGATTCAGCCGTGGCCTTTTGTCGGGTCGAGTCCAGTTCTTGTACGCGTTTCTGCGCAGCTTCCGCAGTTTCCTCAGCTAGCTGCTTGGCCTTCTTTTCGGCGTCAATCTGACGAGTCAAATGCTCCACCTTGGTAGCCAGGTCACCCTGAGCAGCCAAGGATGTAGCTAACCGACGACTGATGTCCTGCAGGCGATCGGCGTCAGGTGTACTTGTGCTTCGGGCTCCATCTGGCTGTGGTGTTCCGTTCTGACTGCCGCCTCCATGAGCCGCTAACTTGGTTTTTGCGTATATGGCTTCGCTGACGGCTGCATCCCGCTGCCTCTCCACTTCAGCGATCCTCTTCGCAGCATCGTCGCCTTGGGCTTTGATCGACGTTTGCACTCGTTCAAGCTCGGTCTTCATTTTCAAAAGCGCCTCCAACAAAGGCCTGTCTTCATCCCGAAACGCGTCGGCCGATCGTTCATCAAACACAGGACTTGTGGAGTTGCCCGAACTGTAGCCTGCTCGACGGGCAAGTGCAAGCTCTGAGGCGTACCATGCATTGCGACTCTTGACGTGCTCAAGTTCTCTAACCAGGTCAGCATTTCTCTGGTCGTTGGCGAGCGATGCGTTCTTCGAGCCTTCGCTGGGTAATTGGTCAGCGTCACGGACAAAGCCGCGGTGCTGCTGTGTTTCGAAAGACTGCCTCGTTGCCTGGTCTGTACTATCTTGAGAAGCTTGCGCACGGTGAGACTTGGACGTGTTCCGCGAAACGGTGGTGCTAGCGGTGCGCATGGTATCCATGGACTCCTTCGGGGTACGCTGGCTTACAGCATCCGAAGCCTTCCTTTGCATGTCATTCGTAGACGGGCTGTCGCGGGTCATGGGTGACATATTGTCTCTGTCCACGGCGGATACAGCTCCGGTATCGATAGGTGGGCCGTATCCGCGTTCGATTTTGGTGGGAGTCTTGCTCCTGGGCTTGGCGGCACCCTGTACGACAACACCATTCTCGCGAGGCTGTGGAGGCTGCTGGAGTGGCGGAGGTCCTGGGGGTCCCTGATTAGCTGCACGAGGCAGCCGTGATCCTGCGTTAACGCCATTGCCCATATTCTCTGGGGCCCTTGTGATTTGGGGGCCGGACAGCATGCTCTCGCGCGTTGGAGGGGAGCCGACTTTAGCGGGGGGAACATTGCTTCTCTCACCACCACTCATCTTCCGTTGGGTGTTCTGCGGTTGTGGTGGAGGAGCACTTTCATTGGGCGGATACCTTATCTTGGAAGTGTCCAGTATGTAACTGAGGCTGAGCTCGTTCTTGTCACTGACTGAAGAGCTGGGCTCGCCAGCCAAGACGACGATGTGCTTTCCGAATGCGGTCATGCTATGTCCTGATCGGGCTGACGGGGAGTGGCCCATGTTCTGGAACATGTACCAGCGGCGGGAGGAAATCCGGAATGCTGCAAGGTCGCCCAAATCAACGCCTTCCTGAGTGCGCCCGCCAAAGATGTACATGGTGTCGTTTACGAGGGCAGCAGAATGGCCTTCGCGGGCTACGGGAATGTAACCAATGCAGTCGAGCTCCGTCCACGCGTTGGAACGTGGCTCATAGGTCCAGACATCGTTGAACCAGGTGATGCCGTCTGTGCCACCGAAGCTGAAAACAATCAGTCGATCAAAGTTTGAATAAGGTCAGAAATTGGAATACGTACAGATAGAGCTTATCGTTCCAAGTCACGACCGAGTGATTGGTGCGGGCTGGTGGTGATCTGCCATGTGGAGAAGCCTGTTCCTTGGTGTTTGGAAGTAACACTTCCCATCGACTGGCGGAAGATTGCAACGAGTTCAGGTCGAAAGCTACTAGATCATTGAAGAAGAAGCCCTCAACCTGTCCGCCGAAAATGTATATCTTGGAGCCGAGGATGTTTAGGGTATGTCCGTAGCGACCGGTGGGACGGGGGCCTTGTGGTAGTGCGCGCGACCAGTGTTTTGTAGCTGCGACACGTTAGTCGGAGTTCTAGGTCATTCCAGGCTCTACGCACATGTGTTGAGAAGATACAGGGTATCGTCCAGGTCATCGTTATCAGCCAGTTTGGTGTCTCCTCCAAAGACGATGAATGCATTGCCAACGAGTAAACTGGCGTGACCGACGCGAGGACCGGGGCCGTCTCCCGTGGTGGAGATGGGATAGCAGGCCATGCTGCCGTTGCCCATTTCTGTCAGCCACAGATCACCCTTGACCGTCGCGCCGCCCACAAGTCCACCCATAAGGTAGATGGTGCCATCCTTGGAGGCTGTGGCATTGATGGCGGCGCCGTATCGCGGAAACGGATTGCCTGCGGTGAAGTTCAAGCGGCGGGAGGACCAGGGGTAAGGGGAGTCTGGCGAATTGCCGGCAAATCTAGGGTTTGTGTTCTGTCGCAGTCAGCACAGGCGCGGCACGAGAGACTTGTGATAGCGCGTACCTGGATGTTGGTGTCGGCCTTCTCCCGCAGGGCCTTGGGCTCGGGGGTGGGCGCATTTGCAGGATTCTGGAGGGAGCTCAACGAGTTGTTCACACTGGTGCCGGGGGTGGGCGTCTGGGACGGGGGGCCGCCACGGGGCTTTTCGAGTTCGCGTGAGCCGTTGCCATTGACGGCTGGGGGTTGTTGGCCTGGGCCATGCGACGAGGTGATTTCTCTAGTCGCCGGGGGCAGCGCATTGGACTGCTGCTTGCTCTTCTTGCCGAAGAGAAAGGACATGGCGGCGGCGGCGGTGGTGCGAGGGCGGTGGTGCAATAGCGGCCGGGGCCTATCGCGCACGCATTCGGCCTGGGATACAGAGGGTGGAGAGGGGGAGCGCACGCAGAGGTTGGGCTGGCGAAGGTGAGGTAGTTAGGCAGAGCAATGGACGGGGCGCGCGCGCATGTCGTACGGCTGGGGAGAGGACAGCAGAAGCGTGGTAGGGACGGGCGGAGGCAACTTTTGGGGGATGTGTGTATTATGGCGGCGGCCAGGGAACGCGCTGCTGAGGATGGCGGAGGCAGACGGCGCAGCAGTTCCAAGGGCGACACGTCCTAGGTTGAGCAGGCCACGGGTAGACACACAAGGGAAAGACGACCAGGCGGACAACGGTGGTCGGTCTGCCCCCAGCCCTGTTCACTCTGCGCGCCGCCCCTGAGAAGTGTCCGGGAGGATCAGCGGACGCCGACGAGACTAGGGCCGTGTCATTGGCTGCAGCCACCGGAGCATGCATACGGGGCTGCAAAGGCGCCTCAGGACAAGAGGCGCGTCACGATGGGTGCAGAAGCTAGCCAGTGTTTGCGCCGTTGGCCAGCCAGCATTGCGACCGAACCATGCGAGACTGCGTCCGCGCTGCACCCGTGCTTTTGGCCTTCCATGGCCGCGCCGTCGGTCGCGGTGGAGCGCATCTCTCACCGCGGGCTGGCTTGGGCCTAGCGCCGACGACATTCACTGTCGAGCTCCCTCACCTCTGATGCCCTAGATCCACGCGAACTGTGTAATAGACGTGCCATTGCCGCGACGCCCACTACCGCGGCCCGTACTCTTGCTCTCACCCACACGCGTCTGCTGTCACCGCCTCGCGCTATGGGCCCCGTCAAGACCGTCGCTGCTCGCTGAAGCTCACCATGAGAACCGCCGACCAACTGCCTCTCGCCAGCGGCCACACGCATCCCAATCCGCTTGCCTCGCACGCCCCCGCGCCCGTCAACATGAACGGCGCCCACCACCCCGAGCCCACTGCCTCCTCGCGCCCCAGCACCGCTGCCGCCGCCGCCGATGCAGCGCCTGCCTCTCCCGTCGACCAACATGCGCCGCCTGCCCGCCCTGCCTCGATAGGCCCTCAGTCGACCCGTCCCAACATGTTGCGCGCGAAGAGCGACTTTGGGCCTCGCCATCCTGCCCTCCCGCCCGAGAGCACCGACGAGGGAAGCGTCGACGGCCACTTCAAGATCCGCCATGGCTGGGACGACCAGCTCAACTCGGAGGAGTACAGCAACCTGCTCACCTCAAACTTCTTCATGTACTACACCGACAAGAAACACGAGACGGGCGGCCACCCCAAGAACCAAGACTGTGCCTTCCCTGTCCAAGAATGGCGCATGCGGGACCGCCTCAAAACCGTCTCGGCTGTCCTCGCTCTCTGCCTCAACATTGGCGTTGATCCCCCAGACGTCATCAAGACCAACCCGTGTGCCAAGGAGGAGTGTTGGATCGACCCGACGGTTACCTCCCAGACGCCCGGCCACACGCCCATGAACCAGATTGGAAAGGCCCTCCAGACCCAGTACGAGCAGCTGAGCATGCGCACGCGCTATAAACTGCTGCTAGACCCTACAACCGAAGAGACGAGGAAATACGCTTCGACCCTGCGCCGGAATGCCCGCAATGAGCGAGTCTTGTTTCACTACAACGGCCATGGCGTGCCCAAACCAACGTCTTCAGGCGAGATCTGGGTTTTCAACAGAAACTACACGCAGTACATTCCCTTGTCGCTCTACGACTTGCAATCCTGGATCGGCGCCCCTAGTCTGTTCGTCTATGACTGCTCCGATGCTGGCCTCATCATCAGCAACTTCAACCGCTTCGCCGAGAAACACCAGGCCGAGTTTGAGGAGGCGCGCCGGAGAGATCCCAGCGTCGAGCATGTCGATTTCAGTGATTGCATCCATCTGGCAGCATGTAGAGAGCGCGAGTCTCTCCCCACTAACCCAGAGCTGCCTGCTGACATCTTCACATCCTGTCTGACTGACCCCATAACCATGGCAGTACGCTTCTTCATCTTGCAGAACCCACTCCCGAGCAAGGTCAGCCTACGAGATGCCCACAATATTCCAGGCAAAGTCTCTGAGCGTAGAACGCCTATTGGTGAGCTGAACTGGATCTTCACAGCCATTACCGATACCATCGCTTGGAACTCTCTCTCCAAACCTTTGTTCAAGAAACTGTTCCGTCAGGACTTGATGGTCGCCGCTCTATTCCGCAACTATCTTCTTGCACAGCGCATCATGCGCGCATACCACTGCAATCCCGTCTCGCATCCCGAAATCCCCCAGACACACAATCACCCGCTCTGGCGCAGTTGGGACTTGGCCGTTGAGCTGATCCTGGCTCAGCTGCCGGATTTGCAGGCTGAAGCCCGGGGAGAGAAAGACTTCAACTACAAACACTCTGACTTCTTCTCTGAACAGCTGACCGCTTTCGAGGTGTACCTGACACAGGGCGCTGTGGAGCAAAAGGTACCGGAGCAGCTTCCTATTGTGCTCCAAGTACTACTTAGTCAAGTCCATCGTCTCCGGGCCTTGATCCTGCTGTCGAGCTTCTTAGATCATGGCCCTTGGGCGGTGAATCTCGCACTCAGTATTGGCATCTTCCCATACGTCCTCAAGCTACTACAATCGCAAGCAAACGAGCTGAAGCCAGTCATGGTATTCATCTGGGCCCGTATTCTCGCAGTCGATCAATCCTGCCAAGCCGATCTTCTCAAGGATAACGGCTATCAGTACTTCATCAATATATTCAATCCCAATTCTGGTATACAAGACCGAATCCACAACACTGCCCATTAGCTAAACTCAAGCAGGTATACCTATCCAAAACGCAAGCGAACACCGCGCAATGTGCGCCTTCATAGTCTCCATGTTTTGCAAGGACTACAACCAGGGACAACGTGCTTCACTAAGCACGGAGCTTGTAGAGAGTTGCTTGGATCATCTCAAAGACATGCAGAACCCGTTGCTCAGGCAGTGGTCGTGTCTTTGTTTGAGCAAGCTCTGGGTCAACTACGAAGAAGCCAAGTGGGTCGGCATACGGTGCATGGCACACGAACGACTTTGCGAGCTAATCGTGGATCCCGTTGCCGAGGTCAGAGCAGCAATGCTGCATGCATTGGCCTCCTTCCTTGGTATCCGTGATGTTACCCCACAGGTGGCCAACATTGAAGAGTCCATCGCTTCCATGATCCTCATTATGACCATGGACGGTAATAGCATGGTGCGCAAAGAGCTCCTCATCTTCTTCTCTACGTTCGTTGCTCGCTACAAGACCCGGTTCATCGTCGCCGCATTCGAGCAACTATCGGAGGATTACGCCAACTCAGACACAAAGCAATCGGATGACAAGAGCACCGATGGGCTCCATATGAAAGGACGGGCAGGAGCTACCGGCAGTGCTTCCGAATCGACGTCTTGTTCGCAAAATACCATATACTCTGCTATTTGGAAGGAGTTGCTCGTCATGTCAGTCGATCCGCATCCGGAGATTGCAAAAGACGCTGGGATTGTCGTTGACTATATTCTGATATCACTCATCGAATCGTCTCTAGCCAAGTTTGTACAGCCCCAATTAGACGAAGCTCTCCAAAACGCACCAGCCCCTCGACCCATGCGCCGTGCAGTAGAAGAGACTTCTGCGCCGCAAAAAGCCTCGAATCCCCCAACACCGACCAAAGACTCAACTTATTTGTCACTTTTCGGTGGCATCCGAAAATCCACGAGTGTCGGTGCTTCGCTGAAGAATCTTTGGGCAGGCCAAGATTCAGCAAGCCCTCGACAGAAATCCTCAGGGAGATCCGCTGCCGATGATGCTCACATTCCTGCGGTCTCTCGCCCTCAGACACCTGAGAAGTATCACACCGTAGAGCAACCAACCTCACGAGGATTCAAGAACAGGAACTTGACGGAGAAACCAGAAATCCCACTCAAGAGTGTATTCTTTGAATGGTCCGTAGAGTACTTCCGCGAACCCCAGATGAAGCCCACAGAAGCCGACGAACCAGGAAGCACCGATTATAATGGCAGACTCTGGCGGAGGAACCGTAACGACAGGATCATTGCTGAGACTCAGCCGTTGAAGGACATTGCTGTCTCCAATCGTTGGGATGTGCCTCGAGGATATTTCGACAACCTCAGCCAACCTGCCAAAATGTGTTTCCACCAGTTTGAGGACCATCTCGTAGTGACAGATACACGGGATACCGTCAACATTTTCGACTACTCAAAGTCGGTCAACAGGATCAACTCTTTCTCTAACGGGAACCCTCCCGAATCGAGAATAACGGACGTTCGATTCATCAATGAGGACGACCAGGCGCTACTAATGACAGGATCCTCGGATGGAGTGATCAAGATATTCCGCAACTACGACCGTAAAGGCGAGACAGAACTAGTGACGGGATTCCGAGCGCTTACCGATCTTGTTTCAAGTAACAAGAACGCCGGTCTGGTATTCGATTGGCAGCAAGGAAGAGGTCTAATCCTAGTCGCTGGCGACGTGAAGGTCATTCGCGTGTGGAACGCCGGGACCGAAGTATGCACCAATGTAAGTTGCGCTCTCCGCACCTGTGATGTCGTAGCTGACCTGAGTAGGACCTTCCCGCACGATCTGGTTCTTGCATTACATCCTTAACCTCTGATCAAGTCGAGGGAGACGTCTTTGTTGCTGGGTTTGGTGATGGTGCCATCCGAGTATATGATCAACGCCAAAAGCCGGCCACGGCCATGGTCAAGGTCTGGAAAGAGCACAAGCAATGGATCACCAATGTTCACCTGCAGCGCGGTGGACAGCGTGAACTTGTGAGCGGCTGCCGTGGCGGTGAAGTCAAGCTATGGGACATTCGCTGGGACCGGAGTGTGAAGACTATTCAAGCAACTTCCGACACCCTACGAACACTCAGCGTCCATGAACATGCTCCTGTTTTTGCCACGTAAGTGCTCATCAAATCCAAAGAGAACGAAACATATTAACGTATGTAGTGGCACACAACGTCATCGTGTGAAGATCTTCAACATCAACAACGGCCAGCCTGTGTCGCACCTTGAGCCCTATTCAGGTTTCCTTCGCGATCGATCTGCCCCTATCTCGGTCACCGCATTTCACCCTCATCGACTGATGATTGCTGCCGCGGCTGCCAACGACACTCACGTCAATATATTCTCGTGTCACGAACCAAAGCATTCAGCTGTCAAGACAGTGAAACTTTGGGATGGGAATGCGAGTGCGTCGACCTCCAGTCGAACTTCCATCATTGGCTGAAGATTGACTATCGACGATACCCAGCAGTGCGAGACTGCAAAGAGAACGAGATAGTTGCGTTGGCGGCTGAACCACTAAACGATCGTTGAGTACATGATCTTTTTTGAACCATGAAGCATAGCGGCTTGTTTTGCTGCAGGGCGTCTGGGAAGCATTGGGTTTGAGCGGGAATGACAAATTTTATTATACCCAGCTACGTTAGTCAGTAATTGTATAAGATTTAAAATATGTACCCTGAACCATTCAAGCTATTAAGTGGGCAGTGTAGTGTACTTACCTAGGCATCCCAAGTGTTCAAGGATCCTGTAGTTGGCTATGACGCCGCGGGGATAGCGGGGCTGTGATTCATCCACGGCTGCCCCACTATGGAAATGTGAGTCCCCAGCGCATGTCGGACCACAGAACAACGCGACTCAAAACCCCCAATCCAACCACAATGAGTGACGCTGCATCTGCTGGCGCTGAGCCGCCCTCGAAGAACGCGCTGAAGAAGGCGCAGAAAGAGAAAGAGAAGGCCAGTAGAGTCTCTTTCCAGTCAAGTCCACAATGTTAACAGTAACCCAGGCAGAGAAGAAGGCCGCAGCCAAAGCCCGCGAACTCGCTGAGCGTACCAAGAAAGAAGCCGACGACGGTGCCGACGTGTCCGCAGGCGCATACGGCGAACTTCCCCTCATTGGATCCAAAGAGTACAAGCCTACGGGAACTCCGCGCACTGAGCTTACCGATGTCGCCAACAATGAGGACAAGGAGATCACGTTCAGGTGCTGGGTAGAGAATGCAAGGGTGCAGTCCGCGAAGCTCGCTTTCTTGAACCTGCGGCAAAACCTCAACACCGTGCAGGCGGTCGTTGCAGCCAGCGACAAGCTGAGCAAGCAAATGGTCAAGTTCTGCGGCAACGTTAGCACCGAGAGCACACTGGTCGTTACAGGTATAGTCAAGCGTGTAAAGGAGCCCATCAAGAGTGCCAGCATCACAGATTTCGAGATCCATGTCCAGAAGTTGTTCGTCGAGGCCAGTGCTGAAATTCCGCTACCGCTTCAAGTATCGGACGCCGAACGGCCCATGCCAACTGAGAATGCCGCGGAAGAGGATCAGAAAGTGGAGGAAGGTGGCGAGCGCCCACTTGTCAGTCTGAACACAAGGTTGAACAACCGGACGCTTGATCTGCGAGCCAAGATCAACCAATCTATCTTCGTCATCAAGAGCGGTGTTTGCGCCTTGTTCCAGGAGTTCCTCTCGAAGAAGGGCTTCGTCCTGGTGCATACCCCAAAGATTCTGTATGTTACTCGTGTCGTGGCTCGTTGCAGATACTAACATGACATCTAGTGGAGCTGCCTCTGAGGGAGGTGCTAACGTCTTCGAGTTGAAGTACTTCGGTCGCCCCGCCTACCTTGCTCAGTCACCACAGTTCTATAAGCAAATGTTGATTGCTTCCCGCTTCCAGAAAGTTATGGAGATCGGTCCTGTATTCCGCGCCGAGAACTCCAACACAGCCCGTCATTTGACCGAGTTCACTGGACTGGATCTTGAAATGGAATTCCAGGAGAATTACCACGAAGTCATGAGCGTGCTGGAAGACCTCATGCTCTTCATCTTCAACGAGCTCAACGCACGGTACAAGAAAGAGACGGAGCTTGTAAGAGGCGTGTATCACGTCGATGAGTTCAAGCTTCCTCAGTCCGGAAACGTGCCCAGAATTCCTTTCCAAGAAGGTATCAAGATGCTGCGCGAAGCTGGTGAGGAGCTTGGAGACTACGATGATCTGACGTAAGTGCGAGGAAGAAATGCTCAAGGCTTGACTAACGTTTCCAGAACCCCTCAAGAGAAGCTGCTTGGCCGTCTTGTTCTCGAGAAGTACAACACCGACTTCTACACTCTGGATCAATTCCCTCTTGCTATCCGTCCCGCATATACCATGCCCTCACCCGCCGACCCTGCTCTCTCGAACTCTTATGACATGTTCATGAGGGGTCAAGAGATCTGCTCGGGTGCGCAGCGTATCCATCACTCAGAGCTGCTCGCAGAGCAGATGCGCAAGCATGATCCCCCAATTGATCCCGCCGGTGCTGGAACCAAGGACTACGTAGACTGCTTCAAGTACGGTTGCCCACCGCACGCGGGAGGTGGTTTCGGTCTGGAGAGAATTGTACAGTTCTGGCTCGGATTGCCTAACATCAGGATGTGCAGCCTGTTCCCCCGAGACCCCCAGCGTGTTGTGCCCTAAAGGCAATCTACTAAACGAGAACGATGAAACACTGCTCGACAGCGTCGGCTTGGCAGGAATGGGTCACGATGATAGACACAGACACGGCACTTCTCGTACAAAAGGGTCCCGAGTTTGGCACATGGTCTCAGAGCTGACGTGTATGGCATGAGACAAAGATTGAGGATTGATCTATTGACGACGTCGCGTCTCATGGAGCTCACGACCCGTAGAGTCAATCGCAGATACTAGAGAAATATAAATATATTACATGTTCATCATCCAGTCGACAAACATACTAGTCCGTTGAACAATTGTTCTGCGACGTGTGTTTGCTTCCAACGGGATGTGCCGCCTATGACGACCTAATCGTGGTACTTTAGATGCGCTCTCGCTGTAACACTTCCCATTCACTCAGGCGGGCTCATTAAATTCCAGCAGCTTTCATCCAGTGGGCCAGACGCGGACAATCAACGGAACCTGGCAATGTAAGATCCGTCGACAACTCAGTCTGGCAGTGACATGGGTGCCGATCTCTCATGCGTCGTCGCGCGTGTCAGTCGCAAACGTCGAGTTTTGCCCTTCACAGCCAGCTATCCGCCAACAGCCGATAGCCCGCCTACGATTAGTCTTCACATAGGCCAATGTGCGTGATAATGGCGCCATCGTTCCATCTCGCGATTGCAAAGTTTGACATAGCAATCCGCGTATCTTCATCAACATTGCTTCAGCGTCGCCGCAGCAAGCTTCTTCTGTGCTTCGTCCCCGAGGGCCGCGGCATCCACCTGTTGTATAGCCTGCCCAATTGCCAATGTCGTCTTTACGTTTCCCCCATCAACGTGCACAAGTCCGTTTCGACCGACGGTAACCTCGAAGCCGATTTTGGCGCCCAGCGTTTCCAACAAAGATATGCCTCCGCGCGCTGCAAGCATTCTCCGTGCCATACCCAGGCTGATCTTGAACACCATACCCCCCTTTAATAGACCGAGACCTTCGCCCTTACCCGTGGAGGGATCGACACAGGTGAGCTCTGATGGTAGGTCCTTGCCGGCACTCGCGACGCGACAGTAGACCAGGGAGTTTGGGGGGAGTTGAGGCCGTGTCTTCTTGGTCGCGCCCTCGAAGGCTAAGTGGGGAAGGGTCGCAGCCGGCGTGTTCGGGGTGAGGAGGCAATTGAAGTTCTCGGCGGCAGAGCCATTGACAGTCGCGATGACGAGGTCGCCTGCAAAGGGAAGATACTGTCAAGGTAATTAGCAAGCATGGTGGACGAGACGGAATGTATCTCTTACCCTTCCGGTGTTGTATTCAACTGAAGCAGCATTCTTCTTGTTGTCCGTCACGAGCGCGCCCGCGACCGTGGCCGTGACCGTGTCTGGCGGCGTATGTCGCAAACCGGGTCCGAGGGTGAGCGTCTTCTTTTTGCCTGTGCCAGTTGGCAGGGCGCTCTGCGCGATGTTGTCACCGGGCAGTACAATGGTGGCTGACGCTGCCATGGTAGTGCTCGCAAAGTGGTGTCCTTGGGTGTGGTAGAGCACCTGGTAACATGCGCCGTCCCTCGAGTGAGCTCATTCCGAGAAGCCCGTGCGCTTCCGAGAAAAATGCACGACTCTGAATTTCTTAGCCGCGAAGAAACACACGCGCTACAAACGCTACCACAACAGACTATCTTCTGTCCACCTGCCCCTGCCGCTTTCTTGTCGATATCGAACGGCTTTCGTTTGACTCGAACCCTCTTTCCGTAACCAGAAAACGTCTCCCCGCGCAAGATGAGTGCGCAAGCGGACCCCGCGCAGCGAGTCGCGATAGGAATATCCTTTGGCAACTCGTACAGCTCCATTGCTTTCACCTCGGGTGTAAGTGCCCATGTCTGTCGCTAATGTCTCTGAATGTTTCTGACACATAACAGGAAGGCAAAGCAGAGGTCATCGCCAATGAAGACGGAGGTACGCCGCCTGCTGCACGCCCTGGATCCCCTCGACTGCTAACGCTTGAAAAGACCGTCAAATCCCCACCGCCCTGTCCTATGTCGAAGGAGAAGAACTACACGGAGGCCAGGCCAAGACCCAATTTGTCCGTAATGCGAAGAACACAGTCGCCTACTTCCGCGACTTCCTCGGCCAAGAGTAGGCAATCCAATTCTTCCTGTCCAACCACGTCAACTGACACTCTGAAGCTACAAATCGATAGACCCCTCCCCATGCCACCAGTCGGCCCATCCCGTGCAGCACGAAGACGGCGTTGCGTTCAACATCCGCGATTCCGCCGACGAGCAGGAGAACACCGTATCCGTTATCGATGCCACAACACGTCATCTGAAGAGACTACGGAGCTCTGCCTCCGACTACTTGGGAAAAGAGGTCAACGCCGCCGTCATCACCGTACCCACAAACTTCAGTGATGCCCAGAAGGAGGCTCTCAAGAAGGCGTCGACAAATGCTGGCATCGAGGTCCTACAGTTCATCCACGAGCCCACAGCTGCTGTCCTGGCATACGATGCCCGTCCTGGTGCGCAGTTAGCTGACAAGATCATCGTCGTCGCCGATTTGGGTGGTACCCGTTCCGACGTGGCCGTGGTTGCGTCCCGTGGTGGCATTTACACTATCCTGGCCACTTTACACGACTACGATGTCAGTGGTTCCAAGCTTGACCAAGTGCTCATGGACCATTTTGCGAAGGAGTTCCTCAAGAAGCACAAGTCGGCCGGTGACCCTCGGGAAAACGACCGATCGTTGGCCAAGTTGAAGCTTGAGTGCGAAGCCGTCAAGAAGGCGCTTTCCATTGGTACCACCGCCAACTTCTCCGTCGAGAGCTTGGTAGGCGGTACAGACTTCACCGCAACAATCAACCGCACACGCTATGATCTCCTGGGAAGCAAGTTGTTCACTGCTTTCACTCGTCTTGTCACTCAAGCTGTAGAGAAGGCCAACTTGGATCCTCTTGATATCTCCGAGATTATCTTGGCTGGTGGTAACTCTCACACTCCCAAGGTCGCTTCTGCGGTGCGCTCAGCCTTCCCGGACTCCACGACCGTCCTCGCACCTTCCACATCCTCATCAGCCATCAACCCCTCGGAACTGTCAGCCCGTGGTGCTGCTATCCAAGCTAGCCTTATCCAGGAGTTCGAGCTTGAGGACATTGAACAAAGCACCCACCCTATGGTCACTGTTACACCCCATCTTTCCACCGCTGTTGGTGTCCTGTGCATCTCGGGTGATGAGTCTTCTGGCGTTTTCCATGCCATCGTTGACGCGGAGACACAACTACCTGTCCGACGCACTGCAACTATCACAACGCCACGAGAGGGAGGCGACGTGCTCATTAAGCTTGCGGAAGGCTCACGACATATCAAGGTTACGAAGCCAGAGCCAAAGCCCAAGGCTGAAAAAGACGAGGATGATTCGGATGATAGCGACGACGACAGCGAGGATGAGGAAGAGGAGCTACGGGAAAAGACATGGAAGGTTGGACAAGTGCTGAGCGAAGCTGCAGTCCGTGGTGTCAAGAAGGGAGGAAAGGTCGAAGTTCAGATTAACATCGGTGCCGACCTGAGCATAAATGCCATCATTCGCGAAGTAGGTGGCAAGGGCGGTATTCGTGGTGTGATTCAAGGACGCAAGGTCAATGGCAGCGCCTAGCATGGGCCCGACCGCTATACTGATGCGCCAGCCGCTGGACCGGAAAATTCCATTACATGCGATATGAACGACATAGACAGCTTGTGTTTCTACTAGACCCATATTGGTAGCTTGGATAGGATTATCGGAGGGCTTAGACCCTCGACTTGATCACAATGAAGAGCACCTGAGCCCTGACAATCCAACGTGCCAAAGAAGTATGCATTTACTGCACATATTGCAGAATTACTACTGTTCGATGCGTTTGCGCCTGCAACATATTAGACTGCACTCACACCCACACGGCCAGATGCTCTCGAGGGAGGTGTCTTGCCAATACAATAACTGAACTACACTAGTCACTCACAAGGCCACCAGTTGACAGTAGGATCTACGTAAGCCCAACCCATTGAGAAACAGCATGGAGTATTCACGCTGTAATCAGTATCTAGACGAGACAATAATATAAGACAAAAGCAAGTGACCCCAACCGTGATCGTCTCCATTGGAGAGTATCCGTGTATCCAGGAACGCCAATAATGCTCAACTGTGTTTCGTACACCATCGTCCATCCATGATATGTAAGACAACATCTAACCGCACAGGAGTAAGACAATAAACAAGCAAGAGCCAAGGTATGCAAAGATGCCACAAGTCCGCTCTTCATCTGGCTATATTGGATTTCCACGAAGGCCAACCTTTAAAGGGAGGCAGCACTCAATGGGAACCCTCAAGCCGCGATGAAGGGCGGACAGTGATGACAACAGCACGACCGAAACTTTGCGAAACAGACGCCAAACACCGTATCCCACCCACGCCCACCTGATGCATGCATGGTATTCCAAACTCCGTAAACAAAACAAGCATTTTCAATGCCAGCAGAACTGATGAGATGACTACAAGAGGCGCAGCTTCTTGGGTGGGCCAAGGGAGCTGTTGAAGAAGGAAGACTCTGCGGGGCGCTTCTTGACCGTGGTGAAGGCCTGCGGCGCAGGCTTCATAGCCGATAAGGTCGCTTTCGATTGCGTCGCCCCAAGGAAGATGGACTTGGATGGGGTCTTGATGGCTGATCTGCTGAACAAGAAAGACGACTTCTTGACGGGAAGTGTGCGAGGGGCAAGAGGACTCTTGTCGTCGAAAAACATGCCAACTTCGCAGTTTTCCTTGTCGTCATTGAAAGAGCGGTCGAACTCAGAACTCGTCGGAGTGCTAGGCATCTTGCACTGGGAGGAAGGAGGTAGCGCGTACTTGGAAGGAGTCTTGAAAGGTGTGAATGGCTTCGGCGTAGTAGTGGGTAGAGGAGTTGCTGGCTTCGCAACCGATAAGTCGACCAGGTATTTGTCTTCGTCCATACGCTTCTTGTTCGACTCACTATCCAACACCCACCCCACGTTGACACACTTGATGGCTCCCTTGCTTTCAAGGCACTTCTCCAGTGTGGACATGCTTCCATCCTTGAAGAGAACGTGGCTCAGAGACGCATGCGATATATCTTGGACTACCTTCGCGCCGAGATCCTCGAGCAGACCGCGGAACAAGAAGTTCTGCTCCCTACCGTTGCGCGTGACATCAACGTAGAAAACCATACCCTGGAGGATGCCGTCGTAGAGGAAGAGATCGCTCTCGTCTGCTTGAACGTCTGTCCAAGCGACAGTCTTCTTAGGAGTCTTAGCGTCCATGACCTTTTGAGGGGATCGCAAGGCGGACTTCTTCGGTGACACTGGCTGGAGGGCTGCAAAAGTAGGTGCAAGCTTGAGCGGAGCCAATTGCATGGTTGGCTTGGATATGAAGGGAGAAGCCTCGACAGCGGTGTCTGTAACAACGATCCCACTGAGTTTGCTAGCTTCGGTGACCTCACTGATGTCGGCAAGCTCGCTCTGTTCCTCGAGATCGAATGAGTCATTCTTCAGAGTTGAGAATCTTATAGGTGACGGTGTCTGCTTCTTGACTGAAGCAGTGATCTCTTCCTGGAGAGCAGCCTCGAGAGCCAGGCTTGGTGTGGTGGGGTAGTCGGGCAATTCAGCGAGAGCGCGACGTGGAGTCATTGGCGCCTTAATATGAGCTGGTGTTTTGGGGTAATCGGGGAGCTCGGCTAATGCTGCCTTGGAGGTCACAGGCGCGCTGATATGAGCTGGTGTTCTGGGGTAACCCGGGAGTTCGGCCAATGCGATTTGGGAGGTGACGGGCGCGATGATGTGGGCGGGTGTGGTAGGGTACGCCTCAGGAAGCTCCTCGAACGCTTCCTGATCGGTGACGCCCCAGACAATCTGCGCAGGTGGAGTGCCATGAATATCCGAAAACGAATCGTGGGCGGGCGTCGCATCATGATATGGCGTCTTTAGCTGGACCGATACCGGGGTCTTTGCAGCCGGTGTGGAGGAGACATCGACCGTAGTCTGGCGGTCCTGGCAGTCGGTTCCCTCAACAATGTGAGGAGTCTCAAGGTGCTGAGGGCCTCCTGGCACCTCTATTGTGGCTTCAATCGCGCTCTCAGCAGCTGTGGAAGTATGGCAAGCCTCAATCTGCTCGACTGCTTCTTTCTCCTTAACATCGCTCATGGCGACGTCGTTGTACTCATGTTCCATGACATCGTCCTGAACCTCGGGTGTAGCGATTACGACAGGTGCAGCTATGTGCGCAGGTGTTGTGGGGTATCCCGCGAGTTCTGTAAGAGCGGCCTTATTCGACAAAGGTGCGAGGATATGCGAGGGGGTCGCGGGATAGCCGGGAAGCTCAGCAATGGCCTCTCTTGAAGTCATGGGGGCAGTGATGTGGGAGGGGGTCGTAGGGTAGCTAGGGAACTCTCCGAACGGCTTCTCGATTGCTTCCACGACAGGCTCCTCCACCTCGTCCATGACTGCATCTTCGTCTGCCTCTACAACAGACTCCTCGACGATCTCAGCAGCAGGCTCCTCAAAGACTTCAACAGCTGGCTCTTCGACTGTTTCAGCGACCGGCTTCGGCTCAACCTTCGCCTTAGTGACAGCAGCAGCGTTCTTTGTAAGCTTGCGGGCCGGAGCCTTGAGAGGCGACTCCTGTGGGGCTGCAGGGGCATTACGGCCGCGTGTGGCTCTCGGGACGATGACGGGTGCGGGTGCGGAGACTTTTGGCACTGTTGCTTTGCGTGTACGGGGTGCTGGCTTAGCAGGCTCGCTGGCTTCGGTCTGGTCGACAAGTGCGGCGGGCTCGCTCTTCTTGGGAACGGGCGCCTTCTTTGCCGGTATTTTGCGTACTGCTCTTGATGTTGGCTTGGCTGCTTCTTCGATGGCAGGCTCTGGGGCGACAGCAGGCTTCTCGACCTTGGGTACAGGTGCCTTTTTTACTGCTGCGATCTTGCGCGTACGGGCGGCTGTTGGCTTAGGCGCCTCTTCAACGGTTGCAGGCTTCTCTGTAGCGATATGCTCCTCGGCTTTGCGACCACGCGTCGCCCTTGTTGCTGGAGCAGGCGCAGGTGTGGCTTTGGTTTGGACCTTGATAGTGCGCGCGGCCTTTGTCGCAACGGTCTTCTTTGCCATGGGCGGCTCAGCGTCCTCAGGCTCAGCCTTGGCTTTGCGCTTCACAGCGGTCGTCTTTGTGGGTTTGGTCGGAGCAGGCGCCGGCTCAGCAGCTTCCTCGACTGCCTTCTTCCTGCCGCGCTTAGGAGGGGCGTTGAGCGTGTTGGAGGGTGCAGAGGTGGCCTCTGGGGCGGTTTTCGCACCGCGACGTGTAGCGACCATGATGCCTGTCGATGTTCGCTGTCTTGGTGGTATGTCGTTGTCGGTTTGGGATGAGACTGGTTCAGTCGAGGTTGTGGACGTGCTTGCCGTGTTGTGTTGTCAAAGCGCGAACGACAACTAGCCGCATCGGGACACGCGTTGCTCCAGCAACAATCGCTTGGTCGCCAATCGCAAGCTCACAGCAGCATGGCGGTCATGAGACGATTACAGCAGCAGACACTTGGGTGCAAACGAATAATGATCATGCCTATCGATTGTGCATCACCCATCCAAAGCTATACGTATGACTTCCATGCCGACGCCACAGACCAGCACCCTCGCATCGCCACCACCATTGCCTTCATCAAGCACCGCCATACTAGACGCATCTGCAACATTGGTCTTGATTCTATTCAATCTCTGGACCATCAGAGCACCTTCATGCTCTGCTGCAGTTTCAGATCCAGCTTCATAGTTAGTCTTCCGCAGTACAATCTGCCACAGTCTAATCCACTCGTCGTTGCCTGATGTGACAAGAAAGATGCGTGATTTGTGTCTGAAGAGAGCGCATGACGTTACAGCAGAGCCATGTGCGCGATTGAAGAGGATTGGTGACGAAGCATAGGCTGTCGCAGGCGAAGTCGATGAATGCGAAGACGTAGACCGTGCGAGTATACACGCCAGACTGCCATCGTCACCACCGGATACGATGAGCCATGTATCCGCATCGATGGGGCAAAATGTCATAGCTTTCGATGAGTTTTGATGTATCCTTGCCGGATGGTGCCATGTCAATTGAACATTTGACCTAGTGGATTCCCCAACCGATGGTTCGGTTTCTGCCATTAGCGGCCATACTACGGTATGGCCATCGGTACCAGCTGTCAAGACCTTTTCTCTAGAGAGGAACATGCACTGTGTCAAACAGGATGTAAAGTAAAGACCCTTTCCAAGAGGTTGCCATGTGACAGCAGCGGCAGGATCATAACGATAGACCTTGTCACATCAGCGCCATGCTACATTCAGAATACGGAGATTAGCTCACCTTGATGCTGGAATCTGAGAACACCATCGTGATAATATGTGCGAATCCCGATATGGTCGCATCGAAAGACATGAGTCTCAAATCTGCATGCTCACTTTCTGGCGTGTACACATGTTCGCACACGACTCCGATGTCAAGGGCGGATGTGGGTAAGTCCCGAATCCGCCAAATATAGACTATGAAGGAAGTCAGCAGTATCTTTGCAGCATTGGATAGGAGCCTTACATTCTTCACAGCCCCCACTGCTGAACAGATAGTCACCGTTCTGCGACCATTGCAGATGCTGGATCCCTGTGGTGTGCTTGCGAATAGTTCTTTGGCATATCAGATCATCCTCAATATGGTGGAATATCTTAATATCAGTATCCTCAGCGCCTGTGGCGATGAGTGGGTGAGATCTACCGTTCATCTCCGATGAAACTGCGACCGCCTTGATCTCGCGTCCATGACCACCTCGTCGAACGACAGTATGATTTGATCCGTTCTGACTGCATATATGCATACTAGAGGCTCGAGTCCACACTAGGGTACCTCCTAGCGACGAGTGTGGCCGGAAGGCCCAACTTCTATGCGCTCCTCCGGTATCGATACTCATGACTTCCTCTTCATCAGTGACATTATAGAGATACCATTTTTTGCTTGAGAAGCCGTGTATGAAGAGATGATCGTCCTGGAAGTATAAACCTTCAATGTTTGGTCCAAATGGTAGCGCAAGATCATGCACCAACTCGACAACGTTTGCAGATGCATCGAATTGGTGTACGCTGAGACGCCCATCTCTTCCTACGGAGAACAGGTGGCCGTGTACGGAGCCCACGGAGCCTCCAGATAATGGACACCATGTAAGAGAAGTGACTGCTTCCGCACCGTGTGCTTTCTCGATGGTCCGGAGCAAGGTAGCAACGTCAGTGCCTCCCTCATCTTTACGGATTTCATACAGTGCGATCGAACCCCGACGGAACCCAACGATGACAAAGTCTCTGCTGGGTATTCTTGCATAAGTCATACTCGTGATAACCGAGCCGGTCGAAGATTCCGCCATGGGTATCTGCACAACTCTTATAATGTTCGTGTTGCTATCAGGGTCCACGTATAACAATTGCGCTTCACCTTGACCAACAAGGGTCACAAGTAACACCGTCGTATTTGGACCATCCGTGTCTGATACCTCCGTAGCGAAAATATCCCCGATTTTGCTACCAATGGCATGCAAGTTTGCCAAGGTCTTTGACTCCTTACTATACACGTAGATGTTGCCGCTGTTACCAGCGATGTAAGCGAAACCAGGACAGGAACCACTCGTGCAGACAGAATAACCAGAAAGATCTTTCAGTTGATCGAGTAACGTTGAGTTGGCGAGGAGGCTTGACTGACCGGGGGCTGTCTTGGACGAAATGGCGCCGATAAGTACGTTTCCAGAGTTAGTAGTAAGCAAAAATGAGGTCTCATCGACAAAGCAATAGCTCCTGAAGAACTCTGCTTTCCTTGAAGACTTTGGGCGGTCCACAGGTTCAGCCCTGTTTTGATCAGGTTCGGCCACTTGCGCCCATGACAGTATGTCGTTTACGGTATACTCAGCGATCGCACCACGTAAGTTCTTCTCTGCCTGCAGAACGCGGAACAACGGGGTAGCGGTGACTTTACTATCAGCGCCACCAGCAATAACCTGCTGTATTCCTGCTGAGTCATTGGAAACAACAGTCGACCACATGTTCTTTCCACTATGATGCGCGGCGCAGTCAAGTTCTAGCAACCTGTAAGGAAAGCTCGCGCTACCTCCAGGGTTTGGCGTAAGTTCCCACGTCCTTGCAGTTGCATCTTCACCGGCAGACTGGAGTAACAACGATCCATTGCATGGCGATGCTTCGAGAAAGCGGACCGTCCAAACGCGTGAAAGATGACCCCACCCGATGGCGAGACAGCTCGAGCTATTAAACTCATCCGAGTCGAAAGCTTCGTTAGTGAAGCCGGTATGACGAGTTCTCAGAACCTCCAAGTCATTACTGTGAGCTTGCGAGGTAGTGGCACTAGTGCTCACATCTGAGACGTCCCATATTCGGATTGTGCGGTCATCGCTGCAGCTTGCTACTACCCGCCTCAGTCTTTGACAACATTCGGTCGGTAGCTCTTCCGAAATCTGGACCCCAAAAATTGAGCCCTCGTGACCCAAAAAGACGCGATGGATACGGGAGGCCGATCCACCGCCGCTATTGTCACACCATGACCAGTATATAATTTCGCCGAATGCTGTACCAGCAGCAACGAGAACCCGGTTTAGATCCTCCCAGAACAGGTGAGCGGAGTAGAGGATCGATCGAGAACTTGAAGTAAGATCAGATACAGCTACATCGATATGACTGAAATCGAGATGTCAGTAAGAAAATGATACTGCAACGGGTCAACGTGTGGTATGCGCACTTAGTCATGTGGATGTCGTCCGACGTCCTTTGTTCAATCTCCACGTGTAGCAGTGCGTTATGAGCAGTGACAGCAATGCAGGATCCTTTGTGGTATTGAGCATCGTTATCCAGGCCTTTGGGCCGAGGAGCGAGATCAAGAATCCAATCTGAAGCCTTCGCGACGTTGGAGAAACATAGGCTCAGGCCTTCTTGGCCAACTTGACCTGCAAAGTCAATCTCGAGGGCGCGGACCAGCCTTCCACCCCAGATGACTAGTTTGATAACATGAGCACGCTCTTCAGAAAAGACGCGTATTCCATGGATTGCTTGAGCTTTGAAGACGCGCTCCGAAGAAATGTACCGCGAGTCCCTGGCATGATGGAAGCGTAAAAAGGGGCCTTCTCCAGCGATCAACAGAGCGCCGCAAGAGGCCAGTGCTGTCACTGGTACGCGAGTGCATCCATGCTGCGGTTGTTAGCTACTGTCTGCCTCGATGCAATGCAGACTCACGTGTAGAGTTGGCAACATTGGCTCGCCAGAATCACATGTGAAATTGGTGTTCATGATGGGGAATTTGGGGTTGAGTCAAGCCCCGCGAAGTGTGGCGGGCGTGGCGGGGCAATGACGGAGTGCGTTTCCGCGATTTTTTGTCGGCCTTCACCACGCTGGTTGCTGCTGCGAGCACCCACATTACTCTCTGCACTCTCACTTCAACCTACCGATAGACAACAATCCCCCGAACACATTGCCAGCATGTCTCTCGCAGGCCCACTAGGCACGAGCATCAATCCGGAGGAGACTGAGAACTTTGAGGATGCAGGTGCCCCAAAGCCAGCGCGTGGACAGTCATCGCTAACAGCGTCTACAGATCGAGAAGCAGTTTGCTGTCAAAGGTGCAGATCACGAGACCTACCGTTTGCGACCATTCTGACAGTATCACCCAGTTGTGCAGCACATGGAAACATATTGGAAGATCCTCGAAAAAGTACCCGGCTCCAAGCTGCGACTCACCAAGATCGACGACGAAATCTACGAACACCTCAAGACGGAATTCCCCGAATTCGACGCATCAGCCACACTAAACGAGGATGAGATGAAGAGCAAGGAGGGCAAGGAGCGATGGCGCAAGTTCATCAGTGAGTACGAGAAGAAGGTCGAGGACTACAATTTTGGCACAATGCTGCGCGCAAGTCCCAAGATGGAATACAGCCAGGAAGGCACAATATTCGCTGTTCGAATGCAGTTCTACGCTGTCGAAATCGCACGGTAAGCTATGCCCTAGATGTAGCGGCGCGTCTGATGCTGACACACGCAGTAACCGAGAAGGCCTGAACGACTGGATATACGAGAAGGCGCAGGGCAAATAGTTCGCCACAGGATGAGCCTGGAAATTCTAGATTCCAAGTTATTGTTCGCAAGGGGCGCCAATATGCGGCTGCATTGTCGACATCCGGCCCGTCACTTGTCCGTCGCCTACGAGCTCACTTTCTTTGTCGACCGTCCAGCTATACCCGTCTATGAACATCCGTTATGCAAGCCACTGGATCATCGGTGTAGTAACATATTGGCTTGGTAATTGACGTATTGGTGAGTGTGTAATCTTCGTCAATTGCCGGCCTATACTGTGCATGTCAACTACAAGACCAAGAAAGCGCTGAACCAGATGTGTCGCTCTCAGTTTACCATCCGCTGATGACATGCCCGGAGAAGACCACTGTTTTATATTATTATAAAGTGATCGCATGAGCGGATGCAACTTTGGGCTTTTCGTGAAGGCGGCGATTGGTGACTGGAGAACAATGTTAAGGTCAAACAAAGTAAGCGACGAAAGCAGGTGCGCAGAAACCATCTTTCCAGGGCTACGAGCATATAGCCGCCACAGACTAGTCCAGATGTGGTAATTCCCCATTCTCGGTCCTCACCTCATTTCGCCGTTGGGTCATTCTTACTTTTTGTCGATCCCACTACCTTACACTCTCTTTTCGCAGTCGCTACCGGCGAGCGGCCAAGATGGCGAGGACTCCTCATCCGAACGCGACCGCCAATTCCGAAAGGCCGCCATGGCTGAATGATCAGGAGCAGGATTATATATCAAGCGTGGGATGGAGGACGTTGTTCACTTTCACCACAAAAGAGCATATGCCCGCACTGCTTGGTGGTATAGCGATGGCGTCTATAGCTGCGCTTTCCATGCCTGCTTTCGCAATCGTCTACGGTCTTGTTTTTGGTCAATACACAAGCTATGGCGAAGGATCGATAGGCAGTAGCCAACTCATGAGCAACATGGCCAGGTTCTGCATAATTCTTACCGCTCTCGCAACACTCAGCTGGATTGCCAATAGTTTCTACTATCTCTTCTTTCTCATATTCGGAGAGCTCCAGGCGAGAAGCGCCCGAAACAGAATCTTCGATGCTCTTATCAAAAAGGACATGGCTTGGTTCGATACGCGGGAGGATGGCATCGCCGCGTTTCTGCCGACAGTCCAGATGTAGGTGACAATCTAATATCGGAATCGCCGTAGGAATATGTTCGCTAACGAAGAACAGGCATGTCCGCGACTTACAGCTTGCAGTATCATCTCCTTTTGGCGAAGCTGTCCAGTCGCTCGTGCAAGGTGTCGCATCCTTGGGGGTCGCTTTCTACTATTCGTGGAACCTAACATTGGTCGTCTTGTGTACAATACCAGTTCTATACTTGGTTCAATCCTCAGTGGCAAAGCGGCTATCACTACGAGCACACGAGCATGCCGAGAATTTGAAGTCGGCACTAAAATATATTACGACTGCAGTAACAAGTATTGAGACGGTCAAATGCTTCAACGGGGAAAGATACGAACTCCATGTCTTTACAAGCATCGCCACCATTACAGCGAGCTTATACAGAAGCGTGGCCAATTTCCGCTCTGTGCAGATCAGCATTATGCAATTTTTTACGATCAGCGTTTTTGTTCAAGGATTTTGGTATGGTAGTCACCTCGTCGAAACCGGGGAGAGTGACCCCGAACAGGTCCTGACGACGTTCTGGGCAGCACTTATGGCAATGTCTGGGATGACCCAAATAATGCCTCAGTTGATCGTATTGCAGCAAGGAAAGATGGCCGGTGCAAGATTAAGCGTACTTATGAAGCAGATTTCAACGAGCGATCAACAATTCGAATCGCAAGGCAAATTGCGGCCTGAAAGATGTAAGGGTCAGCTCGAATTCCGAAAGGTAATGTTTCTCACGTTGCGCCGATGCTCTTTACTAAGTATTGATCAGGTCACATTCTCATATCCTTCACGCGCAGACGAGACTGCCATTCGAGATGCTTCGCTTCTGATCCGGGCTGGAGAGACGACTTTTGTCGTCGGCAAAAGCGGTTCCGGAAAGAGCACACTAGGTCAACTTCTCGTCCGCTTCTATCGGCCTTTGTCGGGACAAATATTCCTGGATGACGTTCCACTCGAAGACTTGGACGTCAAATGGCTACGACGAAATGTCACGCTTGTTGAGCAGCACAGCGTGCTGTTCAACGACACTATCCGCTACAATCTCGCTCTTGGTCAACTAGGCGATACAGTGGACATGCAAGATATCCGCAATGCAATCAAGTTTGCTATGCTAGAATCCGTTATGGAGGGACTACCCAATGGACTGGACACTGAACTCGGCATGAAGGGTGGCTCATTGAGTGGAGGGCAGAGACAAAGAATGGCTCTAGCTCGAGCTAGGATCCGGAACTCGCCGGTGCTGATCCTGGACGAATCGACTAGTTCTCTTGATTACGTTACACGAGCCGAGATGCTTGACGCTATACGAAGCTGGCGGAAAGGGAAGACAACGATCATCATTACCCATGACATCTTGCAGATCCGACCCAACGACTTCCTGTATTTGATGGACAACGCTCGGGTAGTACAACAGGGATGTCGAAAAGAGCTCGAATCCCAAAATGGATCTTTCAAGTCTTTTCTTGATACACACGCAGAGGCTAACACAGGCGATGAGGCTGATGACCAAGAGGACGACTTCTATTGCGGAGACGAAGCCGGTCACGGCAATGTCTTACTAGAAGAGTCACGGACAGCCCGGATGGCTTCTATGACACGTCCGCTATCTGCTGTTCACTTTGGACAGTCAGTCCTGGCGATATATCCCGAAAAAGCCCGCGCGTCTTCGGGAGGGACTGTACCGGTCGACGTAGGCCCAGATCCAAGGCTATCCATCCATGAACAGACGGCTCATCAAGGCGGTCAGATGGAGTCCATTGAGATAAATCAAGCATTTCCAAATGCTGTGGCATCGGAACATCTCCCGGCTATGCCGTCTCCTGTCAAGAAGACGATCTTGTCGAAAGACCATGGCTCGAGACCTATTTCAAGATCGAACCTACACAGACGCTCTCTGTCGTTTCCAAAAGAACACAACTCACGTCTAGGCCCCAAACTGTCGACGCGGCCGGTCTCGCCGATAAGTCCGTACTCGCGACCCCTTGCGATCCACGAGTCTGTCCCAGTTTTTTCGGACGCAGCGAAGAAATCTTCGAGAAACGTTAAGCTTCTTCAGAGAGTCAAACGCTTCCGCAAGAAGGATCATAGTGAAGAAAGAGATTTCTCGGCCACTTCTCTTCCGATGAAAGAGATATTCATGTCTGTGTGGCCCGCTATAGGCCGGGGTCCCCGCCTCCTCATTTTAGCGGCATCCTTCAGCGCAACGATTCATGCTGCATGCACACCAGTATTCGCATGGGTTTTCGCTCAGCTTTTGACTACTTTTTATGTGCCAGGCGCTAGGAAGGAGATGTCCCAAAAACATGCCCTTGCCATTCTTGGTATTGCCGCTCTCGATGGTCTGTCGTGCTACTTCATGTTCTTCCTCTCAGATACAGTAGCGCAGGCGTGGACTCTTTCGCTGAAGAAGGAAGCCATGCGCCGCATCCTCATGCAATCACGAGAGTTCTTCGACAAGGAAGAAAACAGCGTGTCGCGGCTTGCCGAGACATTGGATCACTTTGCTGAAGAGGCTCGAAATCTTCCAGGCCGGTTTGCTTGTGTCTTTCTCACCATGAATCTTATGGTTTGTATCTCTGTCTTTTGGAGCATGGTGATAGCATGGGAGTTGGCCTTGGCTGCTCTCGCGACTGGTCCTGTACTCTTCGTAATCACGAAGTGCTACAACATTATCAGCAGCCGCTGGGAAAGATTGGAAAATGAGGCCGCTGACAAGGTTGGTCAAGTGCTTCACGACGCGTTCGTCAATATCAAGACTGTTCGATGCCTGGTTTTGGAAGATCACTTCAGGAAAAGGTATACCGACGCAACTACCGAAGCTGTAAATGTCGGCATCAAGCGCGCAATATACTGTGCATCCATTCATGGACTTTCGTTCACTGGAGTCATCTTCGTAACTATCCTGCTATACTGGTATGGAGGATATCTCATGTCGAAGCACGAGTACACTGTCAGTGAAGTGTTGGAATGCTTCCTGGTACTCATGCTTAGTGTCAATCAAGTTAGCTACATGGCGAACTACGTCACTCAGATCAACATGGCGAGGGACGCTGGATCACGATTGCTACGTCTCGCACGACTACCAACGAGCTCACACGAACTCACCGGCGAAACTCAGATACAGTCTGCAGGTGACATCTCGCTGAACAAAGTCACCTTCAGCTATCCTACCCGGCCAGGGATCCGAGTACTGCATGATCTGTCGTTTCAAATTCCACAAGGGAGCTGCACCGCTATCGTTGGATCCTCGGGGGCAGGCAAATCCACAATTGCCTCCCTCCTTCTCAAACTTTACCAAACAGACACTAATCCACTCGCGTCCTCCAAACCGTCAAGCGATATGACTGTCTCGAATTACGACATCAAGACCCTGCATACTACCAACCTCCGTTCGCGGATGGTCATAGTATCACAAACGCCCGTCCTCTTCCCCGGCACTATCGCAGAAAACATCGCCTACGGCCTATCCCGTTTACTCCCCGAAACAAGCATCAAAAGCATCCGCGCAGCTGCCTCCGCAGCTGGCATAGCTGAGTTCATCGACAGCCTGCCCCAAGGCTACAACACGCTCGTCGGCGAAGGCGGCACATGTCTATCTGGAGGCCAAGCCCAACGCGTCTCCATCGCACGCGCCCTCGTTAGAAATCCCGACGTGCTCATCCTCGACGAAGCAACAAGCGCGCTAGACGTAGCTTCCGCTCAAATTATCCGCGAGACTATCCTCCGTCTCGTTCACGGCACCGAAGATACTGGATCCACCATATCCCCACCCATATCACCCCAGAGCCGTTCACGTTGGTTTTGGAATGAGAAAGAGGGGGATTGGGATTACAAAGTCGGGTATCCACTGCAGCAGCGGATGACTGTGGGTAGTGGCAGTGATAAGGGCAACAGATCGAGGAAACGGATGACGGTCATCATCATTACGCATGCGCGGGAGATGATGGCTATTGCTGAGCACATTGTTATGTTGGATCAAGGAAGGGTGGTTGAACAGGGTAGCTTCAACGAGCTGAAGAGGAAAAGGCAGAGTGCTTTTGGGAGGTTGCTGAGGGGTGTGAGGGAGTAGATCGATTGCAATAGGGGTTTGCATGGCGAAAAGAGGCATGTGTCTTGTCCTTGGAAGGGTTTAGTGTCTATTTCTTCGTTGTATAAATTCAAATACTTGCTGTTCTCTCGATATGGATGTATGCGTATCGCTTTATACAAGCACGAAACTGAATCGGTGCATAAATACTACACATGCTGCTGCTTGACAGACTGTGATATATCAGGTTTAGAGCAGGCAGAGAACTTGATAATGACATAGGTGTCTGTGGCACCTAAGTACACACGTTTCCTTGCGCATTGTTAAGGTACTCCAGGAGAGAACGAGGCATTTGGCCTTTCTTTTTGTGTCTATAAAGTTAATCCGACGATACTTCACGAAGAGACATCAATCCATCGACCTCCATTGAGCCCATCTTGCAAGTAGAGACCTCCAAAAGTAAAACATGTATTTTTGGTTGATCATAGCTATGGAGTTTCTTCCCATATCCCGCACGCGCATCCTATGGCTGACTATCCCTCAGTTCCACAGGCAACTGAAGCCTAAGAGACAAGCGTACAAGAAGGCGGTAAGGCAAATATTAAAATCTCGTTCGCAGTGGATGATAACATCCTTGGCCGTAGATGGGCCGCAGAAGTACCGTGATCATGCAGCGAACGAGGCAATTGTGCAATTTTGTAGTAAAGCAAAAACGAGCGCAGAACCACATAAGGAAAAAGTGCTCGTACAGAACAAACTCAATAAGAGGGTATGCTCCCAAAAGTGTGGTCGACCTCGGTTTAGTCGTCAGATGTAGCGACAGCTCTGGGTTGACTGGGAGTGGAAGGATGTGGGACATGATGCTCCGGCGGACCAGTTGCTAAGACCTGCGCTCATCTTCTGCTCAACGTTGACATGATGTGATGCAGACTAAGGGGCCGCGAGGTCACTGTACAACCCAGTGCCTGTCATATCCTGCTCAAGTCCCCTTGTGTACTGATGGCTCATGTCTTGATCATGTTCAGCGTTCCGTTCGAACGATGGCGGCGTTGTAAATTTCGACTACTGCGTTGCTACTGACGCTCATCTTTCAATCTGCTAGTTGGGCTCCCATAGCTTTCGCCTTCCACCGCCGCGAACCGGGCCCACCTTGGGGGCGGGGCGAGAGAAAGAGTCTGGATCGAGAGGCGCATTCGGGTCATGTCGAGGAGCTGATGGAGCTCGAAAGACTGGGCCTGGAGGAACGTATGCGCCACGCGGTGCAAAGTTGCCACGGCCCCGGAAGGCTGGTCCACTGCGACCGCGGGGCGCCACATGACCTCCACGTCCACCGCGAGGGGATTGTTGCTGGTTTGTGCGAGCGAAATCGTTCGGGTCGAAGACGCGTTGGTTGTTGGATGTGGCGGCGGGGCCTCGAGGGGCGCGCTTGAAAAGTACCTCGTCCTCGTCATCGGAGATGTCTTCGGGCTTATTCTCGGTTACGTTTGTGTGTATGGGGCTGGACTTGGGTCGCTCTGCGGCTCTGGATGCGATTGGCGAGGCGCTCTTAGCAGCGGTCGCTTCGACTTCTAGCTTGTGGATGGTCAGATGGTTCTTGTATTCGCGGTCTTCACGAGCAACAGCATCTCGGAGCTGCTCAAGACGTTTAGCACGGATGCCGAACTTCTGAGCAATCGTCTGCTTGGCAGAATCATTGGTGAGGAGGATGAAAGACTCCAGGGCTGCATCTGGATTGCCCTCCTTGTTGATGCGCCACAAGATGTGATTGAAGAGGGGCTGGAGATAGACAGGTACGGCGCCTTTGGTCGTCTTATCAGCGCGAGTCACGTCGGTACTGTTGCGTGCGGTACGGTCGGGGGACGCTCTGAGTAGCGTGGCTGCCTTGTCCGTGTGTGTGGTGGCGTCGGCAGGCGCGGACGCCTTGCTCGAATGCGAACCAGGCGACTCGGGAGTCTTGGACACGTTCTCGAAGCTGTGCGTAGAGCTAATCGATGTGCCATCGGACATGTCGAGGGCGTTGAAGGAGCTTTCGAGATCCTCATGGTAATCATCCTCGTCCGACTCGCTATCCTCCATGGAGAGCAATGTCTCGGGTAGCAGGAAGTGCTCCACCTCTGCCCACGTCGTGTAAGCTTCGTCGACGCCCTCGAGCTGGACGCGGCTCGGGGCTTCGTTGGACGTGACTTCGTCGAGCCACTTGACGGCTTCGCGGGCATCGGCGTGGATGCGCTCAGTGCCGTTCTTGAGGCGGTGGAGCTGAGTAAGGGCTTGTTGTGTGTTAGTCAAGGGGACAGGGAAGCTGCGATACTATAGCCTACTGTGCAGCGGGACATAAAGGCGTATAGCGTCCTGGGCGATCCACTTGCGGATGCCATCGCGGGTGCTCTTCTTGACACCGGCGATCAGAGCGGTATCGTCGACGATGCAGTTGAATACCTTGCGCTTCGGTGGCTCGGGTGCGCGCATGGCGGCCTCGGGCTTGCCAGGCCGCGAGGGGCAGGTACTGCGACGCATGGTTATCGCCGATGTGCCTCGCAGACGGGAGTAGTGAGGGTGTAGCAGCGATCGGCTATGGTGGTGCGCGGATGAGAGTAGTAGGCAGCTGGGTTGGTGAACCACGGTTCCGGTTTGAGCAGGTCTAAGTGCGGGTTTGTTGTTGGGCGCCAGTACGTGCCATAGGTGTCCACGCAGGATTTCAGGGTGTGCGCATTACATTCGCGCTGGCCAATCGAAGCGCGGGAGCGAGGACGTCAGTCTTGGGCATGGTGCAGAGGACCATAGTCGTTGCTGTGACTGTCACGGACGGGCGTGTGAAGTTCGGGCCCGCATCACCGCACCATGATGCCCACGCCAAGTGGGGTGCGCCACACCACTCACCCAGCCACACCAAAGGAACTGCACATGATATCTTGCATTTCATTCGCCTTCGCAGTCCTTGCTTGGTGACAGACGATACATCTCACGACTCAGTAACTCTCCACCTCTCTGGCACTGCTCATATCTGGCATCCAGCCCTTGGGACGCTCGTTTCCACGCACAGTCAAACCATAAAGACCCTTCTCTACCTTGTCCACGCACTCGCGCATCACAGGCATCTTCTTCGTCTCCAACTCTGCTGCAAACTTGGATCCTCCCGGTGCGTCGAACATCTCGAGTTGCAGCCGAATCGCCCTCAGGTCATCCAAGACAGTCCGTGGCGTCTGGCTATCATTCGCAGCAGATGCCTCCTCGTCAATGTCCATCTTGTCGCCGGCATCGTCTTGGCCATTGCCTTGCTTCAGCCTTTTGTTTGCCTCTGATTGTTTGCCAGACGGAAGTTTACCATTCGTCGCCATGCTCGTGACAGAGAAGCGCATAAGCTCGCCAGTCATGTCGCAAACGCCGAGAATGTAGTCTTCTGGCGTAAACGAGATAGGTCCAGCTTCGCCGCTCATAGCAGCGATACGGGCCTTTGCTTCATTGTACGAGATCAGTGATTGCGTTTCAAGGTAATGCTGGAAGCTAAGCGCTTCCATGAACTCTTGATTACCGCCCGTGATGTTGTGCGAGTAGCGGTATGCGTTCAGACCCTGAAGGTCGGCGGCAATGTTCTTGTAGCGATCTTCAATGGTCTCCCAGTACTCCGAATTCTTCTTGGTGACCCACGGTGGTACTGCTTGGCCGACAGCGCGGACCCTTGTCAAGTCAGTGTGTGTTTGGTGAGGTCATCGTAAAGACCTACCTCTGGAGAGTGAAGATGCTGCACAGTTGTTAGCAATCGGCTACAAGAATCTCGAGCATTGCCTAGTACATCTTCTTGCTTGACGCGGTAATGTCACGCGACGCCTTGATGATCCTCTCTCGTCGATCATGGTGTTCGTCTAGCTCTGCGCGGAAGCCTTCAAACATCGCCACAAAGGGCGACGAAGACTGCTCTGGCTTCTCGTCCGCCATTGCTGCGTCTCTTGGTCGTTTGAGGCCCATGGATCTGCGTGGATAGTGAGTTCATACACCAACGTCAGGCAAACACTGGGATTGTCCGCTAGTGCACGTCCTCACGTGGGGACCTATCACGTTTACGGACTAAGGCGCTTTCGGCTGCTCTCGCTCCTGGAGAGTCCATCCTGTAGGGTTTCATCAACACACCACCCTGCGAGATCGGTTCCGATCCTCTTATCACCGTGCTCGCTTTTTTCAGCGTCTTGTCTGGTTAACCTGGCTTTTGTAATGCCGGAGACAACATGGCTCTTTCCTCCTTTTTCCGCAGTCCACCATTGGTCTTCACAACGTCAATCATCCTGAGAGTTGTCTTCCTGTTATATGGACTCTGGCAAGATGCAAACTCGCCTATGAAATACACAGATATCGACTACTATGTCTTCACGGATGCTGCGCGCTACATCTCGCGCGGTCAGTCCCCTTACGCACGGGACACGTATCGGTATACGCCCCTCCTAGCGTGGCTCATCTACCCTACTGTATGGTCTGGGCAATTCTGGTTTTCGTTCGGAAAGGTCTTGTTCGCTATTGGCGATGTTGCTACAGGATGGATGATGTTTCGTATCTTGAAGCAGTACAAGAAGATGAGCAATGAGCGAGCTCTCAAGTCTGCCAGCATTTGGTTGCTGAATCCAATGGTGGCCATTATCAGTACAAGAGGTAGCTCCGAGGGCCTGCTTGGAGTATTCGTAACGGCATTGCTTTGGGCGGTGTTGGCAAAGCAAAGAGCGCTTACTGGGTTCCTACTCGGGTTCGCAGTGCATTTTAAAATCTACCCGTTCATCTACGCAGCCTCTATCGTTTGGTTCCTCGATGATACACAATTCGCAACAGAGGCAGAGACCCGACAACAACAACCACCCACTTCCTTGCTTGAGAGGACGCGCAAATTTCTCAATCCCGCGAGAATATATCTTGCACTTAACAGTCTCTTTGCGTTTGCGAGCTTGAACCTGCTTATGTACAAGGTGTACGGTTGGCCATTCCTCGAGCACAGCTATTTCTACCATCTGACTCGTACCGACCACCGCCACAACTTTTCGCCTTACAATACGCTCCTCTACCTGAAATCGTCCCCAACGCCTACGGATTTGGAGCCGGCCACATTATCTTCCGGACTGGAGCGTTTGGCATTTCTTCCGCAACTGCTTCTCAGTGCTTTCTTCATACCACTAGCGCTAGCGAAGAAGGATCTTCCGAACACAATGTTAGCGCAGACGTTTGCCTTCGTTACCTTCAATAAGGTCTGCACAAGCCAAGTAAGTGATACGTTGAATTGCTCGTCTTGCATGAGTACTAACCCTGTCCAGTACTTTCTCTGGTACATGATGTTCCTCCCATACTACCTTCCAGATTCGACACTCCTAAAGTCAGCGCCCATCGGGGTCACGGCACTTCTGCTCTGGATTGTGGGCCAAGTTGCCTGGCTCCAGCAAGGCTTTCAACTTGAGTTCAACGGCCGTTCGACCTTTGTTCCCGGACTCTGGGCTTCTAGCATACTCTTTTTCCTCGTCAATGCTGGTATTCTTGGTGTCATCATCTACGACACTAAGCATAAGAAACCAGAGAGAAAGGCAGCGCCAGAGAAAAAACCTTCATAACCTCATCTTTGCACACCATCTTTACGCAAACACACATCAGCTCACCTCATATTCGGCTTCATCCTCTATGTAGCCTTCCCTTCAGTCATAGACTCCATGTTTGTCCGATAGTTCTCTCTATACCATTCGTGTTTCTGATTACTTCCCTGAAAGTCGCTGTCCCTCATCAATTTGTTTTCTTCTTACACGTCTCGCACACAGCCCATGGTACCGGCAGTCCCCTCTCAATGCAGGGTATGCTAGCCAATCCATACGGATCGTGATGCCGATGCCAACCCAGCTGATGCTCGTCAAACGGGCTCAGTACTTCATCTGTCGCTTTTTGTGGTTTCATATCCTTCACCGCTGCAGCTGCCACCAGTCCAATCGCGGAAACTGGACTATCCGACGACTCACGAGTTGTGGAAGCATGGGTTTCTTAGCAGTCTTAGTTAGCCAGCCTGTATTAGACGCAATAGCAGTGTTGTTAGGTTAGGCTAAAACATTCTGGCTTAGTAGATTAAAGTTACCTAGCATATAACAAACAAAGATAGGGACAGGTTTAAGCGCGAGTTAATGGAGCTTTGGAGGTATAATAATTTTATCGCTTTCAGAGTAAGTAGCGGTTGTAGGTCTTCTGCGCCTTTTTCTTAGTCTCTAGAAGTGAAGAGTAGCAGGGTTAAATTTAGTGTTGTTAATTCAAATGTCGGTGTTTGCAATAATGCTGCTATTGGAAGAGAAGATAACCACACGAGAGACAAGGAAGCTGCGGAGAGACCAACTCCGCCTTAATGCAGCAGAGCTGTGCCTTTTGCGAGTGTTTGCCTCTCTAAAACCCGGCAAGATTGCGATGCTCGAAACGTTCGAGATGGTATGTCACAGCGTTCATGCCATTTTCGCTTGAGCAAACGTTTGTGTCTGGATTGTCAATATTTTGCTCTTCTCTCAGCGTCACAGGTGGGCTCCAGCCTAGGACCACGGTACAAAGATCGTGGTATTGGCAACCCGTTTGACTCCCCATCAGGCCCGAACCGTCGAAGAGATTGGATGCGTTGTCTTGTCAAGCATATAGCGAATTGTGTTACTGGTGTAAGGAATGTATAGTGCGGAACTGGCGTTGCACTGGCTAAGGTAAAACAGTGAATCTACCGTTATCCACAATTTACAGAAGTAGAAACAAAGCCAGACAAAGAAAAGAAGACAAAGACCGAGACTGTCCAATGTGTACCAGGGGGAATGATGAGGGTATCCAACTTTCGCTCAAAACGCATAGATCAACCTAAATGCAGTGGTGTGGTATACACGGAAAGAAAAGTGCGGCCCTATCGCTTGTTGTCGAAAGCATTAATGGAGGGAAATTAGCGCAAATGTACCAAATTCAGAATGGCAACAAGAAAAAAGTGCGGGTCAGGGACTGGGGCTCAATCACCATCCCACATGGGAGGTACCCACTCCTGCCCAGGGTAACTAGTCGCCTTCATAGTGGGCTCGTCGTCTTCCACAGCAGGCAATTCAAATACCTGTCTGCTGTTGCTGTGACTCCCACGTCTCTCCCAGCCTGGAGCTCCTCCGGTGGTGCTGCCGCCAATACTTCTGAGGCTACCGACCTGCCCGCCACCAGACGCGCTGCGCTCAAGCTCTCTGGCTCTTGCTCTTGCAGCTTCGCGCTCCTGCTTATCGCGCTCATGTCTCTCGCGCCTCTCCTTTTCGCGCTGGACGCGTTCCATGTGCACGAGATTCTCTTGCTGTAGGAGCTGGCGACGTAACGACTCGGCACCCATGTCTGGTGATGTGCGTTGAGGTGATGCAGCCATTGAGGCGGGTTGTGGATGCTGTAGGATACCGATCGAGGGTTGACGTGGACGAGAACCTGGTTGTCGACCACGCGATTCATCGTCTAGATCCGTTTTGATGTTCGGCGGTCGAAGTCCTTCGGAGCGACTCTTATTCATACCACTATTAGGCACATCGGCATCATCATATGATGGTGGGGCTTCGTCTTGGACTTTCTCATCATACTGGGATACATTCCTGTGTGGCGAGACATAGGCATAGTTTGGCGACGATGGGCTATGAGAATGCGGCCGTTGCCCATCGAATGATAAAGGCTGGGCGTTGGGAAATCCGGGTCGCATAGGACTATGGGGTATTTTTGGTGGTGGAGGTGGGACAAATCCGCTTGCAAAGGAATTCTGAGGACTATTGATTACCGTGGGGTCGGGAGACATAGGCAGAGGATACGCAGCGGGTGGCGGGGATTGTCCAGGATGTATCGGCGTTGGCTGTACAGGTGTTGCGTCCCGGCGAATAATAGGCTGCAGATCATGACTTGATTGCGCTGCCTGCGAGGTCGCATAGGGCTGCGCAAAACCTCGCGGCAGAATTTCCCTAAATCCACTGCCATGTGCTTGAGCATGTGGAGGTGCAGTAGTTGGCGTAATCTGCTCGGGCGATAAACGAGGTGATGGTGATCCGGCAGCCCTCTCTTCCTGCTGCTGCTGTTGGGCGGTAAAGCGTTCTTGCATGTATTGTCCCTGTCGTGCTCGAACAATCTCTTGTTCGGTTGCTCCCTCTGGAAAGTTGAGATGCCATGGAAGATTCTGCTGATGGACTTCTGATATACTGCTCATCCTTGGCTTCTGGTACCGTTGGCCGCCAGGGGCTGGAGAGTAGCTAGGCATTCCTGGAGAATTTGATATTGGCGACACGAGGGACATCGTGCTAGCATCCGAGTGGGTTCGACCGTTTAGAGGTGCTTGCGAGTGTGCAGATACTTGCGGCGACACAGCCTGCATAATTGGCTCCGAAAGCGGACGAATGTGTTGATCCACTGGAGCTTGCATGGACGCATCCGTCTGACTGAGCGACAACAACTGCTGTTGCCGATCAAGCGGCGATACAAATGCCCCAGATACATGACTGTATGCCGCAGGTATTGGAGGTGCCTCATACCTCGGTTCTTGCATAGGGGACACTGCAGGTGGAGATATCGGATCAGCATCTTGAGAAGCAAAAAAGGGTCCTGAGTCGTGCGCATTTTGGTACGGAAGCTGAGGCTGATCGTCGTTCGGTCGCCATTCTACCAAAGGGTGGTGTTGCTGCTGCTGACGCGGTTGTTGCACCTGCGTGGTTCCTGTGGCCAACTGCGTATCAGCATTCGGCCATGTTCCATTGTGCCCTGGTGCAGATCGCTCCTGCCGTAGTAGTTCCTCCCGTTGTGCTCGCCAGGTATGATGGGTAAGTGGCTGCTGGGATGTCTCGAGGTGTGCTTGTTGTTCTAGTTGTTGCACATATCGAGGGTCACTGTGAACATTCTGCTCGTACATGGATTGCTGTCTTTCGTGTGGTGCTCGTTGTTGCTCAGCCTGTGGGACCGTACAAATTCCCTGGTGAGCTGTTTGCTGTTGCCTACGTTGCTCTACCTGTTCTCGCGCGGCTAAAGAAGCTGCATAGGCTCCACGCTCAGCTGGAGCTGGCTTGTCATGGGGATTATAGTATTCTCCCGGCAGTGGACCCGAACCTTGATCTCGCGTGTGCGCAAGAGTGTTTTCCAATGATGTCACAGAGGGCTGTGCTCCAATTCCAAGATTGGAAGCTTGAGATTGTTGTAATTGTAAGCTGCTTTGCCGAGCTTGATGTTCCATCGCTAGCTGCTTTGTTTTGAGGAATGCAGATGCTTCCTCTGAATGTAAACTAGATATTGGCTCTCGTGATGGTAGAATTTGCTGCGGTTGTTGCTTATACGGCTGAGGTAGCCTTTGAGGATACATGTTGGGTGCTGGTTGCGAGTGCCCAAACTTTGGACCTATGGGTGGCCTATCTTGTATGGTATGAGGCGGAAGTTGTCCGGGAGGATAGTACGCTAAACCAGACTGCTGCGGTTTATTCTGCTGATGTTGAGGTACTCTTTGAGAGGCGTTTGGAGCAGCTGGAGCAGCGGTGGCCTGTTGACTCTTCTGTGCCTTCTTTCCTTCTTTTGACGTCTTGTTTTTTGTAGCCGATCCATCACCATTCACACCACCTCGAATGAACAGAGCGCCCAATGCAGAAAATCTCTTCTTCTTGCCAGATTCTGGTGGTTGCAAGTGTGGTACTTGGTGGGCCTGAACGTGAACATGGGGTATTGACGGTGGCTGCTGGGATGAAAAGCCGTTCGGAAGGGCGGATGCAATGGGCTTTCTCGAATCCAGACGCAGCCCTACCGACTGTTCCTGCAACGAAGCCTGATCAAACTGCGGTTGCTGCCCCATGCTTGGGCGACTAGGCGGCACGAAAGAACGTGGCTGGTCGATAGACCTTTCTGCCGATGCCTCCCTAGGGCGCATTAACCTATCCATTACAGAATGAAACGGAGTACCAGAACTGGGATTCAGCGGAAGTGGCTTGACAGGCGAGATCGTGGCTGTATTGCCAGCGTTGGGCGTATGCTGGAGGTTCGCTTGTGTCTTACCACCGAAGCTCTTGAACATTGATGTAAGTCGAGGTTTTGAAGATGACTTCTCCTGGTGCTTTGATGCTTGTTCGGCGGATTGAAACGACGAATTGGTGGGTGATTTAAACTCGGCAACTTGGTATTGCCCTTGCCTCTGCAACAACTGCTGTTGTAGTTCGAATTGATTTCTTGGTCCATGGGATTGGTTGTGAATCTGATGCCCATGAGATTCCATCTGTCCTTGTGCGCGATTCGGGTTGCTCTGCGGCCTCGTAACCGCTGGCCTCTCCTGTTCTGCTAGCGGAATGCGACTCGAAGCTTCAGTGGCCTGTGGTAATTGATAGTTAAGATCGGGACTTCCAGAAAGTGCTTGCTGGGAAGCTTGATCGCCCGCAGGACGCCAAGAACTGATAGTAATCTGGGTCGTTTTGTTACTGGGGTCGATTGATTTTACAGCCTGGAAGATATTCTTGGATGGAGATGGGCCAGATGCAAGCATTGGCTGATGTCGCGATGCGCTTTGATCCGATGGCGGAGCCACGTTTGCTGGCGGGTTCGGCGAGTACACTGTGCCCATGTGTAGTGACTGCTGGGACTGATTACGATGCTGCACAGGGACTGGGGGAGATTGCGTTGCATTCGCAGACGCGACCTGGTTGATCTGATCTTGAGGTTTGCCGTCTTGGTCTTCAGGTCCTGAGACGAAGCTCATTGGCCTTTCAAAACTGTATCTTGGGCGCTCAGCATCACGAGATGCTGGCGCTGTCGCTGTCGCAATACCGGAAGTTGAAGGCCATGATGGCTGTTGTCGGGGAGTTGTCCCTGGTACCTGGAGATCTCCAAGTCGCAAAGGCTGACCACTCTCATCTTGCACATCCTTGACAACTCCATTATGATCTGCGTAGAGATCAAAATCATCATCTCCGCCATACGACATCAGAATCTCCTCTGGGATCTGTGGTGGAACTGCCGAAGGTTTCACGGTGGACTCTGGCTGCATGCGACGAATTGTTGACGGGGTCGACCTCCCAGTAGATGTTTGAGAATAAGGGTTGCTTCCCTCGTCAGATACCATGGCAGATATCTGCGAGAGCATGGATCTTGACCGTTCCGGAGCCGCCGTAGCGTTATTTGAAACCTGCAATTGCTGTGCTTGGTGCTTGAAGTCCGGAAAGTTAGCTTGGCCATGGGAGTAGCCATTTGACATCGCGGGACGTGAATGCTCGCTGTACGATTGTTCAGCCTTGGGTGTCTCCGGACCGTCCTGAGTGGTGATGCGCGGAACCTGCCCGGCGGGCGTGACGAGGTTGCTCTCGTCCCCCATCTCACCGGAAGCGCGTTCAGCAACGCGTGGATCGATGATGTTGTGTCGGTGGTCCCATGATGGATTAAGCGATTCGAATGCGGTATGTCTTTCCACGGCGTCGACAACTAAGGAGGGCGGCGCGGAGCGCGTCGAGGTGTCGCTGTCAGCCGCCACAGCACTGGCCCCCGCAAGGGTATGTCTAAGCGAAGGCTCCCGGGCCCCATGTCTTCGTATTTCCTGCTGGGCTGGGGCTGCAATTTCGCCAACGGCCATTAGTCTACTGCATGCGTTTGCGTCGCGTTCTTTTGCAGATGTTGTCGCCCGGGTTTCTGCGCTTCCATCTACATCCTCAAGATCCCGGGTGCTTGTCGGGAGCTGCAGATCACTCTGAGCAAACCACACAGGACTGAAAGCGCGTTCCGCATCCGCTTTCTCAATTTTCGGAATGCCCTCGTCATCTTTGAGATCAAAAGGCGCATCGGATGCAGGTACGTCAGCTTCGAGCGACGACACTCGCCGAACTTTCCCAGTACGAAAGGCATCATCAAGAAGACCGAGAGTAGGCGATTCGACGTTAGATGTACGTTCTCCGTGGCGGATCGTTTGTTCTGCGCTGGCGAGCTCGTTGACTCTGTGGTGCGGCGGAACCGAAGAGCTGCCGTAAACAAACGTCTCGTGTCCGATGTCCAGTAACGAGTGTTTTGCGGACTCTTGGGGCTTTCCTCTCGGACTCAGGGTATGAATGGGGTCCATAGACGGCCGGTCTATAGCAGCGACATTGTCTGGTGGCTGTCGCGCCAGCACGAAGGGTGTGTCTTCATACCTAATGACTCGGGCTTCGCGCAGTTGGTCATCGCGCTCGACATCCCCCACTCCCCCGTTCTTGTTCGATGTCGTACTGGCAGACTTACCCACAGGAGGTAGTACAGGGCTGACACTGTCAGATTCCTGTTTCGCATTCAGTGCTGTCAACGGTGCCAAGCTTCTTCCACGAGCAGGCTCCCTGTCGCTGTCTTCATCGCTCACATCCATATGTCTGTTAGTGTACATAGGCGTCGGTTGTTGGCCAAGGCGCGAGGATGTTGGTAATGGATCGTGACTCAACTGTGGCGGTTGATCGTCATCATCAATGCGATCATCTTTGACTCTCTTTGACGCTTCGTCACTGAATCCGAATTGGAACCCATCGCGCCTGAGATCACCAGATTCTGCTGTAGGTAGGTCTGGTTGGAAAGATCCCTCTGGGGCACGAAGCATTGTCTTATAGTCATTCGCCCGTTCTTGCGCACCGAAGATGTCATCATCGTCTGCAAAAATCGGGTTATGATTGAGGTTTTTTGGATCTCTCGTAACTGCTGCTGGCATCGAGTGTCTGTTGGAAACGATAGGGGGGGTTGAATGCCGAACAACAGATTGCAACATCCGATGGCTGGCACTGTCCTGACTAGACCTACGTCGATAATGCTTGATGGCAACCTCGTTTGGAATGGGGGGAACGGGAGGAACATAGTCTTCAGTGTCCCTATCCTGATTTGAGAAGGCACTTTTTGCTGGCGAGGGCAATATGCCCAAACGCGCCTGCGAAGAGCTTCTTCGCATCGGTGTAGTATTGAAGTACTCGTTGAGAGCAGCCGGTGGAGTGCCGACCCAGGAGTCTGGAGCATGGAAAGAATGCGGCCGACGTTCTCCCATCAGATAGTGATGGAGCTCGCGGGGAGGCGAGGTCTTAGGTGTCGAGCCAAGGACGGATGAAGTACTGTTCGGCAGCGCTACACTACTTGATCTAGTTCTGGAGCGACTGGCACGCCGAAATTGGGACGAGAATGAGAACCGACGCTTCTTCTTTTCTTCGTCCGAGACTTCCCCCTTCTTTTCTTTTTCTGTCATGGAGCGCAGCAGTTGCACTCCTGACGATGCTCTCGATCTTCGTATGACGAGCTCGGGCTCTTGAGAAGCTTCGCGCGAAGAAGGAGCGGAGCCGTCCCGGTCATGCGAGGAGGTCTGAATCACGCATCACATCAGCAAGCAACACCAACGTAAGGAAGCTGAGCCGCCTCATTCAGACTTGGGATTACGTTCAGATGATTATGGAGCCACAGGCGAGGACTACGATCGTAGATGGCGAGAGAATGAAAACGCCCAAAGCAAGGTTATAAACGCCACATTCGATGTCCATACGATTACATCCAATCACCCGCTGTAGTCCATAGGCCAAAGAAAATGGTAGTCGTGGCATACGATGAGAATGCCACGCAAAAGAAATGGGTAGAAGAGATCATTTATCTACCTTTTCACGGCCGAAGCGGCTCTTGCCTTTCGCAAACAATCCCTTGGCACTGGTCATGCCTTTCCCTCCTAGTACATTAGCAGTATGAAGTAAGTCCTTGCCTTTCAGCTGCATCTGCTGGTTTGCAATTCGTCCGCCAAATCCGGGACCAGAGGGTGCAGGATTAGTGGGAGAGGCTGAGTTCGTGGGAACTGGCACGCTAGCATTGTTATGTTGGTCGGCGCTCACATCGTAGCTGCTCGAACCGCCAAGCTTGCCAAACAATGCCAGAGAGCCAGTGTGCCTGTGACGTGCCGAGCTTGTAGGCACACGCTGTACTGGGTACGTCTGCGTGGCCAGCTCGGGGTTCGCTTCGAGCGCAGAGCGTAGCCAATCATTAAGGCCATGATCAACTGTCGCCCAGTACTCGCGTGTCTTGTTATATATGTCAATCCGCTCAGCAGCGGTGTTAAGCGTTGCTATTTCCCGAGCGCCCAGAGGCTTGTCCGTGATTGGCGACTTCGGCGAAGGCTCCTGTGCGGCAATGGATGTTTTCGGCTCCTCGTCAGATGGAACGATTGCGAGATGTTGCGCAGGCTGCTCTATTTGTTGCTTCTCGTTCAAGCCGGATCCTCCGAGTCCCGAAGACTGCTCATGCTCCGCACTAAAACGTGGAGGGAGGTCCACGGCTTCGGGGTTGAGCTCTGTGTTAACAACATGAAGTCCCGGGGAGCGTGTTTCCTCTCGAGCAGGGCTAGTCACAGAGCGCGTAGTATCGACGGTTGGAGAAGCAGATCGTTGCGGCATATCACTGCTACTAATGGGATCAGGTTTAGTAACTGTGAAAGTGTGCTCGGGACCAAAGTACGAGTCGGGAAGACCTTCTGACCACTCTTGTCGTTCTCGATCTGCAGCTCGTTCCACAGTAGGAAGAGGGCTTTCCGTTGCCTGTAAGGCTTTTGTAGGCTCGACAGCGGCTACATCCTGTGCTTGCTCGTCTGGTGTTTGCAACTGCGGTTTGCTTGCCTCCCAGCTAAATCGATTGAGTATGACAGGTTTGGTCGGTTCTTCGGAGTGTGGGAGGAAAGACACGGTCGCTTCGGATGGCTGACCTTGGGCATAGCGCTCAGTATCCTGCGAAGATCGACGAGAAGCCCGGTCTTCATCTGCCCAGTAGGTATCATACTCACTAGGCAGAATAGAGCTAGCACGATTCGTGCCTGGGCTGACAGGGTGGAGCGAGGCTTGATTAGACTCGCTGGCCGGCGACGCTGGGGCCTTGAAAGGACTGAGACTGGCGACAATCTCCTTGCGAAGACGGTCGCTTTCCTGGTCTTCAGCTGAGGGGTCAGTACTCAACTGAGGATCAAGACTCGGCCGTTTAGGCTGACTCTTGAAGGGTTGTGAGGGCCTCTCTTTCAGAGGCGGGGGTGGTGGAAACTCTGATTCCGGGGTGTCTTTCGCAGGAGGAGTTGGCGGCACGCTTGAGCTTGAAGTGCCAGTACGATCTAGTTGAAGAGGCCTTGGTAGATAGATGTTTCCGTGGTCAGCACGACGTGCTTGCTGCTGTTGAGTCTCGGACAACTGGTCATCGGCGCCCAAGGTTGTGCGGATAGAATTGACCATCGCAGCTCCAGCATCTCTAAGAGCGGCGAGTGGGTCAGAGGTGTCCGTCTCCGCCGACGATGCCCCGGCAAGTGGTTGCTTGTCCGTTGTGGGCGTCGAATCGGATTTGTTGAGCGCACTCGAGCCATTGTTCGCGAAACTCAATCGACGATCTTGCTCGCCCTGATCCGAAGGTGTCATAGCGGTAGTTGCATAAGACTCCCACTGGCCTGGAAGATGGGGACGAAATTCTTTAACAGGACTGCTGGGTTTCGAAGGGCTAGCTTTCGTTGGAGACGCCGCACGGGAATTATCGTTGCTTCGTTCCCACGACTGAACACTGTTCCTCGAACGATTGGACTGTGTAGAGCCACGTCTCGATGACGCTACCTCTCCAAATTTACCAGCCAACGCCTGCACACGACCCTTGCTTGGAGACTCTGAGCGATCGCGCGGCAAGCCATCATCGAGAGGGCTTTGCGCGTTATGCGACTCGAGGAAGTTGTTCTGTGCTTGGAGCTCTGAAGCGCCCAGTCCGGGTGCGCCATTGTCTGGACCATCCCTCACAGCAGTAGCAATATCTGCCTCACGAGTAGCATATGCAGGGGAAGGACCTTGAAGGCCGCCTTCCATTGCGCCCGGAGTTTCGTTACTTTCGGTCGTAACAAGAGCGGATTCTGGTTCGGGTACGTCTCTGCTAGGTGCTAGGACAGGCGATCGTGCAGGACTGTCACCGCGTGTAGGCGTAGCGAGGCCGCTGCGCGGTAGAGAGGAGTTGGAGAAGTTGCGACTGTGACCTGGCGACGGTTTTCCTGGAACGTGGTGCATGGGCTCGACGATCTTCGCGGAGGTTGGCTGGGTGACGGGCGTCATGACTTCACTAGGTTCTTCTGCAATGGCGGGTGTGGTGCTTTCTGCTTGATCACGGTGTCTCAATGCTGAGGCTGCTGAACTGGGCACGCGGCTCATGATTGGGCTGATTCCGGAAGTGCTGCCAGTATTGCTCCTCAGAAGGTCTGAACTTGAATCATTGTCATTTGATATGGGCGTTGGCGGGACGGAACGTGATTCGTCAGCGCGAGTAAATGCTTGATCAACAACGGAGCGCAGACCCTGGTCATCCTGTGGTGACACAAGGGATTGATCTTGCTGGGGTTGTTGTTTGTCGTGCGGGGCTGCTGCATCATAGTCAGGCAGATACTCGCTCTTACGTTCAGCGACAGTTTCCATAGGCTGCAGCGATCGTCCGCCATCTTGAGCGGAAACCATATTGTCCTGTGTCGGGGAGGAAAGAGAGTCCAGGCTTGGTCGCGATGATTCCATTGACGCTCGCTCCCGCTCCTCTTGGTGCCGCTTGTAAATGTCGGCTGGTCTGATGAAGGGTAACGGCTTGTCAGATGCCTGACTGCCATTGCGTGGTCGTGGCGAAGCGGGCATTGGCATATCTCCCTGGCCTATACTGCTCTTGCGCGGGGGAAATTGAGTATTGATCGGTGGAGTAAAATCGGCGGGGACCTGCGATATGCGTGTCTGGAGAGGCGGAGGCATGGCAGAGGGGCTGAAGTCGCCTCTCTCTCCCATGTGGTAGCCCTGCTCATGTTCGTGGCCGCGTGCCTGTCCTGGCAGCTCTCCGTACTGTTGGTCGTGTCCATGTTGGGGTTGTGGTATTGTTGAGGAGAAAGCGCGCTGTTCCTCGCCGTGCTCGAAGGAATTCCTTCGGGCTCGTGGGAGAGGCGCCTGCTGGGACGGGTCGGTGAAGCTGCGCGATGGTTGCTCTGTCCGCTGGGCATAGTATCGCTGCGCCGGCGGCTGTGGCTGCTCGGGCTCCGGGTTGACGCCGTATTCGTCGTACTCGTCGTAGCCGCCCCAATCGTCGCCATCGTAGGCGTTCTTCTTTGCCTGGACCCATTTCTTGGTTTTGGCACGGTTGACGTTGGTCTTGAACGACACAGGCTGGCCTGCGGAGAAGGGCGACGCGGTCCGATCGCTAACACGAGTCAGTTTATGAAAGCAGGCGACATGCGCGTGCAGACGTGGTACGTACAGCGGCGATCTGGCTTCCTCTTGCTGGAAGCGGAAGGGGCCAGACATGATGGCGTAGGATGGTCCGGAGATAGGATGCAGCACTCGAGCTCTACTAGGGCCGAGCCCAACGCCAGCTATGTCCTACCGCGCATGCAATCGGGAGAAACGAGGGGCGGTCTGCCGAGATGGACTCTGCGACAACGGTGCTGGCCAGGCGGTGCGCGATTGCAGCGCTGGGGGAGTGAGGCGGTGGTGGTGGTGATGGCCGGAGTGGTGATAGACAGCGTGGCTGGAGCAGGGCGGGAGGGTTGATGAGGGTTCGATCAAGCTTGCGGGGGATACGTCACCTGCCTGCGCGTGCGAAAGGCCCGACGTGATCACGCCAAAGATGCACTCGACTGGAGTAGAAGAGGATGGGCGCAAGAGGAGAAGGTCAAGGAGTGAGGAGAGCTGGCAAGTCGATGCAGCGCCCAAGTGCTCGTCTCCCCTTGACGCAGCTGCTCCGGTCTGACGGGTCTACGGCCAAAGTATACCCAGGTAGCGCCACTACTCGCAGCGCTGGAGGTGTGGCGCAGGGCGTCGAAGTTTGGCCGACGCGGAACTAACTACGTTTCCCCATTCCACCCCGGCCCAGCCCTCGACCCTCAACACATTCCGCTTTTCTTTGCCCGACTCGCCAGGAACACGCCGATTCACCACCGCGCACGTCTGCTTCCCGAGTCTCCCATCACACCTCCAAGCCAACCCCCGCCGACGCCGCCAGCTCTCGCACGCTACGTACACGAACCGCGTTTCGCCCGGCACCACCTCACAATTGGAACGCGCCCTTGGTTGCCTTGGATCCCAGAGCAAACGTGGCCTGAGCAAGTTCGCGACTGCACACGAATCTACCATCCGCCTCGGCGCAACTTCCACGTCTCCTGTGCATCCGCAGCGCCTGCTGCCCTGCCCACAAGTGGTGCGCCTCCCCTTTTCCCGCCCTCGCCCTCCCACCCACCACAACAAACCATCAACATGGCCGTGTCGATACAGGACCGCACCGACGAGTTCCGCTCTATTCTTGCACAGGCTCAGCGGCGGCAAGCGCAATCCAAGACGGGCGCGCAACGGCAGTCGCTCCTCACGGCACAAGAGAAGACACAGGCAGATGCCAACCCCCGGCGTCAGCGCTCTGAATTTGCGCGCAATGCTGCAGACGTCGCGCGAGGTGTTGCGAGCACCATGCAGAAGCTCGAGCGCCTTTCACAGCTGGCCAAGCGCAAGACGCTGTTCGACGATCGGCCAGTCGAGTTTGACGAGCTCACCTTTGTCATCAAGCAGGACATGACTGCACTGTCAGGCCAGGTGCGGGCACTGCAGCAGATGAACTCGAAGCAACACCCCAAGGCGAAACCCGGTGTGGATCAAGAAGGAGAGCACAACGGCCAGGTCGTCAAGCTGTTATCCGACAAACTAACCAACGTGGGAACCAACTTCAAGGATGTATTGGAGGTGCGGACAAAGAATATGCAGGCATCGCGATCCCGCACGGAGCAATTCCTGTCAACAGCTGCGCAGCAATCCCACAGCAACCTCGAGCCAGGCAGGACCGATTCTCCGCTCTACCAAACACCCCAGCGAGGTCGATCACCAGGAGGCTTCGGCCGGAATACCAACGCTGCGCAGCAAGACCTGCTCTCGCTTGAGCCTTCTGGATCGTCAGCTCTGACGCGAGGCGCACCGCAATCGGACGCACAACTACTGCTCATGGAAGAGGCCCAGCCCCAGAACGCATACATCCAAGAGAGAGGGCGAGCAATCGAGTCGATAGAGTCTACTATTCAAGAGCTAGGAGGCATCTTCAGCCAGCTCGCCCAGATGGTGTCGGAACAAGGAGAACAGATCCAGCGCATTGACGCCAACACCGAAGACGTTGTAGACAATGTCGAGGGTGCCCAACGTGAGCTGATGAAGTACTGGAGCCGCGTGCAGGGCAATAGGTGGCTTGTCGCAAAGATGTTTGGTGTGCTAATGATTTGTACGTATACTCGCACACTCGTAGATTGACAACATGCTAACAAGGCTTAGTTTTCTTGCTTTGGGTGCTCATCTCTGGGTAGATTGCGCTTCATGGCTACGGCATTTTCAGGCGTTCAGGAAGATAAGAGGCGTTTTCACCAGCTCGGTCTGGCATCGAACTGGACAAGCAGCCATTGCATACGATGCTGCGCACTTCTCACTTGTACCTATATATTTCTTTTGTCGCATGTTTCACTTTTGGGCCTGGCTTATGATCACCATTACGTCATATGAGCGAGCCGTTATAAGCCACTATTAATGAATTCAACCCGTATGTTCACTTACGATATCAGTACGTGTTGCTGGGGGTGTGGAGGGCTTCCTTGTAGCTCGATCCATGTCTGTGCACTGTACGATCTTTGCTTGCATGCCTTGGCTGCATATGTACAACATGCGGGTCGGTAGTCGCTTAGGGCAGTAGAGTAGTACCCATCACGAAGCTTGAAATACGAATGCTTGTACTCTCTGGGTCCAATTCGAACATCTTTTCACTAAAGCTCTGCGACAATTGCGCATCCACGTATACTCAGGCGGAGCATGCGCCAACGACCACCACCTGCGTCATCGGTCAAGGCGGCCGTGTGATCGACTGCAGGATGAAACCAGACTGCACGGCTGTCCGTATTCTACCGCTTCTTATTCTTGATAGCCCCTGCGGAGTATCACCAACGTCGCAACGGAATTATCATTTTCACGTGCTCAAGGATGACCCCGACACGGACGGCTACCACCTAGGTGGAACATCAGAACATCGGAAATCATGGCAACTAAGCGGCAATGCCGAAGCTATCCTCCAACCACCTAGTGGGCTCCCGGCAAAGTATTCCGGCTACACCACTACGAGTCGTAGATGGAGAACTGACAGGCGCCGAACTATGCACGTCACCGCCATGACAGCCGAAGTGATATCAACGGTACTTGGGTTGTCACTAAGCTGGCCTGATTGGCGGCGCGAAACATGCAAAGTGCGACATGACGAAAAGGACGGCGCAACGTCGGCAGGATAGCTGCGTTTGACGGGCGCGCGCAAACTCATTAGTGGCCATGGACAGATGTCATATCGGTGTTTGGCGGGTGGGATGGCTTGCAAGCGACATGCTGAATGCAGCATCAGCAGATGATCCACCTGCTGCAGAGTAGGCGTGTTGGCGCCCGTCTTCCATGCTCTAGCGCCCACTCCTTCCATCCGTATGTCAACCACACTTCTCACACCGTCGTGCGTCCTCGACGCCTGACCTGCCCTCTGTTTGCTGCACCCCTCCGTTAGTCGCCCAAGCTTGTGCCGCCCTCCCACCTGTGACGCCTCCGTCCCGCGCAAGAAGAGACAACCCTTGTGCCGTTCGCATGTCTTGGTAGCAACCTCTTGACATCAACCAACAGCCAAGTGCATGCGCGCTCCGGCGCAATGCCTGACCGCATATGGGACGAAACCGTTGCGCTCGGCACGGCTCCCATATTCGACGATGCTGTGTATCTAGCCGAAGCCTTGGGCCTACCTATAAATCAGAATGAGGACCATCTCGACGCCGAGGTGGCGCTGCTTGCTCGCGAATCTGGTATCCCCGATCCTTATCGTTTCGTACCTCCGCCAGAAACTATCTCTCGCGCAATCTCGACTATGACGCTGGATAGCGATCAGAGAAGTTCCAGATCAATTCACTCTCAAGAAACGCAGTCAACAAGCTTCACGTCCGCGCCTTCCCGAACTTCGAGGGACCATATTTTCTCCAGTGACGGCTCAACCACAAGAAGGGTACCTTCAGCACACCCACAGATTACGTCACCTGTCGACAAGTCTCGAGGCTTCACTGACCGTCCCGAGTCTGATGTTCAGTCAAGACAATCATCGACACTGTCCATTACACCTTGCGCCATCTCCAGCCCTGCCTCATCACAGCAAGCGCAACCAAGGAGGAAGCGGGGCTCCGTCATTTTATCCATGTTCAGAAGGGATTCAGGGTACGTTGTGGACAGTGACTTATGACAGTTTCTTACTGAGTCTTTTCAGTAGTACTTGCACCACGTCCGCCTCGCACCACGGACATCACAGCAGGCCTCGAGGCGCAAAGCTGGTATGCGGTCACATGTTGTCCGACTTTGACGTTCGAGCACATATACAGGAGGCATCAAAGAGAGGCGCACACGTAGCGCCCGATTGCTGTGGAAGCGCAATACCGCAGTCCATTTTGGAGCGCGTCCAAGCAAAAGACAATCCGGGGGGGCTTGCTATGGAGACTGCTACCGAGCTGCCCGACCCTCTTTCCCGCGACTCTGGCTACTGCGAAATTGTGACGTCAACTGCTGACAGTTCATATTCCACAAATGGCCTTCCAATTTCAGACAAATCCCCCGCTTTGCCACAATCTCCAATGAGGCGCACCCGACACGAGGCGATCAGCATCGACTTGGCATTAGCCAAAGAGGCTTTCACGAGTTACAGGACAAAACAGAAGGAAGAGCTTGCGCGTGTCTCGCTGTTCGAGTGCAGCCAAAGAAAAGCCTTGTCAGCATACCAATATTGTTCAATGCAGCAACTGGAAGCGCAATGTAAGATTGATAGGGGCGAACGGATCGAACAGGTATGTATAATTCGTGTTAATGTGATATACATCAACTGACTCAAGCGATGTAGCACAATGAGGACCTAGAGCGATTAGAAGAACGACAACTTCTCGCTGAACACGATCTGCTAAAAGCACAAGCTCAGGAGACACAGAACGTAGCAACGGCACTAAAGTATATCGAGGCGTATTGCCTGGGTACGATGAGCAACCAAGAGCGTGTGCATACTGTGTCGGAGGAAGACTTGAAGAAGCTGGACCACCAAAGACTGATCCAACAGGATCTTCCCAGAAGACACGCGAGTGCAATCAACGTCTTACGAGCAAGGCAAGAGATGGACACCGCACGAAGACTAGAAGCACAGGAAGCAGAGCTACAGCAACTAGACACTGAGCACGAGAAAAAGAAGTTTGCAAAAGAGGTGGAATACCAGAACGAGCTGGAAAGGCTTGGCACCCTCATTGAATTAAGAAGAAAGAGGCTTCTACGAAGGTGGGATCTCAGGTTTGAAATATGGCGGCGAGACTGGGAAGCGCAACACAACACGACTCTGACAGCAGAACTCGAACACGAAGACTGGCCATCTCGCAAAGCAGATCATACAATCTCAATACCCGAAGCAAGTTTGCTAGCTCAGTACATCAAGGCCGCGGTATGATGCGACGGCCTCGGTTGCTCTTGATTTCTGAGACATCGCACTTTCCGTGTGTGCGATGTCTGTTCGTCCCACTGACGTCGATTTGGGGAGCACCATCATTATCGTCATTATTTTACAGCGTAGCGAGGCGTTTACTTGGACTCCGATGCTCAGACGCGGAGTCGTTTTCCATCTTTTGCAGCATTGGCGAGTTCACATCTTCGCGGCTATATACCCTTTTTGCACCTTTGCGAACACGCATTTTCTTCATACGGTTTTTAAGATGTTGCCACGACGAGAGATGCTCCGCTTGTATGTAACAGACCAATCTTGTTTGATTGGATAACTAGATATACGTTATATTGTAATAAGATAATTTACAATGAAGTTTGCAGCCACTGAACCCATGGTCACTGACAAGCCAAAATGTAAATGTGATGATATTCCCATGTAATTTGTCTGATTCAAGCGCCAATACTAGAAGGAGACCGCTGCCAATACGATCTCATCGACTAGTGAACCATAGCTTTGGGTGTGAAGAACAGGTGTGGCAGACTAGGACTAGCAGCCCGATCGTCTGGACCCTACGGAGCTTTTCCCCGCTCCTACGGCGATCAAGTAGCGAACGAACGCCGTTCGCTAGAATCGACGGCTTGGCATGATTGAAAGGCCGAATGGGGAAGTTTGCGGCTAGGGCTTTATCGCAGGAGGATCAGGTGTCTCCCGTCTTTGACATTATATTGACTGCCTGCTATACGGATACGATGGGCAGCGCAAATGATTATGGAGTGCCTTTGTCAATGAGATAGGAAGATTGCAACATTAATTGTGCAATTGCTATCTGGGTATCTTGCTAAATCGTAAAACTCGTGGAAACATCATTGACTATCGTTACATCAGACATGAAATGTATCCATCATCTTTCACAGACAATCGTGTTCGACAGCCATGGCTGGCATCGCTGTCTTAGCCACGAGTGAGATCGCTGTTGTACTGCTCAACGGGTGCTAGCATGTCCCACTGCAAGCCCTCTTGGGCGTCTGTGGCTGGTGGCAGATGGTCCAAGCCCATGGCTATGTCCATCTCAGCGTCATCCTTCATGAGCGAGAGCTGGTCGAATTGCTGATCGAAGAAAGCATTTTGCCCATGCATGCCCTTCGGATCAGGATATGGTAGCAGCGGTATGTTGCCCTCGGCGAGGTATGGAGCAGGCGTCTCTGGCATGCTGGGCGTAGCAGAATCGAACATGCTCATCGAGTCGTCGAACCCACCAATCCAGAACGGCCCTCCACTGACAGCATCGCGCTCCTGTATCATCTCTTCAATCTCGTCCTCGGGGATATAATGCTCAGCGAGTAGATGACGTCGTAGATCACGGTCCATGTAGAAGCGGTACTCGCACGTCTTCACCAAACAGGGCACCTCGCGGCCTTGCTCGTAACCAACACCGGTGAGCATGGTGAGCATTGAAGGCTCCGGCTTCTTCTTTGACTTTGCAGCCTTTCGGAGCTGCTTGCGGTTGCCGAGACCAAGATGATTTGTTCGGACGTGCTGATCGAGAGACGACTTGGCCTTGAAGGAGGCACCACAGGCATTCTCTCCGTTCCAGGCTTGGAGATCTGGGTGTTTTGAATTCTGCAGAGCGTCTGAGGTACATGAGTATCTGAACTGCTTGTCATGAACCGTCTGAATGTGAACAGTGAGGTTGTGTTTCCGGTTGAATACACTCTCACAGCCTAGTCTGGGACAAGGGTACTGCGTTTGGTCTTGTGGCTGACCATGGACGGTGTCGAAGTGTGTCTTGAGATTGGATGCAGTCTTGAATTTCTGACCACACTGAGTACATATAGGTGGGTGACACTCGGCTGTGTGCACGTCCAGCTCGTCTTTTGTCGCGAAAGACGGTAATTGTGGTGGAATGGTGAATGTGTCAACAGACTCGGTCTGTATCGTGTCGGCTTCTGCTCCAGCCGTCGCACACAGCATGCAGAAGTGGCCTTGATCTCGCGTGTGTGCATGTATCCTATCCATATGCCGTTGCAGTGCACCCTCAGTCTGAAAGCCACTCGTGCATCTCTCGCCGGTCTCTTGATCCACATGAGAACAGTTGTAGGGCTTGACTTCCATGTGCTGACTCTTGACATGTGCCTCCAACGCCTTCGCCTTCCTAAAAGCCTCGTTGCATGGGGGAAAGTCGGTACAATAGAATTTGGATTCGTGGACATCTCTGTGTCTCTGGAGCCTGCCGTTGGAGGTGAAACTCTTGCCACACCCATTCCAATCGCACGTGAATGTCCGCTCGGTCGCAGGGTCACTATGGGCGTTCTTGAGGTGACGCTGTAAGTGGTCTTTACGGGGAAATGTCTTGTCGCAGCCGGGTTCGGTACAGATGAACGGCCGCTCCTTGTTGTGGCTTCGCATGTGTGTCTCGAGGCGACATGGTCGGTTGAAGCGTTGCGAGCAGGTTGGGCAGACGTAGTTCCATTGGCGACGGGCCTCGCTCTCTGCCCTCAAAGTGCCGTTGTCAGTGAAATTGACCTTGTAATCAGCAGAGTCGTCTGTAGCATAGTCCTGGTCGGGTGTGTCCTCCGCAACACCTCCGAGAATGTTAGCCTTCAGGAACGACGTCATGGTGGCTGGGGTACGGTACTTTTGCGAGACCTCTTCTGCGACACCACACCAGCGTCTTCGGTGTTTCTCCGTTTCGGCGCCATAGTATTGCATACAACGTGCACGTTGTTGCAAGGCGGCTCGTGGATGCGGAGAACCATGGGCGAATGTCAAGCTCCACTGTATTTTTCGAACGCCAAGATTTCCCACGCTAGTGCAGACGCCGACCCCTGCGATTTCTGATCGCGAACTTTCTTTGCCAGTCGCATCGCACCAGGCATACACCCCATACTCCACGCGTACCTCTCGACCTCTCAGCATCACTTCCAAAGACACGCGCACGCGTATAATCCTACTGCAAACATGTCCGACTACGGCGGTGACGACTACGATGGCGGTGCCGGTGACGTGTATGTTTGGTTCCATCTCTACGTTTCCTTCAACAGGCGCATCAGCTAGGAGAACGGTTAAAGGCATTCTAGCCCAATCTAACGTCAACAGCGACGAGCCCCTCATCGAGTTCGACGAAGAGGCCGAGCCTGATCTGATGGACGACGAAGACGACCAGCCTGGCGGCGGTGAAGACCCAGACAATGCCGAACCCAACGACGACAACGTAGTAGTATCTGGCGACGCCAACGCGGCAGCAGCTGCCAAAGAAGCCTCCAAGAACACAGTTACAAGCGAAAAGGACAAGAAGGTCCCGAACGACAAGCGCACAACCACCCCATACATGACAAAGTACGAGAAGGCACGCGTCTTGGGCACAAGAGCACTTCAGATCAGGTATGCTACCTTCGGAGGGAGGGTCTATGCACAAGGACTAATAATATTGCAGTGGCAATGCTCCCGTGTTGATCGATGTGGAAGGTATGACGGACCCTCTGCAAATTGCTGCGAAAGAGCTGCAAGAGAAGAAAATTCCCCTTGTTGTACGGCGGTACCTCCCCGATGGGTTCTACGAGGACTGGACTTGCGAAGAGCTTCTGACATGAAGCGTTGAGTGGCTGATTGCATTTGATATGGAGTATTGTTTGGCTAAATATGGGGCATTTCGGCGAAAGGAGTCTTTAAGTGGTTGCGCAATTATATCCCGAGTCTCACCCGATCTCCGTTAACTCCAAGCCTTGTCCGTTGCCTCTGCGGATCCGCGGATAAGATTTCTGTAACAAGCCAAAAGTCTAGAGGGAGGTGGGGTAGCTCGACATAGCTATTCGTCCCCCGCACTAATTTCAGGCACAACGTCACTCAATGCGCCTGCTCACAAAACTTCCAAGGGCCCCTCGACCTGCATTTGCATTCCAACCTCTTACTATCCGTTTTTCCCGCTACACCACATTGTCCAAGATGTCTTTCGAAACCACAGGCACCATTGCGTCCTTCGGCGGCAAGCTTCTCAAGTTGAAGCACAAGTCCTCAAGCACAAACACCGACATGGAGCTGAACATGTTCCTGCCTCCACAAGCACTCAAATCCGGCGCCAAGGTCCCAGTTCTCTTCTACCTCTCCGGCCTCACATGCACCGGCAACAACTGCTCAGAGAAAGGTTTCTTCCAGCACGGCGCAGCCAAACATGGTATCGCTGTCGTGTACCCTGACACTTCACCAAGTGCGCGCCTACCGTGAGACTAAACTCGGAGAATTTGACTGACCCACTGACTAGGGGGTCTCCAGATCGAAGGTGAAGACGAATCATACGACTTTGGGTCAGGCGCAGGTTTCTACGTCGATGCCACCAAGGAGCCATGGTCGAAGGGCTACAACATGTACTCATACATCACCAAAGAGCTCCCCGAAGCGCTGTTCTCGTCTTTCAAAGAGCTGGATTCCAGCAAAGTCAGCATCACAGGGCACAGCATGGGTGGTCACGGCGCATTGACACTGGTGGGTCAGCTGCTTGCATACCAAGAGGACTACACTAACCACCACTGATTAGTTCCTCAAGAACCCTGGCATGTACAAGTCCGTCTCCGCATTCGCACCCATCGCCAACCCCATCAATTGCCCGTGGGGCCAGAAGGCTTTCAAGGGATACTTTGGCGAGGACCAGCAACAAAAGTGGAAGGAGCATGATGCGTCAGAGCTGGTCAAGCAATGGAAGGGTCCTCTTGAGATGCTCATCGATGTGGTGCGTATTATATGCGACAGTCTTGTATCGTTTTACTAATCGAGCTAGGGCACTGGAGACAATTTTTACAAGCAAGGCCAGCTCCTACCGGAGAACTTCGTCAAGGCAGCCAAGGAAGCTGGCAACGACAAGGGCATTCAACTCCGCATGCAGCCCGATTACGACCACAGCTACTACTTTATGGCCACATTTGCTGACGATCACGTCGAGTGGGCGGCGAAGCATCTAGGCGCATAGTAAGTAGGTGTGACGATTATTGTAATAGCAGTCTGCTCACTACTACAGAAGCGGCTCGTGTATTAGAGAGAAATTGTAGAACCTAATAGAATCCGTACACATTTGGGAAGACTTTGTTGCTTATTCGTGATTTATTAGTTTGATCAACGTGTTGTACGTCGGCGCCAAAATGTATCTCAGCTCTTATCGCCATGAATTCGCCATAGAATTTGAGCTTCGAATATATAAGCATGATAAAATGACAACTGCGTTGCTGGCTTTGGATGGGAGCTCCCCTACTCGACGGGTACCTGATTGATGTCCTGAGAGCAGCGTAGATGACAATAAAACTTTAGCGATGCGCGTGGCGGTGTCGAAACCAAAATCTCGTGCGCACGTGTCACACGGTCAAATTGGGCGCGAGAACATCCCACCAGGTCTGGGCTTGGCGCTGCCACTTCAGTCACTGCACAGCTGTTTTCGGTCACGACGCCTCGACGAAGACGCAGAACGACTTTTGCTTTTTGCAGTCGGCAACCTGATCACCTGGAGTATAGACCCTGAAGCTCTGGCCATTGTTTCCTTCACGCACAAACCCTTGCACACGCCGTACGTCAGCCCCTCGTGCCCCGCCTCTGCCTACACCGCTGTAACGCTTTCGTGATGCAGTCTTCCACAGTTTGCTCCATGATCCGGTAGCATACAGATCCGCTCATCGTTTCTACCCCACCACGTCCGATGTACATTCTATAGGGCAGACCACACCGACTCAACTTGTGACTCAACCCTGCTTGCCCAGCTTGGACAACACGAGGAAATGGAGGACCAGGTACGCACAATTGTTTGCCCAATCCATGGAGCATATACTCACACTCCATGTCAAAGGTCGAAAATGCCATCCAGATTGCCGCAAATCCGACATCGAGCCAGGAGCTGCGCGGTCAGGCTATCGAATACCTGAACCAGCTTCGTGCCGAAGGCTCCGCATGGCAAGCTGCCCTCACACTCTTCGCGCGCGACCCTCGTCCCACCGACTTCGTCCGTCATACGTCCCTCGATCTCGTGAACAACGCGATTCAAGAACATCGTCTCGATGAGCAGAGTCTTGCGTACATCAAGGATACCCTTATGGGCCACATCCACCGATCCTACGTCCCGGGCAGTGGAGCTGCAGACACAAGCCATATCCAGAACAAGTTGATGCAGACTGTCACCTATCTCTTTGTAGCACTATACCCTTCCTCATGGCAGTCCTTCTTCGACGATTTCCGCGCCTTGGCTGGCGACCAATCTACCATCGGAAACGTCAATACAGCCACGACATTACTGTACCTCCGCATGCTCGGTCAAGTGCACGACGAAATCGCTGACCAGTTGGTCGCCCGTCCAGAAGACGAGAAGAAGCGCAACACAGAGCTGAAAGATCTCATCCGGCAACGGGACGCGCAGAAGATCTCGTTATCTTGGCAAGAAATACTCGCGAAGTGGAGGGAGACAGACCTGAATCTTGTGAAGATGTGTCTGGAGACTATCGGGCGCTGGGTGAGTTGGACCGACATCAATTTGATTGTCAACCAAGCCATGATCACAACTTTCCTGGAAATGGCGGGCCAACAAGGAATCGCTGATCCCGAGAGCGCTGCTGGAAAAGTGCGCGATGCGGCAATCGATACGTTCTCAGAGATCGTGGGAAAGAAGATGAGCCCATCGGATAAGATTGAACTAATCACTTTCCTAAATCTGTCCGAAGTCGTCGGCCAGCTGATCAGCAGCCCAGCTTTGGCCGATTTTAACAGCTCGAACTACGACAACGACCTTGCCGAGACAGTCGCTAAGCTCGTGAACAACATTGTATTCGATATCGTGAAGATACTCGAGAACGAAGCTGTCGAGGAGCATGTCCGGCAACGCGCAGACGATCTCATTCGCATCTTCACGCCTTACCTCTTACGTTTCTTCGCCGACCAATACGACGAGGTCTGCTCGACTGTCATCCCGTCTCTTACAGATCTGCTTACGTTCCTCCGTAAATTGCAAAAGAAGTCTGCATCGATACCTCCACAATACGCCGCAGTATTACCACCCGTCCTGGATGCGATCATTGCAAAAATGAAGTACGATGAGACAGCCTCATGGGGGGAGGAAGGCGAACAGACAGATGAGGCAGAGTTCCTCGATCTCCGGAGACGCCTCCACGTCCTGCAACAAACAGTAACTGCCATCGACGAGCCTTACTACATCGAGACACTCAGTCGCTTAGTGAACGGAACCTTTGGGCGCCTATCTCAAGGCGATCAATCTCTAAATTGGCGAGACCTCGAATTGGCTCTGTACGAGATGTACTTATTTGGAGAACTCGCAGTCAGAAACCAGGGACTGTATGCGAAACGCGAGCCCTCATCGGCCGCAGCTCAGCAACTCGTGAATATGATGAACAGCATGGTCGAATCTGGTCTAGCAAACTACCCGCACCCTGCTGTTCAGCTGCAGTATATGGAAATCTGCGTACGCTACTACCAATTCTTCGAGCAGAATCCTGGCCTCATCCCCAAGGTACTTGAGAACTTCGTCAACCTTACCCATAGCAACCATGTCAAGGTCCGCTCGCGATCCTGGTATCTCTTCCAACGCTTAGTCAAGCATCTGCGAGCCCAACTGGGCAACGTCTCCTACGACATCATCCAAGCGGTTGGAGACTTGCTTACAATCAAAGCCGAGCTTCCAGACACTTCAGAAGACGAGATGTCGTCCGATGAAGAAGATCAGTCGGCAGATGCGTTGTTCGACTCGCAGCTGTACCTTTTCGAAGCCGTGGGCTGCATCGCTTCGTCCAATACGGTCTCCGCAGAGAACAAGAGACTCTACGCGCAGACCATCATGAGTCCTCTATTCTCGGACATGCAACAGACTCTTCCCCAAGCGAGGAATGGTGATGAGCGGGCTATACTCCAAATCCACCACATCATCATGGCCATAGGAACGCTAGCTCGAGGCTACTCAGACTGGGTACCGTCAAACAACAATAGCGTCGCGCCCCAGAGTGAGGTTGCGGATGAGTTCGTCAAAGCATCTGAAGCTATCCTCGTCGCCGTCGAATCACTGAACTCTTCTGGCTCCATCCGACACGCCGCAAGATTCGCTTTCTCGCGCATGATTGCCGTATTAGGCTCGCGTCTGCTACAACAGCTGCCATCCTGGATCGAAGGACTCCTTTCATTGAGTTCTTCCATGGACGAGATCAGTACCTTCCTCAAAGTACTCGGCCAGGTCGTCTTCACCTTCAAGTCAGAGATCGCTGGCATCCTGGATACCGTTATGAGTCCAGTCTTGCAACGCATATTTACCGCACTAGCTGTGGTTCCTTCGGGCACAGATGACGAAATTCAACTGGCTGAGCTCCGTCGAGAGTATCTGAACTTCATCGTCGTTGTTCTCAACCAGGGTCTCGGATCTGTGTTCGTCAGTAATGGTAAGTCGACGACATAAAACACCAATTTGACCCTGGCTAATGTTCCGCAGCGAATCAAGCGACTTTTGAGCCCATAATTTCTTCGATCGAAACATTCGCTCGCGACACACACGACTACCCTACCGCGCGCCTTGCGATCTTTGTGCTTATTCGCATGATCACGGTGTGGGGCGGACCCGACAAAGTCGGGCCTGGCGCGAACGCAGCACCCACATCTCCCGACACTGCTCAAGCACCATTACCGGGTTTCGACAATTACGTGGTAGATAAGTTCTCTCCGTTGGCATGGTCAATTCCAGCATCACCGGGCTTCAACTCGAAAGACGCGCAGGCAAAGCAAGTACTCTTTGAGGCCGCCAACCTGCAACACGAGATCATTAAGAAGGTCGGCGAACCGTATGTAGAGCGACTCAAGAGCGATCTCGGTGGCATGGGAGTGGGCGACGACGGCGCGGACCAATACCTGCGCACGCTCGCCGGCTCGTTCGAAGGACCAAAGAAAGAAAAGGAATGGCGCAACTTCTACGTTCAATTCGTGGACCGCATGCTTGCAAGCCGAGGTTGAGCTTCGTTACCTAGTCGAGGTTCGGGGACTATACTATAGTGGAGGTGGGATTCATCAGCGGGTTTGGCGTAACATTTGTCCATCATGAAGGCGGCATCATTCTGCATCGTAGCGGGCGCCAAAAGGATTGGCATTGAGTTTGATTTCCGTGATAACCCCAGCAGCTAGCTCGCATCTTCGTAGTGCAGCCTCATTACAAATTAGATTTCTCATCATAGTATACATCAAATGCGTTCGCAGTCTAACAATGTGCCTCATAGCGTGATGATAGCATGTCATGGTGAGGGACAAGTAGAGATGTGAGCCTTCGGACGCGATGGAGTCGCGCCTGCCACTTCAGCCCTACGCACCCGCGCTGCACCGACATCACAACAGCACCACCCACTCCAGCTTCCCTCACCAAACCACCAATTCTAAATCCGCCTCGTCCCGGCCCGAGGCTGGCATCATTCCCGCAAGCAGTGTCGCGTGAATCCCAATATGCAATGTGATAGAATCGCGATTTCCCTAAATGTCCCAAAAACTTGTTTAGTAAGACCCGCCCAAGCGCTTCGCGTTTCACCACCCACAAACCGATTCGCCAGGAACGCCCGAAGCCCAGCCTGAGACTTCAGGAAGCGCGCTCCTAAAATGTCAAAAGTAGAAAGTTTACTTAGCGCTATGCTTAGTATTCGCTCTGGTACTGCGCCGCATGGGATGGGGATGCGGAAGCAAAAGAGGTGTCGTTCGCTGTGTGCGAACTATCAGCCTCATCCTACCTTTGGCTTGCTTACGACTCAGCGTCTTTTCCCCCCTACTTTTCAGAACTTTGTTACGGTGACGCGGCTTCGTCTTTTTGTGACGAAGGGCGGAAGCAAAGAGAGCCATGGATATTAGCGGGTTTTCACGCTGGAGCCCTTTTCGTTGGCATGGTTTGCGTGGCCTGCCGACCGTGGAAGACAGGGTCGATGCTCTAGTGGACGCGGGTGCGAATGCGACGCCCGTGACCACGCCGAAATCGAAGCCGAAATCGACGTCGAAATCTAAGACTTGGGAGACTGCGATTGAGAAGATTGAGAGTTGGCCTGAGGAAGCTCGGCCATTGAAAGCCCATACCTGGTTAAAATGGCTCTATGCATTGGGAGACATCTTGCTCGTATTGCTGCCGCTGTACTTCATCCGTAAGCTACCAATTTTCATCCTATACTGCTGATCTAACTCATGTAGTTCTTGGTGTTGCCGTGATCACCCTGAATGGGAAACCAACTCAAGACTCGGCATTCGGGTCTAAGGTGGAAACGGCTATGGACCTTGTAAAACAAAGCATGGGTCGCTACCATACAGTTCACTAACAGGTGCAGGGTCCAACAATGTTTCCTATCGTGTTCGCTGCCATAACCGGAAGAAGTATGAAGATGATTGCGCGGTTTCTCGCGGAAAGAGGGTCTAGAATCAGCGTATGTACATCTTCTCGAAACAGGTTCTTCAAGAAGTTCTTGTAGTCTTGGATCAAGCGACTAATTCGTCTTTAGACACTGGAACTGCTCATGGCAAGCCAGTCTGTTTGGGGCACCTTCGAGAGTCAACTGCTGCTACAACGACTTACAGTTGTTGGTGTGAACCTTCTCTTCCTGTGGGCTCTTTCGCCACTGGGTGGCCAAGCATCACTTCGACTCATGACAAGAAGTCTGAGAGCTTCTCATACATCTGGAAAACTTCGATACATGACTACCGGCCCAGCAGCAACTATGTGGGGGCTGTCGTCAACCTATATCGGCAGTGGGAAGTTTGCTGATGCCGGAGCTCTCTATACCGCAGCACTATTGGCACCACTGTCCACGAAGCTAGGAACTCAAGATCCCTGGGGTAACATCAAGATACCCAGTTTGCAGTCAGTTAACTCGTCGTCGCCTGATTCCAATGGCTGGTATACGGTACCTAAGGATGCATCATCGCCGGAGGACTATTCTTCTCTAGTCGGTCTTCCCCTTGTTGGCCTTCCGTCCCGCGACAGCTCAAGCTTCAATCTCCAGTACACGTACCTGTCGCTAGACTGTCAGCCCTTTACACAAGCGCCTTACCCTGGCGTGAACGGCTCAGATAATTACTATACCACTAACTACACTAAGTTGGAAGATTTGGCGCCTGGCCAAGTATGGTTCGAAAAAGAGGAGGATGATCCATTCGGCAATCCCATGGGAGATCGCAACTCTTTCTTCATGGATACAACCCGGAGTTTCCCATGGGGTATGAAAGTCGGAGACGACCAGGACCTCTTCATGGGTCGTCTAAACGGTTTTTTTGGCAACTACAATACCTCCATCCTGCCCGAAAAAGAGCTTACCATGAACCGAGAGCTTCTCTTTGTCTCGCAATACGCAACAACCCATGGTGGCAACGAAATTGGACTAAACATTGCGACATGCTCTTTGTCTCAGACTCACGTTGAAGCATTCGTGCAATGTAAAGGGAACACTTGTGCCACAACCAAGCTCAGGAAATCGCTGCAAGATACTCGTTCCACATCGCTCACTGGGTTCGAGCATGGTACGATCATGTTCGCGTTTGCGAAACAGTTTCCTCGCGCAGTAAAGTTCACGACTGGATCGAGCCCGACCGAACACTTCTTGGCTAACACTTCTGCCTTTCCATTCGTGCAGCAAGTGGGCCACTTCTCTAGCGATGTTATGTTTACGAACCTTTCACTGGTGTCCCCCGATGTGTTCTCGAAAAGACTCGGTCTGGTAATGAACACCTTCTATCAACTGAGTGTTCAGCCGACAGGCTATTTTGGTAGCTTACCTCAAAACCTATCACTTTACGGACCAGACACAGATACATTCGACGACATTAATGCCTACCTGCCGAAGAACTTGACGGTCACCGAGCATACCTTCAGCGACTGGTACACTACCTTTGAACAACGGATACAGGACATTGAATCGCCATTCGTTGCAGCGACAACATCAGCCATTATCACCGCTACAGAACAAATTTTTGTCTGCAACTTTGCTTGGCTTGCACTCCTGCTTGCCGCATCCATGATCACCCTCTTGACAGGTGGTGTGGCTTTAGTCTTGAAGTGCAGGACTTTAGGACCGGAACTCTTTGGATTCGTTACCAGCATGACCTATGAGAATCCTTGGGTCAAGGTACCCGATGGAGGGACTACGCTAGATGCGATGGAAAGAGCGAGACTCCTGAAAGATCTTGAGGTATACGTTGCCGATGTGCGCGGCAGTGACAAAGTCGGTCACATTGCTCTGGCTGCGGGCGTGCCAATGCGCAAGTTAGAACGAGAGCGGCTCTATTGCTGAATTCGGCTGCAGCTCAATGCCGCATGGATCGAGGAGACATGCCACACCCGCTCCACATGCCGTCGTGGCGCAGCATACTCAGCCATTGCACGGCAGGCAAGAAACAGGAGGACTCCGAAAAGATCGAGACTTCGCAGACCCTGTAGCATGCTGACTTGATCATCGCATTTCTATAGGATGAAGAGATGGCATACGAAACAACGCAATTGTTGCTCCCAATCGGCAATCAGAGGCGATATCGTGGATACCCACAGTCGTAGCTGGCGAAGATCATGATCGGCCAGCTGGCGCTTTCCGATAGCCAGTCTTACACAGTAAACGGATGAAGGTGTGACAGGGCACGCGCGGCGCCAGGGATGAAAGCAAGCTTCGTTCCCACACGCGGTGGAGCGGATTGCGGACACCAAAAGCTGAAGGCGTCGAGAGGCTGTAAGCGGCTCACCAATGGGCCTGGCAATGCAGGGGTCGTTGGCTCGGAGGTGCGACGCAGCATAAAACACACAGGGGTCCGGACCTTTTGCCGACCTGCTAAGCGACTGCGCCTCAACCAATGGACGTTCAGATGCAACATCGAAACGAAACCTCTCTCCTTAGGCCCTTCACCGACACATGGTGATCCTCGAGTCCACGTCTTCGTCGCCTTCCCACTTAGGCGGCGACGCATGATGTACCTGCGTCGGCTGCGCGCCGTTCTAGTATTCCCTTGGCTGAGAGCCTCAGCACACCCGGACCGCCCGTTTCATCCCGTAGACGCTCGCCGCTGTGGATCACCAACGACTCCCATGTACCTTGTCTTGCGTTGACACCCTCGCCCTCCAGACTACTCGTTTGATTAGAGGATCGTTCGAGGATTCGCAATGTGGAGGTTTTGGTGGCGGTACGCAATGGCTATTGTACCCACATCACATTGGTGGTGACACGAGTATAAGAGACTACAGCTGCCTCACAGCATAATGCCCTCATCGCAACACACGCTCTCTCGGCAACTTCTACATTCTTTCCATTGCAGCATTTTTTACACGACTAGCAGGGCTAGCTCATCCACATTCTCTTCAATTTTAACATTCTACTGTCGTTGTACGATATCACTACTACCATCAGCACCATGTCTCTCCGATCTATCTCCATAGCTGCGGCTGCCATCTTCGCTACTTCCAACGCTCACATGATCATGAAATCTCCTGTACCATACAGCGCAGACAAGATCGACAACGCACCCATCACCGCATCGCAATACCCGTGCAAGTCCAATCTTGGCTTCACTGTCTCCACTATGAACTCGATGGCTGTGGGCGAGAAGCAATCGCTCACTTTCTCTGGAAGTGCTGTTCACGGGGGTGGCTCGTGCCAGCTCAGCGTAACTACAGACACCGAACCTACAAAGGATTCCGTCTTCAAGGTCATCAAGTCTATCGAGGGTGGCTGCCCTGGTATCGACGGACCCGAGGCTTTCGACTTCGAGCTTCCTGACAGCATTCCTAATGGCAAGGCTACCTTTGCTTGGACATGGTTCGCCAAATTGAGTGGCGGCCCAGAAATGTATATGAACTGCGCACCCATCGAGGTTACTGGTGGTGCCAGCGACAAGTCCAAGTTCGACGCCCTCCCGGATATGCTCGTCGCCAACATCGCATCAACCACTTGCAAGCAGGAAGTCAGCAAGGACTTGAAGTTCCCCAACCCTGGTTCAAACCTCCAAAGTGGTGCAGATGCCGGCAATGTTGTTGACCCCACTGGCGACTGCGGATCTACTGGTACTACTCCCTCTGATCCTTCTGAGCCATCTTCCCCTGCTGGTGGCGAGCCTTCAGCTGCTCCCTCATCTCCTGCTGGTGGAGAGCCATCTGCTGCTCCCACTTCTGCAAACGATGGTCAGTACCATCCTGCTCCTACTACCCCCGCCGCGGGCCAGCCATCTGCCGCTCCCACATCTGTTGCTGGTGGCGAGTCATCTGCTCTCCCACCTAACGGCGGTGGTATCTTCGCTCCCGGAGCTTCCAGCGCTGCATCTGCCGCTCCACCAGCTGCACCCACAGTGCCATCGACCTCTACCACACTCGTTACCGTCACCGCCTCGCCCACTGCTCCCTCTCTGGCCGCACCCACCGTTTCTGCTGGAACCGGCTCTCCTGCCGCTCCTTCCACACCTTCCACTCCTTCAGCTGGTGGCGCGGGCACTTGCACCGAGAACGGCTCGGTGGTCTGCAACGGCGCCGATCAATTCGGTCTCTGTAACAACGGCGAGGTCGTCTGGCAAGCAGTTGCAGCCGGCACAACCTGTGTCAACGGCAGCATCACAAAGCGTGGCTACAACGGACGCATCGCTCGTCCTCGTTGGTCCAGCCGCCGCGTTGTCAACTAAACGCACAATGCTTCATGACACGCATCGCTCACGAAGACACATGTTGATACATGACTACATTCACACACTCGTTTCTTCCGCTTTTTTTTTCAACCGGGAATGTGGTCTGGGACCGAATTTTCCGTTGTACATACCCAAAGCTTTTTTCCGCATCTATTGGCGTTCTGGATTTGGGACTTTTCGAAATTTTCGATCGAACATTAAGGGGTTTGAAATTCGACGGGGTCACAAGGATGCATGTCGATAGCCAAAATCACCCTCGGCTTAGAAGCCTTAGAAACGATATCTGATACCATGGCCTTTTCCGACTCTATTGCGTGACTGTGTCATCTGTCGTTCCTAGTGCGTACTGAAACCGGCTGAGAGGTAATTTGCCGTTTGCTGAAATAGTGAACTTGATGTTGGATGATGTTGTTGGTTGATTGACAGGTTGGTGATCCTACAATTCGTCCATTTCACATTACATGAAACTTGCTCCTGTCAAACATCTCATTTTTCCATCACGACAAGATCAACCCTCATGTCTACCCCAACATGCTCACAGACGTATCCCGTTCCCCCATCCACTCCAGTCCATCCATCCGCCTCCCTGAGCCCGTTCACTAATCAGGCTCGGAGCTCCGAAGTCTTGAAACCTCGCATGCCTGACCATCACAGGGCCCTCAAAACCCGACCCCCGCCATCAAAGCCGCACAAGCATCATCCCACGACAAACGATGTGAATCATTTTGGATATGGAAATAGAAGTAGGCTTGCTCAGCCACTGTACTAGCTAGCGTCAGGTACTAAGCCCTTGATATTCATGCAGTGGGATTAGTGGGGGTGTGGCGCAGTATGGACGAGAATGGCGAGGGCGATGTTTGAGATGAGTCTAGATGCAGAATGATTGTGCGATGCAAAGAATGACTTTGGTGTTTGCGAAGTGAGATGCGCTCAGAAATGGAGAGACTAAGTTCGAGGACAGGCCAGCACCTGGGTAGTTCAGAAGTATTTGTGTCTTCATTGCGCAGACTCGCAAAGCTGTCGGTTAGACAGAACCTTGGAATGTTGTGCGAATCCTGCTTTACACTAGCAGACTATCACCAGAAACTCTATAGTACTGGTGATGCTGTCAGTTGCTTGGTCGAAGCCACAGAACGAGCTTTCGTCGATACAGCCCGGTGGGTTCGTAGCTCGAGGGATGGTCGACAGTGCCATAGGGTGAGGTTGTATTGCTCAGCTGTGGAACATGTCTAAAGCAGTAACGCGCCATGCAGGAGCTTTGCTAGTCGAGATAACAGAAGCGATAAGAGGTGTACAAAGCGATAGAGCACGAATAGTAAGATTGTGAAAGCTATGTGAATCTGGCTTCTAAGCTTATGATGTCATGATTCGGATACACATTGAAATGACCGTGTCTATTGTGAACTTGATAGCAGCTTTTGTGACCGCACAAATCCAAGGGTGTTTTACCCATCGCTTACCGATTGTGGCATGGTGGCAAAAAGGGACGAACCCCTATTTCGTACCGTGGCGATCGACAGGATTGAGACGAACCAGCATCGGTTTCATCCCAGACACCAAGCCCATGTTGTAAGCGACCCTTACTGCAGACCCTTTACCCTGTGTAAAGTACCTAAGCGTACCGCTCTTCGATTCGGGATATGTCCCCCCGTGGAGTGTCTCCGCCAGACCTGGCCAAATGCGGCTAGCGGCGCAAATTTCCTCAGAAATGCGGGACAGCGGTGTGAAGTTTTCAGGCCTTGGCCCAATGCACTACTCCTGGCTCGCTCGAGGGGCGAGCTTCCACGTACTTGGCAGTAGTGAAGGCCTCCCATAGGTCCGCGAGGAAAGACGTCTTCTTTTGCGCAATGTACTTGTCCCCAAGCAACGGCGCAATGGCAAACGTAGCCTCTTCGCAGTGATAGAAGGGAATGCGCCTGAGCCGTCAGTTTCAGATCCAACAGAAGTTAAAGTAAAACTACTTACGGGAAGATGTGATGCACGACATGGTACTCAATGATGCCATGAAAGATGTGGCGTCCAATAAAGCCGAATTCGCGATCCACAGTGGACATGGCGCCCTTCTGGTAAGTCCAGGCCCCATCTTCGTAATGAGGTGCTTCTGGGTGCGTGTGGTGGAGATAGGTGATAGCGACTTGCATGGTTAGTGAATGCTGTTTACACGGTTGAGGCAAAAAGATGCTTACCGATCCAATGGTTCATCCAGAGGTAAGGAAGACCGTACAACAAGAAAGTGTTACGGTAGCCTAGGGTCTGAGCGACTTGATAGAGGACTGCAAAGACAGCCACGATGCCTGCGTTGGATAGAAGGACGTATGGCTGCTCTTGACGAGTGAAGACGGGCGAAGTCGGATCGAGATGGCTTTGCTTGTAGGTAGGCACGGTGGATCGACGGCCTCTGGTAAGGCTTTGTGCACCAGCTCCTGCGTTGATCAGGATGTAGGCTGGCCATCCGAAGAGCTGGTGAATCGCCAGAGTGAAGAGACTGACAATAGGTGTGTCCGCCGCATCGTGGTCCACGAGGCGTGTCAAGAAACTCGGTTCGGCCTTTGACTCGGAGGTTGGCTTGCGGTTGGGCACGAAGACGGTGTCCTTGTCCATGTGGTTTGCGTAGCGGTGATGACGGGAGTGGCTGAATTTCCACGAAAAAAATGGGACAAGAAGAATGCTGTGAAGGACCCAACCAACGGCCGCATTGACTTGGAGATGGCTTGAGAAGGAGTCGTGGCCACATTCGTGCGCCAAAATCCAAAGTCCTGTGAAAAACAGACCTTGCACGAAACTGTAGAGGACCCAGAGCGGAATGGCCCAAGACGACTCAAGACGTGTCAAGCAGACGGCAGAGTAAAACAAGGCGCTGACAGCCACGAGGTCTCGTGCAACGTACGAAAGGGATCTCAGAAGAGAGCGTTCAAAACATTTTTCTGGGATGGCTTCTCGAAGTGCCTTAATTCCGGGCACAGAGGCATCTCCAACCGGTGCCATGTCCGGCGAGGTGAGCGTCTGGGTTGTGGTTGCACTCATGGTGGGTGGTGAAGGAAGAATGTGAGAGAGACAGGGAGAGGAAGAGGAAGGGAGAGGGCACGATTATCTACTCAGACCACAAAGCTGCACAGTCCCAGAGAGCCCTTGGTGCGTTCTCAACAAGGCAAGACGAAGACGCTCAGTGGATCAGATTGGACCCCTATGTGGAGTACAGTGTTGCGGAAAGTACCTAGCTAAGTCCTGGACTTAGCTTTGGAGACAAAGCTTTAGTCTAGAGCGGCCCGACGATAAAATCGAGGGATGGAATGCTGGAGCGGCAGGCAAGGCCCGTTTACGCGCAAAAGTCGGTGTGAAAGACCAGGAGCAGCCAAAAGGCGTCCGCGTAATTTCTCCTTTACTCGACAGGGCTGGGCGACCGTTGGAACGGTCTACGCATCGCTGCCAATCTCGTACCCAACGTGAACAACATTGCAGATCTCATTCGCGTCAAAGACCCACATGGAACCAGGAGTGTCTGCTCAGTTTCGGCGAATTTCATATCGCAGGTTCTCGCCTAGTTATTCAAACCATGTATATACCATTGATAAGTACCGGAGAAACTGTTTGGAATTGAGTTTCCGCAAGACCGCGGCTCAAAACGGCTTTTTACACGCCATCCCGTCCGTTGCCATGCTTATCTCACGGGGCGAGGGCCCGTATGCTCAACAGACGCATCCTAGCCTTAGAGGGCAGGAGAGAGGTGTCTTTGTCTGGGTAGCAAGCAGACTAATGCTACGACTGTGGGGTCCCGATGTCGTGGTCGCACGAAAAAAAAGGGTTCAGGCACATTTGCTGGACCCTGGAACTAGCTCCGAAACGACTTGGCGTCTCGGTAATCTCTACTGCCTGTGCGCCTCCACGCCCCTCGGGCTCTTCGTCTTTTTCGTCGTCCATTTAACCCTACTTTAACTTTCGGCGGCCATCCTCAGTGAGGCTGTACATCGATTCTTTGCATGGCATTCCTGCAAACCTAATCGGCCGACTCTAGAATGCACGAGAATGTCGTATGGGGTAATTCGACCGGCACGGGCCACGTTAGCATTATCTACACCAGATTTGGTGTTCTCGCTAGGTGTGCCCGATATCTCCCTTTGACCCGATGCACATTTGGAATGACGCTATCCTGCAGTCAACATGCATCGCCAATTTGATTGTCCGTTTGTATCTCTCGTCTGGAAGCACATCATGTGTTATCTTGGCCAGCTTATGTACAACATGGGTCCGTATAGCCCTATTCGCACCGACTAATCCCTCCGCACTGATCGAACCGCCGGACAGCTTCCGCTTCACAGCTTCGATAGCGCACTGACCTCTTCCACGAAACCTCGCTCCCACGTCTCAAGTCCTGCTCTAGGGCACCAACCCAGCCTCTTAGCGATCTCACTGCGGGTCCTGCAAGTGCTTGCGAACCCCAGCTCAGCAACTTGCTCAACACCACCAGTCAAGAGTTTGGCTCCATTGGCGAGACCAACAGACCTTACGGTCTTACTCTTAACCACGCCGGCGTCGAATGCTGCATTTGCAACCCCCTGCGACACCTCGATCCACGTGTGACGCCCATGTGCGCTGAAAACCACGCCCTGTTTCCCCTTGGGCAGAGAAGCGCCTCCCTTTGACAAGATCTCCACGAGTACCAGCTCGTAGAGCTCTGCCAGGTCCTCGATATGAACTAGAACAAGAGATCAGCGTACGTTTGTGACAGAGATTCGGCGGTAATAGTACCGTTGTCCCACACGCCCTTGCCGTCACCGATAACGATGGCTTCCCCTTCAGCGATCGCCGCTCGGGCCAATCGAGGAACTTGCAGACTACGCTTATTCCACAAGCCTGTTCCAACCTAAACGAGGAGTCAATATCGTGCGGGGCCGCAGTTTGTGGGGAGGCGTCGCTCACCCCGTAGATCAATGGAGACATGAGAACGACAGTCTTCACGCCTGACTCGAGTCCAGCATCTATCATGCCAAGCTCCGTTGTGCGTTGAATGTACTTTTTTCCTGTGTTGCGCGACTTCTCATACTCATAAATGTTGTCCTTCGAGTCGTCAAATTCAAGATCGGGGTTGGATTCAACGTGAACACCCGAGAGTGGCTGGTCCGCAAGGTTCGAGACACCTGAAGTGTGGACCATCCAGGCATCTTTGCCAGTGGACTTTTGGCGTAAGGAAAGGCCCTCGATGAAGGCCGAAGCACTGGCGAGATGATAGCCGAGCGTCATGTTGAAGATGACGTCGTACTGACTTGCTATCTCGACAAGACGGTCAGTATCGTCCAGACCTTCGAAGCCTACAACCTTGAGCCTGTCACCGAACGCAGCGTGAAGCTGTGCAACTCTTTCTTGGCCCCGAACTAGACACGTAATATCAGCGTCTTTGATCACTGCATGTTTGCTACGAAGCAGTTGGTGGAGCACACTGCCCCCGATGTAGCCTGTGACGCCGGCAAGAAGAATCCTTTCCCGAGCCATGATTGGAAGATACGACAACGTGATGCAAGTACGAGAAATCGGCGATGATGATATATTGGCGGTCCGAGGAATGTCTGGGAAACCTGCCTACTTTTGAAGTGATGATTACTACCAGGGTAGTCAAACAACGGCTGGGTCTCCACCATGCGCCTCGACATACCTACTCTGCGTGGGCGAAAGACATATCTTTCCGGGGGCCTAACACTCCAATGGAAGCAGCGGAGTTCTCTCCGAAACTTTGCTTTGCATCGGTACTTCAATCCCGCAGTTGGAACTTTGTCTTGACAAAGTTTCGATATTCTCCCGATACGGCCCGGTCCATCGGCATGATAACATACCTCGCTGCTGACGCGGCTGAATGCAAGCTCAACACCCTTGAGGACTGTACTATACAGCTGTGGCATGAACGAGCCTAGAGTCATGCAGCTAGGGCAAGATCACTCATTCCACACACACCCATATCTCCGAATAACGCATATGGCGTTCATCGGCCTCATTCGACATCATACCTCATGATACCTGCAGCGGTGCGGGCCGAATACCGAGATCACTCCAATTAGACTTCCTACATTCCACTCGCCTTGATTTTCTGATGTTACTTATGCGAAGGTGGTATTTGGCATCGTTTGTGTCGTTGGTATCGCGATAACAAGAGGTAACTCGTGGTCTGTAGGTTATGATGCAAAGAGGATAGACTGGCTGTTATTAGAGTATGACACCACGCGTACATGGACCGTATAGTCAGCACACACCAATCGCTCACCGACCTGGGGGCGACCCCCAACGACCTGAACTGAGACCCGGTGCCCAAAGTCAACACCACCCTCGTGGGGTCTGTCACATGCCAGTGGATGTTACCGTATTACGGCAACTGCTTGTTTGGTGCAACAAGTGCCGATTGAGATAAGACGACGCAAAAAGCCAAATCCTAAGCACCCAATAGCCACGGGGTACCTGTCAGCTTACGCTGACCAGTCGCCTAGCTAGGGTCGCCCGACTGCCGAAGTGTTTACCTGGATATGACGAGGAATGAGGGTGTAGTCAAACACAAAGTGAAGCTAGAAACACATGCACTGACGTCACGTGCATATGGCGACCAGTCCCCGGGATTAATTGACACTACGCTACGCCACTGAGGCTGAGGTCCGTCGTGTTCAACAGCCTCTAGTCCAGTCGCGATGCTAACGAACCTTGTACCCACGATGTTCTCGGGTGGAAGCTCGTCGGTAGTCTCTTGAAAGAGTTGGTATGTCCACTGAGTCATTAAACCTACTGCCGGTCGGTTTTCGGTACCAGACTTGTGGGGGTCTAGTTTACCCTCCACTGATCAGCCTCCGATCTAGCAACTAGTGCATGGCGATCGTCTGGGGACTCTGTATCAACCTAACCTTGAGAGTCTCCGGGTTGAAACTACGGCGATCCCCAGTGTTCGTGAAACTGGCAGGATCGCAGGGGGAGTGACTTCGGGAGAGTATTATAGCGATTGTTCAAACGGCCTGACTATAAGACGCCACTCCCACATTGGAAGCCGTTATTCCAAATCTTCATCTCAACCCTCTTCATCATATTGACCTTCATCGCTCACAATGAATGTCTCTACTCCCACTTTTCCATGGCATCTCATGCCGACCATGGACTCTCTCCCTTCTGCGGAGCAATTCTCCACTATTGAGATGCACCCACGCAACATAGTCGCAAGTCTCTTAGCTATAGTGATCAGCTTTTCTTATCTTCGATCTGTTACGAAGAAGACTGGCCTTGAGCGCTTCCCTGGACCGTGGTATGCGCCCTACACGGCCCTGCATCTGCGATGGCTCTTCGCTCGTGGCACGATCCACGAGTATGTCGAGAAGATGCACAAGCAGTACGGCGATGTCATCCGTTTGGGACCAAGGCAGCTTTGGATCTCTGATAAGGGAGCTATGAAGCAGATTCTTCTCACCATCGATCTACCCAAGGTTACCATGTATGCTGAGATCTCGAGAGACAGAAAAAGTCCAGGTCTCTTTGGAGAGATGTAAGTAGTACTATCTCGTGTTTCCATGTAAATACGGCAGTGGCTGACGCTGAAAAATCACAGTCGCCCGGTTCCCCACCGCAACCTCAAGAAGTTCCTCAGCCCAGCTTTCACTGTTTCTTCCGTCGACAAGCTAGATACGTTCTTCAAAGCCTGCACATCGATCTTGCTCAGCAACTACTACACTGAAGTCGACAAGGCCATCACTCAAGACCCCAAGTCCAACCCCAACGGCGACTTCGAGACTGACCTCATGCGCGACCTGCACTGTCTTGCGCTAGACATCATGGGCGAGTCGTCGTTTGGTAAGGGCTTCGGGCAGATCGACAAGATCTTCGATCCCAGCAAGTTGTTGTCCGGCAGAGACAAGCGCTGGAGCAAGATTCCTGATGCCATCTTCAACGGTCAGGCGAAGAGGTATGGGTTGGTCTTTGTGAAGAGGTTCCTCAGGCGCATGGGATACGAGTGGGAGGTTGACTGGCCCAAGGAGATGACGTCTGCGATTTGCGAACTCGTCGACGAACGCGCTGCAGCTCAGGGAGGCCAGGAGAACAAGAAGCGTATTGATGTCCTGCAGCACATGTTGGACGAGGGCGCGCGACCAGACACGGGAGAGCGTATGTCCAACCAGGACATCATCGATCAGATGTCTGAGCTCCTTCTCGCTGGATCGGAAACCACTTCTGGTAAGTTACATGCGTCCATGCCCAATTCCCACCCCTTGGCTCCTAGATTCCGGCTTTCAAGTCTTCCCTCTCGACCGCGGATCACAGCAGCTAACGACGCCCCCCTAGGAACAATGGCATGCCTGTTCGTGGAACTCGCACGAACTCCCGCCGCTCTCGAAAAGCTACTCGCTTCTCTGCCCGTCCTTGGCCCCAATGACCCCATCCTAGACTCTAAGACGGTGCGCACAGACCCACAATATCGCTACCTCGAAGCCTGTCTGAAGGAGAACCTGCGCATGAACCCTATTGCTTCCGAACTGGGTCGCCGTACCACAGACCAAGGCCACACCATCAATGGCAACGAGATTCCGCCTTACACGATTGTGTCGGCCAGTTACAGAGCACTCCATCGCGATGAGAGGTACTGGCCTCAGGCGGAGAGGTTCTGGCCGGAGCGCTGGCTGGAAGGTGAGGAAAGAGAGGACGCACCCGAACCTGAGTAAGTCGCCCTGGTGATGAGAGGAGAGATTTGATGTGGACATGTTCTGACGTGAGATTGTAGTCTAGACGCTTACTTCCCCTTCTCCAACGGCCGACACAACTGCATCGGACAAAAGTATGTTGCCCTCCCCCCTCATCTCCTTCTGAAACGACGTACTAACGTCCATGTGCAGCTTCGCATACGCAGAGATGCGCACCGTCTCGGCCAACCTTCTTTCTCGCTTTGCCCTTGAAGAGGCTGGATACCAGAAGATCCAGCTCCGGCAATTCATCACGATGCAGTTTCACGATGGCAAGTGGAGAGTTGTGCTGAAGCCCCGCTGGAAGGATGCTGCGAAGGCTTGAAGCGCGAGCTGTCGCGACGCTACTGCAGCATGTTGGGGTAGGTGGAGTTGAGCAGGAAGCACTCGATCGAAGGACAGATTGAAAGAAAGGACAAAGAGAGTCGGCAGCCGGTGCAGCGATCAGCGCAAAGCAAAACGTTTCTCCAGTTTGAGGGCACATTCCTTTACCTTTTGGGTACAGCGACTAGACATTAGAACGCACAATTTCATTGATTCCACCACCAACTCTCGTACTCATTGCTTTCTTCCTGGCACGTCTGCTTCTGTCTTGGCTTGCAACGTGACACGCCGTCGGACTGGAGCTTGAGGGGAATGAAGTCAGGCTGCATAAAGGCAAGGATATCGACCCGGGCTGTGGACAGAGCCTCGGGCTTATCGTCCAGCCTGCAGCCAAGGCCGAAGTAGCAGCGGCCCTGGCGTGCCGGACGCTAGCGCGCCGCTGCACGGGAACGCGTCAGGTAGCGTCGGTCGATTGCAAGACGCAACTCACCACCCAACTCTGTCCATGACATGATGGCCACGACCCCTCCCCGCACACGACATGTCTGAGCCCCGACGATCGACGAGGGCGCGCGCCCGCGAAGAAGCTGCCCCCGCTGCTCCCGAGACGCCCAACGACAAGCCCGCCAAAGCCGTCAAAGCCGCCTTGAAGCGCAAGCGGACAAGCCTCGCCGTCAAAGACTCCGCGCCCGCGACGCCCGTTGCTGATGGCGCGCCGCTGCCCCCACGACAAACACTCCCCCTGCAGCTAGTCGACGGCGCGCCTCTGCCCACACTTCGCGAGCCACAGCCTCTCCATCTTCCATCGAGCGAGTGGCAGACGATCCAGCAAAGCGGCGTCCTCGAGACATCTTTCGAGCGCTCCAAGGCTGTCTGGCTGTCTGGCGCCAACTTCCGCACCTTCCATGCCCACTTCAACCAGCCCAAGAAGCTGGCTGACCGGACCGACGAGGACAAGGCCAGGACAGCGAGACAGAAGGAGCTGCTCAAGAACTTCCCCCAGGTCGGTGCCGATAGAGTGAGCGTGAAGCTCGTCATCGAGCCGCACACATTGCCTATCCGCCTCTATGGCCCGCGCGAGGTGGGCAAACCCGTGCCGAAGAAAGCTCCCGCGCCATCACCTTATGCTCCCTGGCCAAATCACAACCAGCCCAATCAACACACCAAATACCAGGGTGGTCAGCCGATACAGCAGAAACCTCAGCCACGTCCACCACAGCCTCCCAAACCTGTCCAGGCCGCGCCTCCGCCTCAAGCCCCCGCAGCCCCCGCCCCTGATCCCGTCATACACATGCTTGCCGCGAGAGCAGGAACAGATCCCGAGCTGAAGGCTGTCATGAAGATAGTCGCAGCTGGCTCAGCAAGTAAAGAACAGCTCGAGTTCTTCCAGACGCACATCAACGAGTTGACGGCGATTCTGGCGAGGCAGAAGGAAGAAAAAACGCCCAAACCACCTCCGCCCACGCAACCCCCAAAACCTACGCCACCGCCGCCGCCTCCAGCACCGAAACAAACAGCTCCTCCTCCGCTTCCCCGCCCAGTCCAGCCAGTCCAACAGCCTATCCAGCCCAGCACGCCCAAGCCATACAGTCCGGTCCCACCACAAGGACAGATGCAGCAACCCTCGCCTACACAACAGCCATATCCACCCTATGCAAACAACTTCAGCAAACCGCCGCAATACCACCCACCGCCGCAGCTATCGACCTACAATCCACCCCCGAGGACAACATATCGCCCGCTAGTCTTCAGTTTTGTCCACGGCAGCGAAGACAAGTTTTACTTCCCTTCGTATAGTTTCATGGAATGGCTTCCCAATGGCACAGGCGCAAAGCTGTCATTTCTCATCACCAAGATGAAGCCAAAGCCGGATCCTGTCGTCCAACCTCCGTCTACGCCCGCTCAGAAATCAATGCCGACGCCGATTCCGACTCTCGGTAATGCGACTAACGCCATGACTGGCACCCCCCCGCCGAGCACTATCATACCTACACCCAACTTTACAAATCCTGCTTTTGCGTCCATACAACCCGCCGCATCATCCCCCTCGTCACCCTTCGTGCCGCCTAAACCACCCCAACGAATCGAAGATTTCGATGAGATGAACGAAATAGACAACATTGAATTCTACCAGCCAGTTACTGTCCTTCTACTAATCGAGCACGATGAAGGCGACGAAATCGCAAGCGCCTTGCCGCGCTCGATACGACCACCGCATGTCGTGGAGAAATACATGAACGAGGTGTTTGACAAGTGCAAAAGGGCAGAGGACACGTACCTAGCCTTCAGACTGCCCAGAGACGGTGATGAGTTGCCAGAGAAGAGGATTAGGAGCGGCGACGTGACGCCTGCGGTTGCCACCCCGACTCAGGACGTCGTCATGGGAGGAATCGGTGGGCCTGCCAGTAGTATGGCAGACAAGAAGAAAGCTGGACGACCCAGGAAGAGTCTTGTTTGACATCGTTTGAACATGTGTCGATATTGTGGAAACCTTGCACTAGTTTGTTGGTGTGTATAAGTACAAATGATACCCATTTTTATTTTTTTGCATCAAACTACAAACATTTTGCTCCGTTATCGTGTGCCATTGATATAACCCTTGTGAGATACGTGAGACGGTATTTTCTGAAGCACCTAATAGCTCTTCGTTACACATGAGATCTATAGTTGCCATCGCTCAACTCCGATGCCAAGATCTTCGCTGCGGCCTGCTTATCCCGGTTAGATCACCCGCAGTTGCCTATCTCCATGCATCTGTGCCTCTCTCGCGCTCCATCTCTGCAACGTCGCCATAATCTTTTCTACTTTGCCTACGTCCAGTGCTACGCTCGGGGTACTTTCTCTGCGTCGACGTACTCGACAGTATAAAGTGTCTAGGCAGCGCAAGAGCACGTTCTGTGACTGAAATCATGCCCAACTTCAAAGCCATCTTTACAAAAGCGTACTGGACATTTGCAATTCTAGGCATCGTCTGGGCAGCGTTTGTGAGCCTATTGGTTAATCCCACGATACAAAGGCAGTACGTTTTGCTCTCATCATGAAAGATGAGATGATGGTTGGAGTCGATTCTAATGTCTTCTCAGCGCTCTCTACGCCCATAAATTTCACACTGGGTTCTACCATAACGTGACCAATCCCGAAGAATTTGGCTTTGCGAGTAAGTGCATCTGAAACCCTTATGCCGCTTTTCTATCGCTGTGCTAAGTATACATTTGTAGAGGGGCAAGTACAACCCTTTTGGCTTACTACAGCGGATCAAGAGAAGCTCTTTTGCTGGCATGTACTTCCTCTAGATGTTTATCTGGAGAATGAACATGAGCTTTTCACTGCTGCCGTTTCGGGGGAAGTTGCGGGGGAGTTGAAGGGGACGGTAGGAGAGAAGCTCTTGAGCAGCGACCCGGAAAGTAGGGTTGTGGTCAACTTTCATGGTGTAGGTCATGCTTTCATTCGATTCTTAACTTTCTACTTCGGCATGCTATCTCTTTCTTCCCAGAGTCTTTGGTCTTGCTACATCCCAAATTCTCATCTTCACCTATATCGAGTCTTATTTCTCAGTTTTATACATGTTCTCCTTCTTTCTTCTGTTACTTTACCCACCGTTCACTCTTCTCAATATTTCCAACTCATCCATCACTCATACTAACCCACCCAAACAGAACGCTGGCCACATAGCCCAAGGCTACCGCCCCTCGACCTACCGCTCCGTCTCGGGCATCCCAAAAACTCACCTCGTAACCTGCGACTACCGGGGCTTCGGACTCTCTACGCTCACCAACTCCCCGCACATTCCCACTGAAAGCGGTCTAATAACCGACGCTCTAAGCCTAATCTCTTACATCACCTCCGACCTCTCTCATTCCAGCACCCGCACCGTTCTCCTAGGCCAAAGCCTCGGCACCGCAGTAACAGCCGCCAGCGCCCTCTACTTCACCAATCCCACCTCTGAGCACCTCCCATTGGACATCACATCCCAATCTGCAACATTCAAACCATCCCACAACTTTGAAGGTTTCGCCGGCATAGTCCTAGTAGCCCCCTTCACCTCCCTCCCCCAACTCCTCAAAACTTATAAAATCGGCGGCATTCTCCCCATCCTAAAACCACTGCAAGGTTACCCCAGGATAGCAAACTACCTCTCTACTCGCATCGTTGACCACTGGCCTACCCTCACCCGCCTACGCGCCCTCATCTCCACCGCCTCAGCCAAGAAGTCCGGTTTCCACATTACTCTCCTGCACGCGCGAAACGACCAGGATATCACGTACTGGGAATCCGAAGCGTTGTTCCAGCCACTGGCTACGCAAATGTTGACGGAAGAAGGGGTTGTGGCGGAGGAGGAGAGGAGAACGATTCAAGGGGCGAACAGGGTCAAGAGGGGCGCTTTTGCGTATAAGAAGGTCGAAGATGATAAGGGGGATAGGATGGTGGAGTTGGAGGTTGTGAGGTATGGAGGGCATAATGAGGTGGTGGGATGGACGCAGGTTAGTCTGGCAATTAGGAGGGCGTTTGTGAGGAAAACGATGAGACCGGGGTTGGATGTTGAGTAGCTTTGGGGGAAAGGGTAGATTGCATTGGTTTTACCTGGGTTTGTTGAAGTGAAGATGGAGATGGAGATGGATGGAGCTGTTGAGGGGATATCATTCGTCGTCATATGGCGGCGTTATATACAACATTACATGTACAATACTTCTACACCTTTCTACCCATCCCACAAAAATGCGCCAGACGTCCGTCAATGTAGATAGATAGATGCAAGCCGTCAGCGGTCAGAGCATGCAGAGAGCTCGTTATACCAACACCGCGCTTTTCCACAGCTCCTGTCCTGTTCCAATTCCAAATGAGCTTAGGAGGCTAATCTCAAGCATTCCTGGCCTGCTGTTCCTTCTCATACTTTGCCACAAGCTCCTTCTGCAGCTGCGGCGGCGCAGGACTGTAATGGCTAAACTCCATGCTGAACTCTCCCTTACCCTGCGTACTGGCACGTAACTGACTGCTAAAGCCAAACATGCTGTTCAAACTGCAGTCCGCATAGACAGTAAAGTCCTCCGGACCAATCTCCGTATCGTTGATAACAGCATTGCGCTTATTCAGCAGACCAACAACAGAACCCTGGAACTCATTCGGCGCGGTGATGGTTGTCTTCATAAGCGGCTCGAGTACCTGAGGCGCACCAGCCTGGAAAGCCTTGCGGAAAGCTTGCTGGGTGGCCATTTTGAAGGCCATTTCTGAGGAATCGACAGCGTGAGTAGCTCCGTCGTTGATGATCATGGAAGTACCCAGGACCTTGTGACCGAGAAGCGGGCCCTTGGCTGTAGAGGCCATGAAGCCCTTTTCACAAGCGAAGAGGAACTTTTCAGAGATGGTGCCTCCAGAAATCTGTTGCTCAAACTTGTTCTCACCAGCGGCTTCGCTTGGCTCCATCCAGCCGACTACTCGCGCGTAATCTCCTGATCCACCGCTCTGCTTCTTGAGCGTGTGGTCGAAGTTGACGCGCTTTGTCATTGTCTCGCGGTAGGCGACTTGTGGTTGTCCGGTCTCGCACTCGACGCGATATTCGCGGCGCATGCGCTCGACATAAATGTCCAGATGTAATTCTCCCATACCGGAAATGATGGTCTCTTGCGATTCGGGGTCGGTGTGGACTCGGAATGTAGGGTCTTCGCGCGTGAAGCGGCTCATGGCTTTGCTGAAGTTGGGTGTGTCTTTGGTGTGCTTGGGCTTGATCGATAGCGAGATGACGGGTTCGGGTACAAACATGGAGGTCTAAAATGTCAGCTGGAAGGCATCATAACAATAGTCATGGAGTCTTACCATGGTGTATCCGAGATTGCCGTCAGTGAAGGTATCTCCAGACGCGCAGTCAACACCGAACACGGCGCAGATTTCTCCAGCACCAATTTCTGGAATTTCCTCCATGTCGTTGGAATGCATGCGCACAATCTTCGGTATCCTGACCTTCTTGTCCGATCTCGCGTTGAACACGTTCATTCCCTTTCTGAGCGTGCCCTGGTAGACACGGATGTATGTCAATTGGCCAAAACTACTCTCTTCTAGCTTGAACGCCAGACCGACAAACGGCAGAGAGTTGTATGATACCAGCTTGACCGGTGCTTCTGCTCGCTTCTTGTCCAGTGCCATGTTCTCGACTTCAGAGGGGTTCGGTAGGTAATCGCAAACGGCGTCGAGCATTGGCTGAACGGATTTGTCTGCAAGCGCGGAACCCATCATAACTGGGGTAAACTTGAGGGAGATTGTAGCTCGTCGAATCGCAGCCTTGATCTGGTGAATTGTCGGTTCCTGCTCGTCCAAGAAAAGCTCTGCGATCTCATCGTCGACATCCGCAAGTGTCTCGATGAGCTTCTGCCTCTTCTCCTTGCAGAGCTCAACAAGATCCGCGGGTATCTCGTCTGTCTCCCTAATGGTCTCGCCCTTGGGTCCTTCGTTGTATATCGCCTTCATCCTGACCAAATCCACGACACCCAAAAAGCCATCCTCGCGGCCAATGGGTACTTGGAGAGCCGCAGCCGGTATCCGAAGCTTCTGGTTGATCTGTTCGACAGCCTTCCACGGGTTGGCCCCCATACGATCCATCTTGTTCACGAAAGAAATCCTTGGAATGTTGTACCGCCTCATCTGCCTGTCGACTGTGATGGTCTGACTTTGCACTCCGCTGACAGCACACAGGATCATGACGGCTCCATCAAGGACTCGCAGTGCTCTCTCTACCTCGATTGTAAAGTCGATGTGGCCCGGTGTGTCAATCAAGTTGATGTGGTATTTCTGGTCTTTTCCTTCATCGTCCTTCTTGATCCAGTCACAGAACGTCGCAGCAGACTGGATAGTAATACCCTTCTCACGCTCGAGATCCATAGAGTCCATCTTGGCACCCACAGCATCTTTGCCGCGTACCTCGTGTATGGCGTTGATTCGGCCGGTGTAGAAGAGGACGCGTTCGGTGGCGGTGGTCTTGCCAGAGTCGATGTGTGCTGCGATGCCGATGTTTCGTACTCGCGATAGTCGCTCCCACTCGACAGGGTCTAGGTTCTCGACGATTTTCTCTTGCGTCAAGGTAGAGGGGTCTTCCTTCGCTTGCTCCAACCTATGACCTCCGATCAGCTTTCAGTCGCTCTCTCGCCATGACAGAACAAACACGGCAGTACATACACTTGCGCAGCTGCAGACTGCCATCTTTGTTGTGGCTTTGTTGTGTGGCTACCTATCCATGTGTCTGTCTTCGTGCCGTTGGTATAGGGCGTGCGCGTTGCCGCAATGGTCGAAAGAGCGCATCGTGAAGGCGTCGCAACCGAGCGAGCTGAAGAGCGGAGACTGCTCGTGGCGAGCGATTGCGCCCGGAAAAGAGACTGAACCCTCATCTTGAACACGCTTGGACGGTTCAAGAAGAAAAAGAACAAAAGGACGACGCGGGGTCTGCTGTCGCTTCGCAATGTCGAATAGCCCGCTAGGAAAAAGTTGGGCTATCGGAGTTTCGGGCGGAGGTGCCAGTCACGTGTCGACGTGTGCCCGTACATCTTACCATGGGCATTGCACGAACGGACAGGTGGACAGAGAGCCATCTTGGAGTGAAGAATGGGATTGTAATCTAATAGTGATGTCTGCCAGAATCTGCGAAGCTTATCGCTAAAGAACAACTATGCACGCAATAGTCCTATCCAAACCCACCTCCGCTCCACATCCTTAGGTATCCGCCCGAATATCAGTTACGCCAAACAATCGCTCCAGAAAATGCTGTTGAGAAGTGAAAGAAGATGGAAGCCAGGCAGCTTCGCGTACAGAATATCGTCCATAACTGTGAAAGATGGCATTGTACGGCAAACTAAGACTTGACCAAGTGTTGCAGGAATACGACTTGAGAATTGTATACACCTAGGTCAGAGGTACAATGGCCCTCGTCTACCGGACTGTCTCCTCTGGGAAGTTCGGTGTCTGAAGTTCTGCAACTGACGAGTCTACCTCTTGAACTGGAGTGGCTGGTTTCTCCGATTCATGTAATGGCTCGTTGGCGGTAGGCTCCTCGGTTGTCCGATCGTCATGTTCAGATTCCTTTGCGGGCTCATCTCCATCCTTGTGCTCCTCAGAATTTCCGTTCGTTACCACTGCCTTGGCCTTGGATACGACCTCTTCCGCCTTCTTCTTCCCCTTTTGTAGAGTGCCGATCTTGGAGGCGGCAGGAGCCTTATGCGGTGGTGATGACGGCTTTTCATGGGGCTTGTCGTGTGTCTTGCTGGAGCTGGCGGCCGTGGGTCGCATCATACGCTCGAGGAAGCCTCCTTTGGGGGCAGCACTTGCGGTTGAGGTGCGCGATTCAGGTCGTTTGGGCGCAGGGGGTGCGATGGAGGGGCGCGAAGTCTTTGGTGCCGGAGCCTTTGGTGTAGGACGAGTGTTGGTGGAGGGCTTGCGTGTGACCTTGGGCTCCTCGCCATGTTTGGCAGCCGAGGCAGCCGTCGGCGCAGTCAGACGGGTTGGTAAACCGACTGGACGAGTAGGAGACTTTGGGGTTGGCTTCTTAAAGCCTGTTGGGGACGTGCTGTAGCGTTGTTAGCATTGGCGCATTGCCCCACGTCGTTCTGTCATACCTTTTGCGAGGGGCGGAAGTGGTCGGCTTGGGAATGGCAGGCTTCTTGTTTTCCACAGGTGCGGCCGCAGGCTTGATCTTCGAGGCAGCGGCAGCGGTGGGTGCCGTCGCTGAGGACGAAGATGGTGCAGGTCGCAGAGAGGTGCGGCTGGTCTTAGCAGTTGGAACCTTTGCGGCTGGAACCTTTGTTGCGGGGGCCTTTGCAACGGGGGCCTTGACAGGCTCCTTGGGGGCTGCTGGCTTTGGCTGGGCCACTGGCTTTATGGTCTTCGCAGCTGGACTAGGCTTGATAGTGGGTGCGGCTGTCTTGGGTTTCGTAGGGGTTTTGGGTGCTGCTTTAGGTAGCGGGCTTTTGGCAGGTGCGGCGGGAGCCTTGGTAGGTTTGGCAGTCGAGATGGCAGCGGGCTTCCTGATCTCGGGCTTCTTGAGCCCAGGAGTTCCATTGGCCTTGGCCTTGCTCATAACAGGCGTGGCTGCTTCCGAAGCAGGTTCGGTGCTCGGGGCTGATGCTGCTTCTGCCGGCGCAGGAGCGGTCGCATCGGGAACAGCGGCCTCATCGGTAGGCGCAGCGGGTCGTAGGGCAAGCTCCTCTTGAGCACCCGTCACTGCCTTGTCTGGATGCTCGTCGGGTTGAGCAGCGGCTGGAGACGGGGCAGAGGGCTCCTCGGTGGCAGCAGCTTCGGCTTCCTCTGCAATGGCAGCTTCCTCGACGACAGCAGCCTCCTCTGCGATGGCGTTCTCCTCAGCAATAACGGCGTCGTCATCGACGGCAGCTTCCGCCAGAGCAGGCTTGTCCTCTTCCACAACAGCCTCCTCGGTGGGCGCGGCCGGTCGCAGGACAACATCCTCCTGCGCGCCTGTAGTAGCTTTATCCGGGTTCTCGGCAGGCTGGGCAGGAGCTGCTTCGGGCGCGGGGACGGGAGCGGCCTCGACGGCGCTCTCTGTAGACTCGACTGGTGTCTCGTGGACTGGAATTTCCTCCATCTCAGGAGCAGGCACAACGACGTCGGCAGCAGACTCGGGAAAGTTGGAGCCCTTCATGATAGAACCCAGGTTGGGCATGTTTGTAGGTGTCTCGTCGCGGATAGGCGGAGCGGGCATGGAGGATTCGCGCGACGCGACGGCCTGCTCGGGAACGGCTTCGGGGATGGCGATGCTCTGGCGGCGCTGTTCCTTCTCCTCGCTGACGACCTTCTTGAGCTCGGCCAGCTCGTCCGTCTTGTCGTGGCTCACGCGGAAGCTCTCTCGCCGGGTCGCGTTGACGCTGTTGGAGGGCGTGCCCTTGGTCTGGCCGAGGTCGGTCGAGGCGTGGGCGGCGGTTGGCTCGACCGAGACAAAGGAAGCGCGCACCTTGGACTTGGGGCGCTCCTCGCCCTCGGTCGCGGCTGCGTTGTCTGTCGGGGAGCGGCCGCGGGGCTCAGGCGAGGCAGCGGCGTTGCCGTTCTCGAACATGGCGCGGAGGTTGCGCACACCGTTGGACATGGCTGCAATGGGACGAGGCGATCGTCAGTGGTGGCTATCGGCAATGGCGTGCTTGGGTGGCCGGCGTGGGAGCAATGGGATATAGGATACGTGGGAGATGGCCGTGGCCGCGCCTGAAACCCGGCCAATTTGTTTGTGTACAAGCAGTGACGACGGCGCGACAGGGATCGAGGGCGTTGCACAGGGAGGCTGCAACTTACAACAATGCTGGTCAAGATCAATCGGGCTGCACTCACGCTCTCTTTCAGGAACACGGGCGGTGACAATGGGGAACCCCTGGGGAAGTCGGTCGAGCAAGAAGGAGTCGACGGTGCTCCCGAGTAACCAAGACAACTGCCCAAAGCATCATAGCTCCGGTGACGTCTGGCCTCGACCTCGCCCAGCACAGCACAACAGTGCGCATTGCACAGGCATTGTATAATCTTTCATTTCGACGTCGGACGCGCCACCTGCCTCGTTGCCTCCGTATTCCAATCCCCATGCCCCTGAAAGCTCTCGTTGCACACCCGGCAGTTTCCCTTTCACTGCATACACCGCTCATTGCAAATGCCGCATCGTCTGGCAGCTGACAACGACTATCTCAGTCGGCACCACCAAAGAAAAAGAAAAAGGCTCCGATGCCATTGGCAGCTTCACGCGAATGCCACGGAGCACATATCGGAGCCACGCCAATCAGGTCGCATCTGGGCGCAATTCCCTCGTAATTTCCTGGCTTTGACCAATCAGCGATGTTTCTCCTTTCCAATGCGCAAACACATGAGTAAAGCATAGAGCAGCGCTTAACAGCCGGTCATGTTGGTAAAGCAGCATTGAATGGGTATCGAATTCAGAACATTAAACACAATTTACACAGGACTGTCCAAGTCATCCTCACAGCTTCCACTCGCCGTCCCACATCTCAGATGTAAATCATCCGAGGCAGCACCAATCCAAACTCCATAATCACCCTCAACAGCAGGAATTACCCAGTTCTGGGACACTACATCCCACACACTAAGATCCTTTCTCGTGACCCTCAACCTAAGCGTCTGGCTAGCTCCAGCCTCCAATTCTCTCGTCTTTTCAAAGTCACGAAGCTGAACAACTGGCGTGTCGATTGTGCTCTCGTCGGGGAACTGGATGTACAGTTGTGCGACGGCCTTGCCCGCGCGGCTACCGGTGTTGGTGACGCTGACGGTGATGTCGTACGCCGTGTCGAAAAGAGCGGGGTTTCCGCCTTGTGCGCCACCAGCTGGCAAACCAGGTTTCTGCTCGTTTGAGTAACCGGCGGGGTATGGGTATGTGGAAGTTGAGTTGCCGATCTTGGCTGCGGCGTCGGCGTCATTCTTGTCAAGCCACGAGTAGAGGTAGCGCCAGATGCGGTTGAAGTTTTCTGGCCAGTACGCTTCAGAAGCTGGAGGGATGGCGGTTGAGTAGGTGGGTGTTTCGCCCTTCGCGGGACGAGCTGGCGGCGCAGCTGTAAGCGGAGTTACTGGGGTAATGGTCGCGTTGGCGAAAGAGAACGACGTGTAGCTGAGCCCGTGACCGAAGGCATAACGAGGTGTGATGTTGGCCTTGTGGAAGTGGCGGTAGTCAATGTAGAGGCCCTCGGTAAAAGTATCCTGTGGTTGCCCAATTTGATATCCGACAAGACTCAAAGACTGGGGGTAATCGTCTTCAGAGTTGGGCAGAGTGTACGGCAGATGGCCTGATGGAGACACATCGCCGTAGAGAACTTGCATCAGTGAGTCTCCTGCTTCTTGGCCAGGCAGGTGGGCGAAGAGGACTGCTTTGACCGAAGGCAGATCGTGCCATTGGTCCATGAGAATGGGACCGACGGTATGTACCACAACCACAACGTTGGAGTACTTGGCTGCTACGTCTTTGATAAGCTTATCGCCGTTGTGCCATAGGTTGAGGTTCGAAGAAGTCCGATCTCCTGGGTTATTCTCAACGGTAATGTAGTTTTCGCCCGAGTCTGCAGTCACGAAGACGATGGCAGTGTCGTTCGGCGATGGGCTCGAATTTCCTGGAAAGGAGTCCGTGTTGAAAAACTGAAAGTTGGCGCCACGGGTCTTGAAGCCGTCAATCGGGCTGTTCATGTAGGGGTATCTCGCTGAGCCAGAACCCCATCCCATTCCTAGTGTGCCTTTGTTGCATCCTTGGTCCGCGCAGGAGTTAATGCCGTCGGGGTTCTTCTCGGCGTCTGTGCCAAAGATCTTCAGGGTACCGTTGGAAGACAGAGGTAGCAAGCCGTCCTGATTCTTCAAGAGCGTGATAGCATCGCGGGCCACTTCACGAGCGACCTCTGCATGGTTGCCCTGAACATCCACAAACTCATTTACGACACCTTGAGGCGAGATAAGAGCGCCTGGGTAAAGAGGACCTTCGGCGTTCTGAGTGTTGGTGTCGAAGTTGGGTCGCGGGTAGTCCTGATCCTGGCCCATCTTGAAGTAGGTAGCAAGAATGCGTGTGACAGCATCGTTCAAGCGGTCCACCGGGAGAGATCCGTTGAGAATGGAACGTGACTGCTCATACATCCAGTAAGAGTTGCCAAAGAGTGGAATGGTGTGGATGTCTCCAGGCATGGACATGTCAAGTCCTGCGAGCGCTGAAGGGACACCGGAGATTTGAGCAAGCCAGTCAGACATGACGAAGCCCTGGAAACCGAGCTCCTCCTTCAATATACCGTTGATCAAGTAGCTGTTCTGCGAGCATGCACTTCCGTTGACAGCATTGTAAGCAATCATTACGGCACCAACACCGGAACGAACGCCCTCAGCAAATGGCCAAAGATAGAGCTCATGCAGCGTGCGATCGTCCAGATTCGAAGAAATGCCAGGCTTAACCAGGTTGTACATGCGGTACTCTTCCTGCTCGTTTGCGATCAGATGCTTGATTGTGGCTATGACGCCGGTGCTCTGGATGCCTTCGATGGAAAGAGCTCCACCGAAAGCCTGGAGAACAGGGTCTGAGCCGAAGCCTTCCCAGTCTGTGTTCTCTGTTAGCCTAAACACCAAGGCTGGCTTTTGGAGATGCACATACTTCTGCCGCCACGCGGTTTGCGCCCAAGCGGACCGACCGATGGTCCGAGATGAACGTTTACTCCCTTGCCGCGGAACTCTTCGCCGATCGCAACACCACGGCGATAGAGAAGATCCTTGTCCCATGTGGCTCCCACCGTGATGCCGGCAGGGAAGGCAGTGTTGTGGTCCGTGTTTCTGACACCTAGGGGTCCGTCCTGCAAGCAGAGCTGCGGGATGCCTACTCTCTCTGCGCTGCCTGTGTTTCCGACGCATCTTCCCATGAAGATTCCACTACCGGCCGTGAGGTTGGTCTTCTCGGCAAGTGTCATGTTCGAAACAAGAAGAGATGCCTTTCGGTAGCTCTCAGTCCAGTCCGATGCCCATCCTCCATGGGGAGCTATGTAGAGTCAGTATTGCTATGCTCGGCATAAAAAAAAACAGTCGATGTTGCCTCATATAACTTACCTGGATAATATGGTGCCGCAACATATCCAGCTGGAACAGGATCACGTTGCTGAAGAGCAGCACCGGCGGCGAGTGTAGAGAAGCATAGGATAAGAGACGAAACCATGATGAAGGAATGACTGTAGGTCAGCGAGCGAGCGTCAATCAGGACGGTGTTCTACAACCAGACATAGGAAGGAGGTCACGGTCCTTTGTATAAAGAGCCCCTGCTTCAGCCAAATCCAACCCCGCAAGACCAAGCCGGTGTGGATATCGCATTTCTCCCAAAACTAAGCATGCACTAGCCATGGTGTTGTATAGTGATAGACACGGTGGGTAACGCGCACGACGGAAACAGGTATAAGACCGAGTAGTATTGCCGTATGTCAGGGCTCAATGCTGGGGTCAAGGATTTAGGCCGGCTAATGATCGGATGCTCAGAAGGCGCATGACAATCTTGGAAGGGACTGCAGCTATCGTACAACTGCCAGGAGCAGCATTATACGCCTGAGGCAACCGAAGTCTTGTTAATAGAGAGGATGTACAACGATGAACGTCCTCGCTCACTGTCTAATCGAAGTGGTTGGTATTGAATTGATCTTCGTAGTTCGTGTGGAGTGCTAGGTTCAAGACTGGGGTACAAAGTCGTTGTATTGCCAAGCTGACCGTCTCCTACAAGCTGCCTGTATAGGTGTACCACGATCAGACACGATCGAGTGTAGATTGCGATGGCTTTATCCAATGCGCCACCTGCGGCGCGTCGCGTCAAAGCCATAATTGTAGCTGGATGTATTCGCCTTCAGCCACATTAATGGTCCTATCACATGTCAAGATATCTGTTGGCTCGGACAGTCGATGAAGGGGTTGCGGGGTGGAGATGAAGACGACAAGGAGGATCGCGATGATGAACAGGGGCAGGGCGACCTCGGCTGCACTGGCGTTTCCCCTTTCAGCTTCCGGCGCACCCATCGAGCTTCTTCTCCGTCAACCACCGCGCGTGTGGACATATGATCTCATGTTCAATCACACCGGCATTATGCGAAATGGTATGTACCGAGATGGAGTATTGGATGCGATCTTAGCATACACAAACCGGGCTGCTGGTTCGACTCGAATATGAGTCGTCGATCAAGGGCAAGTCTCGTCGAGTAGGCGGACAACTGGAAGCGGTGCTGAACACAGCCCTGGAAAAGTAACCTTGCACCCTTGGAAGCGTTGAGCGGTAAACACAAACCCGATGCTTCGCTTCACAAAGATGAGCACCTTCGACTTGCTTATAGAATCATCAGACGCTGGAGGTGCTCAACTTACGAGAAGTCGCCCAACCGCCTGTGGCATTGGGGCTCGCAGGCTGGACATGTTCGAGTGTTCGTGCATCAAAAGCAAAGAGCCCATAGCGGAACTTCAAGTTCCACGAATGACTCCTATTTGGTAGCTATGCAAGACCGAAGTTGATCCGGCATGTGCAGCGAGTTGGGAACCAACCGAACGCGCGTGCTACGATGGCTATAAAACATACAGTATGCTCGGATGGGGACCATCGAGGCATCAAAGGTCGGTTCAACAGAGTAACCAGCTACCTAGTTACCGAAACACATTCGCTGGGGTACTGAGCAGTTGCTATTCCCGATGCACCACACCCAACTTCGATCCAGAATGTGTTCCAAGGTTGTTGCTATTATTCGGGCACACGGTGCGGAGTGCTCTCTCCGCGGTTGAATGGAGCATCGCAAAAAGTGACGATGTTGGTGGGAGGAGGCTTGGTGCATGCTGTTTATCGATTTATCGATTCTGGTGAGTTCGGATGCCGAGGTTGAGGCTGTGTGAAAGGCTACTCTGCAGCATCAGACGAACGCTTCCCTGGTGCGACGTGACCGCTTGTCGAATCGAGAAATCCTTTGGACAATGCACTACCAGAACGCGTCTTCTGGTCATCTACCGCTCGGCCATGCCCATACTTAGAACACCTACGTAGTAAAGCGCGGCATCGCTGCACCCGCACAGGTCTGCGTTGTCGTCGAATCCGATGCAGCTGCAAGCGACGCGATTCTGTACTTGCGCAACACTACTATAGCACGTCAGGTATCGATCTCCAAAGCTCCAGTTCGTCAGAGGCACAGTAACGGCCGGCAGCAGTTCGCGGGCGCTTCTCATGGGAGCCTTGGACACGTGCTTTCGGTTCTTCCCGCGGTCCCGCTGTGATGTGAATTCCTGTTTGCTGAAACGGCTGCAACCCACACTCGCCCATCCAGTGACCGCGCCTATCGTGAGCGCCTCGCGGGCTATCGGGCGGCCGCATGTTCTTTTTGCGTCTGGGGGTCGGCTATTCTCAAGCCCTCCAAGGTTTCCTTGAACTCCCAGAGCTCAGTGCGCCGTTTCGAAAACTTCTTTGGAACGGGTTGCTGACCTTCCACTCCACGTTTCTGCACATGCATCTATCTGCAGGTCCCCGAGCTCAGCCCTACTGATTATTGATGACTACGACATCCTACAGGTGTTCGACCAGATGAGGCACCCCTTGCCCTTGTGTCGCTTGCCAAGGTCTTTATTTGGGCCCTATGCGCTCGTCGAATCAGATTAGCCGCCCTTTCCCCTCCATCGCTGCCCCTCCACCACTCGCCAGCGGGGATATTCTTAGACACAGCCGCATCAGGGAACACAGTAGGATATTCTCAAACAGGCGCTTCCGCTGTAGTCCCCCCTTCCTTGTTCGAGGGACGAACCGCTCACGGTTCGTGCTTCGGCCATTCACAGGCCCAATTTGGGCCTGCCCTGGTCCCTTTTCATGGCGCTTGGAGCCACGGCCCAGTGAACAGCCTCCTCTTCGCCTAGTCGCACATGCCGTTCTCGGTAGATGAAGATCGATCCGGCGATTACAGAAACATGTCCTGGTTTCAAAACAATTCTCCGAGTGGCCTACTGGTCTTTGTCGTGGATGGAGGCTCTGTATGCGGCTCACTGTATAAAGATGTTGGCCATGCCCCCTTGATAGAGCCTCAGACAATACAGACCCAAAGGTACGAACAGCAGTTGTTTCATTTCTATTCGCAAGGATATCTCCTACCTGTCGTTCCTCATCCGTCACTTTCGTTCTCCTACGCCAACTCTCCCCTAATCATAATACGCTACTCGGTCGCTTCCATTACTCTCATCTTCCTCCTCGCCGCGTCTTTCCTATCTCCAGTCTCGTCATCACTTTCTTGTCTTACTAGTCTTTTCATTCAACTGGTCAACATGCCTAAGATTGAAAAGGGCCCGGCGCACCGCCTTTCTGTGTCGACCGCATCGGCCGCAGGCGGAACTCGCAGTTCCTCCTGGTCCGCTAGAGATGACGAGACGCTCATCCAGGCCAGGGCTCAAGGCCTCAATTGGAACCAGATTGGACCGAAGCACTTCCCTTCCAAGACCCCAAATGCCTGTCGCAAACGGCACGAACGGTTGATGGAGAGGCAAAATGCAGAGCAGTGGGACGGCGTGAAGCTGGACGTACTGGCGCAAGCCTATATGGAAGTGCGAAGGGACATGTGGAGCATGTTGGCTGCCCGAGTTGGAGAGAAATGGCAACTGGTAGAGACAAAGGTACGTCGTGTGATTTTGTTTTTATTGAAGCACCTAATGCTGACGCTACTCAGTGTATGGAGAAGGGTCTCAAGAACCTCACTCAGGCCTTTAGGTCGGCACAAAAGAAGCTCGAGAATGGTACCTACCACGACCATGAAGATAGTGGCGTAGGCATTTCTGACCTGGAAGAAGAACAAGAGGAACCCCATGTGGAAATGCATAGCATGTCTGCAATTCCCGAAAATCATTACTCGGCATACCCAAGCTACCCATTACATCAACACCAACATCAACAACGGGTACCGAGCATCCAGTCTATGCTGCAGCCAATGCCACAACACCAACATCACATGCAACAGCCGATGCAACAACAAATGCAACCACCGATGCAGCAGACCATGCAGCAGACTATGCAGCAGCCGATGCAATACGCTTCGCATCACCTCCCGCATCAGCAATAGACTCACAGTGTCATTGCCAGCCGTCTTATTTTTCTCCCGATATCTCTTATCCGTCTTACATCTCCTTGTCACGATCGCTACGAACACCCAGCTTGCCTTTAAAGCGGCAAGCAGTCTCTTTCTGTACCAATACCCCCCCCATTGGGAAACATTCGATACCACGGGCAGCCTCTCTGGTGGCTTCCTCAGCCGCGCATCACCTCGATGACGGACTCTAGCCAGTTACACTGGCAGTCGCCTTATACCCCTTAAGCCTACGACACTCGCACGGAGGATTGTAATCAGGAAGGAGGAACCGGACATTCATTCCCATCTGGACCGGGGATGTGAGGAAGGCTTAATTGGCGTTTTTCAGTTTTTCAGTTTTCAGTAAATGCTTTTCATGGCAACACTTGGGTATGGAGAAGGCCCTTATAGAGGACGTAGCCATATATTTCTTGTCAATGCTAAATCTTTTTTCACTGTATTCCGTGTCCATGCTTTGCAGTGGTTGTCATACTGTCACACATGTGGAGCCAGTCCGGTCCGTTATTGTATACACTGGAAGATAGTCCCTTTCCATGTAGATAATCAACAACAGCCTCTTTGACCAGCATAGTAACAATCACCGAGACTCGGCTGCGTCGATTTTGTGACCGCCCACGAGTCATGACAAAACCCCTCATGAAGCGCTCCATTGTCAAGTTTCAATCGTTATTGTGACAGCTACAGCACAGCCCCCCACATGCACTCCGCCTCACGCTGCACCTATATTCTACCTCATCCCGCAAACTCCCAATACAATCTCGCAGCATCTTACAGCCCCCCAAATATACGTATTCTTGCAGCGGCACGATAGCTATCCGTCGGCTTTACCACGCGACAAACTCGTGCGGCTCACCAAGACCCGTGGACGCGTTGACGCGCAGCCTGGGAATCGATCTCGGGCCTCGATGGTGCCGCGCTAAAAACGTATCATGACATAACCACCGTTTCGGCCGCACGCGCGCTTGCTGGCCCCCAAATCCGCCCTTTGGCTTCTGCGAAGGGATAGGCGAGAAATTACAATGTTTGCGCGTGTGCGATTGAGCGATGCCCCGAGCCCCTCTCCTTCGCGTTCCCTATACCGATCCTCTCCCGGCACCTAAGCTGATTCCTGCGAGCGCGACGACGGCGAGCGGTGCTATCGCGGCTTTGGTCGAATTCTTGTCGCCGTCCTTGTCCACGTCTAGTACGCCTTCGAGGGCGACGCAATCGAGCCTCTCTAGTCGCCTTGATCGTGGCGAGAATGCGGGCAAGACGCTGCTGCTTACTGGGGCGGGTATCTCGGTAGCGTCTGGCTTGGCCGATTACAGAGGCACGAATGGGACGTACACACTGAACAGGACGTATCGGCCCGTGTACTTTCACGAGTTCTGTGACAGCCACGAAGCGAGGAAGAGGTATTGGGCGAGGAGCTTCCTCGGCTGGACGAACCTAGAGAAGGCGAGGCCGAACAAGGCCCATGAGGCTTGTGGGGAGCTGGGTCGCATGGGTGTTGTTGGAAGTATCATTACGCAGAGTACGTTCTCTCTGGCCAACTTCACGGCACGCCTCTGAAAGAGGCCCCTCTTGGGAAAGCAATGCTAACAAATTGAGCAGATGTAGACTCGTTCCACCCAAAGGCGCACCCAGACCTCTCCACCATCGAGCTACACGGCTACCTGCGCAACCTCGTCTGCCTCACCTGTCGCAACGAATACTCGCGCCGTTCTTTCCAGAACCAGCTCACCACCCTGAACCCCTCCTGGGCTGCCTTCCTCGCCGAGATGATCGAATCGGGCGCCCTGGACACGGAGAACCCCGACGAGCGCCGCAAGAAAGGGCTCAAGTCGAATCCAGATGGCGACGTCGATGTGCCAAACGCCCCGTACACCACATTCCGGTACCCACCATGTCCGACGTGCTTGGAAAAACCGCCAAAGCGCGCAGACGGAGGCAACGTCCGCGTACAAGTCGACAAGGATGGCGCCTGGGACCCTGCGAGCGAGGGCGGAGTGCTGAAGCCTGCTGTTATAATGTTCGGCGAGTCTATACCCGCTGCCACAAAAGTCGCTGCTGAAGAGGCAGTCGATGCCGCAGGCAGGATACTCGTCATTGGAAGTAGTCTTGCGACGTACTCTGCCTGGCGGCTGGTGAAGAAAGCAAAGGACATGCAGATGCCGATTGGGATACTCAACATGGGTGGTGTCCGGGGCGAGGAAACGTTCTTTGGAAACGTCGAGGATACCAATACTGGCCGGGAAGCTGCGCGCTTGAGTGAGAATGCGGAAAAGGTTCTACCGCAGGTTGTAGGGCTACTCCAGGAGAGGAAGGAGAGGAAGTAGAAGATATACGAAAGATTACGAAGTAAAACACTTGCTCCGCAAGATACCATCGAGTCAATACAGTAATGAAATTTGCCGTGGAGGCCGTCAAGCTAGCTAAACGATGCGCAGCATTCTAGGTATAACTTCCCATCCAACTCCAACCTTGCGTAATTGTGATATCATATGATGAAGCAATTCATCCACCCAACGCGCCTGTGCAGGAAAGGAAAGAAAACAACTGGAAACCCAAAGAAACCTTACACGCCACCTTCCCTATCCATTCCCTCTCCCCTTTCCTCCCCATCAATGTCCTCAACAACCATCGTAAACCTATCCTCCTTGAGCTTCATCCCTGGCGCCATGACCTCCCCCTTCTCTCTCTTCTGTATCAACGTTCCCAAGTCTCTGCCTGGAATCGCCCTGAGATCCTCACTACAGCTACGGCAAATCCGCAACTGACACCAAGTACACGCCCACTTCCTATCTTTGTCATTCTCATGGCACACCATGCAGCCCATGGGCTGGAAAATATTGTTAGACCAGATGTTGTGGCAATGTCTTGTGTAGCAGGAGAGTTGTGCGGGCGTGATGCGTGGGATGTAAGACACAGGCAAAGGGATTGGTCGGCGAGTTAGGGGTTCGAAGGGAGGAGGTGTGGGTGGGGTTGTAGGCTCTGTGGGCAAGCCGTCAACGGGCGATGTTGGGACGGAAGGTCCTGGGAAAGGGGAGAGGCTATAATCTTGGAGGTCGGATGATGTTGGGCGGGATGATGGGGCACTTGTGGGTCGTTGGAAGCCCGGGGATGGTTCGGGTGGGTCTAGTGATGAGGTGCGGATGGGTAGTTGGGTCTCAGCCGGTGGAGTCGTGGTTTGAAGTGGTAATTCCGACGGTGCGAGGTTTTCTTCTTGCTCTGCTGGCTTTTGCTGGGGCTCAGTGGCAGCAGCAGGTTCGAAGCTAAAAGGCCGCCTCTCATCTTTTGGTGGCGGCAGTGGTGAAACCGGAGAGATCTCAGCATCCTTCTTCGCCAGAACTGGCTTCAACGTCGGGGAAGGTGTCATCTCAGGCGTAATTGTGTGTAATTCCATCGTGGGGATTGGGGGAGCCGGCCTCATTGCCTACAACATCTCAGTCAGCATACAACATTCTTCTTTTGGAACAGGATCCAGGTACCCTTGAGTTTGCGAACATTGGAACGCAGTACGACAACTATCGTACAAGTACTGGAGAGGGAAAGGGGAGGCAAATATATACCTTCAAGACATTGAAGCCTGTGCTACTTTTGCCACGGAAGTGAAGGGGCGATGCCGGGGCTTTGACACGAGGGTTTGAGGGAAGACCCGTGAAGACTTTCTTGGGTGATGCAGGGACCCTAGTGTCCTGTTCTTCCTCTGGTGTCGGTGGGAGCTCTGCGTCCGTGTTACGTGGCTTTTCGGCGGGATGAGGTGCGGCAGCCTCGGGCATATTTGCTTGACTGTCGACACTGCCCTTCCTTGAGACAGCATCTGATTGCTGGCTATCAACGCTCAAGTTTCTGGGCGCTGATGTGGGGGGCATTGGAGCACCCTTCCTTCCTCGTGGTCCGTTATTCAGTTCTGCCAAACTTTTGAACTTCTTGAGACCTTGATCTGGTACTGCTTTGCGCCCAATGACTGGTGATATGGTTGTAGTAGACGTCTCCGTAGAATCTCTGCTTTCGCCTTGGGAAAGAAGCGAATCGTTTCTTGCGAGATCTGTCGCTGGCCTGGACGATTGGCTTCCCATATCGGACTGCTTGACCGACTTCCGCCTCTCAGACTTTGCAGGTGGTGGAGGTGGAAGATCTTTCTCCTCTATTGCTGAAGAAGGGAGAGACTCTGATCGTGCCAGGAATGCTGGAGTAGAGGGAACAGTCGCTGTTGAACCGTTGCTGATGGTAAGCTTCAGAGATGCTGGCTTAGATTCGCGAGATAGGCTACGTGACTCGATCCTCCTCCTTGGGCGAGGTGGGGAGCCTGGCACTGGACTTCTTGGAAGAACAGGTGCGTCTTGGTCATCTGTTCCCTGTTAGCATCATTCGCTCAGGTATACGATATCATGGCTTTGTTCATGCGGCTGTCCAAGCGACGACTAAGCAATGATAATGTATCACTACGCATACAGCGCATTGACATGCGGAATTAAGGTTGCAATAAGACATATGGTCTGTACCAGCAAACACTTGATGAATACCCAAACATGGATGCGATCCATCATAATAGAATAGTGTGATCCCTGCTTACCTCTCAGTTGAAACTTTGCTTCCATTCTCAGCGCAGCTGGAAGCGGTTTACGCGCGATGCTATCCGATCGTGGTGGAGGCGCAGGGAGCTTTTTGTCCGCCGGTACGGGCGACCACGTTGAAGGAGATGCGTCGCCTCGGCCAAAAGAGTTGCCATAGTCGTTGAGTAGTGCGCTGACAATGTCTTGTCTGGATGCAGGCGCGGATAACATGCTCTGTTGAGCCATGACGTCGGTCATCGTAAAGTCGAGATATGAAATGTCGTGTATCAGTCAAAGTGTAGGTAGCGGTTAAGGAACGGCGTCGGGTGTTTGGAAAGTATTCGAGAAGACGTTGATAATGAGTGTGCGTAAGGAGCGTGGTGGCAACAAAGAGAGTGACTATGTCGTGAAGCAAGATGAAAAGACAGGCCAGCCCGATTAATATCGACTTTGTCAAAGACTACAAGTCATGAGGGAATGAGAGGAGTGGAAGGGACACGCATAGCAAACCCTCGCGGCGAAGCTGGACGTCTCAGGTACAAGAAAGTGCATGGGACACGGCTGGCAGAAGACTGGTCGGGCCTTTCAAACGCATGAAGTGTTTGACATAAGAGCCAGGAAGAGGCTGGCCTGCCACAGCTGACGACCAACGGCTGCGCGGATCATCCATGCAAGGATGGAAGGCGTTGGAGATGACAGGATGGTCCACAGCTCCACCGCGGCGCGGGACAGCATCATTGTTCTGCTGAATTGGTCCACGGGGTGTGCTGGGCGACCTGACAATTTCTTACCGCAACTGGTCGTGACATGGACGCAATCAAGTCCATAGTACAAGGCAAGCGCATGTCATCGACGTTGTACCGAAGGCCCGACAACGGGAAGCTGAAGCACAACGTTGATGTGTAACGTCCCAGGCGACCGCTTTCTGTCAAATCACGGCACCCCACAAGGTTGATCAGCACGTGACGAGGGCCCGCCACGTTTCAGGCTACCGTAATAGCTTGTACGGAGCAAATCGAGAAGACATGCCGAGTACCTGATCAGACCCACAGCCGGACATGCGCTGACGTGTGACGTTCGCAGATCCATATCGTCCCTGTCCGCCTTACATGGAGTCACCATGTCCATCGCGCACTATGCTGTAATTTCCTTTTCTTCGGAAACAAATGCGTGGGCCGGAAACGAAATGACAACGATGGGGACAGGGTGTAGGCAAATCGTCAGCGGGAGCGGACCCAAAGGCGCGATCGTGACGGATAGATTACCTGGGTATGTGGCATTGGTGACCAAGAATCCCAGGCTCATGGGTTGTGCCATGGCCCTTCATATTACACCGACAGACTGACATCCAATCACTAATCAAGCCCTCGACACTGGTGTTCGTGAAACAAGTTCAAAAGACTGCTTTCCGTGTAGCTGACTTTTGATCTTTCGATCAAACAGCCTATGCAATGTTATTGGTGTAGATCATATACGCCTCACTCATGGCGAACTTTGTACACCTCCAAGTGTCTCGTTGTGCCTCGACAAGCCCTATCGCGGCGAAAGCCAACGCTGTGGGTCAGAAGGACCCATGCGTACCCGCCAGGTTTCCAACAATCCCAAGACGGCGAAAAAAGAATCCTCCCAAGCGCCGTCGCTAATGACCAGTCGATCCTGGATATCAATAAGAACTAAGGTAAAATATTTACAAGTATAAGGTATAGGGTATCGCTCCATCACTGGAAGAAGTAAAGTACAAACATTAAGATCAAGGTTATCGTGGGTGTGATTGTAGTGGTCGTCGTCGATGCAGCCCCTTTGAGTGGGGCGGCTGTGACGTTGACGAACGTCGAGCCGCATGCTATCGATATCTGCTGAGCGGCTGAGGTATAGGTTTTCGAAAGAGGTTGTGTGGCGTTGTTGCTGTAAGTAGCAAATACACCCATTGCTTGTTGCAAGCACGAGTTGCAAGTCGGCCGTGATCCGCCAGGAAGTTCTTGGCCAATGGGTAGGTAGTATGGGTATGCATCTCCCGGTGATGATATGTTGCTGACGGCGTTCGCAAAGCAATAATTTCCCTCGTCATCGTGCAAACAGCTTGCCTGGTAAGACGGTTGGTATGCGACGAGGCCATTGTAAGCCTGTAGCACCAGGGGATTGTCGCTGTCGTAATCGGCCTTGCATGCCATTCCCGATAGCAGCTCCACCGCGAGATTGTCCAGGATGGGTTTGCATTGCGCTGCATTCACCCCACAGGTTGCATCGAGAGTCTGTGTGATGCGTAGTGTAGATTTGGAGGCGTCGAAGAAACTGCTTGATGTCTACGTGATATTAGCCACACTCTTCTCTCTCGCATTATCGAAGTACCATACCTGCAATAACAAGGAGAAAGGGTGGCAGTCATTGAATTCCTGACTCTGACGCAGGCGATTAAGGAAGTTTGCGCATGAGTTGGTGAAATTATTTGATAGGCCAGTATCGAATGCCGTAGGGACTTCAAATCCGGTGTCAGAGTCATCAGAGTCGGTTTTAATGGCGCGTTCCGAAAGAGTTGCAGAAGGTGTGTGGGTAACATCGTTGTCGCGTTTTAGAGGAGGCATCAATCGCGACGCGGTGGGTGGTGGGCTGAGATCCAGGTATAACGCCGATCCTGTCCAGGCAAGGTCGTCTTCTACGAGCAGGGCCGGTCGATCACCATAGGCTTCCGTTGCGGATACGGGGGCAGCCTGGGAACTGCAGGATAGAAATACGACGAGCAGCAGAAGCAGCGCGCGAAATTGACGGCCGATGCGTGGTGACACTCGCAGATATAAGGGGACACCGCGGCAGCGGTTTTCGTGTTGCCTCATCCGCGTTGGCAGGGGAGCATGGTGCGACAGGATCGCTACCGACTCGCATTCGAAACATTGAGAACCCATCTCTAATTGATGGTACTATAGCAGTCGAGGATGCTATTATTAACCGCAGAATCTCCTCGAAATCCGGAGGCCCATGGCCGTACCTTTGCTGTGGCCAGGAGATTTGTCGTCTGTCAATGACTGCCTAGGTACTTTGTCTGGCCTCAGATTCGGGTACCTTGCAGTGGTTCAGCAAGTGTCCGAGGGCTTTTTGCGGGCCGCCAGGGGTAGGGTAACGGTAGTGACTAGGAAAAGGCAAAGAGTGACGGCCAGCTGGGGGGACTTGCTTATCAATGTCGATCGCAGCCAAAAGGACGGTACGAACAGCCTTTGGTCGATTTATTTAGCAGCCAGAACGTGTCCAAGCATGAGGAGCGGCCGGCCCTTATGATGATTGCCATGCAAACAGCGAATCCTTCAAGCCACCGGCGCCCATGCCTGGCCTGCTAGCAGCTAATCAGCCACGACGGGCCCCCCGTGCAAGCAAACTCGTTTCTTCGGCTGATGACTGGCACGCGATTCGGGTAATAGAAGCTTTCGACCAAATCACGTTCTGTGAGCGAAATGACTCTGATAGGCTGGATATGCATTGGTTTGTACAATGCAATAAAACGCAGCCAAATCGAGCGACGTTCTGGCCAAAAAAAACGGGACGCGATTGTGCCTAGGCGGCGCGGTCCCCAACGCCTTCGCCAAAGCCTGCCCCCTGCGCGGCAATAAAGCTCACGCTGCGCAGCCGCTACAGGGCATGTCGCGAGGGGCAGCGCTGTCAACGTAACTTTCTAACAAGCGTTGGAAGTTGCGTTACCCCTCCATGGTGTGGATGATGATGTAGAGATTGTGTTGTCCTGTTGACCATGGAGGTGGACTCGTTGCGCAGTACGTTAGTGCCGGAGGTATAGCCTGGAAGTCGCTGCAACTGTTTCGCCATCACGGCACCCAACACTCTAAACAGTGTCGCCAAGCCAATAAGCCACTGCGAGCCACGCCCCTATCGGCTCCGTTCCTTGACATCTTTCGCGTCTCGGTCAGCTATAGAGCGTGAGTCGACCTTTACATTAGATCACATACCCGCTCGCTGGCCTCTTTCAGCGCGTGTGGCCGGTGGTCTTCTCACGTCCCGACGCTTGAGGGCATGTGTGAAGGACTAGCGAAGAACTTGTCCCGTCTTGTCTCCCAGCAACTCTCCTATTCTGCATCCTGTGGTTTTCCCAAAATTGCTCAATATCGTCTTGTCAGCATACCAACATCGATGGCTATGTTGGCAAGCGGCGGCGCACATATATGCTATCGAGAACAATCTGATTGCACCCTACCAGTGACTCCGCCCCCTATGCACTTACCTATTTCGTAAGCACATGCCGCATGGAGTAACTACCTGGTCCTTGTCGTTCTCAAATATCAACTGTCGGTCACTGTCAGGCGGCAGTGTTAGTGCTCACGTTCTGGCTCTCCACATCATCAAGCGCGTGTATCTACACCGTTGTGTTCAGACGCCATCTTTCAACATGGACATCTCTAAGCCGATACACATCTAGGCCTGACTTGCAAACGAGACCTAGCCAACGACTTGAATACACGGCGATCGCATCGGAGATCTTGCCAGAATCTCGGAAAGGACGGTGTAAGATTTAGAATCAACACATGGCCAGTCCATTGAGCCTAAACTACCTCGCCCATAGCGAACACGAAATATACCGATCGTTCGGCATCTGCAGGCTATGGACGGAACTGAGGAACCAATTGGACAATTCGCAGATCTAAACTTGTAGGGACGAAAGAGGTCATTTTACTTGCCTTGAGTACTAGTACTCTGCAGTACGCTAGACGGAAGTACACTGATACTGTCTCGGATGCGCGCCATGTACCTGGACCACCGTTGAGCACATAGAGTGCATAGAAAAAGTTTCACGGCAGTCCATGTATCTTCTCTCAGTAGGTGCAACATGTCACTACTACAACGAGAGTATGTGATTGAAGATAAATTTGGTACGGTCACGTATATACCATGCACTCGACGATTCTCGCTACAGTTGGTAGTTCAGAGAGGATGCACTTCTCGTATCTATGGCCCATGGCCTTTCCGTTTGAAGAATGACACTTAAAAAGACCTGGAGATTCAGCAAACCAACCACAGCACGACCTACACGCATACTTCCTGATTACTACTTGATAGCTCACGAAATGATTTTTCCGGGGATGACTGTTAAAACTGTATCAGTGTTGACTTTGCCCAAGCTTGTTTCTGTCCTTGTCGAGTTGGGTCAAACTTCCCAGGTAGTCGTGCTGCTAAGGAGTAACAACAACAGCCTAGCTAGAAATCACATGTTCACTCGTAAGGCCATTCGCTTCCTCGCTAAATGGATGCTTGTGTATCAAAAGTGTGTGTCAATGGGATTAGAGATGCTCATTCAAAGGTCATGACGTCAGGCTGTTGCTCCGCCTCATCTGTGCAGTCGCGCCTTCCCCAACAACACCCAAGCTGCTAACGGCCCGATACAGCAGGAAACACCGACATGCTTACTGCTCAAACCTTGGAGATACGTTGACGAATCTCATGCAAAGGATTATGGCTGTCCCCTCTTCTGGTGGGGTCAAGGCGACCTGTCAGCACAGTGAACTTCGTGCCCGACTGTGCCGGTCATCTTTACTACATCAACAACACTCGCCGGGCTAAGACGCGCTCCTGTAGACATGGTGATGCAATCTATCGTAAGTTGATGTGGGATGCAGCGGTCCGAGTGTGATTGATGACTGGCGACTGACCCGTGACGCAGCTGCTTATCGCGGCAATCGCCATTGTCGCGCCGTACGTAAGTTTTGACTGTACGAAGTGCATGTGAGACATATACTGACTTCGTACCTCTACCTCTGCAGGTATACGACCGTTATCTCGGGTTCTCGACGATATTCGCAAACAGACCGGGGAAATTTGAAAATGTGAACCACTTCAAGAGTCACGAAATCAAGTTCCGCGATCGGCTTCGCAATTGCGAGGATGTACTGGTCGAACAAGACATGGGTATTGCGTTCTTGAGCTGCAATCCGGAGAGGGATCAATGGAACACGGTAATGGTGCGTAGCCGCCCTTTGGGTTTGCCTCTAAGAGCAAGATAGTTTCAACACGACTAGGGCTTACATATGCAGGGCACATTTGCGTCAACTTTAGATAAAAGAGATGGTGCCGACAGCCCACATATCTGGATCTACGACTATTCAACGCCCAACATTCCGGACTCAGACGCCTTAAAGCCTCTCGTTCGGACTGACTACGACAACGCGGCGGATTTCCAGCCTCTGGGCATCGAATTTGATGCCGCAACTTCTACGCTATATGTCGTCAACCATTCCCGCAACTCTGGAAATCTCATCGAAGTGTTCCAGGTCTCTGTCCGAAATGCAGTAGCCAGATATGTGCAGACATTGAAACATCCGTTGATCCACACGCCGAATTCCATACAATCTCTAGGAAATGGGAAGCTATTAGTTACCAATGACCACTACATCGGCGCATTGATCTCTCCGTTCATCTCACAGGTCGAAACATTTTCTGGCATTCCTGGAGGTAGTGTCGTCTACACTGATATCCACAACCCGCAGGACACCAAGACGTTGACGCACGTACCCTTCGCCAACGGCATTGCCATGCTCAATTCGACGACTGTAGCTGTCGCCTCGTCCTCCACAATGGGCGTAAACTTCTACAGCTTCTACCCTGACACGATCAGTATGTATTTCAGAAAATATGTTCGTGCTCCTTCGACTGTCGACAACCTTTCTGTCGATTCTTCTGGCAAGCTTCTTTTGGCAGGCCACCCTTTCGCCCCAGCGCTCACAGGCGTGAGCAAAGCTAGAGCAAAGTGTAACGTGCAGGGATCATACGAGGAGAAAAAAGCTTGCAAGTGTACGGCGCCTAGTTGGGTGGGCGAGTGGAGCGAAGAGGAAGGGCTGAAGACTTTGTATAAGAATGACGGAGACGAATTCTGCAGCAGTGCCACGCTCGCTCGCGATGTAGGCAGAAGCGTGAGTATCGTCACGGCGTTATATGATAGAGGTATTTTGGTGGCGAAGGAATGAGGAGGACGCGCAAGGAACCAACCAATATGGACGGAGCGAGGCACCGATGTGTCTACACAAGCTATGATGAACACGAATTCTTTCTGAGGGATTGCAAAATAAATGAAAGTCTTATTGCAACAGGCGCGATGCTAATTGGAGTTGCAAGGTAGCCTACAGCTTAATCAGGTGGCATTGTGGCGCCTTGTATCTTGGGGGTTAGTAGGGCCCGGAATGGGTCGCTTATCGCGAGTTTCCATTGTCGCCAACTTCCTACCTAGGTACTTCCCAATATGAAGGCGGATTAGTCAAAAGCACTGTGGCCAGGGCCGTACTTTGGAATCGTCGTCGCAAGGATATCACAACCGAAATCCTGGCAGGGAACATAGAAGTGAGTAGCCGTTAAGTAGTGACTTTGCTAGTGCTGTTTCCACTTTATTGCTGTTTGTTCATGTCACCATCCGAGAGTTATGAGGCCGTGCGAGTGTGGATAAGTGCATGTTTGTGTCACGCAAGGAATGGTGTCATAGCTATGCAGTCACGTTTTAGCGCACCGTGTATAAGATCAAGAAGAACGCTTCGAGCTTCTATGTCTAATGATTGACCTCCATGTTGTAGCTACGAAAGGTTTGGCTACAGTTCGCTTCCCTCAGGCCCGGCACAATCTTCCGTTCTGAGTCTGAACACCCTGTTCTCCGTCTTGAACCACCCACCTCTCACTTCCGACAGCAGTGGTCGCGTAGAAGACATCAGTCGGGTCCCACTTCTTCTTGATTCCGCTCAGCTTAGGGTAATAACCCGCATAAAATGACTCCTGCCAGTCAGGCTCATCTACGCTCGCTTCGTTGAGATACGTGCCACCACCCTCTGATACAGGTGCTATGTTGCGCCAAGGCTGCACGATGTTCTCATGAAGATCCTTACTGGCGGCGGCAAGGCCTTCGGGTGTAGAGTGGTCGGCTGATCGGTTTGAAGAGGTTACCATGAACAAAGCACACTCACGCCAAGCTGGGCTGACGGCATTGTTCGTGTTTGCATACTTTTTTGGTGCCTTGTGGTATCCCAAGAAGTGCTTACCGGACGACACGTGCTCTTTGATAAGCGCAAATGTTTCGTCGTACTTTTCCAGGAAGTTGCGTCTAGGAACAATTCGATTCGCGGGCATTGAGCTGTCTGAACCGACACCCCAGGGTACACGTCCCCATGTTGCTTGAAAAGCAGAGTAGAATGTGTTATGCGCGATAGGTGCTTCGGGTACCGTGAGAGTGATATTGTTGTCTTGGAGGTATTGGAAGAAGGGCTTTACAAGCTCAGTATAGGACTCCATCGTATGGTTTGGCGCGATCAGGAATCCCATCCGTAGGTATGGGGCTGGTGTTGCCCCCATGAAGTAGAAACTGTATATTCCCGCATCTGCCCAGTCAAGGAAGAGGTCATAGAACTTTTTCGTACCAGCCCAGAAGGCATCGACGCTGTTGTTTGAAGCGTCGAGGGTCCAACTTGATGTGACAGAGTTGAGCTTAGGATGTGCTCGAATAATGACGGATGTGACGACAGCGAAAGTTCCGCCGCCGCCGCCTCTAAGCGCCCAGAACAGATCAGGGTTCGTAGCTTCGGAGACAGTGATAAAGCGACCAGCCGCAGTGACGACCTGGAAAGCGACGACGTGATCTGCCGACATCCCGTAGATGCCAGCAAGAGGATTTTGTCCTCCTCCGGTTATCATGCCACCAGCATATCCAACACTCTAATTTGCATCAGCTCCATTGTTCGTTCGATGGTTGAGCGGAGGCACTTACCGCGGCTATCGCGCCCAACACGGTCACGCCGTTCTTATCCGCGGCCTCATACACTTGCCTCACATTGACACCCGCAGAAAGCTTAAGCGCTGGTCCCGAGTACCCAGGGCCTTCATACTGGGACATAAAGTCGATCTGGTCCATATTGTGCATCCATAGACTCAATGCTCCAGCGCCTGTTGACTTTCCAAGATAGCAGTGGCCCGTGTTCTTGATGACAAGACGCATGTTGGTGGCACGCGCGAAGTTGATTGCAAGCTGGATCTGTGCCACATTTGTGACCTTGACCGCGTACTCTGGGTATGCGCCCAGAGTGCATGTTTCGCCTGTGGTATCGTTGCCAGGCATACATGTCCTGCCCTGATAGATTGGCCACATATCTGGAGATCGCCATTAATCTGCGCCTCGAAGTCTGTCAAAGGAGATAGCTTACTTGATGTAGGATCCGCGGAATGGAAAAGCGGACTTGTGAAGTTATTGGTAACATTCGAGCACGCTGCGGCATCTTTCTTTCCCCATCTCGTGTCGTAACACGACGCCGCGATTGGCTTTGTTGGAATCAATGCTCCGCCGAGGAGTACGTCAAACATGTCCCAGGTGGTGTCTTTCGGCCAAGCGTCGTCTCCGGGAAACGTCTTGCAAGACGCTGAATGAGCAGGAACATCGCCATCACCAAATTTGAAGTATTTGGCATAGTCCAATGTGGCCTCTTCTGTTCCCAGGCGTTCGATCACTTCATCTGTCAATTGGAGTGTCTCCGCTGCCTGTAAAGGTGCTCCTGCTGCCGGTGCGTTTGGAACGGTAGTAGCTGCAGGCTCGATACCATTCACGGGGGATGCGTGGGTGAGTGTAAGCAATGGAGAGAGAGCCAGGAGTAGTGTCGTTGGCCGCTGCATAGCGTACATGGCGACTCGAAAAGCGAAGACGAAGTGGATGGGGCTGATGAAGGCCCAATACTGGGTTGCTCGACCTTTTATTTTGTATTCTTTAGCCGGTTAATGCCTATCTCTCTGGCTCATTCTCAGTGAGCTTTCAGTACATGATTCGCGTGTCACTGCTCTAGATTCTGACAAGACGTAGTTCTCGACCATCATGTTACCCAAGAGGAAGGCGCAACAAAGTCATGCACGTGTATACAGATGCAGGGACTGCAGGAACAAGACAGCGGTCGGTTTGATATACGATTCGTCAATCGCAAAAGAAAAGAATACGGAAACAGTCTCCCTTGTACTTCTGCTGATTTGCCGCTTGGTAGGCGGCATTGGCAGACCCCAATCATACCTCGGATTTTAGGCCATGATTTCCGAATGGGGGTATGGTCAATCTGTCCTCAGGATACTACTGCAAGGTTGCAAGGACATTTCGTGAACCCAGAAGGATTGCCACCTTGGCACGGTATATGAGGCATGTCCGCTGTGGGAATGCGGCGCAGCTCCGAAGAAACACGTTGACCGCCGGTTTCGCCCGGGCTTGTTTAATCTGATATTAGGTGCTGCTTTCACGACACATACCGCCACCGTCGATAAAATTAGGCTGTGGCAGAGATGGACTTGGTACCTCGAGAAAGTGGAAATGGCAGGAATAAGTTCGCCATCTCTAAGGGGGGCGGCACGCCCCGCTTCCCCCGGGGCCGCAGCCCGCCCCACTTATTGTCCTTACCCAGGAAGCCCTTACTCTAGAGCCTTGGCACTGAATCCTACGTTTGCATTTTTGCCGTTCTGTTGCACATGCATAGTCCGCGGTCCAATTCAAGCGACCTTCGTTGATCTTGGGAATAGATTAGTGCATTGCGAATCCTTTATATTGCCGACTCATCCGAGATTGAGGGGCACTCCCAAGGCGAGGTCTGGCGCCTTCGTGCTTTGGTCAATGGCTTCATTCTCGCATCTGTTGACAGCTCACGAGGCAACACAACCGGGACTTGTGACTACTGCAGCTGTCGAAAGGGTTGTTCGTACTATTGGATGCTGAGGTTTGGAGGTGGCAACATGTTGGGTTCCCCGGCCATACCCATGCCCGGATTTGGACCTTTGTCTTTATCGGATGTGGCACGATAAATGGGACGAACTATGGACCGCTCGCCAATATCGATACCTGACGTTTTGGAGCGTATCACACATGTGATGAACATGAAGGTATGTTGACTTGCGGCGTCATGAAACTCTTCTTAGGGTACACGAACGCCGTATCTGAAAAGGAGATTAGCTACACCTCTATACGATTGAATTTTGTTCAATTCTGTTGAAGACAGAATTTGACTCCGCTGTAGCTATCCGAATTGAAGTCGTGATCTTCCCCTTCGCGCAACATGGCAGGTACTGGCCTTCAACCAGTCAACATCTTCCTCATTATTTTCCCTTTCCTAGTGTCCTTCTCGATTGTATCTATCAGGATATGGAGAAAGATCAAGAAGCGTACCTATGCTATCGGTTGGTGATACTCCCTACGAGACTTAGCCTATGCTGACAAACTGCTCTAGAGGATACACTCTTGGTAGTAGCAGAGGCTATACTGGCAGTACTCACAGCCACTATGTGGAAGTATACGTTCGGAGTGTTCTCTACACCTCTACCATCTGACTCAATTCAGTCATCCTGGTGTCTTACGCAGGATACCATTTGGCCGCCTCGGAAGTATCTACCAGATGCAGTTTGTTTCCGTTCGTAGGGTCGACAACACGCATCGAGATCCGCAAGTTGGAGGCGGCGTATATAATGCGTCTTTGCGACGAATCTGGAACGGGAGCTAGCATAGGTGCAGGCTCAGAGATCTTGGTTTTGTTATTACACCACAAGTAATAAGTCCGTGATCTTGACTGCGCCAGTCTCATGATCGCGCCTCAACGACTTCAGCCTCGGGGTTCAGTTCGTAGTCGTCGAATTGCGGCTCGAGCACAGCTACAACTAATTCAATAGCTTTGTTCTTGTCGGTGAAAGGCATGAGTCTATCAAGTGCCGAGCAACGCAACACCGCTCCTTAAGTGTGTTGAGCGCGTCGGCTTTCATGCGCTCGAACGAACAGGTCTTTGCACTGGATAGTACTGGTTTGCGAAGCTTGTCTTGCTCTACTTCTTGTTTGGCTTGGGTGGAAAGACGTTGTGATCCTTCGGGAACACGTCGAGCTCGTCCTCTTCCTCGACTACCTGCGTCTTCGTCTTCGACTTTTTGTCATGTGCTTTGTGGTGAGTGCGTTTGTACTATTGGTCTTGTGCTTCTTGGAAATTGCCTTTGACCCTTGGACGACTGATGGAGCGGACTTGCTGATTGCGACTACAACAATGCTCATGTGCTTGATCTCAGAGCGAACGCCCGGGGTTTGACCTTGTTGATAGAGGGCTTTGGTATGGAGGTGGGTGCGGCGACAGGAATTTTGGCATACTGGAGGATTTTGGAGAAGGATGGCATCTTGCTTGTTCGTGTAGAAATGCTAGTGTGGGGAATGCGTGGTGGGTAGTACACGCTGTCTATCAAAATGCAGTATGACAGTAGCAGAGTATATTTTGTTGGGACTGGCAGAGAAGTAGAGAGACACGAACATCAGCTTGCACAATTTCGACTAGAGCTACGGTAAACGCGGGACCTCCAAAGGTGAAGATGAAAGCGGACATAGTTGTGTTGATATCCAACAACAGCATTCCAATGAAAACTAGAATTATGCAGTGCATAACAATAGAGGAAACTCGTCTAGACGGTAGACTGACCTAAGTCAAAACATGTTGATTGTGATATGGCAGCAAGGCCGAGCCTGCCTACAGGACCTAAAGTTGACTCTCACACGTACAATGCTATGTATGTGCAAATAGCCATCTCAGACCCTCTACAACTCCTCCTTATCAACACCATCAATGGAGACCAACTCCGACTCGAAGACTGTCATACGTCAGTCAATGTATTCGCCATGTGTCCCAATAGTACTTACTCAAAACACTATTAGCGGGGATAGGGCCAGCACCCCGCGAGCCATAGGCCCACTCAGGCTGGATTGTGAGCTTCCTCTTTTCGCCGGGGCACATGTCGAGCAGGCCCTGGTCCCAGCCCTTGATGACCTGGCCGGTACCGACGGCGAAGGACAAGGGCTGGCCGCGGTTGTATGAGGCATCGAATTCGCTGCCGTCGCTCTCGAGGGTGCCGCGGTAGTGGACGTTGACCTTGTCGCCGACCTTGGTCTTGCGGACGCAGTTGGCTTCGATGAGGACCTCAGTCTTGAGGTGCTGTAGAAGGCGTTAGTACGCTATGCATGCCGTATAGCTTCCCGGAGTGTTACGCGCCTCATTGTTGACAATCTCGCCAGCGAGAGCGGCCGTAGCCAAAGCGAGGATGAGGGTGAGCTTCATTCTGACGTCTGTGTGTGGTGAATTTGCGTTTTGGACACTTCACGGGTGTCTATGAAGCAAGGCGACGTTGCAATGGCGGCGAGTGGAGCGTCATGTGGGGATGCATGTGGCGCCAAGCGGCCGTGTGGCCCAAACCATATGCAGGGACCTCGGGGATGTCAATGGATATCGCTAGCGACATCTCGCAGCATCGAAAAGATACAACAGCTACTAATCTCATCGCTCGTGCGCTGCAGTACTACGACAACGACTTTTGTGAGTAATAATATCGAGATGTCTGGGGAGTACTAGATGATTGCTTTCGCTCTAAGAAAAGTCCACTCGCAGTCTTCACGTTGATGACACGAACGGCATTTTCCTCACTCTCAGCAATCTCTTCAATGCAAAGAAATAATGGACTTCTGTTAAAGAGTACTCGATATAGCCAATAATCGTAATAGCCATCAGTGGTAACCTCAGGACGGCGATGCCACCCCTCTTCCAAATGATAAGAACACGAATTGAAGAAATGATAATCGTACACCCACCCCATCGAAATCAACTCCCTCCCTCCCAACACTCTTTCTCAAGAACAGAAGGCGCATTCAATAGTAAATCCCCTTCTGCAAACCAATCATACCCTCCTCCCTCCCCTCCATCGCCACACTCTTGACACCAAAATCCTCGACTGCCAAATCCGCAGCTTCCAACTCCGTGAGAACTACAGCCTGTTCTACCTCTTTTCTGCTTCCACCAGAACTGCCCTGCTCAACGCACTTGAAGCTTCCGAACTTGGGCATGTCGGTTGCGATACCGGGGAACGTCAGCTTCTGAAGAATGTCGCCTGTACACGAAAAGTTCTGGTAGAGGGCGCACGTAGAGCCTTGATCGGGTCCGAGTGATGCGATACCTCCGGGGCTGCCTTGGATGTGGCATTCCGTGTTGGGCTGCGTCCAGCTGCATTCGCCGGCGAAGTTGGATTTGGTGCAGGTGTAGTAGGCACCAGGAAGACCGCGCCGGGAAAGATGGTGTGTTGGTAAGGCTGATATGGTGGTTGTAGTGGTGGCGATGGTGAGCAAGAGGGCTATAAGTGCGATGGCTGTGTACATTGCCGGGGTTGTTGGAACGGGTAACGACGATTAGGAATTAGCTTTGGGCTATATCTGCGTGTATGGCGTAGTGCGCGTATGTGTGTAGTTTGTCTTTGGGGAACACCTGGTTCTGTGTTTCAAGTGTTCTTATGACAGCCGTAGGGTGTCTTGATGACTGAGCCTTATCTCTTTGTGAGCCATCGAATCTCATGATTGTCTGCGCGCGTCGTACGGACGTAGATTAGACGATCACGGGTGTGCGTACCTATTGCACAAACGGACAGGTCGGTGCATCAAGCACAAAGCCTGGATTTCGTCTCTTTGTCGCGGACAATAAACATCTACAAGGAGATGTAGAAATGTATTGGCGTGACTCCATGGCGATGACAACGCCACGAAAGCTTTCAATAGGCCATACGAAACAACCAAAAGATGTGTAGAGGGGGAAAGAAGAATTGCAAGAATGCAAAAATATCCAAAGACTAGAGATGTGAGAAGGTGATATGTGCCACAAGGTGCTTCGGATGCGGTCCGCAACGATGGCGCGACATGGGTGGGTTGCTGCTTTGAAACGTCCTCCAGCGGGGCTGATGAGGAGATGCAACCAAAAGGGTCGCAGTACTCGCAAGCCCATGTCCCGAATCGTCTTACAGCCGCGAACTCGCTGGGGGACGCAGGCAGCGTGAATCTGGCCTGTGTCATCAATGTGTTGCCGCCAAGCTGTCGCCGGTGCCGCCATTACGCACTTTTGACTTGACAGGTATGACTGGGTTTGGTTCATTATGATCGTCAGGTACGAAGCTGCGAGGCGGCTGCAGGATGCCGCTGTAGTGGACGGCGATCTTATACGTCGCATGGGTCGTGCATTATGAAGAGTGCTGCTCTTCGCGTCGGGTTGCAGAGTTTGTGGTGTTTTGGTCGTAGGCAGGCGTGCATGGTGGAGGCACGACGATGACGCGCCTGCCTCCGGCATCCACATGCCGTGCCATGCCAACATTGATTCACATTCTATGCTTTCGACATGAAAAGCAAAAAAAAAACCCCCCCAGTCAAATAAGAACGCCGCCCCTCCCATTCCGCACGGGGGTTTATTTGGTACGAAAGATAGATTACGCGGTCATAGGATAATTCGCCGCAATTTGCTTGCTTCCTTCGTGGTCATCTTACACGCGGCAGCAGCAGAACGTCATCTTCACATAAATCTAGCAAGCCACTACAGCAATTTTGACACAGGTCATTGCAGGTGCATCAAAGAGCGAAGGCATCCTCGGTCGCTACAGGTCAGTGGCTATCGTAAGCCCGACATCCAACCCACCACCATTTCCACCCTTTCACATCTACCAAACGGCCCGACACAATTCGAGGACTGATATCCACTACCCCCAAAAATAACCTTCAACAATGCTTCCGCTTTGTAATGCACAAAAAGGGCATGCGCCGCGTCCCACTATTCTTTCGTTGCGTCTTCCGAAACCGCGAAACCCCAGGCGTTTTGCAACTAGGGAACCACCCCAACCTGGGGGTAGCCACACCAACACGTTGGTGAGGTTGATCAAACGCATTCGGTACAGTACGGTTCTGGGTTTTTAGAGGGCATGCTCGAGGCATTCGCTATGTTATGGGATTTGTTGAGCGTAAGGATAGTATGTCTGGGAGGTAATCGTTGGTTTCTACGTTATGTTGTACGTTACCATGGAGTAGCGCGGAGGTATTCATGATCCTTTACAGTAGGTCTTGATTATAGTAAACACCGTGGGTACCCCCAGGCTATGAGATCAGCCTCACCGTTGAATCGCATAACGGTCACAGTATGTCGCAGGGTATGTTGAAATACTCGTATGTGTTGTATTTGAAGCTACTGTCACCGGCAACTAGGTATAATCGTTACTATCCAAATCCGCCAGCAGATCTGTACATGCCACGCCACGCCACATGATTCAACCCCGTCCTTACGATCGTCTAGCCCTCTTGCGAGCCCAACCCGGTCCCCCATCGGACGGAGGACCCGGGTGCGACCGCAAGGACGAGGCCATCCGCTGCTGCTCGGGAAAGCCTCGACCGCCAGCAGTAAAGACGAACGCCGCTGGGATCAGAGCTGGAGCTCGAGGTGCAGGCGGCCCCGCCATATGTTGTAAGTTGTAGACCTTATACATCTCCTTTTGCTTCATCAACTCCTCTTGATGGTCCTGCTTCATCTGGAGCACCTGAGCTTCACATCGCTTCCCGAACGTGTTCAACTTCTTTCGACACTTCTCTTCCAGGGCTTGGTCGTGATCTAGATGGTCTTGGATGTCCTGGAATCGCTTGAACTCGGCGGCCTCGGTCGCGTAGAGAACTTTGGCTACCGTGTTCTGCCAGTTCTTCATGACGGACGTCAACTCAGGAGCACGTGTGGCCAGCTCGTCGGTATCGAACTCTTGTATGTTCTTCGCAGTTGATCTGATGTGGTTGAGGAGAGCAAAGAGTGGCGTGTGTGGCGGAGTCGAACCAGACGTAGAGTCGCTGCCGGTAGACCTGTATGAGCTAGCCCTGGCAGTAGACTTCGCTGGCTCAAAAGTTGCCAATAGCGACATGATCTTCGCTTCGGCGATGTCGGAGTCGTCGTGTAACGAGGAGAGGGGGCGCACAACGTCAGGATCTTTAATTGTCTTGCTCAGAGAGCGCGCAATAGCTTCTACAATGTCCTCCTCCTCCTCCTCTTCGTCGCTGGCGTAGTGAGTTCCTGCGTGACGTGGAATTTCTGACTTCTCCGCGCTCTTCCCAGATCTCAAAGAAGATATGGTCTGTGCCCCCGTTTTGCTCTGCCGTGCAGCATTTTGTGAACCGTAATTGATCTTGGTGGCTCGTCGCGCCGCGTTCTTGTACAAGTCGTTACCGCCGTAGGCGCCGCGACCGATCCTGTCGAGGAACTCTTCACGCTTGGCTTCGTTTTTAACTACGTTCCTGGTCGCATTTGCATTGCGTGCAGTAGCGGAACAGCGGTTATACGTTATAGGTGGTCTAGGAGTACCGGAGGGACCGGGAGGGAGCTGTGAAGGCATTGTATAAGATGATGGTGTAACGTTTGCCTTTAGCTGAGAGAGAGTGATCGTGGTTCAGGTGAATTTGAATATATAAGTAGATCGTGAAAGGTATGTGCGAGTTGGGGTCGGACGTGAGAAATAGGGTTGTGACGTAGTCCCAGCGGGTGAGAGGGGAAGATGATGTCCACAATAGGAACAACGAGCGACAATTATGAATGGGAGGAGGTCAGGTTACAATGGCCCAAGGGTGTGTGACCAAGAGCAAAAGTGAAAGTGAAGGGAAAGACGGCGACTACAGACGATCAATAACGTTCACCTTCGCCAACTCAATTCCGTGTGCCCCCAACGAGGCTACTCTGGTGCTTATTATACATGCGCAAGTCTTGAAAGTAGTTGCGGCACACTACTTTTGTACAATGCTAGATCGATCCAGGTTCTCGCCGCTGACGACTTGCCCACAGGTCGAGACGTCAGACTTTCTCATTTTGAGCAGTGCGCGGGTATTGGTATTGTCTCGGGAGGATCATGGGTCTTCGGTGAGCGCTGGCGAAAGCTTGTGTAGCAATGGGGGAGCTGTCCGTCCGGATGGTGGTGCCAATGGCCATGAAGAAGCTGCAGGAAATGTCAGAACATAACAACGTGAGCAGCTGAAGTAGACTATGCATACCCAAAGGTCGCCGCAGATCCCATCATGTATTGGCCCAGTGTGCGCAGCATTCCGTTGGGTCCAGGGCCGAAGCGGACGATGTTGGTGAAGCCTACAAGAGTCAGAGAAGAGCATGCAAGGGCGTGAGATGAGGCGAACCGAAGATGAAGCCAATGATCAGGCCAACGGCTGTCAGGAGGTCAGCGCATGCATTTCCTGGTCTGTATGCGAACCGTACATCCACCCATCATGCCACCCATCTTCACTATGCGCTGTTAGCTGTTGCCAGGCACAGGCAAATTCAGAGCCCTACGCTTGTCTAATGTTGAAGGGCCATGCGCCCCTTGAGGCATTGAACCGACTGGCACTGGCATCTTGGAGCTCTGCAAACGTCGGATGGAGAAAGAAGGCTGGAGGGGAAGTTTGAGTGTCCCACTTGAAGCTGCAGTCTCGCCCGCCGCGGCTCAGTCAATCGACGCCAAGACGAAACCACCGAAATCCGGGGAAAACGCAACCATGGATGCACGAGGAAGCTACGACTGGGCTTGTCGTCACAACGTCAGCGGATGCAGTGACACGCAAGAACTACAACGCGTTCAGTCTCTACATGAGGCTTTGGTGGTTCCCACAGACTCCCTTGACCTGACACGACGGCGCTTGCCGGGCTGCGCACGTGACTCTCTCAGCGGCTGGCCCCTTCACTGGGGGGCTGCAGGTGCAGCGTAGGAATGAGGCGAAATAGTGTCAACCACCGCTTGATCTCTCCATCGCGCGCGTGTTGGACATAGCAGCAGCATCTGTCTCGTTGCGTCGTGATTCTGCAGTGCTGCCCCCTACTCGACGTCGCCATTGCGCCTGAGCCGTCGTGTCGCCCAGCTGGCCAGTAAGCGTTGCAGCGTCCCCAAGGCCCGAACAGGACCTCCTGCTCGTCGAAACACGCACCCTCATCTATACCGCCCACCCCAACCATCAAGCAGCCCGTCCCGTGGCCTCGCCTGCTACCCACACATCCCAGAGACGCTGCTGCTGCATTCTCCGCCTGTCTGCAGCGCCTTGCATCGCTGCGACGTCGCACGGGCTCTCCACGGCCAGCACACGACAGAAGAAGAAGACGACGGCGACGACGACGACGGCAAACCTCCCAAGCCCACCCGCGACGCCCATCCCGGACATCGGCATCCACCGCGACGCATGAGTGCATAGGCAACGTCGCGAGACCTTTTTGTTGTTGTCGCTTGCTCTCGGCGTCGTCACGCTGGTGTCGCGCCGCTAAATTCGGACAAGACGGGAATCGTGCAGGAAAGGAAAAGTGACGCCGGACCCCAAACACGCCCACCTCCTTCTCTCGGCCGCACACGACCTCGCCAATGACGGCAGTTGCGCCCCCCGTCAACTATCAGAACATCAATCGGCAGGCATGGAGCGCTGAGGGCGTGTCCAACGGTGGTGGCATGTTCATGCCTCGGAAGAGCGCCCAACGGTCCAACTCGTCGTCGAGCCTCTCTTCACAGGCGTCGGGCACCTCGACCCTCTCCGCCTCGTCCTCTGCATCCCAGCCAAACGGCACCCCCCAACAGCCCAACGGCACCGACTGGGCTGCCACCCGCAAAGCGAAAGCCCCCAAGGGACTATGGCCCGCGACCAAGACTGAGCCCATCGCCGGAATCACTGCGGCACGCCCCCAGCCCATCGCCTCTGCGGGCCCCGCGTCATCAGCCGCCTCGGCCATGAGTGCCCTACAAGCACCTTCCGCCATGGTTCCCTCGCAGCACAATGGCCAGGTCCCGACCCAGCAACAGCCCAACGGCGCACAACGCGCATCGGCCCAGGAGAGCACCGCTGTACTGCACCTGGTCCCCATGAACGGCACCTTTGAGCGCAAGACCATCACCGTCCCCTTCTTCCCCGACGTCCTCCGCATCGGCCGGCAAACGAATAACAAGACAATTCCCACGCCACTCAATGGGTACTTCGACTCCAAGGTTCTCTCGAGACAACACGCCGAGGTATGGGCCGACCGCCAGGGCAAGATCTGGATCCGAGACGTCAAGTCGTCGAATGGCACCTTCGTCAACGGCTCCCGCCTGTCGCAAGAGAACAGAGACTCTGACCCCCACGAGCTACGCGAGCAGGACATGCTGGAACTTGGTATCGACATTGTCAGCGAAGACCAGAAGACGATCGTTCACCACAAAGTCGCCGCGCGCGTTGAACATGCGGGCATTTATGCACGATCCAGTAGCGAGATGATCGACCTCAACTTTGGCGAACTCGAAGGACCCCAGCTCTCTAATATGATGAGCCCCAACGGCCAACAGCAAATGGCGAATATGCGTGGTCGCACGCCCAGCCAAGGCTCTATCAATGGTCAGCGACTCCAGGGCCCGGGCGCCATGGCCAACTACCCAAACGGCATGCAGCAACCCCGACACCCCAACTTCTGGCTACAACCCATCACAATGGAGCAAGTTGTCAAGAAGCTCAATGTAAGTGCGACCTAGCTACTCGTGGTACCCCTCTAACAGGCCCAGACCGAGATCAAGGCAGCAAAGCAGCAGTCGCAGGACCTCCAGCAGACTCACCACTACATCAACGCTATCCTCTCCGCAGACACTAAGAAGGAACCCGCAAAGGCCTCGCCAATCAACCAGGCCAGAATATCGCCAATCAAAGACGGCAGCATTAAGGCGAGATTTTCAGATCCACCTGCGCCCCCACCACAACAGCCTTTACCCGAGAAGCCCGACGTCGCATCGTCCCTTAGGAGGTCTGACACCGAACGTCCAAAGACAGCGTCACCGGTGCGCTCTGACGCGCAGCTGTCTTCACTCACAGAGGCCTTGACTAGTGCGAAGAAAGAGATCGAAACGCAGGGCATGCGGCTGCGTGACTTGGAGACCTTGTTAAACGAAGAGCGTCGCGCAAGGGAAGACGCAGAAGAGCGAGCAGCCCGACTCGAGCGTGAGACAACCAAGGATCAAGCAGACACAGAGACTATCCTTGGCGACGATGAGACGCCCGAAACCGAGGCAGCCGATACACAGCGCGAAGAGCTCACTGACTCAGAGAACGGGTCCGCATCTCCTGCCAGCGCCGAGGACGCCACTGCTCGCTTACAGCAACGCCTGGAGGTCATGATGTCTGAGATGAATGAGATGAAGCAGCAAATGGAGCGGTACCGGGAAAGAGCCGAGACAGCAGAGGCCGATCGCAAGACCTTGGCAGAGATGATCGAAAACATCAGAGAAGACAATGCAAAGACCGCTAGCAAAGAAGCTCAACGGCGGAGCAGAAGCAACCGTGCATCCGTAAGAGCGAGCGGTAAGACTGGCGTTGAGGGCTCAGACGGCGAGGCCGAGCAAGGTGAAATCACCATCATCAGAGAGAAGGACCTCGACGAAGACGGCCCAGAAGTATCACTTCCCAATACAAGCGAACAAAACGGACATGCTGTTGAGCTAAACGGTTCAAAGCAGTCGGGGAAGGCGAATTCCTTGGTTGCCCATCGGCCTGATCGAGATGCCATGTACTATGGCGGCCCGGTCGGGGCCATGGTAACAGTCGTTGCAATAGGTGTCGCGGTTATGGCCATGCTCAACCAGTATCCCAAGGCCGAACGTTGAAGAGACAAATGCCAAAGTGTTTTATCACTATGCTAGGAAAGACTGGCTTTGTGAAGCGCCACCACAGCGATCGGGCCCCGGAAGAGCATAATGAGCGTCAACACTTGAGATGTTGCTCACGCGGAATTCTGGGTCATACGCCGATGCTAGACTACCGTCATTCTCATCAAGGCCATTCGCTGCGTTACACTACGATGCCCACTTATGGATGGCTTGCAGCAACATCATTGTTAGGCTGTTCGCGACGCAATGTTGTACGATGGTAGCGCCTCCACGATTTCGTGACTAATCGCAAATGTTCCGCAACAGAACCACCCAAACTATCCATGTTATCACACTTGTCTCAAGTGAGACATCTGCGGCTGGAGGAATACCGCTATACCGAATTACCACAGCAGACTTCATTTCTTTTCGGCGTAGTTAACGGGTAATGCATCAGTATCTTTCGTTCTATTGGCGTTCAGGACTCATAGTGTCAGCCTCTGACCTTCCAGGCGTTTCTCTCTTTCGGAAGGGTGGGAAGCATTGCAGGACTCTTTCTAGTCCAAACAGTCATGCACTGTGGTCAGCCAACGATGAACCCTTTTCTTTTGTAAACACGACTAGCTTTTCCTTTTCATCTCCTTTGTTTGCTGGCTTGGGAATTGGGAGATCCACGATAAATAGGTGGGCAGAGAGATTGGGATTAGGAGAGCAATTGGAGAAGGTTTTTCACATACACTTCAATGACACATACTTGACTCACGAAACGTTTTGTGAATTGCCTGGGTATCTACTTCTCTCTAGTGAACCAAGACTGTCGTGACTTGTACGTTACTTCAAGCCAATAGTAACAGTGACCGAACTCAACATGCGTATCCTCGTCTCCGGCACATCATCCGCATCCTGCTCTACTTGTCCCATCCCCTCTTCCCCACCCTCGTCTTCTGCCGTCCGATCCTTAACCTCAACATCATCAATCGCACTCACATTTCCCATCTCAACCTTGATCCAACAATCCTCTTCGCCTTGGAAATGCAATCCTATCTCCAACGCCCTCGGTATCGCCCGCCCCGTCGCTTTAAGATGGACTTTTTCTCCCTTGCCATCACCAATCCCACTCCCACCCACACCACCTGCACTGCCCTTATTCGCACCACGACCGTCACCACCCTCCCTACTCATCGCCCCCGCGATCTCAGCCTCTACATCCCTCGCTTCTAACCGTCCATTCGCTTGTGCATATCGTCTTCCGCCTCTCCCTTCTCCTCCTCTTCCTGCCTTGTTCAACGACGCGGCAGATTGCTTCTCGCGCTTGGTTATCTGCATGAGCAGCTTCCGGATCCGTTTCAGTGCGGGTACGTACGGTGACGTGGCGGTTATGTAGAGGGCTTTTGGGGAAGCGGATGAGGAGAAAGGAGTTGGTACAGGGGCGTGGAGGAGGGGCCGGGTGCTTATTGTTGTGTCTAGGAAGTTTATCAGATTTGGCCTATATGTAAAAGGGAATCCACGTACTTTTGGGCAGTCTGGCGAGCTTTTGGCGGGGATTTTGGGTTGCGGAGCGAGGCTTGGAAGGCTGTTTCGCTGGCGCAGACTTTGAGGGTGGATTGTTTGTGTGAGATGCCAGTTTTGGTGGATTCGTCTGCATTGCTGTTGTGGTGCCGTACGAGGTGATGTTGCTGGAGGGTGCTTGCGGCTGTCCACATGGTGGTGTCGCATCTGTCATGGCTACATCTTCCGGCTGTTGAGGCTGGTTCTGGGGTTTGGCTTGTCCGTTGATTGATCGCTTGATTCCTGCCATAGTGGTGCAATGAGTAGAGCGGGCACTCGTTGTTGTGCGTAGAATGCAGTCAATGTCCTCGCAGTCGCAAAGTCGAGTCGCGTCGCGTTAACTTACAAACTCTTATCGATAAGACGATACAAAGGTCCCCAGATCCCAGACACTCATCTTGGAAGACTTGCGACGGCAGCAATGGCAAGCTCTGTCCCGCACAAGCTGCACCACATCCACCTACGAGGCCTCATTCCCTACGCAACAGCAGCCCGCCTTCAAGAATATCTCGTATCCCGCTTCCTCGCCTCGAAACCGCCACTCAATGCGTCCCCACCACCACCACCACACATCATAACCACCGAATTCACACCTGTCTACACATGCGGCCGACGAGAAATCGGCACCGTCTCCTCAGACCAACAGACCTATCTCCGCGCTAACAACCGCGCCTCTTTCACTGAAGCCCTCCGCGGCGGCCAAACCACCTTCCACGGCCCCGGTCAACTAGTCGCGTATCCCATCATCGACCTGCGCACCCACAAACTCACACCTAGAAACTATGTCTGCTTGTTAGAGAAAAGTCTAATAGCTACCTGTGCGAAATACGGTATCAAAGCCATGACAACAGAGCATACAGGTGTCTGGACGAGTCCAGAGGATAAGATTGCAGCGATTGGTGTGCATATGCGGAGGAATATCACGAGTCATGGGGTGGGGCTGAATGTGAATACGGATTTATGGTGGTTTGACAGGATCGTGGCGTGTGGGTTGGAGGGGAAGCGGACGACTAGTTTTGACAGGCAGGGTGTGGAGGGACTGAGTGTTGAGGAGGTTGGGAGGACGTTTGTGGAGGACGTGAGCGAGAGGATGATGGGTGTGGACGGGGTGCGGAGGCTGGGTCAAGAGGAGGTCGAAGCGTTGTTGGAGAGTTCAAGAGGGGGGTGAACATGTTCGAAGGTCTTGACATCACGCATTTGGGCTTTGTGCTGCCCGTCGACTGATACTTGCGTATGATGGTGCTTCCATCGAAGTGGAGTACGCCTGATTAGTGTACGTGGACCGAACCTTGACGTCAGAGTCGCATTGCAGGAAAGAGCAAGTGAGGTATGTCTTTTGCCAAACCGGAACCCCGAGTTACGCCACCGTCATCATTACTGTGGTTGAGACGCGTAAAAGTCTGCGGCACCCATGAACGACATAAATTCTCAACTTCTCTCTGTTCTACAGTTATGCGAGTCAGCGCAAATTATCGTAAGTCTAAAGTAAGAAAACGAGATACCATTCAGCAAGACGATCAAACAGCATGAGGATGAATCTCCTTCTGTCTGTGTCTCCACCACTTCTTTTCCATATCCCCCTCCCTCAAACCCCTTTCACTATCCCTATCCACACTCCTCGCACTCGCACTTCCGCTTCCCCTCGCAACAACCACCGAAGTGTTCCCCAGTGCACCTTCTGCATCCACAGTCCCTCCGCTCGCAACACCCCCACGATTCCGCCACTGGCCAGCCTGCAACTCATATACGTCCTCTTTCTCGCCAGCCAATTCCTCCAGTCTTGCTCTCTTCGACTCCGGAACGAGGAAACTAGTCAGCATACCCAGGAACATGAAGAGCGCGAAGATCTGCATTACACCGTGGATCCAAGGCGTAGGATTGTCATGCGTAGCGCCCCTCTTGATCATGGGCGCGAAGAAAATTTGTGCGAACACGGCGCCTAACTTGCCCATTCCTGCGCTGATACCATGGCCCGTACATCGTACCCTTGTTGGAAAGATCTCTGCTGGCGCTATAAAAGTCGTAGCATTGGGCCCGAAATTGAAAAAGAATTGTGCTAAGACGTATAGTACTAGTAAGTGGGTTTTGGTAAGGCCTTGCCAGGCGAAGCCAAGGACGCAGAAGATGATGGTTAGGATTCCGAACCCGGCGATTTGAATGGGTTTGCGGCCTATGGTGTCGACGGTGAAGACGGTGAGCCAGTAGCCAGGAAGGGCACCGGCGCAGATGAGCACAATTTGGCCTGTGGCCATGTTGCGCAGGTAGAGGTAGAGATTTGCGCGTTGGTCGAAGCCCATAGTGGACATTAGTGATGCAGAGGAGAACCCAAGACCGTAAAATGCCATGTCTAGGAAGCTGTATATTTGTCAGCTTGTTCTGCAGCTAAATCAGTAAATTGTTGTACTTACAACCAGGACATAGAGGTACCGAATAGGCGGATAGCTTGACGTTTCTGTGAGTAAAATCGCAGTATTTCCATCAATGTAGGCCGCGGCGTCTTGTACTTGGCCATTTCGCTACGCGTCTTCGCCTGTGTGACTGGATTGACCACATTACCCTGCTTGCCATAGCGGTACTTTCGCGCATCAACCGAAGCCTTTTCAACATCGTACAGCACATCGAACGTGTATCGTGGCGTTTCCGGTACTGTGAGTCGGTAGTAAAGCGCGAACCATGCGGGAACCCCCCCGAAAGCGATGATAATGCGCCACATCTTGTCAACATGCATGGAGCATTGCCCGATGCATTCTCCAACGTTAGCTACTACGATCAAGTGGTCTTTGTAGACTATGACTACGATGAGAGTTACCAAGGCGGCTGCAAGTTGACCGAGGCCTTGCATGGCGAAAACGGCGGCGATGATGCCTCCTCGGTATCTGGTACTAGCAAACTCTGCCGTAATAACTGCACTGAGCGGGTCTGATGTATGATTAGCATATCATCGTCATAATGATATAGAACTGTTGCATGGAACGTGTACGTACAGTCACCACCGACGCCGATTCCCATTACAACTCTGTAAAAGATGAGCACACCCACGATGGAAAGGGTTGCTGACTCTCCACAAAGCGATTGCGCGAGTGTTGTGCAAATAATAATCATCAGCTCTACTCCGTACATCTTCTTCCTTCCTAGAACATCGCCCAAGTACCCAAAGATACATTGGCCGAAGATGGCGCCGGCGGACGTGGCGACTTTGATTGCTGTATCGGCATCATGGGGCATGACTCCTTGGTGTTCCGCATCTTGCCAGTACACAATTCCTAGCAAGATTACAGCTAGGTTTATAGCGAACAGCTGAATGTATTGTTAGTCAACTTTCAGCCTTGTCCTTCGTCTTACTGCCAAACTCACAGAGTACGCATCAGTGAAGAATCCAATGCCAGTCACGACTGCTAGTCGTATATGATACCATCCGAAGGGTGCCTTGTCTACCTCAGCGAGGGCCATCCGCCGGCGCTCATTGGGGTCGGCGATATGTGTCTGACAGACTTGTCAGATACAAAAGAAGATGGTAGGGTCGCGCTGAGGGCCACCACGTACATAGACTCCGGGTACATCTCGATAAGCCGCATTTCCGACTCGTCCAAACGAAAGCATAGGTGGCAGCGGAGGTGGATACTCTGAAAGGGAACGGCCGCCACGGTCCAACGACGTCCATAAGAGAGGATGAGATGACGAAGGATATGTCAGCGAACAGCCGCAAGATATGCAAAACGCAAGTAAGGCTGAGCAGTGGGGCAGCTGTCAGTCGAGACATGTACTGCAGTACGATATAAAGCATGCAACAAGGTGCGGGAACACAGCTGGCTTCCCTTTGGGAACGCCAGACCCATGCCGAGTTCCCGACATGTGGATGGCGAGAGACTCGATGTCATGCCGCTTGGAGTCAATTGGTAGAAGATGCGACGCAACTAGACATTGCCAGGACGCGACACTCGCGATTAGACCCAGCATCGCATGCCGTGTGAGAGAGGGAGTTCACGTTGTCGGAGGCTCGCTTGTGATTGGTTGGCTGTCTCGGAACCTCAAAATACCCCCATGTCGCCTTCGTGACTGATGGCACGCCCCATGGTCGAATTCGCCAGTGGCTTCGCGGGAGGGCTCGAAAAGAGCTTGATGGAATAATGCCATAGCCGCCAGGGGCTCGGTGCCATGGACCATTCTCCTGGGATATAGCCACGCCTCTAGTCTGGGGTAGATGTTCTGGCGTGGGGGTAGTAATTTTGTAATTATGCACACACGCTGTGCATGGAATGTTGGTGTACGTTAGCAAAGGCAGGGTGAGAAGGCGCATGTATCTAGACAGGCCTTGCCAACGAAGAAGCGACGTTGGCTCCTGTCCAGCTTCAAATGTTATGATGTATGCAAGCGATGGGACCGACGCTGGGACGAGATGCGCTAATGGTAGCGGAAAGGCGCACGTCCATGTTCACCTAGGCGTAGGTAGCATTGCCCGCAGACAGACTACTGGATAGCCACACGACCGTGTCCCGCCTGCCCGCCGCCGCAGTGACACAACACCATGGAGGACCCAGAGCCATCCTCTACGGGTCTCGCGTCCTCCAGCCCTGCACTCGAAAGGGCGCCTGCCTGCGCCGACACGACACAGAAGACGCATGCCACGCTAGACACTGCCTTCCAGCCCCCTGCGCCCGCGAACGCGAACGCGACATCGACCCTGACCAACTCGGACCTCGCGATTGGAACGGGAGCCACGGATCCCTCGCTGCCCAGATATCACGTCCGCGCCCCGTCGACGGCGCTGAAGCTCGACACGGACCTCGCCATCGCCTCCAACCCAAGCTCTGCACGATCCCGCCACCCCGCCAACCTGGAGCCCAACGGGAGCGACGCGCTGCGGCAGTCGGCCACTGCGCCGATTGCGATACAGGACAGCGGCTATCTGAGGACCGCCTGGTCTACTGCTAGTCTTGGCTCGCTGTCGCCCTCGTCCGCCATCTCGTCGCCAGCACTGGCTGCGCTGGGAGACATAACCCCGCTTCCGTCTCCGCTGGTCATGGGCGACTCGCCAGGCCCATGGCAGCGAGCCGACCATCGTCCTCGCTCGCGCGGCATATCGGGCGCCTCTCGCGACGACGCCTTCGCCATCTTCACCAAGGGCACCCTGTCTCCCTCGCCCTCGCTCAAGAAGAAGGGCTACTCGGGGCTGAAAGCCGCTGCCATCGAGGCGGCAGCGGCAAACTCTCAGCAGAGGAACGAGGCAGCCCGCGAACGCAACAGAAGCATCAGCGAGTATACCCCAGACTTGATGCACAACGCCCGTCCTCGGCATGTCTCGGTGGTGGAAACGGACCCCACCGTGCAACAGCGTATGAACCGCGAGACATATCTCGCGACGCAGAGAGGCCTCGTCCCCGCCAATGTGCCAGCCGGGCTTCCCACTCCTCCCGCGAGCAACGCAAGCAACCGCAGTGTTACCGACACCGAGGAAGACGACGTGACCGAAGATGACAAGACTCAATACATAGTGGTGCGGTGTGGCCCTCAAAAGACGAAGAAGCTCTGGCGCCCTGTCCGGCAACTGGGCCAGGGCACCTTCAGTAAAGTCTACCTGGCAACCTGTGAGAAGACCAAAGCAAAGGATCCTCTCGATGAGAACATTTTGGATCCACGGAAACTGGTCGCCATCAAAGTCGTCGAGCATGGCCCTGCCGGGGGCGCCGACGAAGAGCGCGTAGAATTAAGCCTCAAGCGAGAGGTCGAAATGCTCCGATCAGTATCGCACCCGTCTCTTGTTCATCTCCAAGCTTTCGATCACGATGACGCCCAAGCTCTTATTGTGCTTACGTACTGTCCCGGTGGTGATCTGTTTGATGTAGCCAGTGACCATCGCGACAAGCTGACTCTCGACATCGTCCATCGTATCTTCGCCGAAATGGTCAGCGCTGTGCGTTATTTGCATACCCAACTTATCGTGCATCGCGACATCAAGCTAGAAAGTACTGCTTCCATTCTCCTTACTTTGCCACACTTCATCTGGTACGTTACTTCGCTTCTACTCTGTACTAATGACATCCAGACGTTCTTCTCAATATTCCTGTGTCTACCGTGCCTCTACTCAAGAACCCACAGTGCCATCCGCATGCCATAGCGACACTCACGGATCTCGGCCTCTCGCGACGCATCCCTGCTCCCCCCGAGTCGCCTCTTCTGACAACACGGTGCGGAAGTGAAGATTATGCAGCTCCAGAGATTCTCCTCGGTCAGCCATATGACGGCCGTTCAACTGATGCCTGGGCGCTTGGCGTCCTTCTCTATGCTCTTATGGAAGGACGTCTGCCCTTTGATCCACCGCCAGGCAAGGCCGCGTCTCGTAGTAGAGCCGCTCACCGTATCGCCAGATGCGATTGGTCTTGGGTCAAATTCGGTGACGAAGACGGCGAATGGGATGCGGACAAGGGCAACGAGTGGGCTGGCGCTCGCGAGTGCGTTGAGGGCCTGCTGAAGAAGGCCTCACGTGGTCGCAAGAGCCTGGAGGACATTGAGAAGCTGGAATGGGTCCAGCAAGGCATTCAGGTCGAAGGCGGCTTGAAGATGAGACCAGAAGATGAGGTTGCTGAGGTCGCTGCGGCTCAGACCCCGTCGAGGTGATCATTAGTGAAGAGCGGAGATGCATGGTTTGCTGAACTCGAATGATAGGACGTCTACGTTTCGGGACGTAGCCGAGCGGCTTCCCAACATCTCTTTTGCTGCCTCGGTCCTTCCAAAAATCAATGAGCACGGAAGCGCCCCCTAAGAAAGATCCATCATCAAATTTCAGCGTCCCTGTGGCAAGCCTACATGCGCAGCTCGCTCCGGGGCTGTTACCTTTCCTTTCTTCTCACGACTATTCACTCTCACATTCGTTGTTCTATTGATATCCCATACCCGGTTCGCTTCTTTGTCTGGTTACACTTTGCTTCATCGTCGTTCAATCGGCTATTCCCTTTGCCAGCGTGGCTTATGCATCTGTATGTTTGCCCAAGCTGGGTTGATATTTATTTTCCAACTTCTTCCATCATATGGCATTTGGAAAAAATAAGTCAGAACTGACTTGAGATAGCGCTAGCAAGCATGCCTTTTCTGACTGTTTTTGTCGAACATTGGATTGAGCTGGCTTGGATAGAAGATCAATGTAGCGGTTCTTCGCCCTTGTCGTGTGGTTCTGTCGTGACTAGTGTAACCGTACGTGTTGGGATTTCCGTGATGGCTCAATTAACTTCAAATTCGAGCAATTGACGTGTTGGATGGCTACACGCGCATCGAATCTCACGTTAACATACTTTCTCCATCACGCATAGTTCAGTCTTGCACTTGTACAAGCGCAGACATACGCTCGGGCCCGAAGTGAAATGTAACTTTAGGCAGGCTACAATATTCCAGCGAACGCAAAGATTAGCGCGTGCGGATCCCTGGAACCGTGAGCGACGAGTATGTCGAATGCTTGAGAAGGAATGAGGCCTGAGTGATGGACTGAACAGAACGAGTTTTGACGGCTAGGCAACTAATTCCCCCATTTGTATGTTCTACCGAGGTCCGTCATCATCAGCAGCAAATGCGCATCCGCTTTCATTGTAGACCAAAGCCGCATCTATACAGCGGCTCTCAACCAAGCGTTTTGCTAGACTCATTTTGAAAGACTTACTTGTGTATGTATCTTGGTCAATACCAGTACCCTTTGCGGAGGTGTTCCAAGGTTGGTACGTGGCTACACCTGGGCACCTCACGATAGGACCTCGAGAATCTCAAACAGCGCGTCACAGTTGGAGAGAGGGCGAAATGGAAGCGAAGATTAAGATCAAAGCAGTATGGCGTCCGCTATCCGCCGGCGACATTACCAGCCTCGTCCAAGTAGCTGATAAGATCCATCCCGACCTCCCTGAAAGCAACGAAGTCTTCGCAGAACGTGCCAGGTTGTTCCCGCAAGGCTGCCAAGGTCTGTTTGACGAAACCGGTGAAATTTGCGGATATATCATCTCGCATCCCATTCGCAACTGCGAGCCTCCAGCTCTAAATCAGCTTCTCGGCGAAATCAGGCCGGATGCGGATCAGTACTACATTCATGACTTGGCTATTCTTCCCGAATTCCGTGGATCTGGGCTCGCGCATCAGTGTCTCCACGAGATCTTGGAAACGGTTGCTAAGCGATATGCGACTACTGGCCTTGTTTCCGTCTATGGTACAGGGGACTTTTGGGGTCGATATGGTTTCAAGGCACCAGCAATCGATGAGGTATTGGAGAGGAAGGTTCGAGACTATGGAGATGACGCGGTGTATCTCGAACGCAAGAACGAGTCGTAGACACATGAGTGAAGAATGGATAGAGCGGGCTATTTCAATCGGGATAAAAAGTAGTGTCTTTCAAAGCCGACAGAGAAGACTTCGCACTATATTGCAACGAAATTCTTCAACTCACATGGGTCACTCTCTCCAGGCGATTAAGGTGCGTCTGCTGGCACGGATTTTTGGCAGACGCTGGGATTCCACAACGCCGAAACATTGTTCTCGTGAATAAGGAATAGCATATCACTACGAAGTACCTCTTTTCCAGTGGTTCAAATGACTCGACAATCTCCTCCCTCAACTTGAAATGCCCTTCCAAAAATTCTACAGGTCGTTAGTGTTCAGTCTGGCTCGACCGTGCCAGGACCAGTCAGTAAAGTCTACATGCAACGGTACAATCCACATACAAGGTAATGAATGTGGTGTATTCTGGGGTACATGCATTGAGTCAAAATGCCTGTCAGGACCCAGTGTTACGATGAAAGGGAGCATATGAAGGGCCAGTGCAGGTATGTCCAGTTGTGCCCCCACGGAGGACGCTGAGGAGACTTGACATAGGTCTGGAAGGGAGGAGAAACGCGGAACAGACCGGCAAGCCATTAGGGGATGGGGTTGTTAAGATGAGAGAGGTCAAGAGTGTGGCCTTGTCTATGGTTCCAATCAACAGGCAAGAGCTATAGGAAGATGGGCGGGGGAAATGAAGGTGGGATGTTTCGAGCCGCGAAACTGGGGAGGTTTCAATTGCATGGATAAATATCCGAGTGCTAAGCATCAGGTGGCTAGGACGGGCTTACTTTATTCAAGGACATAAATTCGTAAAATAGCTGCTGGAAGTGGTACTCATGTGATAGTTCGATAATGATCATCTCAGATTTTACAAAGCGTCTGCATTGCCTCCTTTGTGCTTTGCGACGTCTCTTTGACTACCTTGATGATTTCTTTGAATCTGTCTAGTGTTAGCCCACCTAGTCCACAACAGATGACACTGCAACTCCACTTACTCGGGTGTACTAGCGTCCCCAACGTATTCGTACATGAAGCTCTCACTCGAGGTGACCACGGCACCTTCATGCCGCAGCCTCGCCAAAGCAATCGGCACCTCCTCTTTATTACACGAGCTTACGCCATCAGCAATGACATAGACCCTGTGTCCGGCCCGGAGGAGATCGAGTGTGGTCTGAGTGACACAGATGTGGCTCTCGATGCCGACAATGATGCAGGAGAGTGGTCCGGAGGCGTTGAGCGAGTCTAGTGCTTGCTTGACTTCTGGTGTTCTACTATGAGTCAGCAAGTAGCATTGACGCACAGATCCTTCATGCTGTAGCTTACATCATTGAAAATAATGTCTTGTCAAGATGACAGACTGTCTTGATGCCCTCAGGCTGATCCAGCTTCAGCTCCGGACATGTCTCGCCCAATCGCGCTGCAGAGACGCAAGGACGAAGTCAGTACGTGTCTCACATGCAGTTCGTATAGCTAGAACCTACCTTTGTTCTGGGTAGTTGCGAAGACGGGAATGTTCAGTAACTTGCCTGAAGGGGTTGGTCAGCAGTAAGCATGCGGGGCGGAAAGTGTAGCGAAAGATTTTGGTGAGCTAGCCTGAGACCTTCAGGCTGACACTCAGCGGGTCGAGAGCCTCGTGAGGTGCTATTGGTGTCTTATTGGAGTTGGGATGACGGTGTTGGACAAGAAACGTGGAGCATACTCGCTTTCAGCAACTTTTGTGCCGTGGAAACGACTTTAGGAAACTCATAGATAGCTGGACGAAACTTCTCTTGAAGATCGCAGATACTGTAATGATATTAGAAGGGAATTGTCACTGCTGTGGTCTGCATACAAGAGGGCGGGGTTCGCTATGGTCCATCAGCTATTGTCGCACAAGATGTCGCTAAGCCGCCTACCAATGCGTCTCTGAGCCATGGCTGAAGAAAATGTTCGAAGAGAAGTTATACGAGCGGCGAACAATACAGTTGGTCGTGGGAGGAGAAATGCCATCGTTGATGCGCGTATGCAAGCCTCATGCGGAGATGCCTCGGCTGGAGGGAATGACATAGTCGCTTCCCCATCGGTGCAACGCGCCTGCCGTAGCCAAAAGACCCCTTGCCCTTGCGCCTGCCGTGGCCGTGGATTTGACGGTCACAACCGTCACGTGATGAGCCGCAAGTCGGCATCTGAAACAGAGTCCGCCCGTAGCCAATTGCGTGCATATTGGGTTCCCCAATTTACCGCGTCGAAATAAGTCCATCAAACACGAGAATGTCCGTCCTCTGACATCAAGACTCTGGTGGGTGGCTATACTTGGGACCGGAGGCGCGGGTACTTTGGCCATTACGAAATGCCGCCATTGGTGCTGTCCCTGCGTCTGCTCCGGCGGTGATATACCGGTCAGATGCAGATGGGACGAGTCCAGAAATACACGGTGGCACAGGGTTGGTGAACAATGTCCGAGGAAGAGGACATAGCGGGCGGTCTGACTGCGATGCAACAAGCCCCTACAATCTCACGAGTAGGCGTCATGTCCTATGACACGGCCTGCACGAGACAGGAGACGCCCGTGCTGCAGCTTAACAGGAGTTCGCCAACTGCTGGCCGACTCCCGCAGCTCTACAGGAAGCTGCCATGTAGCGTAGAAGCACGGCGGAGTGGCCCGTTGAACACTACCGTCGCCGCACGGCCAGCACGGTCAGGGCTGATGACGGCTGACGGTGTGGCGCGGATTGTGCTTTTTCCCTTGTTCTGTGCTCTGGGCGCGGGGAAGGCCACCGACGCGGTGGTGATGGTGGTGGAGGACGATGGACGGTGGTGGTGCACACGCACCAGGACCAAGCTGCCAGAAAGACATCGGGCAGCCCCCCCGCCATGAAGCAGCAGAGGATAGATTACATGGCGTGTTCTATGGTCCATGGAGAAGGCGCCCCTGTCGCCGTCACACGTCCCAAAGCGCGTTAGAGGCAGCCCTGTGCGTTCATCCCTCGTCAGGACCTAGGTGTGGCCCAAATGCCCATGCCCATGCCCATGCATGCCGCTGCACTGCACATAACCTCACAGACTGTCGACTTCGTCCTCTGCACCGCTCCGCCCGCCGTCTGCAGTGCCTCGATTCCCGTCTGCGTCTGCATCCCGCCATTGTTTAGCGCTGACCGGCGGAACCACAGTTGACGCCGGATCCCTTAGCACCTTCGCAGCGACGAGTGCGGACAAGGCTCTCACGGCAGGGGTTCACGCACCACCATCTCACGACGCCGAATTCCGAGTACGCCCTCACCGCGGGCTCCTTCGCTCCAGCCCTCTGCCTTCACTTGCTCTGGAAGCATCTCTCTCTGTTCCCCACCGCTGCTCTAGCCCTCGAGCGGCCGCAGCCCCTCCCCGAGCACCGCCATTGCCATAGCCAGTGAGCGCCCACTAAAGTTTATGAGCGACCGCCGCCACAACAACCCACAATATCTCTACCTTCAACATCCCCAGCTCATTCATTCCGACCCTCGCCGGACCAAGCCCTGCTCGACGGCCCTCTCTTCACCCGCCTACGCACCCCTACCGCTCCCTCCACACCCACTGCACCCGCACATCCACTACGCCCACGTGCCGCCCCAGCTGCTGCTGCACCCCTTCCTGCAGCTCGCGCGTATAGACGAAGTGCATCCATCCGCTTCGCACACGCCCTTTCCCGCCGTAATTGTGTCTCCCCACTCACTGAGCCCGCCGCCCCAGCGGGACTCAGGCCGCACCCTCTCCAAGAAGCCTCCCGTCAAGACGGCCCAGGCGCACACCAATACCCCAGATGGGAATAAGGGTACACAGCGTAGCGTGCCCACCAGCGCGCCCACGATGACATCAAACCGTCTGCCACATATGTCCAGCAAACGGGAAGAGGCGGGCGCCCAGACGCGCACCCAGCGCCCGTCCATCGTCTCGCAGCACTCCAACTCCGTTCCCTCGACGCCTCTGCAGGTCGCTCGCAAATACACAACGCGCTCACGCTCCCCGTCACCAAACGGCGGACTGGGCAGCCATTCGCCACGCTCCGTCTCGTCCGAAGCAAACGGCACCATGCCCACGCTGAGACCCGCGCGCCCGTTCAAGTGCAGATTCGAGACCAACGTCGGTATGCTGGGCCGGAGACGCATGCCCTATCAATCAGACGAGATACTCGAAAGAACCAAAGAGGAGCCCAAGAAGAGTCTGGATCCCCACGAGGATGACAAGTTGAGCGGAGATATGCGAGAACTATACGACCGGTTAGAGCCGAAACAGGAAGACACCCACATCCGAGAACGCTTCATAAAGAAGATGCAGGGCATACTCGAAACCGAGTTTCCAGGCACCAAGATCATGGTCCACGTGTTTGGCTCCTCTGGCAACATGTTGTGGACTTCCGAAAGCGATGGTATGTTCCAACCCGCATTACAAGGTCCGCACTAACAGGAACAGTTGACATCTGCATTCAAACGCCCATGAAAAGGCTCGAAGAAATGCACCCGCTGGCTGAGGCCTTGGACAAACGTACGTTGCCATGATGATTCAGCTTGATTCAGACTAATCTCCTTAGACGGCATGGAACGTGTGGTATGCATACCAGCAGCCAAAGTGCGGATAGTAAAAGTCTGGGACCCCGAGCTGCAAATCTCCTGCGACATCAACGTGAACAACGTCGCCGCAATCGAGAATACGCGTATGATCAAGACCTACATCCAGCTCGACGATCGTGTTCGGCCGCTCGCTATGATAATCAAGCACTGGACAAAGCGCCGGATCCTCAACGATGCTGGTCAGTCTGCCGCACACCCGTCTCCTCCTAAACTAACATCGCTCAGGCATTGGTGGCACAATCAGCTCGTATACATGGATATGCTTGATCCTCAATTTCCTCCAGACCCGGGATCCACCGGTCCTCCCCACCCTGCATGACCTTCCCGATCGAGCGCTAGACGAAACGACCGGCCAGCCTTCGTTATCGAGTTTCGCCGACGATGTCGACAAATTGAGAGGCTACGGAGATAACAACAAGGAAACCTTGGGCCAGTTGCTATTCCATTTCTTCCGTCTCTATGGTCACGAAATTGACTATGAGAAAGAAACGATATCAGTACGTCAGGGCAAACGGATACCGAGAGAAGAGAAGGGATGGCATCCTGGCGGTGGCCAGAAGGAAGGTGTCAACCGCCTCTGTGTAGAGGAGCCTTTCAATACAGATCGAAACCTTGGAAATTCCGCGGACGATTATGCATGGCGCGGCATACACCTGGAGCTCCGCCGCGCTTTCGACTTCCTTGCAGATGGCCAGCAGCTCGACAAAGCTTGCGAGCAATTCGAGTATCCGCCAGAGGAGAAGTCTAATGCGATCTTTAAGAAGCCGCAATCCCAGAAAGCCATCATCACCTCCAGCGTGCCGAACCGAAACGGACGAGGTGGCCCGAATTCGAGAGGAGGCAGAGGCGGCTTCAACCTAAAAGGCCAGCATGGAGGCAGTAGGCGATCTTCCGGCAGCTCCAACTACGGTCAGGGTCGACCACCGTTTCTGCATAGTCCACCTATTCCAGCGAGCGCTGGTCCAGAATACTTCAGCTTTCCCAGAGGAATCCATGACCAGCTACATGACCAGCTGTATCAACAATACCAGATGTTGGAAATGCAGTCGAATTCCCTGCGTGCTCAGCTTGCTGCTCAGCAGCACGCTCAGCAAGCACATCAAGTGCGAGCCGCGCAGATGCACGCTCACGCCGTTGCCCAAGCACAAGCGCAGGGCAGAGCGTCCAACAGCACAAACGGATCGCCGCAAAAGTCGCCCTATGTGAATGGTCGACAAAGTCCTCGTTTGGCTGAACGTGGGATACCGCCAAGCGCTCTTCCCCAGGGCTTCCTATACCATTATCCTGGCTTTTTTACTGCTCCCCAATCGGATCCCACTGGCTCCCAAGATGGGTCTCGAACCAATCCTTCTTCCCCATCTTTGAGCAACAGCATACCTGGTGTACACCGAGGAGCGCATCACGCTTCGAATGCGAGCGAAACAAGTTCCCTTCGTTCGCATTCACAGCCTCCTCGCAGTGCGGGACAACAGCCTGTCATTGTGGGGTATCCGCCCGTACCCCAACTCGTTGATCCTGGAAGCTTTGCTGGCTATCCTATCGCACGGTCTTCGCAAGATCCCTTGAGGCCGCAGATGACGTCGGAGATTCCCATGAAGCCGAATGCATCACAGCCTGAGTCGATTCCATCTTCCGACACCAGTTCGCCTAAGGAATATGTTGGCTATTATGTTGAGCCACAGGTACGCCCGCGCCAAGAGTACTCTGTCCCATTGATTCCGTCATTTAGCGAACTGGCTCAGCGACGCCGACGCGTATCGCCAGAGATCACGCAGCCGCTCCTGAACACTGCGTTACGTCGAGTGACACGGTCTCCTTCTCCGCTTGGACATATGCGAAGCTACTCTACTGGCGTGAGTCAGTCGAATGATGTGGCCACCCCTGAGCTACGGAAATCACGTATCGACTCCGTCCGTCCACCTGTCGACAACGGTCCAGTCATCGTTAATGGCTCGTTTCCAAGCCAGCCTCGTCACAGGAGCGACACAGTCGAAACTGTACCACCGGAGATGCCATCTCAAGCTCCACTTGGGCTTTACGCGAATGACCAGGCGATACATCAAATCCAGCAACTCCAAGCACGTCAGCAACTGGTTCTCCAAGAGATGGAGAGACAGAAGGCAGTGCAAAACATGGGTCCCCCCATTGTCAATGGCTCCATGAACGGCAACCCACAGATGGAGACAAACGGCCTGACACAAGTGCCTGGCGAAGGCCAGCAATCATTTCCCACGTTCAGTGAAGGCTGGGTAAATTACGAGACCACAAACGGCCATCAAAGCGACCGTAGCGACGACATCTCACCAACTCGCACCGTTCCTCATCAGTGGGGCACCCCGACTTACACTAACGGTCTGCCTCCCCTGGAAACTTCAAACGTGCAGCGAGCACACCCTCAAGAGATCAAATCTGCAACGATACCACTGCTGTCCCCAGTATTCGAGACGCGTACGCCTTCTCCTACCGCCAGTAGGTCGTCTGACTTGAGCAAGCTTGTCAATGGCAATAGTGGCCACAAGTCGCAGGCGAAGTCAAACAATCAGCAACATCGGCGTGCGTCGCTCACAGGTGCACCAAATGGTAACACTAAGGAGAACCGTAACGGGCAGCAGCAGAAGAGCACCTCAAGCAATGAGAGGATGAACAAGTCCAACGCAGCGGGGAACAGTCCCAACTCTTGGCAACAACAGCAACCCCGTAAGAAGGGGAAGAACAAGAAGCCAAGGGCGTCGGACCAGAAGACATCGGGAGAGCCATTGCCCATCAATGCTGCGGATCGCAAGGGTGGCTAGATGTTTGTATTTGCCATTGTTGCGGAAATACACGGATTGCTATCCGATGGCTAGCCCCCGTCTGCTTTTGGATAGCTGGAATACATCATAAAATTGTGCTTGAACATTGAGCAACGCAGCATCCGCTTGTACGCCAGATTGTGGATTGGCAGGGCAGGCCAAGCTATACGATACCACCACGGGACGCAAAAGGCGAGATGCCATAGGAACAGAAAGGAAAGAAAGAAAGAAAGAAAAAAAGGAAAACACCCATCGGTCGTCTTACTCACCGAAAACCTGTCGTTGACTTTGCTGTCATACTCAGCGGCGCGAACCACGCGCTCGCGCCGAGCGCTCTGTGTTTCTTACCATTTGCTCGGCGTTGTTGTTCTTGCTACGCGCGACACGTGCATGTTATCGCATCACCTTGGAGTTTTTTTTTCTTTGTACCTTTTCTCTTTGTACCATCAGCGGCGCGGCGGTGTTCTCGGTTCAAACGGAATATCTCGGTACGCCACCAAAGCGTTGTTTTGTTCCCCTCTTTTCTGTCTCCTCTTGGGTCGCCAGGTTGTGCGGGACTCGAACCATGGGCTGGCTCGTTTGTGATGTTTGTTACTGGCTAAGCAAATGGACATTGAAAGGTATTGAGTTATGTATAGATAAAAGATGAGCGGATGCGTCCCTATCGGTTTGGCTTGTACGAGGCTGGGGCTCTCTGGGATGCGGTAGCGGAATGATAAATTTATAAAGTCAATTCTTGAAATTATGTCAGTGGTGTTGTGGCGTGCGGCGATGGAGGAGGAATAACATAGAGAGCAAGATGGCTTCGATATTGAATTTGCGGGCTAGAAGGACGGTTAGTGATGGTCTAATTCTGCAGTTTCGCCCCACCCCAAATATCCCAACTGTCCCTGTGTGTTGGCTGCGAGAGGTATGATGTTCTCAGTCCTCGTACGGATGACAGTATATATACACATTCGAATTCGCACCTCGGTGGGCGCTAGCTGTAGGAACAGGCATTGCCTCTGTTCACTAGTATGTATTCACTTCTAGCTTCCTCAGCTCCGTGTCGTTACACATCCTCGACGGAATAATTTGCCGCTCTTTGGCAGAAGCAAGTACGAATTTCGAACACACCAATATCGAATAGATTCATACGACCTTTCGCAATCGAGGAGCTTTTACAGAATGGGAAGGTATATGGCGTGAATATGCTGCATGTCTGTCTTGTGTGCAAGGACGTCTTTGAGACAGAATCGATCGATGCCAGGTAGAGATGATTGCAAATGCACACCCGTTGATGAGTAGCGTCGTCACTGAGGTTGATACGCAAGACCAAAGCCTATGTCTAGAGGCACGTCGCCTCTCGAATAGGAACGTACCTTCCTGATGGCACAATCTTTCAACATACATGTCCTGAGCAAACAAGACGCGGACCCAAACTCTTGAACAATCGAAAACTGCATTTATGAAGAAAACTACAGGCCGTAGGCGCATGTTCGTTACCGCCCAGCTCTAAGAGGAAGCGCAAACTCCCCTACGCTATCATGTTCTTCCTATAACCGCCGTTGATCATGTCGTCAATCGTAGGGAGCGTAGAAAGAAAACGAACGCCTTGCTTTTACTGTCTTACTCTACTGCCTGTCCCTCAAATGACGAGGGACATACTTTCCACCAGCCGGTGCTTGCGCAGGAGGCCTAGACTCACGCTCGCCTTCACCCTCACGGGCTGGTGCACTGCTGCGGGCACCAGGGGCGACATAGCCACCGGCGTTGGCAGGCGATGCCTTCCTGTCCGAACCCCATCGGTCTCCTCCGCGAGCAGCCTCAAATCGGCCACCAGTAACAGGAGACTCGGTGCGCTCAGGGCGCTCGGCACGGGCAGGAGGCGCGCGACCGCTGCCGCTACCCTCTCGCTCGCGCCATCCACCTCCAGGAGCGCCTCCCTGGCGGAGAGCTGGTGGGACGTACCCGCCTCTCTTGGGGGCGTCGGTCTCAGGGGCTGGTGAAGCAGCTGCCGGTGCGGGCGCTGGAGATGAGCTTGCAGGGGGAGGAGCCTGTCCCGCGGCCTTCATGGCCTCACGCTCTCGCCAACTGGGCTTGCCACCAGGAAGGGCAATCTTTGGAGGGCCAGAAGCCGAAGAAGGCTCCGCAGCTGGCTCGCGAGAGAACGTTCGGTCCGGAACAGCACGAGCTGCACCGGCACCAGCTTTCCGCTTGGCCATGGCCTCTTCCTCGCGCTGAGCCTGAAGACGCGCTTGCTCCATAGCGGCACTGCAAATCATTAGTGTATGGCTGTGGAAATCCACGGGTGATACTGACGCTCGCTCTTCCTCCCTCTGTGCCTTGATTTCCGCCAATCTCGCACGCTTCTCCTCATCAGCCTTGGCCTTAGCTTCGGCTTCCTCCCGCTCGCGCTCTTCCTCCTCTCGCTGGCGGCGTTCGGCCTCCTCGCGTTCCTTCTTCTCCCTAGCGATACGCTCCTTGACCTCCTTGACACGTGCGGCCTTCTTGCTCTCGAGTTCCTTCTGTGCGATCTTCTGTCGCTTCTCGAATTCAGCCTTGCGCTGTTCCTTGACGGTCTTGACGAAGGTCTGGTAGGGGGAAACCAGCCTTGACAGACGATGCTTGAGTTCGACGTCCGCCTTGTGCCTCTCTTCTGACTCCTTGAGTTCCTCAGCCTTGGACTTTTCATATGCTGCGAGATCTTCTTCCTGCTGCTTCTCGTAGTCAGTCTTGAGATGCTTAATCTCTTCCTTGCGGTAGGCTCGCTCCAAATGATCGATACGCTTGCCGGCAATGCGGAGTTGCTCGCCGAGCTGACTCTTCTCCCTTTCGAGAGCTTGAAGCTTCAAGAAGCGGATTCTCTGTGAGTCGAGATCATCAAGATCCTCAGGAAGCTCAATGTCGACCTTGGTAGTCGCCTTGAGCTCTTTGATTTGCTTCTCCATCTCCTCACGTTGGATGCGCTTCTGTTCAGCCTTGATGCGCTGTTCAGCACGTTGCTTCTGCTCTTCGGCCAGGCGTCGAGCTTCCTCGTCCTTGATCTGCTGTTGGCGAATGAGCCTCTTGGTCTGCTCTTCATTCTCCTTAGCCTGTTGGGCCTTGAGCGCAGCCTCCTTCTTTTGGGAGATGATGTCGCGGCGGGTGAGAATCTCTTGGTGCTCCTTCTCGGCGCCTTCCTTGGCTCGTGCAAGAGCGGCTTCCTTGTTGCGCTGCCGTTCCGAGTTGAACGAAGGATCGACATATTGGCAAGTGACGAAGAGTGATTTAGCGAGACGAGTGAGCTGAGATCGGACAATCTCAGCTGGGGTGCTTTGCAGACGCTGTACAGAGCGAGACTCAGTCTCGGCCGATCCGGCACCTGAACCGGGGTGCATAGCCTTAGCAGAGGAGAAGACGTCAGAATCGAAGGTGAGCACACCAGTGGCATGGTCGGTGCGGATGGCGAGGTCGCCCTTCTTGCATCCGTTCATGATGAACTTCTCAATGGTACCGGCACTGACGTGGAATGGCTCGGGGAACTGGGCGAGGCCAAGCACAAACTTGATCTCAACAGAGTCGTAGACTTGGGACAGTTGCTGGAACAGGCGGGTAAGGATGACCTGCTGGAGCGGGCCAACGTACTTCTCCATACCCTCATCAGCGCCGATCTGAGACAAGATTGGGGAGATCTTCTTGCAAATGGAGAGGGGATGAAAGTCGACCTCGAGAATATTGTAAAGATCGCGAATCTCAGGGCGGGCACGCTTGAGCAGACCCTTGCTGAGAGCGTCCTTGAAGAGGATAGCACGAGTGGGAGCCTGGGACATGCCGAGTAAGTTGGTGAGGCGCGAGTTCTTGTTCTTCCTCGCCTCATCAACGTCAACGAGAGCACCTCGAGAGCGGGAAGTGCTGATGACAGGGATGGCGAGAGCGGAGAGGAGGACAAACGAAGCAGCCTTGGTCATGTCGGCTTCCGTGACAGCAGGGTTGTCCTTCTTGGGGCTCTGGCCAGATGCAACGGCCGCAGCGGACTGGCGAAGGAGGTTGTAGTATCGGCTGTAAGCGGCAGCATGGAAGAGGTAGTTCTCGCTAACCAAGAAGATGCGGGTGAGCTTCTCGAAGTAGTTGGCCATCATGATGTTCTTGGCTGGGCGCTTGCTCAAGCTGAGCAGTGTGTGGATGTCCTCGACGCTGCGGAAGGCCTCCTGCCACAGCTCAAGCTCAACGGCCACGTTCAGCTGCTGGAAGCGGGTGTCTAGGTGGCGCTGTAGGGTGTCTGGATCAGACAGGTTGATGGCGTGCATCTGGGAGGAGAACTTGGCGGCATTCTGCAAATGGTTGCGGAGCAGCTCACAGAGACGGCGGAACTCGGTCTTGCGGGCGTATTTGGAGCAGAACTGGAAGGCCTGGTGGGCGGTCGACTGGTACATGAGCTCGAGGCGGGCGTTGTTCTTGAAGATGTCCAGGACCGTACGGTAGGTCTCCCACAGGAACTTGAGCCATGGTGTTACGATGGCACGGTCGGTGCGGTCGCGCGATTGCTCTCCAGAAACGGTGGAGAGGAGGATCGACTCGGGAGTCTCGGTAGCCTCTAGATCGTCGACATTCTTGTCATCAGAGGGCTCGAGCGAGGACTGAACCTCGTCTGCCTTGGCCTGGGCCTCGGTGACCTTTTGCTCGGCGAGTTCGATGAAGCGCTTGAAGACAGTCTACGGCGGGTTAGTGCCAACCGATGATAATTCCTTAGTCGGGTGTCCTACCTCGATGGTACCAACGTTGGTGTTCTGGGCGGTGTTCTTGTACTGGTAGAGGCCGTCTTTGGCCAGCTTTCCCTTGCGTAGGTCGACACAGAGCTCGACAAAGAGGATCATGACAGGCTCGAGCGAGGCGATGGGGCTGTTGCGGGTGCGCTTCGAGGTGACATGTTCGTGGAGTAGCTGGAGGGCAGCCTGTTGCTGCTCAACTCCGATGAGTTCTTGGGCACGTTTCCTGGAGCGCGTTAGTGGTGGTGCGGCCTATATGGCTTGTTCGAGGCGGGGCGCACAGTGTATTCTCCGGTTTGGAGTGCGGTGGAGGCGCCATGCTGGGCAAGTTGAAGTCGCGGATCCAACTGCACGAGTCGGATGGGCTTTATAGCAGGCAGGCGACGCAGCGAAAGGCTTGGGGTTGAGATATAGGTGGGCGGGTCTCACACGGCGATGGAGTCAGGTCTGCAAAATGGTTGTGGTAGGCCTTAGTAAGCGAGCCGGTGAGGTATTCCCAGGCCCCGGTAGGTTCGCGCCGGACTCCCCGCAGATGCACGCCGCTGCAAGACGTCGGAGGCGCCCTTGGGTGTCTGAGTGAGTCACGGCGATGGTGCTGTCGCAGGCAGTCGCTCTGTCCCATGAATGAAACGAGCACCTTGAGTCACGGCATTCATCTTGCGGCGACGACAAGATGGCGAGAGATTGGCTGCGGCGGTGGGCAAGGACAAAGCGCTCGTTAAACCCAATATGGCGCTATACCGCAAGCGTTGGGGCCCGACGAACAGACCCATCAAGGGGAGGGCCCTCATCTTCCAACCACCTCTCCTGGTTCCCGTGCTTCACCTGTCGCCCATCTCAGCAACTCGTCGTCAACGCCCTCGCAGCAGCCTTGCTCTCGCGCTGATACTCGGCGGCAGGCTCACCCGGCTGGCCGTCCTTCGCTCCTTACTCTCCCTTCACCTAGCTCACCCTATCCACGCCGCACGCCCGACACGCACAAGTCACGTCGCACCACGACGCACCCCCCATAATACCATCAACCCCAACGCCCTTCACACCCCCATAATACTCACACGCGCACCATGTCTGTCATGATGGCTCAAGCACCCTACGAGATACGGACGGGCGGCGACGGCAAGAGCAAGAAGCAGAGCATGGCCGAGCTCAAGCTGCGACGTCTGACCGAACTCAACCAGCGCCTGCGCGAGGACCTCGAGCGCCGCAGGATACCCGTATCGGAAGCCGCGTTAGAGTAGGTTTAGCACCAAGTCGCCGTGCCTCGACGAACAAGACGGCTAACAGGCACCTGCAGTCTCATTGCATTCACGGACAAAGAACCAAAAGACTGGATGGTACCGTCACGATGGGGAACGGTCAGTACTCGCGCGCACAAGCTGCTCCGCTCACACTCCTAACGCATGCCCAGATTGACAAGCGCGACGACCCCTACGCGCCACAACAGAGCAACGGCTGCTGCATCGTGATGTAAACGACGAAGAAGATGCAGGTGGTCATGTCCTTTACCGGCGTTCTGCGGGGCCCTTTTACGGCAGAGCCTGTTTTCTTTTACCCTTTAGGAGGAAGTTGATTAATACCCAAGGACCCGTAGTGGCCCAGTCTCGCGCAGTCGTCCTGGGAGCGAGGCCACCAGACGGGCCATGTACTTTTCAGCAATGTGTAAATTACTCGGATGCGGAGCTCGCTGCAGTTGATGTTTGCAGCGCAGCAGGGATTTCTGCATTTTCTTTTGGTCGGTGACGGCGGCTTTTTAGGTTCTACAATTACGAGACAAAAGCACTCTCATAATTCACTGTCGTGGTCTTTGACATTCCCATATTTGACAAGTGCTCTATACAGCCTCGACATGTCGCCCTAGAAACGAGGCCATCTGGACAGGCGGGAACTTGCTGGAAGGGGTAGGTGGCTACATGCTAGGGCAAACGAGATTAACAAGGCGCATCGACATGGCGCACCGCTCCACCGGCAAACAACCGTAGTCAGTCGCGCTACAGCCCAATCAGCCTGCCGTAAAACAAACATGGGCTTCGCCAACCAGACGCCTTCACGTGCAGCTGCAGGACGAGGCACCCCGAGTCTGCCGTTCGCTCGACCAGCTGGCTGGCGCAGCCATGTCCAAGTAATGTACCCATGCACTGGGATGGGATGCAAGTCAGCAACGAACGAATGCAAAGGGCAGCTGTCCTCGCCTACGCCTCCCCCGGTAGAATGCGGGACCGCACTATTGGCCGACTAGTCTGCGGTCTACAAAACAGCGCCCATCTTTGCCTTTTGCATCCGGCCTGTGCCTAATCCATCGCTGCAGCTTCGCAGACCCTGAACCGCGGCCCAGCAGTCGCATCAAGTGAGTGACGAGGGCATTGCGCCGTAGCTGTGCTATCGTCCATGTAGTCGGGCGCGCGCAGCTTCAGGTGTGGCTGCATGCATCCCACGCGCGCGAGTCAAGTCATTCGTGAGCCTCTGGTCAACACCATGCACCCAGCACAACGACCGGGTGAAGGCTGAACGTCATGTGGGCTGGTCGCTGGGTGCTGGCGGCACCTGATAATAGGTTGAGGACGCGAGGCCAGGTTTTGCAAGCCGCAGTGGGCTATAACCCGCGCTGCATTCGACGTGCGCGGGCGAACTGCCCCCCAGTCTTATCAAATCACCGTGGGGGCCTACCACCCGGCCTCTTCTCGTGCAGTGCCTCGTCCCGACCCCGACGACACTCTCTTCAGTATCCGCTGGAGAGAGCGACGCCAGAGTTGCAGCCCGCTGCACCCTCGCCAAACGCGAATTTGATCCGACGCACACGAGAAGCAGACGCAGCAACCCGGTCCCCATCCCGCGCAGCCCCACCCGCCCATCTTCGCAACGGCAATTTTCTCTCTCCCCTCCGCCCAGGGTCCCGCGCCGACGATATGAACAGCTCGACTGCGCAGTCGTGGAGTGCTGCCGAGCACTTCCAAATGGACCCGCCCACTGAAGACTTTGCCGGTGCGGAATTCATCGACTTCGACAATCTTGACTTGCACTTCAACATTGATGGTTACAATCACGAAGGACCCGCCTCTAATGGAAACCAACTCGCCGATCTGACCGAGTCGCTCAATGTCCACCATCTCCAGGGCCAGTTTCCCCCGCAACTTCCCCAGGACCACCATCATGGCGCCAACGGTAGACAGCAGGCCCAGAACCTGCCTGGCCATGGCTTGTCGCAGCCCGCCAACAGTTTCTTCGACTATGGCATGGCCCAGTACAGCCAGGCTGGGACCCCGTCTTTCACCCAGGCCCAGGACCAGATTTACCGCCCACACCAGGGTGTTCCGCCTACGCCAAATAGCGTAGAGATGCATGGCGACCCCCATCGCTATCTCCAACAATCAGACCACCACCAGTCGCTGTTCGATCAGAGATATCATATGCGCAAGGACGATGCGGTATGTTGGACTTGGACACTGCCACAGAATCCCACTGACCCATATAGACGTTTACCCCACTAGTTTCGCCTGCAGTGACGCCCCACGATGCGCGCTTCCAGATTCCCGACTTCACAATGCCCGGAGCCTACTTCAGCCCTCTTACATCCCCTGCCTTGAATGCCCAGAGCCAACAGCATGCGCACCACCAGTCGCAGCACACAACATCCGGGAGCTCGACAGGCCACTCGCCCATCGATGTAGATATGGATATGCTGGGGGAACCTGCCCTGGTGCCACAGGAGCAAGGACGCAGGAGTCTACGGAGTACCAACAAAAGGAATGCGCCGCGCACAAACGGCAACGGCCGTGTACGACAGTCTCCCATTGTTAAACCTAACAGGCGGAAAGCAACCGTTTCCTCCCTCATTCCACCCAAGGAGGTGACTGAACTCATGCAGGATGCGCGATTGACACGCCCGTCTATCAACGGTCTAGATGTGCCAAGGACTCGTGAAAGCTCAGAGACCGATTCTATATCTCCTGAGCCTATGCTCTCAGAGATGCGACCGCCGCCGAAGCCTACTTCCTCAACAGCTTCCCCTGCCATGATGGCCCAGCGCAGCAGCCAGAACGGCACCCCAGCCACTCCTGCATCTCTCATGCGGATACAACCCTCGCCCGATGTCAGTGGCTCCCAAGAAGCACCACCAATGCTGGAAGATCTCACCCTACCAGAAGCATCACTAGACCGACCAGGGCTATCAAGGATAGATACAGCAATCCGGAATGGTGATGGTGACACGTCTCGTATGTCTGCGCGGAAGACACCCAAGTTGAATCCTCTGAGCACGCCAGGCGCCTCCATGTCAGCCAGACCTAGTCCGATGCTGGACGCCATGTCTACCCCGACAAGTCCAGCCTTCTCTATAACCAATGGCAAGAAAGACTCAAAACTGGCGCGCAACCCCAAGAAGAGGAACAGCGTTAGCTCGAGTCTTGTCAGCCCTGCTCTGAGACCCAAGATCTCACCAAGCATAAAACCTCTACTACCCGACGGTGGAAGTGGTAAGTATCCCCCAGTATCTGACTACTTGATCTAATCTAACTTGCAGCAGGAGTCACTGACAACACCCACGCCCTTCTCCTGGCATCCAAATCAAACTACCAGAACATTCTTGATGGCACCACCGTCCCTGGAGTCGTCTACCCCACATCACTTTCCACTAACCTCACTTCAAAACGCACATCTCACAAGATCGCCGAGCAAGGCCGCCGAAATCGCATAAACATGGCCCTCCAAGAAATGCAGGCTCTTCTCCCCTCCCCGCAGCTCGGTGCTATTCCAGACGCCAAAAGCCCCGAGACAAACGCCCAAAACTCCAACAACTCCAAAGCAGCCAAGGTTGAAAGCGCCATCGAATACATCAAGCAGCTGAAACAGGAGGTATCGGAGCGGGACGACTTGATCAGCCGAAAAGACCAAGAGATGGATGCACTGAAGAAAGAGCTCGCTGCGCTGAAGAGGAAAGGATCAGAGGTTTTGACTCCCGAGGCAGCAGCCCAGCTCAAGGCTGAGCCCTCTTCCAGCCCGAACACCGAGAACGAGACTTGATGAGGCACGGTGATGATATGAGTTATCCTTCTACCTGACATTGCTCGGCTGAGCATTTGGTAACACCCGCACGCTACGTACGTGCCTTGCTTTCTGCACCGCATCAGAAACGGCGTAGTCGCCACATGGGAACGTCGAACCGACGTTCCCATGCTGTCTTGATCATGTCCAGCAACAGCCGAGACGGGGCCCATGTTCCACCTTACCGCGCATGTTACATTGATCTGGTGGTTGTCGGATTCGCGTTGAACGCAAGGGAAAACGTCTAGTCTGGACAAGACGGCGTTTGTGACTTGTTCACTT